AGGGGGGGTGGATCCGCAATCCTGGCTGTTTCTCCATAGCAAGAAGTACCACGGCAAGGAAATGGCAATTCTTGTCCTATCAGCCAAGTGGTGATGGAAGCACAACACAGTCCTTTCAACTAATGCATTTTGGCCAAAGCCGAGCGGGGCCCCATCGACGAACTGTTGCCAGCACTTCTCCGTCCATGTGCTATGCCAGCGTATTATTCCCTGCTAATTTGGTTTCTCCTTGGGGGTTCAATGGAGAAACCCAGAGCGGAGTTGAGCTCTGTACAAAATCCATGGCCGCAGACTAGAGCTACCTGTTTTTTTTTGTTTTTTTTTTGATGGCATAGACAGCGGTTGGGCTGGGGAACAAGTCAATCAAATATCATTAGCTCTTTTGCCAACAGCTGCAGTCATTTGTCTGGCCGTCCATTGGCTGGAGTAATTGAGATGAGGGGGTTACTTGATCATTCAATGCCTGCAGCAAATAGGCTAGTCACTGGCAATTGTCAGGCTTCGCTGGCCCATTACTATCACATCTCTTGGCTGTCCCTTGGGCTGATGTTTTGACAAGTGCCACGATTAAATACATAGGTGTATCCGTACCACGTATGCCGTTTAGAAGTTTCTACGTCATGGCCACCCCAAGCTCTTGTTTCTGTTTGGCGCTTGGGTTTCAACAAAACGTGCACATAAACCTTGCACCAGCAGTAGCAGTGGTGGAAGAAGCAGATGTTGAGCATGTCTGAGCCGCATGGGATTTGTTGTGTTTCCCTCCGTTCTTTGACCTTATTCTAAGAACGTTCGGCGCGCCTCAAGCGACTTCGGTTGAGCCTCCCTTCCTCGCTCCTCTTTCTATACCACCCAAAACTAGGTACGGTGCGGCATTGGCCTGGGTTCTTGTCATGTTCCTGGCGAGTTCCGTACGAGGCAAGTCCTCTCGACCTCGCCCATGCGGTGCGGCCCACTATATCGCGTGTTGGAACAGAAGGAGGCACGGGGGTAGTAAGAAGCCCATATTACCTAAGCTCAAAGCATGTGACATGCCTGGCCATAGCCACTGGCGATGTGTCATCCAATGGTGTGGCCTAGCCCATCATCGGGAAGGGGTAGAAACACTGGGGAGCTTGTGGGTTTTTGATGAGTGGGTTGGCTGAGTGGGAACTGTTAACGAAGGTACCTGACCAACCTGCACTGCAGCCCCCAGGGTTCGGCCGTCTTTTTCTGGATACAAACAGGTCTCATGACCTCCTCATGCGACGCTAATGACAGATTTTAGGTTCACCTGGGCCACAAGAGGTCAGCAGCATCTGATCATTTTTTTCTTTCACTGCTCGCTCTCCTGAGCTGCTGCTGCTGCTGCTGCGACTCTTCGCAGTCACACTTTCTCTTCCTGTTTGCAGCGCTCGGCCTTTATGACAAGCGAAAGCCCGGAGGATTATACATGAACTGCCAGACAGCGAGCGTCTAGACCGGTCGGTGCACCCGTTGCCCAAAATAACAAGAGAAATTGAACCCCCATGTGGGCAGCCTCAATCCCGTGCTGGCTGTCGTCGATACCCTGTTTGAGGTATCGTGAAGCAACAATAGGCTGCAATTGCTGTACCATTGAATGCCCAGTGTCGTGTCAGATTCACATTTGAGGCATTCCATGTCTCCATATTACTCTACAAAGGATTCGTAAACGATCTTCTACCACCACAAAGATCCATTCGTCAACTTCCTTCGTCATCGTACGCGCAGCCCTCAAACCATCACCCTTCCCACCACTAAACCACTACCACCCATCACCGATGACCCCCGCTGTCCCGGTACCCTTACCTGCAGCCGGAGCCTTGTCTTTGCCGAAGTGAAACCTCCGACGCGGCGGGCTGAGTATGGCATTGCAAGCACGCTCTCTCCCTTTCGCATCAACTGTTATTGACATTTAACTTCTTCTCTTTTCTCTCCACTATAGGCACATGTCTTACTGAGAAGGATACCTACGCCTGGGCTGAGGTCATCCCAAGGCGCCCATGGCGGAAACAGACCCAGCAAACCCCAGTCTTCCGCTACCACTCCGTACCTTGTCCACCGTTTGGCTGCTTTAGACGGCATGAAGCCTCTTATTGAACGTTGTGGGCTACATTCTGAGGCTTCTGACTAATTGGAGACTTCTAAGTCGTTACTGGCAACGGCTTGCCCCTGCAATCGCCTTCTTTGTCCTTGGATAGGCTGCGCCGTCATTTTCGCCTTTTTTTTCATCTTTTTTTTTTTTTCCATCGGTGCCTACATTGTTAGAGTGCGGTATTAACTCACAACCCAAGAATCAGTCCTTTCTCGCTCCTCAGAGTCGCTTCCGACTCGCAGCGAGTGGTCGATCATATTCGGCTATAATGACTGGCAAGCCACCAAATATACCATCTCGACGTGTATGTTGGCCCTCGCCCATTTACCTGATACGTCCGATCCGAAGTCTCTTTGCATGGCCACGTGAGCTTCCCAAGTTACTTATAACTCATCTTGTACCTCATGTGCAAAGCGCGTTTTTCAACACGGCCTGCTTGATTTGCACCCTAGGCCTGCAGGACATTTTGGGGAGCTCCATTCCTGTTGGTTGAGACGCACAGACGGAGCTTGTCGTTGGACATTCCCGTGTGTGCGTTCCCATCCAGCCCCTGCTACGCACCCGTCGACTGGTCTACCAGGCCCTACTCCCAATCCCTGCGCCGAGCGGTAATGCGCACTACTGTAGTACATCTCGTCACGGCGTCCCTCTCGACGCAGCCGCATGGCCCTAGCACTTCCCTCCATCCCATTGCCAACTTGTCTAGCCTCTTCTTAGAGAGGGGAGGGGGCAAGGGTTGATGCCGTGTTCATGGGGTTCTCACTCTCAACGAACGGCAGGCGGATCATGGAAGCCGGCCGTCGTTCGCGTGGTTGTCTGTTTGTCAACGTGGCATTGGGCTGGTTCACTTGGATAGACCTCTAACGACCCTCCAAGACATGAAATCTCAAGCCGAAGCCCAGGCTAGCATCCCTTTTGGTTCTTTTTTTTTTATTTTACTTTTTACCCTATAACGGCACGCAGTCGATGCTCAAGTTTATTTCTGGGCCTAGACCAGCCAGATCTCCTCTCCTCCTTCGGCGCACCATGACCGAGAGGACATGGCGGATACCGAGTCACACGCTTGTTGAGTGGGGACCACACTGCCCGAAAACAGAGGACTGTGCGAAGCGAACAGAAGGAAGCATGGTGCAGAGAAAGAGATGCCTGCTGTCATCCAGTCGGCGATGTTGCTGCTCCCTTTCGTCACACCCTCTCTAGGTTCCTAGTGGAGAGATCTATTGCATCCTGTTCCAACAGCACAGGACAACACGCCTGCTAGCTAGCATGTCTGCGGCACAGACATCAATCTGGTCAGAGCAGGCATTGCGGCTCTCACGATTGGACAGCTCGTGACTAGACCTCGCCCTCTACCATGGGTATGCCAAGTTGCAACGGCCACCTGCAGCCGCAAGAGATCAATGGGGCCCAAACCGCTACTTGTACCGCGTAGTCGAATCATTCCCAGCCATTCCAACCTCTTATCCACAATTGTGGACCTGTTTCCCATCGGTGAGGGCCCCCCCAGGCAAAGCACACGAAGGCCCATTCCTAAGTCACCAGTCCAAGTTGCCTATTACTACGTACGTCGATGGGGAAAACGCAAATGCTTACACATGGGCCACGGAGAGGCCTTTCCAATGGTTGCGCGAATACCACAGAAAACAGGTCTTTATGCGGAATACCGCCTTACATGACGGCATGTGATAGTAAAACATCTCACCTGCGGTCTCTTCTGTAGTCACGCTTTGAGTAAGACGTCAGCGGCCCAGCTCCAACTTTTGCATTGCTCTGAGGCGAAAGGTTAACAAGTTGATGCATGCTGCTCACGGTTGTCAGTGGCTGACCACGTGGGTAAGTCTTGGTAGTCAGATGTGACTTTCATAGTCACTGATTGAGGATGTCAGCACAACATTAGACGAAAGAGCAATGTAAACTACGTATGGTACACTCACCAAAACAAAACCAGCTATACACCTGGCTGGAAACTTTCCCAATGTCTTCAACTCCCCTCACCTAGCTGAAATGAAGATGGACACACATGCGGCTAACAGGCCGGCAGGGAAGACGTTTCCTAGACAAGCGCCACTGCTGCCGCGACTATACATTTAAGCATACGTCCCCTGAGGCAATTTCACTATCGATGCGTAGTTTGCAGACCACTGTTCCAGTAATCATGGCGATGTGCTCAGAGTTGTTGTAGACTTGGGTCTCTGAGCCTGGCTCCGTTTCCACCTGCGAATGGGTACGATTGCGGCGGCGCCCCCCCCCCCCCCCCATAGAGTGAGTGACGTGATGAGTTTTGAGCATGGTATCCGAGGTCACCGAGATAAATTCGGTCTGTTTCCCTGCCTTGCGCTTGGACCAGACCGAGGTCTCTGCTCCATATTGACCACTGCACCTCGAACTACCATGTAGGTGCATGGATGCACACTAGATGTAGCAGTATCAATCTGACATATTACTCCCTAGTGTTGTTTACTTATACAACACAGGGAAGGAAGTGTCGCAAGGTTTCTTGTGTGTAACCTCAAGTCTTGCGATGTTCGGCTAAGCTGAGGAGGTATCTCAATTCTGGCCCCCATCGACGCCTCAGCCCATCCAGGGAATCTCCAAACTAGGTCGGTCAATGGTGTCTCCAATACGCTTCGGTTGTGGTTGCAGGGGGTTTCCGAGACTACTTGCCATAGGTGTGCAATCTTCAGCCAGGTACGTGCAGCTCTCCTCCTCATTAATTTCTGTCGCAAGTGATAGTGGCCAAGCTGGTCAGGATGCACACACCACCTGGAGCTTGCGAGCAGGCTGCAGCCCTCATCATCTGACGGGGCATCCAATGCTTCCCTTCCTCGTTCGTTGCATTCATTATTGACATATTCGAAGGAACCACACGCACAAGTCCTGGTATTGGTTCAAGTCACACAGCCCATCGATGATCTTGACCCTCCGGAAGTATCTTGCAGGATCAAACCAGTCCTGCCCATCATCGATTCTCGGAGATCGCCAGTCCACTCGAGGCCACGCCCAGCCCGCCGAGCTCCGCAACGGAGCGATCAGCTACCGGCCTGCATGGGAAATTCTGAGTTAGTGTACCCTCGACGGACGCCTACTGAGGTGAGGTGCCTCTTCTCCTTTGGACGACATGCATATCTAGCTAAACCCGTATCACCACCACCTAAAACGAATCCTTGCACTGGCATGATACAGCTCAACATGGTTTGCTTTTGCCCCCTTCTGAGATGCTATGCTGCAGAGCGTTGTGTGACGACCACATAATTGTTTCGTTCACCTGCATCATCGAGTTGCCTCAAAACGCCCCCTTCTTACCATACGTTATCAGCCTTCCGGGGAGCGAGCTGTAGGGCCCCGTTTAGATGGTGCCAGCGACGCGTCCCGGTGGCTGACCTGTTTCACTGTTTGTGGAATCTTCAGCTCACGCTCTAGGCCACCTCTTGTTTCTCCTCTCACACCGCAGGAGGTAATCCTTTTAGTTTTTCACCGTCACGAATTGTTGACTCTCCGCCAAACGCCGGTGAGACCCGAATGGGACCGGCCACCTTTCATGCAAGTGCCTGTCGAGCAAACCTGGCTTACTTGACTACACGGAGACATCTTATGGGCACATGTTGCTGATCTCAGAAGGCAAAGTCAGGTGTTGGCTACTGAATGAGGTTCTTCCACGTGCCTTACAGATGCTGCCGTTGCCGCCTGCGAGGTGCATTTGTCGTGGCACCGCACACAAGTCTCTGCCTATGCAAGGTGTTGACCTAAGGGAGCTTTTCCCGCCCAACAGGATCGGCAGGAGGCAGCTCCCGGGTTCAGGGTAGATACCACCTGCCGACCACAAATGTTTCTGCAGGTCGCCCCTGGAAAAAAGCGAGTGACAGGATTTCGTCAGGTGCAAATGCTTCAATGCCTACTTTGGTAACTGAAAAAGAAGGTCTGCTCTACCAGCGCACTCGTACCTTTCTCAGTGAGGTGATACTTTTGCACTTGATTGGGGCAGGGGAGGGAAGGCAGGCCTTGGTCCTCCCAACAAATCTCTCTTTTTTTTTTTTTTTTTCTTCCTATCTCTCCCCCTCATTCACCGCTAGATTGTTGACCGAGGCTTGGATGAGACAATTTGTCTTTTTTCTCTTGTTACCGCAGATTTGGGCAAGTTCCCGATTACGGCTTTTTTCTGAGACCAGTGTCTAAGTCGGGTTTACCAGTGAGGAATTATTCTGGTTCCTTCCGCGCCCGCAGGCGTTGTCAAGTCGGAATGCAATCCTGCCCATCCGTCGAGTTTGCCGAAAGCAAGGGACCGATACACACAACAAGGCTTGAAGGTCCGAAAGACTAGTGCCGTTGAGATGTGATTGAGTCGGCCCGGAGAGGTCAATCCGGAGCCCAACTGGCTGGAATTTTCGAATAGTTCGCTGCGTCCTTGTTCAGGGGGGAAGGGGGGATGATGGGTACCGGTCCGGGCCGTGTGGTTCTGAGGGCTTGGCTAGACGGGTCTATGTCTGTGCTCTTTGAATGGGTTTTTCTTGTTTGATATCTATTCTTGCATCTGTGTTTTTGGGGCACTTGAATTGCGATTGAGGCTTACTTCTCGACTGTAACGGGAGACATTAGGGGTATTAACAGACCTCAACGGCAAATCTTCGTCAGCCGCTCTGGGATGCTTTCTACCTCGCCCACCGGGGAAGCGGCCCGGTACCGTCGAGCGACGGACGAGGCTTGAGGCTTTTGTAGCTGTGGCCAGCCAGCCTTGGTCTCCCTTGATTCGTACACCACAAGCAATTGACTAGTCAAGGCTCCTAGTGACAACATTTTCAACACAAGACATTTCTGAACGGGGATATTCACGGCGGTCGGTGTTCAAGACGTCCTTTATTCTATTGGACGCGGTTGGCTTCGTCAGAAGGAAGGAAGGGCTAGGCACTCATGGGCGCTTCTTCGTCGCATGTTTCTCGAGAAGCAGCTCGCTGTTAGACAACGCCGTTGGAGGCGCTGTTTATGAATGTTCGACGCTAGTGTGTCAAGGGAGCGGTGTTCTGGGTGAATGGGCTTGTTCATCGGTGATCGTTTATGGAGGACGTTGAAGAGGGAAATGCGAAACCGAGGCATGTCACGATTCATGGGGCTTCCAGAACAAGACGGGAACTAGACGAGGGGGGTTTCTTCAGCGGATGTCGCGTACGCGGTGAAGTACATGCTCGTCGTCCGTTATTTCGCTGGCGATGGTGGCCGGTTTGATGACGTAGACGACTGTGTCCTGTGAACCGAGTGAATGGGACCTTGCGTAGGCTTCGTAGAGAATTTCAGGGTACGAGAGGTTAGCTTACCCGAGTTCTCGCGGACATCCCATGTTTTGGGGGAATCTTTGTGTGTTATTCAGTTGGTTTCGAGAGAAATTTTAAAATCTGGCTATCTTAGTTCCCTCCATGGGTGCATCTATCTCTACCTTGTAGTAACTAAATAGCGACCAGTAACAAGAGACGATTTCAACTTCAACTTGACAATTAATGGTTATTTGCGTTTCGCCGGAACTCGAATACATGTTACATCTCATGATGTCGTTGAGGCTCTCACGAACCCTCACATCAAATCCGGGCACCAGGAAATTTTTGTGAGATAAATGTCTTGGGCATGTCACCAGCACTATTCGATAGGGTCGTTGCCGAGCCACTGCTCGGATATCAGAAGAACCTTTAGCCTTCCCCGTTTGCCGGCCCTGTGACAACGTTCCTTTGCTTGGCATGGTTGGGCGGAATGCTCCACGCGAGACATCACAGGCTAGTCTGGGACAAACACCCGTTGCTGGTCGGTGCGATTTGGATGCCGTTTCTGGCGATAGATCGTCCTTTTGGGTATTTGTTGTACCAGATCTTGCGTCCCTGAGAATTCCACTGCCTGTGTGCTTCGGGTATGGCCGTGTCTTTCGGCGGTTGTCGTGGAACGCCGAGGTGGTTGACGGGGCTCGGGTTGTTCTATGAAACTGATTGCACGTGTTCGTTGCTGGAGGTTAGGGACGTTTAATCATGTGAATGCTTAGCTGGGACATTGGTTTAGTTGAGTTTGAGATGTAGGTATGTGTCTGGTTTATTTCAAAATCTGATATCTCCTCCTAACTACTTTCTGGGCAGTAATAATAGCATGTGAGAAGCGGGAGTTTTCTGATATGCCTTGTACTAAACTATTTGAAGAGAGTTCTTGCTTATTTTACGGGGTCTTTCCTAGATGTTTGGATGAGAGTTTACATACCAGTCGAGTTCCTGCTTAGTCTGTTCATTAGAATGGACGCATATTTGAATGTGCCTGGGAGTAGTTGGCACCTTAGTTCATTCCCCCTCTCAACGACAGTTTGACATAGATACTGCACTGAGAAATACCGGGCATCTTTTCTTAAAATACCTGACCATAGCATAACGGTGGTGGCATTTCGACTACTTGTTCGTCTATTGGGGTTTCATACCCCAAGATGTGCCCCTTAGCAGCAACTTAGGCAACCCTGACAATAATTGAATAACCCAATACTAAGCCTCCATGTGTCATTTTCTTACGGCATTCTAACTCGAGAACGCAGAAGTGGTCATTTCCAATGTTGAATATCGAACAAGTAGCCAGATTTCGCATAAAGTTGGAGACAGAGGCAATGGCTTAGCTCCTACTCTGCGTCAATTCACATATTCTTCTAAATGACAAACAAATGACGGCTTACATGTCAGCATACCCTCGAAAGAAGACTTAACTTCCTGAGCTTCGTAAACCCTAATCACGATGCTGCAGCTAACAGTCTAGGAGCGTTTTTCTGCAGCCATCTTCCGCAAACCATCGAGGGTATGATGGCGAAGTACATCTAGCTTTTCAAGCTATAGCTTCTTTACTTGAAGAGCTCTGCTGATATTATGCTGGAATCTGAACAATGTTCTGTCAACCCTTTTCAATGATGATATAAATCATCATTTCTTCAAAATGCAGCTGGGAACTGTTTTTAAGAGAATAATTTTAAGCATGGAAAGCGTCGTGGGAGTGTTTACAACCTTTCAGATGTCTTGTGAAGTATTCCAGATTCAAAACTGCAACTTTAAACGTCGGCAGTCAACGATCTTGTATAACGGTTTGCTATGTGCTGGCATTCTTCTCCCTGTCTAGACCTATGGGAATGGATCGGCGGACTTTGTATATGGCGGCAGATCTTAGAATCACCACGCCGAGGTATTATTTTCATCTCTGGAGCTTTCTAGTCGAGTAAAATACTGCGATAAGGAGTCAGTCAGTTATGAATTACGAAACAACACACTACATAATGAAACCGTCGAGGAACGTATTCGAACGAGCCACTAGCCAAGGTTTAAAATACCGCGCTTCTACTCCGAAATCCTTTGCGTACACGTGTTTTCATCTCATGAATCTTCCTTTACTGTGTACGTTGGTCAACACCAACCAATATGCAATCCGTTTTCAGGCAGCAATATAGCTCAGGCAATCAAGACAGTCAAAATTAACACAGAAATGCAGAGCTTAGACATGTACGTGGCTACACGAGACCATACACCAGTTCGGTAGACATAGATCAAGTCATCACATCCAAGCCCTTCTCTCCTGAAGCTCTCTGCATACTGGAAGCGTGAAAAAAAAAAAACCCCTTTACAGCATATGTCCCTGTTGGCAACTGTTGAACATGACGGTAGAATCCCTGAGCTAATGTCCAAGCTTCGTCCAAGGGAGCTTTCTCTACAAGGATTTTGCTATTTCCATCATATCACCTCCATGTCACCAATGCAAGAAATAGACAATAGAAAGCCAGGAAGTATTCTGAAAGAGGTCACACAGAAACTAGACTGCCATAGCTTCACGGGCTCGTGAAGTAGCCCGATCGGTGACATCTCCTCCCACGCCCGTGGCTCTACTCTGATCAATGTGCTTTTCCTCTCTTTGGTAGCCAGTCATCCTACACTATCCAGTAGGGCTTCTCGATGAACGAAAAAGATAACCCAAGCTATCAGCCACAAGGCATACAGTTTCAGCCAGTTGATATGGGAATTCGTTGGAAACTCGTCTTGCCGCTATCAGCAGACGCCCAGGCGGCGCAGCAGCTGGGGAGGTAAGCGAATAGCCTGGCCCAGCCAGAGCTCCTCTCAAGTGTTCGTCGACAAGCAGGGGTTGGTCTGACAGAGAGATCTGACGCCCTCGGGGCCGCGCGGAGTGCGACCCTGTTGTCGCGTCACCGAGCTCTGACAGCTTATCATCTACCCACGACCCTCCATTCGGAGCAGTAGCTCCTGTGGAGAAGGGGAGACGTCGTGAACTTATGCCAAGCTTTGGATATTTATAACCTGCCGGGGAATTAAGAAAGTAAAGTAAATCGTCAGTATACAACTTTTAGCATATAGCGTATCCCAGGCTATTCGGTTAGATGCGAGCACCTTGGTGAGCTACAAACACGCAAGATCGTCTTCGTAGACCATGGCCCATGACCTCGTGACGACACCAACAGGTAACCAGAGATTTGCGCGAAGAACCGATGTCGAATGAATCCCATGCCGATATCTGCATATTGTGAAGCAAGCTATCGTGGACACAGGGGAGTTGGTTGGTTGTCACTGGCTGGGGCTTACATGTAGTGGCTACGTGAGGCGTGGATCGGCACCAACAAACAGGTTCCAAAGTACGTAGTTTCGGGCGATTCGACTTTTTCGCATGACCTTGCGGTATTATGGAGCCTTGTTCTTGGAATTGACCAAGTTCACTACATACGTACGATTGAGAGCCCACCTTTCTCATGGTAAGGCTGACACGGAACGAACGGGGTGGACAGACGTCGGGACAGCCGAGCTGCCGGACGGCGGACGCGGTGCGCTTCCGTTTATTGAACGCAACCCACAGACGTCACCCCGAATCTGTCGTAGTTTGCGAGACTTCTTCCAGACTCCCCACATCTTCGCCGCGTGCCATGTGGGCAGTGGTGTCTTCATAATGGACGTCGTTCGTTCTTTCGTCCCAAGACAGCTCGGTAAGGCCGACTGTCTCGAGAACAGTCTGTATCCAGCTCCATGCTGCCCGCTCGGCCTCCCGCTCGGCCGTCGAGTGACGTCTGGGTGTTCCTGCGAGGCACGCTCGGCCAGCTTCATGTAAGTGTGGTTTTCCCACGCTACCCTTTTGGTCTGTTCCACGCATCACAGACAGGCTTCGCCTTCATTAGAGCCGGGCTGCGAGATCATTCCGTTCCTGCAGAGTGAGCCTGTCTGTGCGAGAATGTGCGACATTGTCGGGAGCGTTTGGTGAGTCAGAGGCTAGGGGGGCAGCAGCTGCATGGTTTGAATTAATATGGCATTCACAAGCTTGCTAGTACGATGGCGGCAAGTTGAGTCTCAGCGACTGAAGTGACCTTCACATGTAAGCTGAGGAGAGGGGGGCTGTTACAGGGCAAGTGGATAACCTGTTTGAGGCATTCCAGACAGACACAAACTACAATACCATCGTCGAAGTCATTAGGTGATATCAGATACTCGTTGCCTTGTTGAGGAGATATCAAGTTGAGCTGAAGACAATAACGACCAAAGAATAGACGCGATGTGGGGCGAAGTGAAGCTCAAGCCACACTCAATTTCCACCGCACAAAGCCAGTTCCTGCTAATATTTTGAATGGTCCGCTTCATATGCAACGTTGATGGGTATGAGTGGTCGCCGAGCAGGGCAAAGAGAGATCAAGTCCCATGCCGTGAATGAGGTTGCCATAAGGTTTATTGAAGGCTATTCCGGCTGACAGAACAGAAGGCGGGGTAGATGTTGCGGAACTCCACCACGTCGCTAGCGCTCAACTCGCCTCAACTTTGAGGTTCAGGAAAAAAGTTAACGCCAGAGGAAGCCCTGATACGCGTCGTGATATGACAAGAGTGGGATTCGAACCCACGCCAATTACTTGACTAGCACCTGAAGCTAGCGCCTTAGACCGCTCGGCCATCTTGCCGTGATGCGAGAACACATTGGTCATGTGGATACTCGCTGGTGGATGGTGGTTACGAAGACGAAGGTGGGACATATACTGATCGGCTTGCCACTCCGAGAATCTACAGCTTATCGTGATGTGGGGTTAGGCGAGAGTCAGTCGTCTCGTTGGGGGCGGAAACTAGATAGTGACCGTCAGACTTAGCTGGGCGAGGAAAGATATAGAGTGTCAAAATTTTTTTTCCCTCCCAGAGAGTTACTCGACGGTGCCCAACCCCTCGTCGTTTGGAACGTTAAATATGGGATGACACGAATGACACTTCAGAATGAAAGCCTCCAAGTTTAGGAGTCTCCGACGATAACGGGGAACAGGGCAGTCAATAGATACCGAGGTATCCGATCATGGACGTAACGTGGCGACTCTGCCAATAGGGAACCCCTTCTAGCTTGAGCTCGTGGCTAGGAAACACCAGCAAGCAGACAAAAAGCTGAATGATCTTAATACAGAGTGTGAAGCAACGCACCTTTCTCGGTTTTGGGAGATGGGCTAGACCGTAAACGGCATGGGGAGTGACAACGTGCCCCATGCCACAACCGCGGGGGAAGGGGGAAGGACAAACGATGAACGACTCAGTCAGAAATCACCAAGTACATGTAAGGCAAGTCAGTCAAGCAGGCACGGCGGACGTGTGAAGAAAATAAAATAAAACCAAGAAACGCTGGCCAGTCAAACAGCGAGGAACGGCGGCCACACGAAACTGCCACCGGCCTTTTCGTCCCTTAGCGCTAGTGTAGCGTGCATCCTTTTTTTTTTTCTTTTCGTCCTCCAATAAAGCTACTAGGGGGACTTCGATCGAGATAGCGCTCGTTGTGGCTGCTGGTCGCCGTGCGCAACGTCTGGGTGACGTCCACTCGTCCTTGTGCTTGCAGCTCTAGCGCCTACGGCATTTGAGTGCGCTTTGCAGTGTGACGACGGATGACCCCAAACCCTTTCTTGAATGCATATATCGTGAGAAGAAGTCGAGGCAGGGTCTTCCCATCTTAAGTTTGGACGTCGGGAATATTTTGCTTGAAAAGTTTTGACGACGCGGCACTATCTCTTGTGCCCTGCGTGTTTCAGCAATGACATGGGGGTAGGTAATTACTGAAGTAAGGAAAAAGGCACAGGATAATCTCAGGGACGCCCCCCATCCACACAACGCAAGCCCAGGTTTTGTTTCGGGCGGGGGTGCTTCATTAGGAGGCGGAATGTTTCTCAGCTGGCTACTGACGGTTGTGGAATCGGCCTAGAATGTCCCTCGAACACAATCTTTTGTTCTGCGGCTTCTTGTCCTCCTGGTACATGTCCGAGACCCGTCAGACAGATTTTCGGGGCTTGGACTAAGACTGATGACGACCGGACGACGCAGACGCGGATGCGGATGCAGATGCAGATGCAGAGGTGGCACCCTCAGTGCCCATGTGCTTGTGTTGTGTGTACGGGTCACCTGTAGCAGAGAGCTCTGCCCATGAGATACCTATTTACGGTAATCAGAGTTGGAGATGAGGGTAGTTGATGCAAACCCCCATGGGTGGAGGCACCGTAAGCTTGTTTAAATGAGAGTGAGGAAGGGCTGAGCGATGCCACGGCAGCTTTCTTAATTGCGGTTTATGCTTCCCTTGTCGCTAATTGTTTGTCAACGTGGATCACCGCATCTCAATCCTGGTGGCCTGATCAGTTGGCCAAAGCACAGTCTCTTTGTCAAAGAGAAATAAGAAGAATCATCGACCGTTCGGGTTGAGATCTTCGATGAAGGAGGGACCCTCCTGACTAGCAAGCTCGAGGCTCCAGTGGATACGCTGCTCTGGTAGCGGGCCAGAGAAAAAAAAAAAGCAACGGTGAGGTTATGTGGCGCATTAGGTGGCTACATTTGCTGCCGTTTGCTTCCTAGGATCTGTCAGCAGTTGGATGGGGGACGGAATGTACTCCTTTAGCAGCGCCGGCTGATAGCTGCTAGTCAGGGGTCTCATTCGAACTGGATTTGTAGAGGCAGCGCCGTTCCTGAGCCGCGACACCACCTCTACCCACTGGTGTCTGTCTGCTTGGCACTCCTACTCTTCTTCTCCTCGGCGCGTCCTTTTTAGCGGCGATTCCTGGGACAGGACTCGGGTCATTCCCTGTCTCCTGTCCATTCTCCCGCGGTCCCCGGTACTTCCTCCTGGGTGGGATGCGTAAGTGTATTTCTCCATATAAATCAATGCAGAGAGATACATGGCATTGAGAAAGTGACTCGACTCCAGAAGGGGTAAGTAAATTTGGGGGGAAAACCTATCATAACGGGACCCCCCTCTTGCGAACAATGGGGGGGCTCCTGGCCGAAAGCTGTCCGCCCGATTGATTTCGAAGCATGGAAATCGGCACCCACTAGAAGCGCGAATCTCCGGTCCCCTTTCTGCCAATTTACCATGTAGCTTACTGCTGATGAAGCCAGCCAACCAGTCTCACTTGCCATCATTGTCCCGCTGTTGCACTGGCTCTCCTTACTATATGCATAGGCCACTGAGGCCTGTAGACCACGGTACCTTGGTCTCTGGAGCTGGAGAGGCCCAGAGTAGTGGCAATAACAGGAAGAGGTGGTGTCGTAGTGTCGTAGTGGTACCATAGTAACCCATCTTCATCAAGATCCAAGGCAATGGAGCTGTTGTTATCTAGGTATCTCTATCTTGATGTTACTGCCAACTTTTTCCTCCTTTTTTTTCCCTTCTTCTTTTCCCTTCTTCTCTCTTTCCCTTCCTTCCCACCCTAGTTCCAACCATACAATTTCCCCGTCTTCTGTGTCCTTTCTCTCCACTAGTCCTTGTCTTGACACGTCGCAATTGTGGTTGTCACAAAACCGAAGCACTCGCTTCAACACCGAATTCACCGACCTACCGACCCGCTCGTTTTCGTGTCTGTGTTGCCATCTCCTTTACCGAACCCCCTAAAGCACCCCTAAAGCCCGCAGAGCCAAATCGCCCTATTAGCTCGCCTTACTGTTCCTGTCTGGGGTCGCCGTTGCTGCGCTTTGCTTTTTTAATCTTTGCTTGGGCAAGGAAGGCACCAAGTTTTATTTTATTTTTTATTTTTATTTTTAATGAGAAAGGGGAGACCCGGGGCCCCCCTTCTCTCCTAAACCGTTCTAAAAGTCCCACCACACAACACGCCCCCCCCCTCCCTCCTTCCCTTCCCATTAGGCAGGCTCAGTCGACGGCAACACGCTGACACTGGGGCCCCTTCCTCTTCCCCTGGAGTGCCACAGAGTCCGCTACCCACCCGCCAGAACCACCTCACTTTAGCCAGACCGACCAGACCAGTCGACTGGACTGGACCAGTGCGGAACCTCTCACACACTCACACACCCACCCACCCTGCCCTGCCGGCTTGCCCAGGTAGCTACCTACCTCATTGACTACTCTGCGTTACACCTGCACCTGCTGGCCTGCACTACCCCCTTCACTTGCACACCCGACTAGCACTGTGGGAAAGCGCGACGGGTTCACTACGCCATCGTTCCCAACTCTAAAAATTCCACGCCCCGTCAGACATAAACACACAATACAACCCTCGCGGTCTGCCCCTGACCTGACCGCGCTGCGTCGAAAACCATATCCTCAACACCCAGATTCACCCGCCAGACCCTCTGCTTTCGCTTGGTGACAGGCTCCCGCGCCCCTTCACCTCGTTGCGATTCCACGACGGTGATCCAAGACCATTTGAACGGGCCGCTGCAAGGACGCTCTCAGACTACCATCCATCCTGTCCCGTTGACGAATCGGCCGTTGCCCCCTAACTTCAACGCCAGCGACCAAAGGGGTAAATCTACAACCCTTCCACCCCGGACCTGAGATCTTCATCTTCACCACGAGACAACCGCAACCGGCCGATCGCGTCTTTTAAAAATCAATCCCGGATCAAGTTCACCGTCATATTGACCTTGGCCCGGGGCCTAATCGCCAACCATGGCGTCTTCGTACGTTGTTGGCATCTGTTTCTGTGCATACAGTCCCTTCTTTGGGACCTCAAGGGGGCCGAGACATTAACTTTGCGATTTGACAGGATCGGTGCGGCTTTCCGCTCCCTCTGGCACGACCTTACTAGCTACGACCGACGTATGTTCTGAACACTTCAGAACCACTTTTTTTTGACAACCCGACTGACGTATTCCAGACTCGACCATTGACTCCCCCTACCGAACCGGTCGACATGTCCCTCTGAACCAGCGCCAGAGCGGCATCCTTACCTCTGTCGCGACCGCCTCCGACTCCCGGGCCGACGTCTCCTCTCCTTACGGCGATGATAGCTACAATAGACTCACCCGCGACAGCAGCTACCATGGTGGCGGTATCCCGAATACCCCTTCCAGCCCTAACCCAGCGGCGGCACCCTACTCTCCTGGCATGAGATCTCAATCGGCCCGCCTTTCAAGTCATGGCGATGGCTTCGAGATGCAGAGCCCAGGTGATGTGCAGATGCAGTCGTTCCAGGACGGTTCTCCGCCGCCTCCTCCGGTTTCCCACTCATGGAAGAAGATTGACGCATGGGCTGAGGAGCACTACCCTGAGCTTTGGGATCAGCTGTGTGAGGGATGCACTGACAACGATCTTAACGAACTCGAACACCAACTCGACTGCTCTCTGCCTCTCGATGTGAGAGAATCCCTCATGATCCATGACGGCCAGGAGAGGCTGGGTATGCCTACAGGTATTATCTTCGGCTCCATGTTGCTTGATTGCGAGGAGATCGTACAGGAATGGGACCAATGGCGCAAGGTGAACCAGGAATTCCTCTCTGAGGCCGCCATCCGGAAGCCCGCCGTTCCTTCCAAGGCTCTTGGTAGCAACGGCCAGGCATCTTCTTCCAAAACGCCTGCCTCTCCTGCAGCCCCCAACAACCCTACTTGGAGACAGGATCTCATTGCCCGCCAGGACTGCGTTCCCCCCAATTCAGTTCAGCGATCGTACGCCCACCCTGCGTGGATTCCCCTTGTACGCGATTGGGGCGGTAACAACCTCGCCGTGGACCTTGCCCCTGGCCCTAATGGCAGATGGGGTCAGATTGTTCTTTTCGGTCGCGACTATGACACCAAGTATGTGATCGCACGGTCCTGGGCCCATTTCCTCGCCATGGTTGCGGACGACCTTGCCAGCGGCAAGTGGTTCGTGGACGAGGAAACCAACGAGCTCAAGTTGCGGGAGTTTAAGGAGACGCGTGTTGAGCCTCCTTACTTTGGCATCTTGCGTTGGCGCATGGATCAGAAGTATGGCCGCAGAGCCGCGAAGCGCAGATCGGTAGTGCCCCAGAACAGAGCCGGATCCCCGGCTGGATCTGGTTCCACCTCCCCCTACTCGAGCCCTACCAACAACGAGGCGAACGGCGAACAGCGAGGACGATCGATGCAGCGACTTGGCGGCACCTCTCCAATTGCCAGTCCCATCCGCCCCGGCTATAGCAAGTCTAGCCCTCTTGCACGAGTGGCCGAGGAAACCCCTCTGCCGGATCCCGAGACCAACGGTCTCAAGCCCACGAAGCTCGTCGAAGTTGAGACCCCTAGGCCCAGCGAAGATAATCCCAAGGGTTCCCGCGCGTCGCTGCTATCTCACGTCGACACAACGCCCGAGAACGATGGCAAGGAGAACGAGAACCCTGCAGGCAAGGTGAATGGCACGGCCAACGGCAAGCCTAATGGTAAGCAACCAGAGGTTTTGGAGGAGCCGATGAAGGAGATCGAGATATAGACGTTGCGCAAAACTGGATACGACAGAACGATGATACGGTTCCCCTATTCTCGGGGCTTTGTCACACGACAAGGCTCGTCATACAGCAAAACATCGGCGTTTGAGGCGTCCGTGGCTCTCATTACGAGACGACGTCCGCAGGGGTCATACAACATTGAAGACTTTTTTTTTTTTTCGAGCATCAGGGAACACGGCGGCTGGGCTTTTTGAAGTCTTTTTTAACTTTTTTTTTGGGCTCTCTTTGAAAAGGGCCAAGACCAGGTTACGTCGAGTAGTAATTTTGCAACTACGAGTACTCTTCGGTCTCTGGACATAGTTGCGTGGCATACGTACATTTGCACCAACCTGTTTATCCGGTCAATCTCGGACGGCCGCTTGGTCGCCGCATGATGGGGCTTTCGACGACTCTCTTTGAGTGGAGGGTTGTGCAACGACGATCTCAAGGCTAGTGTTTGCAGGCGTGCCAGTAATTGATAGTGTACTATTAGGACCTTTTGTCTACTTTTTTCTCTCGAGCGCTCCGAGAAATGGGCGGAGGAGTAATCCTCAATACAGTGTCGGCTGTCACACAGCATAGGCTAACTCGCGTGTCATTGCTTCATGTTTAATTGTTCGTGATTTCCCACGTAATTGTGGGATAAGAGATCAACTTGGGTCTCTAGTACATGAGTTCGGGGTGTACTATGGCCCCCTCTTCACCTCGTATTCCATGACATTGGGACCGATTCGTGTTTGCGGGGTGCTAACGGGGGTCTGAAAAAGCCTAGAACACGGTGACAGACCGATCCGCTCTAATCAGATCTGCAAAGGGGATCCACGCCGTGTGCTCGTATTTGATGTCTTGAATGTGCTGTGTAGACGGGTATGTTTCCATCTAAAAATGAATACTAAGACTGATGGGGTGGTATCCATACCAAGTACACATTCTCGGCAAAAAACCACATTTAGAATAGCATTGCGTATCTGCGAGGCTCCATGATTTCTCTATTCGAATCTTGGCGAACGTCAAGTTGATTGCCTATGCCCAGGCCACTTGAACATTTTGCCCAGGTGTCCAGAGTTGCTCAAGGGCGACGAGGATCTATATCTGGGCAGAAGTGTCAGTCGAGATCATGTGACTTGTAGAATGTCACGTGACCCTACAGGAAAGCTCCGGGAGCAGGGACCAGGTAGTGGGACTGTGACGCCTCAGCTGTGCCGGATCAACGTCAAGGCGACCAACATCCGGGCCATCGTCACTTCCCCAGTCTTGAACAACGCCGACCGACCTCACCACCATCGAGCTGCCCCGACGGCTCATTCTACTAGTCCCATTCGATTGAAGCTCTCTGTGAGACTGTCTTCTCGGCGATAATACCGACGACCGAACCACCGAGTCGTCCCCAATATTGATCAATCCGACCTACCTAGCCTAGCTACCCACACCAACCACCGCATACGCAATCATGGAGGAGGAGCGCCTTTGGAAGTTCCGCAAGCCGGAGTGGCTCAACACCATCTGGGCGCGTAACTTTGGCGTCTACGGCGCCGGAGCTCTGGTAAGCTTCATCCTTTTGATAGTTCCGAAACTCGACCTCCACCACAGCACTGTGACGTAGCTGTCGCCGTTGCGTTGGATCGACCCCTCCATATCAACCGATATCGTGGCCATCTGGACCCTCGCTGACCCTACTATCGCAGTTCTCCATCGCATTCTACGTAATGCTCGACTCCGCAGTCTGGTCCAAATCCGCCAAGAACGGCTCCGACACGCACATCACCTTCGTCGACTGGCTGCCCCTCATCTTCTCGTCCCTCGGCATGCTCATCATCAACTCGGTCGAGAAGGCGCGGCTGTCGGCCGATAGCTTCTCGTACAGCGGTAACGGCGTCGCATGGAAGGCGCGCGTGGTTCTCTTCCTCGGCTTCGCGGCGCTGGCTGGCGGCATGGCCGGCGGGGTGACAGTCTTCGTCCTCAAGTTCGTTGTCCAGGACGTCGGCATGCCTGCGCTGGGCATGGGAATCGAGAACGTCGTTGCCAACGCCCTCGTCGGACTTAGCAGCGTGGTGCTCTGGATCAGCCAGAATATGGAGGATGAGTATAGCTACAACCTTGCCCTGTGAGGAGCATGTATCCCGAGGGCTAATATGGCTTAGGGATGGCTGGGGACCAGCTCCGCAGGGACCTTAGGCGGAAGGAAGAATGTTGGTGGTGATGGGCTTTTTTTGTGAGGATTATTGAGAAGATGATGACGCCGGCGCTGGAGCGAGCTGTGTAATTATAGCACTGGACAATGGGGCGCATTGGGTTTCCTGAGGTTGCGGCATGGCAAATAGTCTGCGTTTCTTATTTGAATCCCGCTTCCCGAAGCTTCATTGTTGGTTAATGTTTGTGATTCGTTCTCGATGAGATTGGAGAAGGGGACCAGGTGTCGGAAAAGCGTTTCGTTTCCGCGAAGCAAGCTTTTTTTTTTTTTTCTCTCTCTCTCGGCTGCAGATGCTTCTACTGTTGTCATTCCCAGTGGGATATGTAAGTATCTTTCCGGCGATTTTGCCGGATAGAAATAACCAGATATAGATGGACAGTCTACTATTATTAGGAGAGGCCCTCTTTACCAGCCTATCTCGTGAAGGGGATACAGCCGGGCGCGTTTTAGCCAAGTTGCCCAAAGGAGAGCCCCGCCAATCATGCGTGCTGCTTCTGCCCGTGACTGCCAACGAACGACGCTGTTGTGGATGGCGATGTTTGACGGCATACCACCAGCCCTGGCGTATCCGTTTGGTTGTTTTGTGTGTTATGCCCTCGTCTACTGGGAAGTGAGCTCCAAGTTTCGTTTCCATCTTATCATTGAGGGTCGATTGTAAAACGAGGGGCTTTGAAGCCGGATAGCTCATACAATGTCCCCACGCATATGTCACGATTTACGTTATCCAACTCCTTCTCATCCTGCAATAATAGATAGATTGGGCACATAAGTCCAAGTAAGTTGCGACTTTGGAGATTGAGGTAATGAGATTTCTACGGATGAAATCATAGCATGCTACAATGAGAATACTGAGAAAAGCTGTATGTTGGATTGGTCCTGGGCACCCCTCCTTCCTCATGCAAGTTTTTCTACATCTTCACAATATCTGGTTTCCAGGTCTCGGCATCATGAACGAGAGACTGATGCGGATACTTTGGCCGCTCTAGCCTAGACTGGTGCAGGGCTATCAACCTTCAGGGGCTTCCGTCCAACGATCGAGTAGCTGCTATTATGTTAATGCCCGCAGCTCTGAACAAAGAACGGGGTCTTACACTGGGTGGTACGCGTGGATATTCCTGTTCTTGAACTCGTTTCGCACATCCACCAAGAAAACATTCACCTCCTCGCGAGTCCAGTTGTGGATACGTGTTAAGGGCGCCATGGCCATGGCTTCCAACGCCTCGAGAAGGTTGATAAGATGCCAGTTTCCCAGTTCCTTGTACTTAGAATCCTTGGGCCAAGTATTCATCGGCCACTTGTAACAATACAGCGTCACGTCCTCGAAGCCGACCTCGATCAAGTACTGCTTAATCGTTGGTGCATCGATGAAGGGGCGGCCGAAGGTGTCGGCGGCTTCGGTAATCAACTTGCCCAGCTTCTTCATAGCACTGTCTGAGGGCAGCGTGTCGTCGTCCGATTTGAGCGTCAAATCCGCCTCTTGCAGCTCGAGATATCCGCCAGGTACAAGGTTGCTATTGTAATGTAAAACGTTAATACGGACCCTGCACTCAGATTTCTACGAGTGACAGAGAATGATAAACTGGTTGAAAGGAAGATCAATTCTTACTCGTAAGCTTTTGTTACATATTTCTTCCAATCAGCGATGCCAGACTGGATGAGCCGGGAGTGAATATAGTCAAATGGTCGGGAGTACAACCAATCTTCTTCTATATCATCAATTTCGAACTTGACGTTCGACGGAACACTTGGCCACATGCGTCAGTTTTTCTTCAAGCCATTGAAGTTGTTGGAAAAGGCCTAGAGACTTGAAGGTACCTACAACTCGGGCTGACTAGGAGAAAGATCAATACCGAGAACCTAAATGGTGGGAAAAGCCAGGTTAGATGCGATTCAAGAGGAGAGAATGCTCTAGTGCAATAGATACCTCGGATTCGGGATGCTCTTCCCCGAAATCAATGGCCCAGATGCCCGTTCCTGTACCGAGATCTAACACACGGCCAACCTTGGCGCCTGGCTTGCACGGCGGAGCCAGTCCAAGCCTGCCGTCAAGGGTTAGATAGAATAGATGGTGTTGCATGTCTGAATGAACTGTTAACAGAAGTCGGGGACAAATATGCCTACAGGACGGAGGCGCAGTACCAAGCCTATCATTTTCTTTCTCGTCGTTGGGAACAGCATATTCTAAGATATTTGGTTAGAAACACTATTCAAATAATTACAATGGAGTGAAAGATCTGCTCGCTTACTGCCGTCCTTGTACACGTGGTATGATCTACCATTCTCAAGTCGGTGGTTCATGATAGAGCTCCTCAAGCTAGTGCTTGAGGTAACAATACTCTAAAAAAACAAGATAAGAATACAAGTTGAAGCTGTGGGGGTGAGAAATCAGGCTTACACTTATTTCCGAATCAATGCTGTTGTCATCAAACCCCTATAATTGTACTGTGTTATTCCCACGCCGTTAAGAACATATGTTCTCTTCATACCTCGCCAGGGACAAGTTCAACCTCATGATCAATAGCTGCCATTGTGGGAAGATATCGCGCTTGGTTCGCAATAAGCTTGAGAGTTTAAAGTGAGAATTTGAAGAACAGGTAGGCCACTGATAGGCTTGAATGTATGATGCCGTTTGGACTGCTACTTGACCAGAGCTCAACATTGCAACAGTCGAATTCAATCCTTTTATGATCAGGAGATGGCCAGGACGATAGCCCCTCTTCTTGGCTAGATGAGGTTCCAACACAGACAAACATGCATGTGAAGCCAACCGCATATGCGCTTCCACGGCGAAACTGCCCATTTGCGCAGGTCGAGTGGAGCAGAGAAATGTATTGTCAAACGGGAACAACAACTGCAGAAACATTCATGGTTACTGAGGGTTTTTTTCCTTTTCAAAGAGAACCCCTGTTTGGTCGTCCTGTCTGGACACTGGGAATGCATATAGACCGGGGAAGTGAAGATGCAAAGTAACTCAATTGACATGGGTATCTATTGCAGAGAATCCAACGCTGACAAGGATTTTTTTGGTCGTGGTCCATTTATAGCACAGAATTGATCATATACACATAGCCGATAGCGCGCGCAACACTGGCCACTCTTTAGCCGACATGATTTTTACGCTTCGGGCTCGCTGGCTTTCTGCATTATAGTCTTATATCTGCCCTGAAGGACTTCCTTCGGCAGAAGCCCTAAAACTTCGTTTTTCAGCCGTTCTTTGTCGAACGGCAGCTCTTCCAGCCTGATCGCTTCCAGGATGTAGTTCACTACAGTCATCGTCTGCAGTGGGGGTTCTCGCAGAATTTTGGCGATAGCCTCTGGGTTGAGGTCGTCATTGTCTTTCCAAATGTAGTACGACCGAATATTCCACGGCGCCGCACGGAGAGAGCTGACCGACGCGCGGTAGCCCGCAACCTGATCATCTGCGGCGGTAACTCGAGGGTCTTTCTGGAACTTCTTGGGAGCAACCACGGGTATTTTTTGGAGGCTTTCAGCGATTGATTCGTCTTCAGCATCCACCCCAGCGAACATGCTCACCCTAGCTGCTGTGGATTGGGGCAATGTCGAAGTTGCACCACTCCCTTGTTGAATGTCTGCCGTGCTCTCCCCCCCAGTCGGGATTGACACCCCATCTGCAAGTCGGATTGGTAGATTGAGCTCAGCGTCATGTGGCCGAGGTGGCGTCGGCTCGAGGCTCTCTCTCTTCCCTTCGAGTACATGATATAGTTGATAGCCCGCGTATGCATCTGTGGCAGAGTCTACCCGCGGTCAGTAAGCAAAAAGAAAAAACTGATGAGTGCACTTACACGAGACTTGTTCCATCTTAAGAGGCTGCGACCAGTCACTTGACCGGACGTCTGATCCCTTGAACATTGGTAGACCAAGGTGTTCTTTCACCAACGTAGCAAGAGGCACCAGCCTCTTGTTTATCAACTCGAAACGACCCTCCGCGGAGTACTTGACAAGCTTATAGAGATGGCTAAGTTCGAAAATGCCTCTGGTATCGACTGCAAGATGATTCCGCAGTCGGGTGCAATCTGACTTGATGGCTACACCGACCTTTCTCACGTTGGGGTCCTCCATGATTTTCAAGAAAGTCGGAGAAACGAGTGAATCATTCTTTTCCGGAAATAACGCGACGTGGAAGAGCGCAATCCGGCTCTGATTCGCAATTTGAATCAACGAGACGTTCTTTCTTGGCCCTGAATTTCTGTTCGCATCGGGGTACCATTCAAGATCAAATCCAAGAACATCGTCATTCAAGAAATATTGGCATACTCGTTCCATAGTGTGTTTGCTTCTGCAATAGTGAACTTTGACTTTCTGCTCGTCTCCATCCCCAGAGGGACGCCGGTATAGCGTATAGGTGTAGAAAGACTCTGATGAACCCTCAGGTGCGCTCTTCGCTTCATGGAACGCCTTTGGTGGAATTTGAAAGTCCAGTCCTGTCACAGGAGGCTCCGCAGGACCAGAGCTCTCCCGAACCTCCACTGTCGGCTGGGTTTCGTTCTGGGTGTAATCAGCGGCTGCCAAAAGCGCATTAATAGGATCATCCATATCAGATGCCACCTGATGCTCCGGTGCCGTTGAAAATGGTGCATCGTCATCCTCGGAATGGATATCGCTCTCTGAGGTGTCTGTTATAGCAGAGGTTTGCAGAGCGTTCGGAACAGTGGTGTGCAAAGAACGAAGCAAGTCGACTCCCGGATGCGAATTGTCCTCAGATATCGCAGGAGAAAAGACAATGCCGTGGCTGGGGTTCCAGAGCCGGCCGTTGGAAGGATACATGTTTGATTTCAAGCGACTGGAGCAGTGTCAGTCCCGTCACTCAGCAGTGGAATCACACATGAAGGAACACCAAGTAAGACGTACAGGCCGCTCCAAAATTGGGAAAACGATTGGAAAGCCCAATTCGGGCTACAACGCCTAGAAATACCCCTCAGTCCCAGCGGGTGTATTCGGCAGAACAGTGATGCACCATGCTGGCCAGCGGGCATGACGCAATTAATCTGGACGCCGTCCGTCAGGCAGACGCGTCGTGAATGATAGAGGGGCTCAGTAAGCTTTGTAGGTGATTCACTGTAGCCACTGAAGAGGGGAGCTCTACCGTGGCCAAGATTAGTCATGCTCGCGCTGTCAGATGATATATCACATGATTGAACTCTACGCTCACGCCCCTGGCTCCGTTCACACCACAGCTCACCATCAATCATCTCAAGCTTCGGCATTTTGGCGGGCAGCAAAGAACCTCCGGACCAAGACGAACATCAACCCACCCGACGCCCATAATCCCTGTTAAATTCAGGTTGGCATCTAGGCAGTCAAAATAGTCGAAAACCCAGCTTACACAACGGAAATCAGACAACAAAATGGCGTCTCAACTGCTCCCTCTGGGTACGTCCACAAGTCTATGGACTCAGAACACCAATAGCTAATATGCCTAGAACTGATCGACAAGTGTGTCGGATCAAGAATTTGGGTCGTAATGAAAGGCGACAAGGGTAGGTGTTTTCACCGGATTCTTTTAGGCCCTACTTTTCTGACTTGCGCGACAGAATTCAGCGGCACTCTCCTCGGCTTCGATGACTACGTCAGTGAGTAAAGCCTGAAATTTGATCTCATGTTGAACATTTGAAGCTCAAATTGTTGCAGACATGGTCTTGGAAGATGTTACCGAGTTGTGCGTGGTTCTTCCCCCTCGGATGAGATGATGTGCCTCTACTAACGCCAGCCAGCGACTACTCGGGTAACCACACGAAGCTGCCCAAGATCCTCTTGAACGGAAACAACATCTGCATGGTACGCCTCTAAATCGCGGCGCTTCTTTCGCTGTTGGACTGACAAGTATATATAGCTCATTCCTGGTGGGGAGGGACCCGTAAACGCGTAGAAGCACCTGCAAAGGACATGTAGGGGTGCTAGAAATGAGGTTTCAGGAGTCGAAAAGAGATCGGGGCCACGGTTCCTAAGACATAGGCATGTACTGGACCTGAATGAATGGCCGCAGATCGGAAGACAGCGAGTCACGATATGCAAGTCGAGTCGGCCTTGCATACTGAAAGATATCATGGGTGCAAGGCTGGAAGGAGATAGCTCTACGGGGCATGCAGAAATCGAACTTCACGAGAGAGAGTACTCGCATAGTTAATGACGTAATTCGCAATGATGAACTTTTCCTCGTTTCGAGAGTTATTCTCACTACTCTGAGAACCGTAAACCACATAAGCGAAAACCAGCAATGACGTGTCCCTGTGCCATCTTTGTGGTATCAGACCTCCATTTCCATAATCGTTATGACCATGTCCGCCCAAACGCCCAGAATAAAACCATGCTTCACGTAAATCGTCCGCCGCTCTACTGGCCTTGTTGATTGGAGCGCCCAGCCTCGACCATGCGACGCAGCTCAAACTCACGGGTGAATTCCCGGCTCAGATGTGAGAAGTCCTGCATGAGACGCTTTATAACTTGAACGAGGGCTTCTTTGGGGGTGATTGCACCGTCTGTTTGGACGCGGATGAAGAGTTCAGGCACGTTAGGATGAGAAACTTTAAGAAACGTCAGCGATGTCTGCTTGCATAGGCGCAGGATAGCGTACTCTTGTAGCCGGCCATGAGGACGTTCTTGTGCTGCTTCAGGTGCTCGGACAGAAGATTGCCGAGAGTGTGGTCCTCCTTTTTCAAAATGAAGTCCGACGTGTTGGACATTCCTAGCACTGGGTCAGTTTGCGTGGAGTAAAAGTAATACAGTGAACACATACCGGAGAAGACCTTCTCCTCGATCTTTTTCTCGCCATCAGCGAGGAGAAAGAGTTCGAAACTAGATGCCTATTAGTTTTTGCGTACGTACGTTCAACCGAAAAAAAAAAAAAAAGAATGAATTGCTAGGGCTGCGGAGTCGGAAATCTGGATTGCTCGACATGCCGGACAGCGTAGCAACGAGGGGTTTCCAATATGCTTCTCTGCTTATGGCGGCTTGGTGGACGTGACTGTAAGAGAGTAGATGTCCATAGTAGACAGCAACAGTCTTAGGCAAGAGAAAGGAGGAAATTTGAACTGGGAGTTTCATTTACTCAGTCGCAAGGATATGTATACGACTGTATAACCTTTGCAGACGAGCATGGGCTTTGCAGTAAGGTAACTGCAATTTCAGACACTGTCCGGGTGCAGGGCCGTAGAACAACATGAACAACTCACGAATCAGTGGTAACATGAAACTGTAGGTGACTTACCGATCCGGGGCGTTCATATTGGCGAAATTGAGGTCCGAAAGAGTATATTATGTACTAGGAACCACCAGCAGACTGACGACTTAGGCAGAGATGGTAAGCGGTCAACAGAAAAATTGGATGACAAGCGAGCCACACACGTCTGTGTACGTTATTAGAGCTGAGTTAAGTGTCTTCTGGAGTCAAATATTTACCTCTTTCTTTGTGAGCACGAAACTTGATAGATAATTTAGATGGTTGGGATGGATGAAGAGGGACTAGAAGAGGTGAGAGTGACCTGGACGTAACGCCTTGCTTGGGGGAGTCGCAAAACCAAAAGTGGATACCCTGAGGAATTGTCGACTGCGCCACATTACCACATGTGGCGGTGCATCTAACCATCACAATCCAGCAATATAGCCTCCTACTACTGGTAGACAGCAGACATCACTATTATCATTTTACATACACAATTTTCTCAAATTCTCTTCAGAGAGTATTCTGTTTGTGAAAGCAATTCTTAAGAAGTAGAAGCATGTTGTTGTGACTCCGAGTTCTGCTAACGCGTACATATACATACCTATGAACGTGGCGACGAGCCCTCTGATCTTGCACAGTCTATTTACGAGCCCTCACTAATTCCAGCCTACTGGCGCTATCCAAAACTACCCAACCTAACCCGCTGGAAACCATTTAATGACTACCCAACGCTTTTCAGACAGTGTATCATAATAATAGGATGTGGTGGCATGCGCTTCCTTCCCCTCCTTCTCACCGGTTAGTGACCCTTGTTATCGCAATACCCCGGAAGGCCAGGGTCGGAAGAGCCGTTGGCCCAGCTGTAGACCGTGATAGCAGTTGTGTATGCCATGGCGACAAATCCGAAGATGCAAAGAGCGATATCGGACATCTTCCACCACCTATTTCTCGCAACAGCTTTGTAATGCAACAGAGGCTTGAGATTGGTCAGCAAGTCGCCGTATAAATGGGTTTTCAAAGAGTTTTGGACTTACTGGATAAATGTAGACAAGCGGGATGCAAGCAAAGTTGCCGACAAGGGCAACGAACTTGTCCAGATCATCCGCACCGCCCCATGCGATGAAAGCGCACAGGAAGACGAAAAAGAAGCGATACATATTCTTTTGCCACTTGATGTACGGGTTATATTTGCCACTCTTCGTGAACAGAGCGTTTTCAGTAATCTTGATGGCGGGGAATAGTTGCAGAGGGATAGACAGCATGATAGCGACGGAGTAAAGAAACTGGACGCCGTTGACCAATTTGCTGTCCTGGGGCAAGTTAAGGAGAACCACGGTCTCTGTCTTGGATCCGTAGGCGGCATAGGAAATCGCACCCATTCCAATGAAGAGGACGGAAATAATGATCATGACCGCAAACATGACGCGAGGGAACTTGCTGGGATTCTTCATCGATTCCTGAATAGGAATAATGAGACCGATTCCTTCGAAGGTGAAAATAGCTGTTCCGATAAACAAGGTCCAGTCATTGCGGTTGAACATTATGATATCAGCCAAGCCTTTCGTGCTCAGTGTAAAGATATCGTAGTATAACAAGTAGGCGAGACCGAGAAGAATGAAGGCATCGGCAATCAAGGCAGTAAAACTCAACTTCTCGATGTCTCGCAGCAGTGAGAAAGGCAAGAAAACGAGTACCTGCAACAGAATCAACCATTTGACACCGACATTGGTCTTGCAGTCGGAGACAGCCAAGATGACGGCTTGTAGGTTTTCTGACGTAAAAACCATGTATGCGGCAACAAAACCGATTTGACTTAGAACAATGGACGAAAGGATTACTCCTCTCATCCACTTGCCGTACAGAATGCCACCAAGGTCACCAAAGGAACCTTCAACCTTCAGACGAGTTGTAACCAAAAGAACGAAGCAATAGTAGCTCAGAGCAGCCACACCCAAGAGAACGAGGTTACTGAATGTCATGCCACCGTTCAGATAAGCCCTTGGCAGGAAAAGAACTCCAGTTCCAACAAAAGACTTGAGGAGGAGGAGAGCAGCACTCATCGGGCTGTTCTTACCGCTTCCTCCACGCTGCTTCCGCCGCCTCTTGTGACGCGACGGCGTCAAGAGTGCGCTGTCTTCCATCGGTTCCCGGTCGTCTTCGCTGCCCTCATCGCTGTCATACAGGTCGTCTTCCCCGCCTGAGGCGAAATATTCACCAGGCTTGAGCGCCTCATCATCTTCCTCCAATTCCTCGCCAGCAAAGTGGCCGTAGATAGTAAGGAACTCGAGGAAGCTTGAAGTAAGCAGGCGTGGCTGGGCACCGCCATTGCTGGACTCGCCCCTCTCACCACCATCCCTGATGGTTGAGGGACTTCTGGCAGCTCTGCGCAGGTAGTTACGGCGGAAGCCACCCGGAACCTTGATAGCGTTGATATCGAGGATGTCGGTCTCGGGGTCAGGCCGTGAAACGCTGAAGCTCTTGCTGCGCTGCACTTTGCTTCGGGCCTCTGCCTCCTCGGTCCATTTGTAAATACCTCGCGTTACATCTCCACCCTGTAACTGCAAACTCGAGAACTCGTCCTCGTTCAGTCCAGTTTCGTTCTCCTTATCGGCTGTCTGCTTGCCCTTGACACCGTCTCGCATGCTTGATTCCTCCGATGGGGCGTCAGAGGGCTGTACAAGATGCCTCTTGACAATCTCAGGATCTTCATAGGCGCCGGTACCGGCGTTTCGTGAACGGGAGTCAAAAGAGCCGTAGTTCGTCATGGGAGTGCTCGAAAGCTGGGTGCCGGCAGCAGCAGGAGAAAGGGGCCTCGGTGGGGGAGTAGCAGTGCGCACCGGTGGTGTGCCATGCCTTGGGGGAGAAGTGCCTATAGAATTAGACAGCGCTGCGGCGAGGGCCGATACACCAGGGCCTTGGACACTCGAACCGGCAGCTCCAGCTAAAGGGGTGAGGCTCCCCGTATCACCGTTATCGCCAGCTCTGCTTGTTCCCTGGCTTGGAATCCTATTTGTCTGCGGAGTGCCATACTGATGCGAAGGCACAGGCGAGGCCAGCCGGGCAGTAGCGTCTGCTCGAGGAAGCGAGGTACCGTACTGCCTAGACGGTGAGGCGGACCTAGGAATAGCGAAGGGATCTCTTGAAGGAGACGCCATCGTGCTTGTTAATAAGCTGTTCGGGTGCGTTCGAATGCTGGCGTGAGCTATATCGGAAGCATCCAGGCAGTCCGTCGCAGGCTCCGATCTGGATCAACACACAGACAAAGTTAGCGACGACGTGTCACAGGAAACCAAGCTGAGATGGAGGGAAAGAAAATCCGAGAGCTAAAAGACCGAAGAGAGGTAGAGCAGTTCAAGTACGAGAGCAGCTTACCTGGATTCGGTTGCAAGACAGCTGACGATATCAATTGAAGCGCACAGCTCGGCGGATGTGCGGTCGAAGCCGTTGCTGCTGGGAACCCGTGATAAGGACGTCTTGCTATGCGGGTCGGGTGACCTAATATGGCAGGTCTGGAGGTCTGTGGCTCACCCTTCACAATCCTCCTACAGATAGCGTCAGGCTCAGTAACGTACCGCCCTTCTGATAGCGCTGTCAGCGGCCCTGTGGCTCGTGTGGTGTGCTATGTTACCGAATCCCCGTCGGACCGCCACAGGGGCATTCGGGCTATTACTACACTTTCTGCGACGGCACTGAACCTGTGTTATCCGCACCTGGAACAGGCAGGCACATTGATGGGCGTTTTGGGTGCACTGGTGTGTCAGCTCGGGCGGGTCTTATCGGCTGTTATTGAAATAGTACTTCATGCCATCGCCAACAAACACATCACTGAGGTGATGGATCACTGGTTCCCCATTGCAGCAAAATTATAGGTTGATGATACTCTTATTTATTCGTGTGCGTCGTTCCTACAGTAAAGCCCTTCCTTCCTTGTTGGAGTATTGCAAACGATACTTATGCACACCAAATTAGAGAGCTTTGTCTTTTTCTTCTTCTTTTTTTCTTTTTCACTCTCTGCGTTGAAGTCATTTTGATGTGCGACGATACACAACTGCTAGAAATCCCAGGTGTAGCCATCGTTGAGTTATCTCGTCAAGCCTCACGAGCTTAGGTAAGAAGCATCTGAGTGTTGTGGTAAGCGAGATCCCCAACCATGCCACCTCATTCACGCCAGCACTATAGCGATAGTGGGGGCTGCCACCCTGGTGCTGGCCGGTGTGACCTCAGGTTCCCCACAATGAGCAGGCACTCAGCTTTGGGGAGGGGGGCTCGGGCGAGTGCGCGGGTGTAGCGGTACTTGGGGGGTTAAGAACCCCGTGCACTTCCAACATTGAAACCACATCGAGTCATGGAGCCACCAAAGAAAACGACTGGGCACTCTGATGGCGGCTGGACAGTCTCATGCAGATAAGCCACGATATAAGGAGCCAATCTCGTCGATCATATTGAAATCTCCGGCTTACCGCTGTCATGTGCTTGAGTCAACCGACTGGTCGCGTTTTCTTTTTTGAAGCAGCAACCAGTCTATGCGAGTATCAGATGAAATGTCGAACCAGGTGTTAAACGAGCTACCGTTAATTGACGCTGGTGAGAAACGATTCCGCATCGGATAAACCGGGAGAACCACGCCATCCAATTCACAAACAGAATTCGGTACGGATGCGGAGAACACACGTCCAAGTACTGCGAGTGTTTATCAGCATGGTTAGTATCACGCACCATCATCAAACCGAAAGCACTGGCTACCTGGCCTAAGGAGTCTTCCGCTGCTGTATGACGTCGTATGTCTTCCACAATAGGCTTATCCTGCGCCATCTACATCAAAACTGCATACCTCTCACGCTTGGGAGTGTGGGTGGATCGCTATCCGCCACGGCGTGACAGGTTGGAGCATATCACATTTCCCAATCGGCACGCGGGGTATTGGAGAGGCTTGCATTGGATCGGCCCAGATATCCCTTGCCCGCAGAACCCTGAAAACGAGACGACAAGAGGAACGCGAGACAAGCGCCGGATCATTTAGGTGCCTGTGCGGCCCGCTGGTTTTGCTAGGGAATTCTATTACTGGTTGCAATGATCAACTGTCGCCAGCCATCATTCAACCATACTTAGAGACTCTCTGCCTAGGAATATGACAAGAGCCCCTACGCCTGCACATTGGCGTAATCATGGGTGGGGATTTATACCAAGACGCTCCCACCTGCTGAGTTGATTTCAATCGAATTCCAGTCCTCCTCGATCCCACCTCTCGTCGTATTGCTGGCCGTTCGACCTGGAGAAAGAGAAGTGCGGAGGTGGCGTTTGTGTTCTTTCGGGAAAGGTTTTGGTTAGTCACACCGACCGAAGAAAAGCCTGACAATCATCGTCTCTTCAATTTACGTCCTTCACCATGGGTAGCGATAGACGACCAAGCCTCTCCAACATGGAGCCCACCAGCAGAACGCCCAAACTTGGGGTCATTTCCGGCGTTTACATCCCCGTTTGCCTTAACATCTTCAGCATTCTCATGTTCCTTCGGTTCGGTTGGATTCTCGGCCAAGTTGGACTCCTGGGCATGCTTGGTTCGTCAGCTGCCAGCACAGACGCTTTGCTCATTTTTTCCCCAGACTAACACTGTCCGTAGGATTGTTGGTTACTGCCTATCTCGTGGACTTTCTGACAACACTCTCACTCTCTGCTATAGCTTCCAACGGCGAGGTTAAGGGTGGAGGTGCCTATTATGTGATTTCCAGATCCCTTGGCCCCGAATTTGGTGGTTCCATCGGCGTGCTATTTTATCTTGCCCAGGTCTTTAATACCGCTCTTAATGTTGTTGGTCTCATCGACTGCATCAAGTTGAACGCGGGAGACTCCTTCTCTCAAGGGTACTGGATGAGCTACTTCCTGCAGACGTTAGCTTTACTACTCTGCACTGGGTTGGGCTTGGCTGGAAGCGGCACATTCGCGAAAGCCAGTAATGCACTTCTAGTCGTTCTTTCTCTTGCCATCATGAGCATTCCAATATCTGCCCTCTTCAAGACCCCATTTCAGGATGATGATCTTGGTGTGCGGTTTACGGGCTTCAGTCTCGAGACACTGGTGGATAACTTTGCCCCTCATACAAAAAGCGATACATATAAGGGCTTTGAGACCTTCCGCGAGCTCTTCGCTGTCCTCTTTCCCGCAACGTCAGGGATATTTGCTGGGGCTTCAATGTCTGGGGACTTGCTCAGTCCGAGTAAAGACATCCCAAAAGGGACACTCTGGGCGATGATGACTACCTTCATTGCGTACTTGGTAGTTGTTTTCTCCATGGCTGCCACTACCACCCACTCTTCATTTCTCAACAACACCAACATCATATCAGTTACCAATCTTTCCATGCCGCTGATTCTTGCTGGAGAATGTGCCGTTACCTTCTTCTCTGCTGTCATGGGACTGATTGGTGCAGCAAAACTCATGCAAGCTCTGGCTAGGGACAAGCTACTTCCAGGCCTAACGCCATTCAGCTGGGGAACGAAAAAGACCGATGAGCCTATATATGCCATTCTTTTGACTTACGGACTCGCCCAACTCGCTATGCTCGCCAACCTTAACCAGATCGCCACGCTCATTTCCATGGGATATCAGGTGAGTAGTAACATTTAGCACGCATTGCTCAGTAAGCTAACAGTAACCAGATGACGTTCTTCGTCATGAATTTAGCATGCTTTCTACTCAAGATTGGATCGGCGCCGAATTTCAGGCCTGCCTTTAAGTTTTTCAGCTGGCAGGCTGCCCTTGCTGGTAGCGTCATGTCCGCAGCGGCCATGTTCTTCATTGACCAGACGTATGCAGCAACTGCAATTTGCTTGCTCATATTCCTTTTCTACCTGATTCATTATCTTTCTCCGCCGAAGAGATGGGGTGATGTTTCCCAAAACTTGATTTATCACCAGGTCAGAAAGTATCTCTTGCGGCTCCGACCTGAGCATATCAAGTTCTGGCGCCCGCAGATCATTTTGCTGGTCAACAATCCCAGAACCCAAACAAGACTTATTCAGTTTTGTAACTCCATGAAAAAGGGTGGATTATACATCCTCGGCCATGTCATCGTGACAGATGATTTCAACAGTGGCGTCCATGAAGCGAGGCTCCAGCAGGCTGCCTGGACCAAGTACATTTCAGAGTTTTCAAGGATCAAGGCGTTTGTGCAGTTGACAATGTCACCGACTATCAATTGGGGAATTCGAAATCTAATATTATCTGCGGGTCTTGGTGGCATGCGGCCCAACATCGCTGTCATGGGTTTTTATAACTTGGATGACCTGAGAAGTTCGCGACCGTCACTGGCAGTACCAAAAGCCCCGAGCTCCTCTCTTCCCGCTACTCGACCGCTCAAGTCTACGGAAAGGCGTCCGCGCAGAAGGCGGGGCGACACCTCAGCTCGTTTAATGGAAGGTTTTCTGCCCACCGATGTGATGAAGACTGAGGGTATGATGAGCGTAACCAGTTACATGACTATGTTGGAAGACCTCGCCTTGAGATACAAGCTCAATGTCGCAGTTGGGAAAGGGTTTGAGAGGCTGGAAACGCCACGTAAAGATAACACCAACACGAAGAAGCATATTGATCTCTGGCCGATTCAAATGTCGGCAGAGGTTTTGTCGGATGGGAAAAGCGTCCTGACCACCAATTTTGACACTTGTAGGACATGTTTTCCACCAGCTAAACTTGAGCTAACTTGCTACAGACACCCTCATTCTCCAGCTCGGCCATATTCTCCACAACGTACCTGCATGGAACAAAGTCTACAAAGTTCGTATCATGGTATTCGTAGAGTATGAGAGTGAGGTGGAAGAAGAGAGGGCACGTGTCAAGGCGCTCTTGGATAAACTCAGGATCGAGGCTGAGGTTAAAGTATTCTGGCTGGCTTCTGGGCAGCTGAATACGTACGAGTTGATCATAAATGGGCAATCCAGCGACATCGAGTCTCAAATCCTGGTACATGATGTCCTCAGAGACGAAGAGTGGTGGGATGACCTTCAGAAGTTCCGAGGGCAGGTTCCGAACTTTGACTCGACCGACGAGCTAACCTCTTTTGCGAACATCATCGAGTCAACAGCAGGACGTCCTGGGGTTTTCAACCCACACATCCCACTGGAGGATATAGAAAGTGGACGTCGGCCGAGCTTGGTGCATTTCGGCGAAATACCCACAAGGCCTACCGTGTCAAAGCTTTCCCGGCTTGGCGTCAGTGTTGGCATTCATACGTCTCACCTGGGAGATGAGGTCTTTGAGGAGGAGTCCAACACGGACGATGAACTCAGCGAGCAAGACCAACAACCTTCGTGCTTGGATTCCGATTCCGAATTCGAGCACGGAGCAAGCGAATACAGTGAAGACGAGGCGCCAGAGCTCGAGACTCCGAGGCGTCCCTTGCTTGGTAGAGGCCGTGGACGAAGCCAGAGCGATGACTTGCTCACCACGCCATCTAAACACAGGCGTAGTGCATCTTACAGATCCAACAAGACTGCGGCACCAAGTACAACCTATGGTACCATGGTGGCGCAAGCTCGGGTTGAGGGCCAGTCAGGGCCAAGCCACATGGCACTCGGTGACAATGTGTCAGCCCCTCCTACTCCGCTTGAACGACCTGTTTTGGATCGCAACATTACTGCGCGATCGATGGGCGGGGTTCGGCCGACAAGTGGAGATTCCTATCCCGACCTACCTTCGGCAAGCGCTTCTGGTTATGCGACCCCTTCAAGGCCGACTCTCTCTAGGCAATCGTCGGCGGTTCGCTTTTCGAGCCGACCAGTGCCAGAGACGCGAGTTGATGTTGAAGGAACATCCGGGCCGACCATTATGTTCGCAGACAAGACAGAGGAAGAGACGCCGCGAGCGGAACGACCCGCTTTTTCAAAGCAATCTTCATCGGGACGAGTCTCCAACCGCCGCGTCCCAGAGATGAAGGTGACATCGGCTGAGGAGTTTGACCCTCCAACTGCGTTTGCGGAACCTTCTTGCAGATCTCGCAAGGCTTCCGTAGCATCCACCGCCGATCAGGGTTATGTCCACATGAATATGGCAGAGCTCGTGGAACGCTACAGATTAGACTCAAGGCCACACGGCGAAGGAGACGGTTCACCATACTCTACACAAGGCCTCGCCCTCTCATTCAACGACCTGCCATCCCGAGCACAGCATGTCATACTCAACGAGCTTATTCGACAGAACAGCAAGGATACAGCTGTATTGCTTACCACTCTGCCAGTGCCTACCGAAGGAACTTGCCAGGATGAGCTGGCGAGTGTGCAGTATCTTTCGGATGTCGAGGTCCTGTGCCACGAGCTACCTCCAGTCCTCTTGGTTCTGAGTAATGCGATGACTGTTACGGTTGGGCTATAATGCAGGTGGGGGGGAAATGTCTCGAAATCTGCGAGGTATAATATCGATAAGATCAGACAGACTGCCTGACTGCGCGGGGATGGTTCTTAGTTTGGCGTAATATTTTTTGGGGGTGCCGGGTTAAGCCGGGGATCATCATCCGGACAAAGGAATGAGAGGTAAACTCTGCTGGAGTCGCCACATTCCTCGATGTCTTCGGCTGAAATGAGAAGCCATTCGCCCAAGCATTCTTTGTCTGAATTAAGCGACGGAACCATGATGGCTTTAATCTGCATCCTTTACAAAGAAATGCCCTCGACGGTGCATACGCTGCTGAACTTTCGCCATCCAGGTTTTGTGCCCTGCACCCCAGCCAGAAGCCTTTGATACCATGGACATTAAACACGCTGTCCCGTCGGCGCTGCCTTCCTCGTGGTCAATCCCGCAAACAGTAAATATGAAGGACCATGCAAGAAAGGCGAACTGGACGTCGCAGCTTTCCCCGTATCTGCGAAACCTCAAAATCAAGAATCTTATGGCGTCTCCGAGGTCTCCGGGATCCTCTAGCTCCATATCACCAAGCTCCCCTGTGAGTGAGCTAGAGGAGTCGACGTTCCAAATCATACACACGCCGGACAGGCCAGAGCGACCTGTCTCGAGAACAGCGATACCGAATGACGAGCAGTGCATGCAATTTCTCATGTCACTACAGAAGCAGGAAGAAGACAAGAGGGTTGAGGTCAAGACAGGTCTTAAGATGTGGCCCTACCCTGATGAGGAGGCGGAAGACCGCAGGTGTCTACGGAGCGTGAGAGTGGAGAGCGTGCATTTCGAAAAGGCGCGGCTTGCCAGGACCAATTCGTCTGGCCCGGCAAGAGTTGTGGAAGTTGTCAGAAGCTCCACCCGGTCTACAACGGCGACACGGCATTCAGGATATCTGCCATCACCAGGCGTCAGCGATACGGATGATACAGACGATATTGAGGATGCTGAAGACTCCAGCGAGGAGATGAGGCTGTCCGTTTTATTGACTCCTTTAACTCCTCCACCTACTCTCTCCCGCAGTCACTCACGACTGGATAAATACACTCCGAGAGCGCAAACCTCCCGATGGTCTGACGACAGCGAGTCCCTCTTCTCGTCGAGAGATATTGACTCCCCTTGCCCCCAACATGGAGCCATTCGCTCATCTGCTGAAGTATCATCCCCAACAATGATCGACGACGACTCACTTGGACCCTCGAGTCCCTTGACAGCTCCACTCCTTACTCCAGTGAAAGACCGGCCGGCAACACCGTTTACAGAGCCACGCCTCCGATCAGCGTCCGACCCGACCACTCCCCCGCCAACAGACCACATTGTGCATCAGATCAGCCCAAAATCTTTACCAAAAAAGTATTCATGGTGCTCGTCAAAGGAAACAATACTCGATAGTGGAGCCCCGGTTTCTAGATTTCAATCTTGGCTACCAGAGTCGCGGGTGAAGGAGCCTGAGAACGAACAATCCCAGCAGTCAGACGTAGATATTTACGGCGACTGGGCCGACTATTACTTTGAAGATACAAACTTTGTGGATATATCAAAACCTACTGGAGAAGAAGTCACTAAAAGTGATGGAAATGACGTGGAGGAGGTACAGGATGCCGAGGAGAAAGAAACTGGAGACGAGGGCGAGGAACAACAAGACGACGAAGTGAATGAGAAGCAGAAAACAGTTCACCTTGAAATCGACAGAGAGACTCTCTATCCAAGGTACGAAAGCTTCATTAAAGATTATAAGGAAAATGTCATGAATGTTACGGTTATGGAAGCATGATACATTTGTTGGTTGGGGCAGGGGCATATTCTTTTTCGGAGTTCACGTGGGATGATGACCCATGGCTTTTCAGGTTCGATATCATGTAACATATTCTGCACTATGCCTTGCGTTTTCAGCCAACGATTACCCATTTCTTTCTTTTTTCCTTTATATTTCTCGGACCAATATACTTTACATCATCGTCGTCCAAGTTGGCTTGAAGCCGTCCGCCGTAGTGCCTGTAAGTCCGGAACAAACGGCTTTCCAGCGGTGTCGTCCATACAGGGAATCGAAGGAGTCAAAATCCGAAGTTATCAGATTGTCCGAGGCGCATCAGCGGTAAGTTCGTCCTACATGTTGCACATGAAACCTCTCAACAATAGAGTTGGACGTATCAGAATAGTACGATGATTCTATTCCACGCAATCGTCGGTAAGTTGGTAGGTGTGGTGTCGTAGTGGGTGGCCCAAGCTTCTGGCTGCTACAAAAAAGCTTCACCTCACTGAGCACTAGATCCTTCTTTCCCTGTCACAACATGAACTTTCATCCCATCCCCTCATCACAACCTCAACTTACTACAACATGCGACACTATCATGAGTAAGGCAGAATTCTAAAGCGCAAATGGCATGAAATGCCTCGTTTACCACCCTCGCTCTTCCGCCGCGCAAGAGCCATTTCCCCCCACGTCGCGACGTTGCTACCTGCATGCCGCGATATCTCCTCGGCCGTGACTGAGCTACGATGGATAAGGGAGCACGTCCGTGATATCTCCGCATTGTCTCACAGAGAGAAACAAATGGAAGCTCGAATCTCAAGCCTTTGTGCCCGAAGAGGACGTGGCGTGCCCCTGCAATATGTCCTCGGATCGCAACCCTTCGGCAAGCTAGACATTCGATGCCTGCCCGGAGTCCTCATTCCCCGCTCCGAGACGGAGGCGTATGTGCTGCACCTGATTGAGAAAATCAAACATGGCCGTTTGCCTGTGTCTCAGGAAGGATCGTTAAGGGTTGTGGACTTTTGTACGGGGACGGGTTGCATTGCCCTTGCGCTATACGAAGGCCTTTCAAAATGGGCCAAGGAGCTGGATGTCACTGGTGTGGATATCTCTGAGACTGCTGTAAGCCTCTCACGAGCGAATCTGACGCTCAATACCCACGCGGCTGTATTGTCACCTCCAAGCGAGAAGAGAAATATCGCTTTCAGACAAGAGGATATTTTTGACGACGAGGCAATGCGGACCATTCCCCCATGTCACGTTCTTGTCTCCAACCCGCCTTACATCTCGCAGAAAGTGTGGACATATGGCCGCGGCCAAATGGGTTATTCGGTACGCAAATACGAGCCAAAGCTCGCGCTGGTGCCAGGTGATGCGGCTCCGCTGTACAGAGGGTGCGATCATGCCGATGTCTTTTACGCCAGGTTGCTAGACATCGCGGCCTACATGAAGCCTAAAGTTTTACTGTTCGAGGTCGGAGACCAGGACCAGGCTTTGAGGGTCGCCGGGCTCGTCAGACGGCATGAGTATACTAAACAAGCTAAATGCGAGTTGTGGCGGGATTGGCCGGACTCGACCCCAGAAGAGAATGAAATTTCGCAGCTAGAGATTGACGGAGGGAAGATTGCTGTTGAAGGGAGTGGGAACGTAAGATCAGTGTTTGTCTGTCTTTAATTGAGAGCAAAGATACCCTAACATAATTCACACCGTTTGTTTACTTGCAGCTAGTTACCCTACATCATGACGACAAATGTTTCTGGTCTCGAATCGACATACTCATGATTGCCGGATGTCCTAATGCTGCTCGAGTCGAAAATAAAACTCCAGATCAATGTAGCAAAAAACCAGACAAGAGAAAAATGCATTGCAGAAAGAGATAAAAAAGAAAATCAAAATATTACTGCCCAGAGGCGGATTCGAACCGCCGTCAACACGGAGCGCTGTGTGAGAAGACCACAACGTATCATCCTAACCAACTAGACGATCTGGGCCAGTGGTTGTTGTTGAAGTCAAAGGGCTAAGTTAGAGCTTAAGAAGCAAATTGTGGGGGCTTTACAGCTCTAGGGCGTGTAAGTGTGCACCTTCCGTAGACGCGAATCAGGACTTCACACGTTCCTCCTTTTTGTTCTGATACTTTCGGCTGTCAATGGTACTGGCTCCCACACCCATCGTATTGTCGCCGCTAGCATCATTGCCCGAAATCTCGACCAACCGAAATTGAGTGGCAGGGCACGGGGGTTGCCTGAATGGAGTCATCTCCCACGAGGAATCAAATCGTAGCAGTGCGGGTCTCATGGTAATTGCACCGAGACAAAATGCCTGGCCAGCCACAATCTCGAAGGGTTGTAATTCAGCATCCCCGGATGGCATGGGTTTCGGATTGCCCGTCAATCACCTGAACCCCTCCCACCGCGAAAAGCAAGTCTGGCATTGGGTTTGCGAGATTGACCCAAGAAACCGGGCTCTGTTGATCCCCTCACAAGGGACTGGAAAACAACGTACGGTGTCGCATCATCTGGAACACAACGGCCTTACTTGCCGCGTGTCTCTTACGCAAGGCTATCGAGGTTCCGGAATGGCTGGCTTGGAATGTTTAGGTTGTTTACTACGTGCTTTCATATTCTCGAATGCGCCTTTATGATGTGTTGATGGGATTTCTTTGATGTGGACGCGGTAAAATGCTGATTCTTGCCTTTCCTCTACCTCACATCTGCTAGTAGTCTCATCCCGAGATCCAGTTAGTGTTACCAACGTTGAATAATAAATTTAAAAAAGCATAAAACGAGTAAGCGGCCAACGGTTGCGTCGATTGATCCGTCGGGTCGTGCAAAAGCGATCGACTAGGTTTGTGGACGATATTATTGACTTTAGGAAAACATGCAGCACGTTGCCGAATCGAGCAGGCGCTCAAGCGTCTCCGCTGGTGCCGACATCGCCAGGATGCTGCGGGGTCTATCCCCTTCGCCGCGGCATACTGGCCGAACATTTTCCCTTCACTAATGTTGGTGCGAGGGCAAACCGATAATCGTGAAACATGGTTTCGATCAGCCACGCCATCAAACCGTCTTTGCGATCCCTCGCAAACCTCGATTCGGGTGCATTTATCGACCTTGAGAATGAGGCAAGCAAGCTCCCGCAGTTCGACCCCAAGACATGCCCTGACGGGCTTATTGACCTCTCGGGGGCAAGCAATAGTCTCATGGATGATGTTCTGGGCGAGGAGATGAGCGAGTTCGTTAAAGACTATGACTTTCACAAAGGTCTGCCTGCGCATTATCTGTCTGCTCGAGGATCGCACTGACTTGGTCTTCAGCCACTCAGTATGGAGGTGTGATGGGACCGAGAGGTAAGGAACATGTTGCATGATTCATTGCCAAGTCTAACTTCTGTAGAGCTGTTAGAAGCCGTCAGCAACTTCTTCAATCGCCATTTCGAGCCTGTTCGGCCTGTTGATGCGGATGAAATTTTGATCACTAATGGTGTTACTTCGCTCATCGACTTGATGGCTTTCGGCATGTGTGATCCAGGAGAGGGAATCATGATCATAACCCCGACTTATATGATGTTTCCTCACGATGTTTGCGCAAGGACCGGCGTTCGTCTTATCCAGGTTGACCTTGATAACATTGATGACCAGTTTACGGCCCAATCTGCTCCCGAGCTTATCAGATCCCTATCCAAAGCATACATCTGCGCCCAGAAGGATGGCATCATCCCTAAAGCGCTCCTTCTTTGCAACCCAAGCAACCCCTGCGGACGAACGTACCCACGCAGAATTCTCTACGAGATTGCGAGGTTTTGCGGTCAGCGGAAGATGCACCTTCTGTCTGATGAAATCTATGCCATGTCGACTTTTACTTCGTCATCCGAATCCAGCGAGGCACTCGACACCTTCACTTCCGTACTCAGCATCCGGGACGATCCGGAAAACGGGGTGTTCACGGAGAACATCCACTGCATGTACGGTGCCAGCAAGGACTTTGGCTGCGGTGGCTTGCGGCTTGGCTTCCTCGTTACACGCAATAAACTCCTCTGGCGTTCTGTGAGGCGGCTCGCCCTATTTACATGGGTTTCGAGTTTCTCAACAGCCTTCTTTACGCAGTTCTTGCAGAACGAGAAGGCAGTCAATCGTTATCTGAGCACATATCAAGAAAGGCTTGGAGAACAGTATGCGTCTACTGAGTGCCTTCTGAGGACGAACAATATCCCATTTGATCCGGCGAATAGCGGGATTTTTGTTTTTATCAGGCTGACGAAATGGCTGGACTATTTTGAAGTTTCAGATAAGGATACGAGTAGTCAGGAGATGAAGCTTTGCAGGTATCTTTTGCATAAAGCTGGTGTATTTGTCAGTCCTGGGGAGGTAAGTTGCCTAGTTGACTGTCTTGGACATAAGTGACCGATATGTTGGCAGCTCTCTCTATCGCCCGTCCCGGGTTGCTTCAGACTCGTTTATACTGGCAATCCAGAATGGGTATCTCTTGCTATCCTCCGATTGAGGAAAGCGTTGGACGGTCTGGAGCACAGCCTGGGACCAGCAACCGCTGAACACTACTTAGAGGAGCAAAGTAATGGTAGCTGGGATGCAGATGAGAAGTTGGAGGGCACTCCCGTCAGGGCAACACGGCGAATGTCACTTGTAAAATTCTTTCTTTGCAATAGCAATAAATAACAGAGAGAGCATGAGAAAAGGAGGATCAGACAACGATAATGGGGTAAAGCTCGGAAAACCACTGCAAAAGCAAAAGAATTGACCAGCCTGGGGGTCGAACCCAGAATCTCCTGATTGCACGATGAAATCGTAGTCAGACGCCTTGCCATTGGGCCAACCGGCCAGATCCGATACAAGCAAACAGGAAATTACTCATAATGAATCTTTGGTGGGCCGTAGACCTGCAAGCAACTGGAAGTGACAACATGTTTTACCTATCTGCTACGGTCATACATATTTCTCTAACAATTTTCTCCCTGCAAGACTTCTCGGAAAATGATACTTTTTTCAATTACAGCTTTCTTGCACTCGTTGGCTTTGGGTTGGCTGCGGTGGACTCCATAGATTGTGGTAGAACCGTGGCTCCATCTCTAGTTCCTGAATATGCACTAAAGCGAGTATCCCGAACAGGCCCTTCTACCTTCTTACTCGAATGAGCCTCCTCACTCATCACTTGCATGAGGCAGGGGCGACATTGAAGGAATTGTAAACAAGGTCTAAGATCTTTGAGACATGTTAAACCTGGTTTTTAAAGAAGTGATATGAGGTGATGGGCACACTGCCGACCGCTGAAGATGTCTTTTCCTGACAGGCCAGTCGCTCACTTGCTGGGCTCGAATGGTGAGTTTGACCCGCCACATTCTCACGAGAGTTGAGATGTAGACGCGCCTGCTTTGGCCGCAATTCTCATACGGATAGTCATTTCTGGTAAATACAGTCTGCTAAATAGTTACAGGGCCCGTACACGCCGTCACGTATTCCTCCTCACCCGGAACTTATGTTCTCACCGGCTCAGCAGACCGGAATATCAGACTCTACAACCCAGCAAGCCAGGACGCGATCCCCCGCTACGGGTCCAACCTCACCAACAAGTCACAGCCCAAAGTCGCAGAAGGCCGCCTCATTCAGACCTACGCCGCGCACGGCTATGAGGTCCTCGATCTCTCTGTCGCCGCTGACAACGAGCGCTTCGCTTCCTGCGGCGGCGACCGTGCCGTCTTCCTCTGGGACGTCGCTTCCGCTACTACTATTCGTCGCTTCGGCGGCAATGTCCACGGGCACACCTCCCGCATCAATTGTGTCTCATTCGCGGGTGACGGGGACTCTCTTGTCGTCTCTGCAGGCTTTGATACCAGCGTGCGAATCTGGGATTGCAAGTCCAACTCAATGAAACCCATACAAGTCCTTGACGAAGCCAAGGATTCTGTTACGGCACTCGTAGTTAGAGATGCAGAGATTGTAGCGGGAAGCGTCGATGGGAGAGTGAGAAGTTATGATGTGCGAATGGGACGGTGCATTACTGACGTAATGGGTGCAAGCGTTACCAGCCTCAGACTCACACGCGATGGTAAGGCGATGCTGGTGGGGTCACTGGATAGCAAGATACGGTTGATGGACCGGGAGAATGGGACCTGCCTCAAGACTTATGCGGATGATGGCTGGAGGAATCAGGAGCTCCGAGTGCAGTCTATCCTTGGCGGCAAAGAAAAGTACGTGATTGCTGGCGACGAGCTGACAGCAGGTACGGGACCAGCGGGGTTGAATGGTGAAGGCAAGATTTGGGCGTGGGACTTGTTGACCGGGAAGCTGGTTGCTACCGTCCGGGTGCCCTGGGGACCGGAGGGCTACGAGCCGAAGAAGAGGATATTAGGGAAGGATGGCAAGGAAAAGGAGAGGAGCAATGTTATCAGCTGCATGGCCTGGCGCGATGACGGTTGGGGGGACCAGTTTTGCGTAGGTGGCACATCAGGAGTTGCTACAGTATTTGGCTCTCTATAGCATCGAGAAGGAAAAGAAGCCTTTTTTTGGTTTTGATTTTTTTTTGGTACAGGACTTGTCATTTTAAAAGTCCAATTTCTAGCAAAATCTCCTGAAAATCATACAGAGTCATGTCCGTGTCTGACCCGTGGTGCTCTACATAAGTATGGATGTTCCGCAGACGCCCAACACCGTCAGTACCCAGATGCCCCTATCAAACCCCTAATTGGTGCCGACCAAAAAATACAGAAGAGGAAGCATGCTTTTAGTCACATCACCCATCAGTCCATGCCAACGTACTTGAACCAGTTTGGGCGGCAGTCGTCCTTGTGCAGCCAAGCCTCGCCGTCGGTGAAACGGCCCGTCACGCAGCCCTTACACTTGGGAGAGTTCGGGCAGTTGAAAAAGGGAATGTGTTGGTATCCAATATCACGGAACCTGCACAAGTTAGCTGTCAGGTGCGCGTGTTGATATCGAGCGGTACTTACCAATGGATTTTAGACTTATCCTCAAAAAGACCCAAAGCAATACTGTGGACGGGAGCATCGCCCCATCTCTCGTAAAAGAAGCCTCCAGCGCGGTCCAGATGGTTGAAGTAGTCCTCATACGCCTGGCTTCGCCAGAAGTCAATGTCGGCGATCTCAAAGTTGCTCCAGAAGTGGCAGGTCGAGTAGCCGTTGGCGTTTTCGTTATTCTCAGGACGACCGGCCTTGTCGGTAAGCCAGTCCATGGCATTGTTCTCGTGAATGTATTCGGGGTGCTGAGCGAGGAACTTGACGGTTTCAGGCCATAGCGTCGGAATAGACTTGGGCGCATCGTAGAGGTTGATAGTAAAACCATACGTCTTGTTGTTGTCTTGCATGTAGCGGAAGACATCGTAGTCGACGTCGCAGAAGAAGTGAACCTTGGGCTCAACGCGCCAGTAGTATTTAACATGCTGCAGGGCGGGGTGTCTGTAGAACATGCCACTGTTCCAGCGGCACATGGAGTGGTACGATATCTTATCGGCGTATTGAATATCATTCTCCTTGAGGATCTTGACAGATTCCTCGTAGAGGTCCTTGTTGATCCATGAGGGCATGTCCCAATGTTCCTTCGGGATGAGCTCTGTCAAAGCAGGTTAGAACCGGTTTCCTATCGCCAGACGTCGTTAGGGACTTACCATATCTGCACTCAGCCTTGGTGGCCGCCTGGGTCCTTCTTTTGAACTCTTCAGTGAATGGAACTTCGTTGAAGAAGGTCCAAGGGTAATTGAACTTGTGGTTCCAGGTCCTTTCGAGGTCGACCATCGAGCCGATCATCTGGTCCAGCTCTTCGTTCCTCACCAACGCCAGCAGGGTAGCATTGATGCGCGCGGAGTCCGCAATGCCGGGGGCATATTTATCGGAAGCATATGTTAAAATACCTGCCGGTTCGCCGGTAGCTGCGCAGTGCCGAATTGGTTAGCGTCTTTGTCAAGACCTCAAGAGTATGGCAGAGGTAGCTCACGATCTAGGTTGGGATCACGCCCGTTATCGTAGCGCACTGGCTTCGTTATCGGCCTTTCGGGGCCAAAAATCTGATAAAGGAAGAAGCACCAGAGCATCACGGCGGCTAGGGCCAGAGCTCGAACTGGCCGCGCGACTGCCATTTTGGGCGCAGAATTGGGTGCAAGCTCGTAATCGTGGAGGAGGTGGAAGGGCTCTCTGCCGCGTTTCCCACTTAGTCAATCGGTATAAGAGGAATGTTTGCGCGAATGTCGACGGCTGGCGAAATGGCCCGAGTCGTCGGTTTAGATGGTGGAAATTATTGATACCGGCTCCTACCTTCGGTTGGAGGTTCGTCGTGGAGTAAAGGGAAGAAAGGTTTAATCGCTGTTGGCTAGGCCAGATTTCTTACGCGTAAATTTCGAAAAAGGGGCGCTGCTGCAACTGTCCAGGTCGCTGGCTGGTTGAGGCTGATGTCACCCATGAAATTTGCCCATTAGTGCCTAGCATAAGGCCTATGGCTGCTGCTCTGGTTATCACATCCCTGTACTGCAGCGATAAGCAGGGTTGGCACCCCCGCCCCCCTCCTCTTAGCATGCAAGTTATCTGCTGGCGCGCGTCCTGTAGCAAGTGCCGAATGCCACTGGACGCGTCCTTTGGCCACACCAACATTTTGGGTTCATGCTAATGTTTCGCACACACATGACTTGAGTCTAAGAAACACCGCCAGCGGCCTGGCTATTTGGTCATATCATGGCGTTTCTTGCGAAGCTTGGTGCTCTGACGGATGAGCTTGTCGAGGTTATAACATCGACGCCGGACAAGGTGTGAGACTGTTCATCCCATCTCGCAGTTATACACAATGCCGCCCGGCCAGTCCGTCGCTAACATCATAGCCAGCAGATCGGCCGGGAGAAATTCAACCTGCTTCGCGAATCGTCACTGCGCACCTTGAGATACCATAGCTTTCTGAGAACCAACCAATTCGAAATCGAGAACCAGCTTGTCGGGCTGGAAGAGCGATTCAGGGTCCATCACCGCGAAGGCTTGGCCGATGCTTTCAGAGAGCGGCTGGATGCGCTGGCAGAACATCGCACAAAATGGCATCCAGATATTCTACACTTCCTCCTTGAGCTTTCCGATCAGCCGACGCAGAAAACCCAACTTGTCGACCTGGAGCTGCTGAAGGAACCCAAGGGAGAAGCCCAGCCACCGCTTAGATGGGAGGACATAGCGAGGGAGGATGGGTGGAACGACGATCCCGATATTTGGAAGTCTATCGACTACAGCGATGGTTCTGCTGATGAATATGTCGAGTCCAAATCAGACACCGAGAGCGAATCCGATGATACCTCGCTCTTGGGGCTGGATGTTTCAATCGGTCGACGACCAGAGGACTTTGAGGTTGTAACTGCAGACGAGACTGCTTTGAAGGAGGTTCAGGAAAGTCAATCATGGAGACAAGAAGGGAAAAAGGCATCATCCGGCCGGCAACATAAAGTGCCTATTACCGAGTTCCAAGCCACAAGAGAGGTTCTGTTTATGTTGCAGGGCCTTCCCACGACACTCTTCCAGAAAGATGGAGTTCCCGATCCCGCTTACCAAATGTCCAATATCACCTGGGACACCTACAAGGCACTGATTGGCTGGTATGCGGAAACAGGCCGTCAGATGTCATTGTTGCGGACTTTTGCGAAGAAGGCTCAGAATGCACCCCTTTTCCAGGTCTTTCGTGATAATGTACTCGCTAGTCTACGGATCTTTGACAGAGGGATCTCTGATATTCAGGAGCGTTTATCAGTACCCCGCGAAGATACGGTTGTCAGCATGGTTGCCATCCTCGAAGAGCTCAAACCGCAGTTGGAGCCTCTGAAATCCCTTTCTGAGATCGTTCGGCAACTTTACGATCCGGCCAACGGTGGTGCATTCCGTTATCTGGAGCTTCTTTACGATGCCATTGGAGTAGCACAGCTCTCGAGTCGGGATGCAACCTATGATTTTCTTGGTCGGATCTTCTTCAATTGCTTTCAAGTCTACCTGCGACCTATCCGTTTGTGGATGTCAGAGGGACAGCTTCTACCAGGGGACAAGATCTTCTTTGTTTCGGAATCATCCACCCAGGTACCGCTTCGGCATGTTTGGCAAGAGCAATTCAAGCTGAGGAGAACTTCGGATGGCGTGCTTCACGCTCCCAATTTCCTGCAACCAAGCGTTGGCAAGATATTCACAGCCGGCAAGAGCATAGTCGTACTTAAGCATCTCGGCAAGTATGATTCCGTTCGAGCGCTGTGGGAACAACTAGAGCCGCCGCTCACCTTCGAGACGGTTTGTCCGCCCGGCCTTGAGCTTGCACCATTTCCTGAGCTTTTTACGTTGGCCTTCAATCAGTGGATGCAGAGCAAGTATCATGCAACTTCGGAAACATTGAAGCAGGCACTATTTGAATCCTGCAAGCTCGAGGCCGGTATTGAGGCACTGAAGTACCTCTACCTCATGACTGATGGCGCCGCTACAGATTCATTCTGTAAAGGAATCTTTGCCAGACTGGACGCACTCCGACCTGATTGGCATGACAGATATTCCTTGACTGGCCTGGCGCAGGAAGCTTTTCTATCTAGAGTTGACACGACTCGTATCGTTGTCACTGTTCGTCAGGAAGGCCAGAAGGTTCCTGTCCTAAATGCTCGCGACATGGTTCAAAAAGCATTGCCGGAGATTGTTTTGCAGTACCGTCTCCCCTGGCCTGTCCAACTTGTGGTTACTCCAGATACAATCACCCATTATCAGGCCGTCTTTACATTATTAATGCAGCTACGTCGTGCTGCTAGCCTACTGCAACGCAACCGTATTCTGGATGAGCTTGCCACACACAGGGACGTATGGGGCAACCGTGCATTGTACTACTCGCTCAGATCGAAGTTGATGTGGTTTTGCAACTGTCTCCAGACTTACCTGGCGACTTTGGTGTTGGCTCCTTACACAGAGAAGCTTCGACAGAGTTTAAGAGACGCGTATGACGTAGATGCCATGATCAAGGTTCACGCAACGTTCGTGAGGCAGATTGTGGATGCGGCGTGTCTCGGCAAGAAACTGGATCCCATACGGGGTGCCATATTGGATATAATGGACTTAGCTGCAAAGCTAGAAGACGCGCAAAGCGCGAGTGCCGCCGAAGAAGCCGAGGAGGCTCAGGAATTGTCCCGCCTCTCGCTTATGTCCTCGCCAATGAAGGCAAGTCCCCGCCGGCGAAAGCCGGCCGTTTACGCCGAAGACAGTGACGATGACGGTACAGAGGGTCAGGGAGGCAGTGCGAAAAGGGGCATGCTCAATGCAGGGAAGGGTTACCTCGAGAGTCTGCGGGAGATTAAAACCGACTTCGAAAGGCACCTGAGATTCATCAGTGGGGGGCTGAGAGGGGTTGCCAGGGCTTCAAGCGACGAGGTGGCAGCGAAATGGGACCTCTTGGCCGAAATGCTAGAGGCAGGCGTCAAAGAAGGGACTTGAAAGGAGACGGCCTCGGGCGAGTGAGTAAATAGGGCGTGGGTGGATGGCTCACTGACTGAGAACTTGGTCTGTAGACCCGCAATATCTTTAAAGTTCATGAGGAGCAAGGAGTGAACCGGGGGATCGACATGGGATTCCTTGATACCCATCTCATCTTGAACCGACCGGCCAACGCCAGCATGGTGGCTGCAGATGGATCCTGCAGCACACTGGAATTATTGGAATCTCGCAGCGACGATCACATTTGAAAGCTGAGCGGTCAGCCAAACCCTAGGATGATGCTCGGTGAGTGAAAAGACCATCGTTGCTGTGTCACGCGACGCAAACAGCAACCGACCGAAGAACGGCAAGGCAGGTCAGCTGTTCGTTTCGTGGCTCGCAATCAAGACCTCTGGCGCTTCCCAAACATCTCTTGGCCGTCAGAATCCTGCCGTCGTGGACGAGACTTCCAACAGCCACTATAAACAAACGGTATGGTGATTTATGATTCCGACCACCAAAAGGGTAGCCACGAGACGTCCCCATCCGGAACATTCGGGGAAGCAAAACATTGTTGTGTTCACGATGCCACCCAGTGTGTTGCTTCGGCGGTGTTGAGACAAGTTACACTGGACAGACCCCTGTTGTAGGGGAATAAAATCTATGATGCCAACTTTTTGGTCCGCAGTCAGCACTCGAACCTTGGAACGAGTGAGATCGACAGTGGGGCCCCGAGGGACCAGTTGGGGCCAAGGATGTCATATCCAACATTTTTTACAGTTGCTTCCCCCACCTCCTTGATGTTGCATTTGACAGCGGTCAATTGATGCTGGCTCCAGTCTTTATCCCTCAGTCAATCCATGTCTCATCAGACGGCTGTGATTGTCGATGATATTTAAGTTGATGGCTGCGTTGGTGCCCGAGAGAGAAGAACAAGGAAAGGGATGATGAACAGGGGCAGGCTCGGAAAATTGAAGCTCAGGCCAATACACGTTGACGGACATCATCAGGTTCGTTGCAAAGGAGACCTTGGTTCTACACGTGTATACAGGGAAAGCAAGTGTCCAGTGTTGGTCAGGCACATTGGCGCGGCTGATGCCGACGACTGCGCAGCTTTCTTCGTGGTGGCCGTTGATAATCCGGAGATGTCGTCCTTATGCAGTGGTGCAACTAGCAATTGAGACACTTGAAATGCGAATCTGACAGCCGTTATGGACTTACCGTGAAGTAACTTGCATTGTTAATTTTTTTTTCTCTTTTCAAAGATTTTGTAACTTCCCCAGATTGGATCTCAAGTGAATTAGAAACGGTGTGATATAACCTGCCGAAACGGTAGCAGGTCGTCTGATCACCGTAATGATGGAATGGATTAGCGTTTTTCCGTGGTTCTCCAGCATTTACCTTGTGCCCCACCTTGCGATACGCCACTGGTAGCTTCGTAGGCGCTGCTGAAGTTTCGCGACTACTTCACACTCGCAAATAAACTACGCACATCTGCATCACAGCTTCGCGCCAGCTCAAACCCGCGAAATAGGTCAACCCGAAGAATAGGCCAAGATGTCTGAGCGTAAAGTTCTTCAGAAGTACTACCCGCCGGACTTCAACCCGGCGGACCTCACCCGAAAGCGCGGATCCAAACCTACAGGCCCCAAGGTGCAGACGGTCAGAATCATGGCGCCTTTCTCGATGAAGTGCACCACTTGCGGAGAGGTAAGAAGTATCTTGGCTTTTGCTTTTGGGTTTCCTCGAAGCGGATTCGGCAAGCTAACATTTGCCTAATAGTACATCTACAAAGGCCGGAAGTTCAACTCTCGAAAGGAGACGCGTGTGGAGGAACGTTACCTCAACATTCAGATACACAATTTCCACATTCGCTGCACGCGCTGCTCGAGCGAAATTACCTTCAGAACCGATCCGAAATCGGCGGGTTACATGATGGTTAAGGGCGCCGTCCGCAACATGGAGCCCTGGCGTAACAAGGAGGAGGAACAGGAGTCCGTAGAGGAGCGTCTGGACAGGCTGGAGCGCGAAGAGGCCGAGGCGGCAGGAGAGGAAGAGCGTAACGCGATGGCTGACCTCGAAGCCAAGAACGAGGATGCGCGCAGAGAAATGGCGGCGGCGGATGCGCTTGATGAAATCAGGCAGCGCAATGCACGCATCCAGCGGTCCGAGAAGGAGGGTGTGGATTTTTCCGAATATGTTGTTCGTCCCGAAGATGAAGAGAAGGCCAGATTGGAGAGAGAAGACGAGGAGGCTGCGAGGAAGGCGTTTGCTGCTGCCAGAGAGCGAGCTGCGCTTGACCTCGGGGAAGAAGTTATTGAGGAAGAGGTGGATGATGGAGTTGTTGGAGCGTCATCATCATCGTCATCATCGGGCGAGAAGGCGGAGGGCGCCGCGGTGAGTACCGTGAAGGATACATCTTCTATGCCACCACCACCACCACCTCCTGCCAAGAGGGTGGTCAAGAAGAAGAAGGATTACTCTGCGGCGCTGGGCATCAAGAAGAAGCCCTCTCTGGTATAATGAAGATAAGGTTGCAGCTTGACTGACTATGGCCCCTTCATACTTTGGCGGCTCCGTCATGGTTATGGACGTGGCTGCTGCATGTCATCGTGCGGGCGGCCGTAGGTAGAGCGCGGTTTGCGTCTTGTATGTAATGGTGGGGATGCATATTTTTAAAGTTTAGGAAAAGGCGTTTCGGAACGGGATGAGTCGCACGGACGGACGACATGGCATATCATGGCATTGGGCAGGACTGGCGTAATCTTTTGCAAGGCAGGACAGGGTGGGGCCCAAGAGACAGACGGTCGAGGCCTAACGACACGAATAGACTCTGGACGTCAGATTCCGAAATCGAGACGTCACTCTAGTGCTGTTTGTCCTTCAAACCCCCTCTCTTCTGATCATATTCTTCGAGTTGTTCCATGGCTATTACTCTGTGCCCAGAGAAAGTCTAATATCCCCGCGTCCATAAACGTTCGTTGTGGGTCCTTACGGAAATAAGCGCCCATCTTTTATTAATGCTCCATGCTTGGCCGTGACTGTGTAGAAGGAGCATGTTAGTGTTGTGAACCTTGCCAAAATATCCCCAAGGTTTGGACTAAGGCAGCTGGTGCCCTGGCTGGGGTGTGTCTCTTTGTCGAGGATGGGTGGTTGAGAAGGCGCCGATCGAGAGCATTAAGTGTATCCAACATGGGGATCGAAGGAAAGGGGGAGATTAATCGGAAAAAGAGTAATTGACGTGCCGCGAGATGCAAGGCTGTCAGTGAGGGGACCCGTGTGAATGGTGATGACTGGGGATGGATTTCCACCGTCTGTGACATGATGATCTTGTCATTGCGGATCTGGCCAGTACAGTGTGAGCATGACATATCCCAAATATATCGTGTCCATCCATTGCACCAAATCGTTCAAGGCATTTTTTGTCACATGTTACAGATCGGAGAAGAGCACGATGATTATGTTGATAACAATTGAACAGTCATTGATTTCGTAAATCATAGGCAGTCTGTTGCTCAGCTTTCGTGATTTATACAATCCCGATAAGGCTGTACTACCTACTATCCTCAACCCCAACGCCTTGCAAAGCCAAAATGCATCATAGCAGCTTGGTGAACAGATGACAAAAACAATTACAAAATCCACACACAAAACACTTCGCGCCTTTCAGATGCTTCGTTTCGGGTTACGCCATGGCAAGTGACCAGTCGTAGATCCTGCGCCTCAAACTCGCGTATGTCCGTTTTTCATCCTCGCGCCAGTTGCTTCCAATTCGCTATTTCGCTCTAAATGCAAGACTTTCCGGCCAGGTCTCTTGAGTTCATAGTCCGGATTGTCCAGTCACCATCAAAGATGGTGTGGTTTCTTGGTAATGTCATTTTAAACCGTCGTCCAGGGAATCGATTTAAGAGCTGTAGTCGGAACTTGAGTGCCCATTGGACATGTGGGGGTAGTGCGTCCTGCCTCCCGATCTCCGCGAAGAAGAACGGTTCGCAGCCTCCATCTGTCGCTTCGTGTGCTGGTGCATCGAGCGCATGTAAGTCGACAGGTCGCTGGGGGGAGGGGGAGAGACGGGGATGGAGACAGAGTAGGCGTCTTGACGGGCGGGCATGGTGGAGGGGCTCATGGAAGCGTTTTGAGGGTTGTAGTTGGTTGTGGGATGTAGTATTAGGTCAAGTTATGTCTGTCTTTGACCTGGATGTAGAATAATATCAAGTTGAATCGGAGTGTGATCTTTTGACTGTGGTTGTTTGACAAATATGAGGTTTACTAGTAAGAGTGGTTGATTGGAGTGTAGATGAGAGTAGGCTTCTTGAGAAGGGACGGTGTGGGTTTGATAATTGTAGGCTGATGCTGATGAAACGGGGAATGAGAAAACGGTGGATGGCAGGAATGGCCCTGGGTTTATAAACGAAAAAGAGAGGGGCAAAAGGGTCGCGGCAAGCCTTGTCGTGGAGAAGAGGTGAACGCAGGCGTAGGGAAGAGTTGGGCAGGATGGGGTTGCGTGGTGTGAATGAGCAAGCAAGCAACGCAGCCCGCCAGGCAAAACACAGGGTCCGTCACTAGCAGACCACACCCCTCCTCCCTCAGGGGTCTGAGAGACACTCGCAGAGACGAGACCGACCTTCAGTTCCCCTCCTCGCCCTTTCTTCGCCAGACTCTAGCGCTCCCACCTGCGCGAGCTGTTGCATATCCCACATCATCCCAATGCGCTAGGGATCGGCAGTGATTGACGGGCGTCTTAGCGTCGCTGGTGACCCCGGCGAGGTCTGCACGATATGGCGTAACTGGTACCGGGGGGGTCGTGGCCCGTGAGGTAGGGATGGGGGGGGCGTCCCGTTTTTGGGGGGTAGGCGACTTGTTCGTCGCCACGGTACAGGGCTGGATGATGCAGTAAGCGGTACGACGATACTTGCACAGGGTGTGTGGGTTGATGATGCGGGACCAGAGAGGACAAGGTGTGGTTGAGGCGCGCTGATTTCAAGAACGGAAAGACCCTGCTGATCAGTGTCCAGACTGAAGTCACAAGTAATGTCATTATTGGCCACAGGTCCCCTCTTTGGGGAACTGTTGAGCTTGTCTACGGGCAGCCGAAAGTCGGACAAAGGTGTGAGCGACATGAAGCACGGGCGAAAGAGAATGAAAATCTTTCGGAGCTGTTTTGGAGATGTCTGTCTGGACCCTGAAAGGCATGACGGTTTCCAGACTGGGACGCGGCGGCGGCGGCAAGTTCCCACCATGAAAGACAGAGACTGGACGCAAACGAAAGGGATTATCGTGTCTCATCCTTAGCCATCGTGCCCCTCCTCAATGAGATACCGGCTTGTGTAAGTTGGACCCTTGATCTTTTTTCTATCCCATGGTAGACTAAGAAATGCATTATTGAAAGCTTGAAACCTTCACGAGACTAATGAAGGGTGTGGGCACCCAGGTATTCATCCGCCAGGGGCAAAGCAGAAAAGTACGAGGGATTCCCATGGTAACACAAAAAGCAACGCCAAAAAAGAAGTGCACCGACTGGGCCCGGCGGTCATAAGCAAGAAACGCAACCAGAGTAATCAGGGTAGCCGACATAAGGCAGGCGCTGCTGGCACTTGACCAAACACCAGCCAGTAGCCTGCCATGGCAGGAACAGGGTAGCGGAGGCAAGGCAAGCGGAGAGCGACCCGTCTGGTCTAGCGCAAGGGTTTGAGTAAATTGCCTGTAGCAGACCTTGAAAATGGTAGAGGAGGGTTGGCAACGGTGCGGTAAAAGAGAGCCAAGTGAAGACTTGTCGTCAAAGATCGGCGGGTGGAACAGACGTCATTGGCCGAAGCGTCTCAGTCGGCCGGACCCCGGGTGTGGTTGTTCGTCAGTGGATCCATGTCTCTTGCTTCCTTCTGCTGCACTTCAACCGCCAGTGCAGTCACTTGCCTCCCCTACGGGTACCACATCCCTGACAGATTGATCAAACGCACAGACTAAGAGAGCTACGTCCACTTTCACCGCGAAAAAAAAACTGAGGCCATTCGCAAAAGTGCATAATCCACATCGCGGGCTGTCATTGGCAAGATCCTCGTGTTTTGTGGAAACGCACTCTAGATCGCAGGGGTACGTTCCGCTGTCAGATACGTATCTCCAGGTCCGCCCCAAGAGACACCTTACCCCCCAGAATGGGATTTTTCGCATTTGCCATGGCGGCAGGCCTGATTCCCCCATCTCTTCCCCCCAGAAATATGGTTTTTTCCCCTATGGTTGTTAATTCCCTCATCCGACGACGGCCTCAGCGTCAGTATGGGTGTGGTTAGGGTCTGCCTGACGTGCCCCTCACCTCCTGGAACGGCAGATGGTCCACCGGATCTAGACCTTGCCGATATGGTTGAGGCTCAGAGGAGGAAGACCTGGTACCTCGCGCAAAGGGATCCGTAGTGCAGTGCAAGATTTGACAGATTGGAATATTGGAACTCATCTCCGCTTCTTCTTGAGACATTCGGGCCCGGGATATGGACGAGTAAACGCAGCGTACTGCACCCGGCTGGGCTTCACCGAGCATCTTTCCTAGGTGAGAGTAATACTCAACCCACATGGCTGCCGGGTATCAACCCGACACATGCGAGGACTGGGAGTCGAGATCCAAACGAGACAGTTCGCTCCATGGACAGCAAAAGAAACAGCGGGTTTCGCTCTGTGTGTCCAGTTGTTTGTGTGGTTCAGCTGCAATGCGTATTTGGTGGTCTAGAACTATTACAGTAACGGATTGTCTCCCCTTGATTGTGGTACACACGCTTGGCCAGCACTGGACACCTCTGACGGAGGATTGCCGGTACGTAACAGACCGTAACGTCACGATGGATGGGCCAGAGGGGCGGGACGTGACGGAATCGAGTTGGAAAGTGTGGTGGTAGGAAGCTTTCGCTCGCTCGCCGTAGTGACCGACCGACAGCCTTCGTACGGAACAGACAGGCACCAGACAGAAACGACAGGAACGACGCACAGACGTAAAGGGCTGACGGAACGCACAGAGGAATAGAGGTGTATTCGCTCGTGCGACCGTAGCTATGTCGTGAGTGTCGTCAGGTCTTGCCAATCAGACACCCTCTGAAGTCACGCCGCGCCACTAATGGAGCGCCTTATGATGTCATGCTGCGACCCCTGCCGCCGACGGTTGGATTCTCTGTAGTAACAAAGTGGACCAATCAAGACGGTGGAACGAGCGTTTTACCTCCCCCCTCAGTCTCGCCTAGTAACGTTTTGGCAAAATACTCCGTCACACACTCCCACTGCCCCCCTTTTCCTCAAACGCTGGCTCATACCGTCACAGGAAGGAAGATAGACACCCGCAAAGACCTGACGACCTCATAGCTATCACCACCACACCAATCATCCAGTTACGTTCGAGATCCGGAAGAAGCCTTTTTTTTCCTATTAGGTGTGGTTAGCTTTGACGTTTGGAATGCGGCTCCCATACCTTGACCAACCCCCCTTGGAGGAGTGTGGTCCTTGCACATGGCTAGACCCCTTTCCTTAATTCCTCGCCACAGGTGTTCATCATCATGCTGCCTTTCAGGAGCTGCTGCTACTGCTGCACAAAGAACAGCCTCTACGGCATTTTCCTATGAAGCAATCCCCGCCACCTGCATCACCCTATGACTTATTCTACCCACCCTTCAATGCAAGTCGCCTCAACAATAGATGGTCGAAGATCAATGGTACGCCAAGAATCGAGACTTTGAACCCTCCTTTCGAGACTCTGTCTAATCCGAACCAGAAGGAAGCTCACTTATTTTTTTTATTTTTTTATTTTTGGCAGAAGGCTAGTTGAACCTGGGGGCCACCTAGCACCACACGTGATGACGACATGCCTCACATCATCACCATTGTGCCACCATGCCTCAATCAGAAGCAGCAAACAATTTCTCAAATCTCTCACATTCTATTCTAGTGGAAGATGTACGTCTGTGACAGCATAGTCAGCATCAACCCCTGGTCAACGGCTAAGCGACTAAGAGGCAGTTCCTTTCGACCTTGTGTCGTCAACTCTGGGCCACCGTAGTATCACAAAATAGAGTCGACGTCCACGGCTCCTATGAACGAATGGTCCAGCACGATGACATCGTTTCACTTGTCAGCAATAGCACCCCCGCTTAGGGAGAAGCCGAGATCTGGGGAAGTCAGCATTGTCCGAAACGTCATGGATGATGTTATGCGCCAGAGGCTTCCGTCGAGGCCATCTACAGCCTCAATGAAACCCCCTTGAACCCTCACTGCGGTCCAGACTTACTGTTCGTTCACTATGACCGAATATTATGGGACTTGCGATCTTCCAACCAACACTTCACATGCTCGTGTGCTCTGATTCCGAGCGAGATTTGAGGGACACGAATGGGGAAATCAATCGAGGCACCACTATGACTAAACTACGGCAGCAGAAATGTGGATTAAACCATCGCATTATGCAGCGTTGCTTCGGTATCAGCTTCGGTGTGCGGCTACCATTGTACGGCACCTCTGCGTCTGCGCTGCGCTGAGGGCGCTGGCCAGAGCCCGGCGACATCGAGATCATGTTCGGCACCCTTGTGGAAAATGATTGGTGTGTGGCGAAGCAATTTGCTGATCTCCTCCGTCATCTCGACCGCCGTTCCCCGTCCCCGGATTCGCGCCCCTGGCTCGCAACACGGAAGGCATCAACGGTCACAGTACGGTTGTGGCATCCACTGAAGGTCGGTGTCTCTTTAGAAGCTCTGACATTGAGATCCCGATCGCGGGCCACTGTTAGTCTGGGTGAATGGCATCATGCTGCTTCTCGGCGGCACTAAATTGTCCTCTATCGACACCCATCGACGCTGGACCGCTGATGCGGACTACATACTAGTACGGTTCATACCAGGATTCATTGTAGGGATCATGTGGAACAGCCACCTGTTGATATGGCACTCATCGGAGATAGTAGAGATCAGGAAGCTGATCCAGGTTGTATTCCCATCGGACCACAAGAATTGTTGTGGCTCTCCTGTTGGAGTGCACGAAATCCAGCATTCGGAAAGGCAGTGTCATGTAAGTGACCTTACCAAAGGTGTAAAACTCACGCAGTTGTAAGTATGTCCACAGTATTTCGGGTTTGTTCCACACAAACATCTTCTCCAGTTATGTCTGGATCGTGTGGGTTTCCCAAGCCATCATGTGAGTTGACTGATATCACTCATCTCAAAGAACAGTCAGTGAGGATCCGTGGTTATCGGAGTGCCGCCTCGACTGCCCCGGCATCATGCTTGCTCATACTACACTACAATGGGCCTCGCCAGGTCGAAGAGAGGCAAATCATAGTCGAGACAGTGCAGACGTACGTAGCAGAAGACCCGCAACAAGCGTGCAACCCGTCCCTGGGGAACCATGGTTCTTCGACCCATACATTTTGCACTCTTGTTGGTTCTCTTCTAGGCTTAGGCCCGCACAACCTGTTCTGTTATAGTGTAACTTCTATACCATCGTTGATTCTGACGGCCTATTGATCTTGTAGTCATTGTTATATCACAAGCCCAGATAGAGACACTTTGTGTCAAGGCAGTTCATATATTTCTGGCTTGGCGGGAATCTACGATGCCACACGTGGTCGGTTAAATCTCTACAGCTCTGATGAATCAATAAGAATGAATTATCCGACACAACACGCGGCGTCGACACTCAGAACAGCTTTACTGGGTCTTACTGTTGGTCATCCGTCGGGTGTTCATTGCCATGAAGTTTCGAAGACTTACACAGTCGTACACGAGCTATCATGAGTGAGCCAATTGGTATTGTTCAACGTTATTAAACAGAAAATTCTTGGTTTTAACAGACTCGTAAGACGTCACTCATTTCAAAGTATGCCACCTCTCCACGAGGTAATTGGTCGCCCTATTAGACAGCGTTCAATAACGTGTTTTGGGTGTAATATTTCCGAATCGGCGTTCATTCAAACGAATAAATCTATTTACTATGGCAGCTGTAGTTTCAAACCTTGTCTAGCACCTACCGTCAAACAAACATTTCCCTCCAAAGGCTCTATGAAAGGACGGGGCACGACAGTGAGGAGTACGGTCATTAGGTGCGGTGAACTCTCTTTGGGTCATAGATACTAATTCATGTGCATCTCAAAGGTATGAGTGGGCAATCTCATGAATAAGCCTCCTTGGCGCTCAGTGTCTTTTCAACCGTGATGGAACATTGTATCACCTTGCAGGTATTGTACAGTGTTCATGACGACAACAACAGTAAAGGCAGGAAATATGTTTGAGGTCAATGGGGACCGAATTGCTATGAGATCATTGGGCAAAGTTGAAGAAACTCAAGGCCGTGTAGCGTTTGCTCTGCTCTAGATACTTGGACCATATGAGTAATCCTACTCCGCAAATTACAAGGTCAAAGAGCTGTGAACCATGAACGTACGCCCTTTGTGATTCGACATGTGATCCTATCACTTACTCTTTACTATGTATCTTCCTGTCAGCTCACAAGGCTGGATGCTTGCAGAAGCAACATCGTTGAGATAACCTTACCTCGGTGATGCAAGTGCAAAGAAGATAAAAATTAAGGATAATCGACGGAGAAGCGGCTTCTACGAAAGCAAAGCTAAGCTTATCTCGCCCAACTCTATTCCCTCCGACTGATACGCACCATTCCCTTTTTGTCCGCCACCCATCGACAGGCCGATTCAGATGAAACCTCGCCAAAGGACATGACACGATACCCAGCAACTCACTCCATGTGAGTTGCCCTTTGTGGTCTCCTAGAGGCGACTACCAAGGAGAGATTAGTTGCGAGGTGGCGGGCGTGAGCGGCGTCTACCGCCCCGACGACACTGTCCAGATGCTTCCATCATGGGCGGCCGCCTCTCGCAAAGGAAGCTTGTCTATCCCCTGTGGCGAGCAGAAAGAGGGGGTTTGAAGATCATTCACTGCAGTCCTCGTCTGATTTTATCGTAAGACACCTTCCCCTACGGTTGAAGGCAGTAAGTTAAATCCAGTAGCCCAGGCCGATCCTCTGCCGATCCTCCGTCGAACCCCACCGACAAAATCGTTCAAGGGCGGGGTTGATACACGGGGAGAACTCTCTGCATGCCGCATAATCAAAGGGTCCTTTGGGTAATTCGGAGGTCCCTTGCTTGTCGCTTTGGTCCCGACCAGGAACACCACAGGGTTCTCGCCTCCGTCAGGTTCTTTCACTTCTCCAATCTAGCGGGCAGGCTCTTCCGTCCGGATAGTTTTGAGGTTATGGCTGCATGAGTCTCTACGGCCCTTAGAGCCCACACATGGCGGTTGACAGCGTCGATCTTTTTTTTGCGGGCACACTAGCTTATGATGATTGTAGACGCCCGCTGGTGCAACCACGAGCCATGGGCATGGCGTTCGTGATGGCCACGATGGACGATCGTTCCATGCTCAATTTCGGGTTGGGGTATATCCGTGACATTGATGGACTTTTCAATGTGGCCTCTCAAGCATACTAGTAGAGTGTCTGCAAGCCGACGTCAACTGACTCCTAGTAAGCATGAAATGCACCTGCCCGGTACGAGTCGTAAGGCGTATACGACCAGGTTTTCTTCCCCCGCTGGTCAGCAATTCTGCCTTTGGCGATTTCCGCGGATCATGCCATTCGTTCGAGACCCCCTTTCCTCGTCCATCAGGGTAGTGTCAACGACGGTTGCGCCTAGTTTTTTCATCTGGTTTGCCAAACATTACTGGACGGTTATTCCGTCTTCCAGCTTTGCCTATCTGCTCGGATACTTGGCGTACTAGTGCGGCTTCTCAGTCGGGGCACCACTGTAGTAATCTCGCCCTTGGAGGCCGTCGAATCTGTCCTCCTGCAAGAAATGCTGCCGCGTGGTAAACTTCAGATGATGCCCTCTGCAGATTCGGACCTCCCGGGCAATGATTGATGAGAGGGCAAACAAACTCCGGGTGCCGAGTATCGGAAACAAAAAACCGATGTTTCATGCCCTCTGCAAAACCGTTGGCCCCTTGGTGGCGGGGGTGTGCCAGCTACCATAACATCCAGGGCCTTCCTGGTCAGGAATAATCGGCAGCACCCGAGTTATCGCTTCAAACATTTTTGCTATGTTATGGGGAAATAAGCGGATCGATTTTTTCGAGGGTTGGAAAACCACGGGCTTAAGCAGCTTTGTATCACATCATGGAATGACCTTCAAAAGAATTTGGCGACTACTGGTAGACTAGAGACATTGCCTGGTGCAATGTGATTGGTTTCCGACGCTACGGCCAGATCTCGCTATGTGAAGGTAGGGCGCATCACAAACCACAGACCCCGGGTTGAGTCTGGAACCGTGCCGGCGTCGCACAAGCATCCCATCTTGGTGAAGAGCTTTTGGACAGAAAAATACTGCTCGAAATTGACTGGGGACGAATCTTTCTCAGTGCAACAGCAAAGTAGACAGGAGCCGAGGACGTCTTTTCGGAGGCTTCCTGAGAAGCCCATGGGCAAACCAAGCTGCTAGTACTAACGATGGGCTGTGGAATACTTACCGTCTGCGGACTACACCGCGTTAGAAATACCGCCCTCAGCGTTGCAGTTCCCAGCTACATCACGAACAACTTCACACATTCTGTGCCGGTTCGATTCAAATAAGGATACCCTTGCATATTCCAGGAACACACTTCCCCGCTAATCGACGCACATCTCCCGAATCCAGGGGAGTGTGATAGCGGTCAGTGCTCGGTGCGGCAGCTTTTCTTGCGTGTTGTAACAAGATTGCTGAGACAACGTTTCATCTTGGCTCGACGATGTTTCCGCTCCGCGGGATGGCCACCCACCCTCTCCTCGTCCTCCAAGGTAGCGTGGTGTGCAGGGCGAGGAAAGTCGTTCGCCTGACCCCTAAATAATGACTACGCCGGCTTTTCTCGACGCATTTCCTACGTAGTCGAAACTCTTTTTTCTTCGTTTTTCTTGTTAAACGACGTTGTGGTTGAGCCCGGTAGTCTTGTTTCTCTGTTCATTTCATTCCTTCCTTTTACTTCTACTACTAAAACTTACAAGCGCGAATTACTATATCCGCTCCTTCAGGTTATTTCTTAATAATGTTTTCCAAGGCTATTGCTGTCCTGGCGGCGGCGACGTTGACGTCGGCCGCTACGCCCCAGGGATTCATGCCCGCTTCCAACACCCCTCTAATCGTCTCTTATATGGGCATCTCGGCGCTGGACGGTGTGAATCTTCCCAGGGACTGTAAGTGACCATAAGTGGGATTGGGAAACGAAATAGCGAATCGAGGCCTAACATCATTATCAGCTAGCCAGAACATGCCCACGATCGCGACCGAGCAGAAGCTGCAGGGTCAGTTTGCCGTGATGATGGTGGATATCGATGTTCCGACCAACGAGCCCCCCAAGACGGGCACTCTCCTCCACTGGATGCAGACCGGTTTCACGTCCGCCGATACCCCCACGCTCCTTAACACGACTGCCGGCACCAAGACCGTCTACCTCATGCAGAACAAGATGAACGCGGCAGCTCTCGCCCCGTACATTGGCCCCAACCCGCCCGCGAGGGAGCCTCTCAGCCACAGATATACCTTTGTCGCCGTCGACCACACCCAGATCACGCAGCAGGGACTCACGGCCCTGTCCGGAGCCGCCCAGAACCGCCGTGACTTCAACCCCATGAGCGCCCTCATGGCTGCCGGTCTCCAGGACAAGGTCGTCGCCGGCAACTACTTCCGCGTCACCAACGCCGGCCCTGTCGGCGCCGGTACGGGTGCCGGTAACACTAGCGGCACCACCCCCACCACCCCCGGCGCCAACCCCGGCATGGCACCCATGCCCGGCATGAGCATGACTCCCGGAATGACCATGCCCATGCCTGGTATGCCCGCTGGCTCGAGCCCCCCTGTCGGAGGTGCCCAGCCCAGCAACCCCATGGCCGCTTCCAGTCATCGCACCACCCCCGCCTTCGGCGTTATGGGCGCCGGCCTGCTGGCTGTTGGCTCGCTGTTCGTCTGGCTGTGAACATTTCCCTGCTATTTAACATAATAGGGGTTTTCCGTGGTGAATAAAGGGAGTTAAGTTCTGGTTTTTTATTGGTGAAAGGCCAGAGAGCACTTTTTTTTTTTCTCCCTCTTCTTACTCTGGCTACCTTTTTGAAAGCTGCATGTAGTGGGATGCGAACGTAGTATATAGGGTAGAGCAGCATGCCAATAACAACAGTTCATATGTGGCACAGAATCATCAACCGATTTGTAGTCGTAATACGGGATTGAACGTGACTGATCTGCAAACCATCGAATTTGCCATGATTGGGAGTCTGACGACGTCAGTACCGGAGGCGCATGCAGGGCGAAGCAATTCAGCCGTGCAAGGATTGTCCGCAAAAAGAAGAGTTTTCGGAACGGCATTACGCCGCCGCCATGTAAATACCGGCTCGGGTAGATTTTACTGGATTGGCTCGACTCCGGGGTGTCGGCGGGACGTCCTAATGCCGCCGAACCCCGTTTACACCCGGGCTGGATTGCGCCGTGATCACGTGCCATCTCGTGTCGCCCTGCCCCTTTGGGGGCTTTCCTCGTCACGACCTGCCGTCCGCCATCCCTTCCTAATAGCACCGCTGACCACACTCTCCGTATCTGGTGTCCCCCCTCCGCGCGCGCGCGCAAATGCACGCCCAGACTTCTTTGCCCTTGTTGCCCATCTTATTTGTACAACCCGCGCGAGTCCTCTACCGCCGGCGGATGCTTTTTTTTCTTTGACTACATGAGTATGACACATCTGATGCCATGCACTGCACTTCTTCTTCTAGGAGAAATCTGCTCTCTGACTAATGATGTGCTTTCCGAGCGCCTGCTCTGTAATTGACACTTCCACAACCATCCCTTACATAGTAAATCAGATAATCTAATCCACTGAGGCTGTCAAAGTGGCTTTGTTCAGGTACCACCCTCCGGAGACATGTCTGACGGTAATACCTTTTCCCCCCCTCTCTTTACTCAGCAGTGAGAATTTGTATCCGCAGTGAGTTCAGGCTTTTAGCGTACCCGCCAACTCTAAAGTGTGGATATGCAGATGCGGCGCGGCAAGACTAATCGTCCAAGTTGCCCTTTGACTTGGCGGACCAGGATTACACATGCAATCAATCTCTCCGTCAAATATTGACAAATGCGTCTTTCAGCGGGAAAAGCCTCTTGGACGGTATTCGGATGTGTATAAAGCAGGTTCTTATCCCGCTCGATGTCTGCATAGAAAAGGTCCCCTTACGGATACACAAAACCCGCATTTCGAGCTGCCTTACGAAACGGATCAGAAACGTAAACGAGCAACTTCCCAGCTGGCCCATAGAAGCAAGTATCAAAAACAGCACCCTGCACCCGTCGATCTTCCACAGCCGGCTTGCTCTCCTTTGCAAAGCATCTATCATACCTGAATTTTAAGAGCTTGTGGAAAAAGCACACATCACCAAAGCAGCAATGCCTACTCTCGTCGTTCTTGGCGCTGGCCTGTCTGGCTTGCCAATCGTGCACCACGCCCTGAAACACACTGCCCCTCTGGTCAAGGATTTCAAGGTCATTCTCGTGACTCCCAACTCCGAGCAGTAAGTGCTACTAGCTTCAGTGAGAGATTATGGATATCACAGTTACTCACACGCCACAAGGTTCTGGAACTTAGCATCCGTTCGAGGTGTGGTACCAGGTCAACTGGGCGACGATGCCCTCTTCCACCCCATCGAGCCCGAGCTTGCCCAGTACCCCAAGGGTAGCTGGGAGTTCGTCCTCGGCAAGGCCGAGACCTTGGATGATGGCAAGAACACAATCGTTGTCGCCGGCAATGATGGCTCCCGCCGCACCATCGCCTACGACGCTGTCGTCATCGCCACCGGTACCCGCGCCAAGGAGAACATGCCGTGGAAGGAGGTCGGCACCACCCAGGAGACTAAGAAGGCATTGCACGATATCCGCCAGCAGCTCACGGCCGCCAAGAGAATCGTCATTGCCGGAGGTGGCATCACGGGCACCGAGACGACCGGCGAGATTGCTTTCGAGTACGCACAGAAGGGCGACAAGGAGGTCTACTTCGTCTACAGCAGCGACCTCCCTCTCGGTGCTCCGCTGGTTGACAACGTCCGCAAGGCGGCGCTCAACGAGCTGACCAAGCTCAAGGTCAAAACAATCCCCAATACCAAGGTTACGGGTGTCCAAACGGAAGCCAACGGCAAAACGACGCTGGAGCTTACGGACAAAGACGGCAAGAAGACAACAATGACGACGGATGCGTACGTCCCAACCGTCGGTTCCATCCCCAACACCAGCTTTCTCCCGGCGAGCATGGTGGATGCCAACGGATATGTCAACCAGGACGCCAGCCTGCGCGTACCGGGCCATAACAACATGTTTGTTGTTGGCGACGTTGGAAACCTTGAGGATGCATACGGACGCATTGCGGATCTGCAGGTACAGCACGTTGTCAAGAGCATCCAGGCACACTTCACCGGCGCAGCGAAGCCTGCGGACTACGTCGTGGACCCCAAAGTCATTGCCGGTATTACCATCGGCCGCAGCAGGGCGACAGGACAGATGGGCACTTGGAAGCTGCCAAGTATCATGATTTGGTTGTTCAAGGGCCGGTATATCGGCACTGATTATTCCAAGCAAATTGCGCAGGGAAAGAGGACGCTCACGGTCAAGAATTGGTGAGCGGGAAGAAAGTGATGATTTGAGAGACGTAGACGATGCATGTCTGGTGTTTTGGCGCTTATGTTGATGGTCATGGCATGGCGGCGTATTATTAGTAGATTCCCGCTTTGGGTACTGATCGTTTTCTCGTTTCTGCTTCCTGTGTGGCAATGGCGGGAAGCTGTTTGGAACGGTAGTAATTACCGCATATTTAGAACTAGGCAGAATCAAAGGATATTAATCTTATTTCAAGAGCATTCTGGACCAAACGTGGTGTTGGCGTGGTGAGCTGCCGAACGGCGAAGGGAGACCAGAGTGGAATGGACCCAGTGGGTACCGAGCAGCACGTACCTGAGAGGTCTCAAATCACGTGCAAAAGAGGTTCAGAAGAATGGTGGGGGCCGGCTGAATAGGGACTAGCGCAGAATTCCTAAAGCTTCAAAATGGCGGCGCGCTGCGAAAATTCTTTCGGATTTCTTCTTCTTCTTTTTTCCTTAGATCAAAAAGTAACCCAGAGCTGCCACGACCAGCACCAAGTAGCTCCACGGTGTTCGAGTTGCCTTTCCCTCTCCGGAGGGAACGCTCTGCAGATTAAAACCCTTGATTATAGGAAGTTTCTCCCTAGGCCCTCTCAGGCGGTGGGTGAGAAATGCTGTTGATGGGGGACATGCCTTTCGCGCATGCTGAAGACTTTGTTTAAAATGATTGGAGGAAGTACAATATCGGGCTGTATGGACCTTGTCTGCCGACGGCCCTGGATGTTTTCTCCTTAGCTCCGCGTGAGTTATGGGTCATTGATGAGGAGGCGTCCTCGCGTATTGAAATATCGTTTGTGACACTATCCTGTGAATGGGTGACAATGAGGGAGTCGGTGTCTCGGTCCTGACGTTGCCATCTAGACCTGCAGCCAAACTCCGTCTAGATTGGGTCAAAACACCCTCGCCTGCGACCTACGAGATGAGCTCAGTCTGTTAATAAGGCGAGGACATGAGGTTGCATTTTTTCCATGTGGAAGGTCGTTGGCCAGTGTGGAGATGTAATCATCCCACAACCCAGCTGAAAGGGAGCGAGTGCCCCGGCCGGTCATCCATCCGCCAAACTCATCCCGCCGCGTTACCATGAATGGTAAGCTGCTTGACTGATGAACGAGAAACCAGTTGATTCTAGACTGTTATTCGCGAATCTGCACGTGTCTTGGGTCGAGCGGATTTTTATCTCCTCTTGTTAAGGTGCAACTACACCACATGTCTTTGCCCCTGACCACATTCTTGACTGTTACCCCAAGCATGCTGCTTCGTGTCGGGTCCCAGGGCAGCAACAACCCACCCGGCACCTACCCTCCTGTTCTTTCTGTATGGGTTCTCGCCTGTCATGATGGTATTGTGTAGAACGCTCCTGGGTTTTTTGTTTGCATGTGTTCTCGATATCGGCAAGAAAGCTCTTTTCGCAGGCGCTCTCAGACCAGTATCATCTTCGACCGACCGATTGGGGTTCGTCAAGGCATTACGACATGTTTCTCTCGTAAGAGGTTGTCCAATATCCCCAGCGTACCCCTCAAGATCAGTCATCTCCTATTTTCCATGCGAGCTCTGTCGAAGGAATGTATCGCAATGTCCCGTCATTCCCCCCTTTGCTTGCTTTCGCAGGAGGGGCACTGTTTCCCAGCGGCGAGGCGTCTATCGCATGCTGGTCTGCTCAGCAAACCGTCTCCTTCAACACTGACTGTCCCGTTCCTATAAGACGAGCTTGCCGAGCACGATGTAGGATCACTTCTCAGTTTAGATTTTCCCTCTTCAGTGCTCTCCATAGTCTGCCGCCCCGAAGGACTCTTACTGCCCGGTACACTCGTTGGACTCTGTCCCCTCACATTCGTTCTCACAGCATAGCCTGCTTGTCGCTCGTTTCGTACAGCTCAAACCGCTCCTCTTGCTCACCGTCTTAATCATCCTCTCAAACCTCTCTTCCCAACCTTCACCAACCTTTGAACGACTTTCAGAGTTTGTACAGAAACAACCGTCAAAATGAGGTATATCTTTTCCCTCGGGTTGTATATCTTGAAGACGCTGGCAGATGCTAACACAATCCAAATAGTCTCGGACAAATAACCAGCTCTGCCTTCATCACCTGTGACCCCATCCCGGTCACGGTGCCGACCACGGTGACCACCACCCAATTCACCACCATCTACACGACAACGGCACTGGCAGCCAACCCCACCACTACGTGGACTGCCACTTACACTGTCACTGAGGTGTGCCCTGGCGCCCCCTGCCAGCCCCATGCCATCCCCCCTTGCTTCGTCCCGACCACCATCCTCTGCCTGCCTTGCGCCGAGAAGACCATCCCCATCATCTGCCCGGCCCCGACTCTGCTTCCCGGAGTCACCATCCACGGCAATGGTGTCACCGCCGATGCCATGCCTACTGCTCCTGCTGCTTACGGCGCCTACGGAGCCTACGGAGGTGGTGCCAACCCCAGCGGTGCTGCTCCCGGCTACGGTGTCTATGGTGGCTACGGCGACTACAAGAACGGACAGCCCGTCCAGTCTGGCGTCCCCGTCGGCCCCGGTCAGCAGCCCGGTCAGCAGCCCACTCAACCCCCGGCCGGCAAGCCCACCGTCGTCACCGCCTCAGCGCCGTCTCTCAAGAAGAGCCTCGGCCTCCTTTGCGGTGTCGCAATGGCCGCTGGTCTCACTGTTCTTGCTTAAGTTACCGCTACGAATAATTTAATTCCCACTCACGACCAAGACAAGACTAAAAAGGGGGGGCGCCCCGTCACGTACACGATTATGACAAACTTTTTTTTTAAACAAAGCCCCCCCCTGCCGCCTGGAGAAACGCCTTACTTTTCAAAGACTTTGATTATTTTAAACCATTTTTTGTGCAACGTTTTGTTGTTTGTTTTAATTTTGGCGGCATTTGTGGCAGCATGTACTGCCCACCAAGCGGAGTTGACATAAGGTGGACTGAGGGCCCTCGGGTGTCGCGTTTTCATTAATTGAACGTTTAGATCGAGTATGAATACATGTTGCCTTGGGTGTTCTAGATTCTCCTTTGCCACTGAATGCCTCCGTGATGATGAAAAGAGAGAGATATCCACTAGCTGTGAAGTCGTCTGTTCGTAATGTATGTGTGTTTCACGAAAAAGTTCGGTTCCTTGCCGCCAAGCTTTTGATGTAATGGTGAATTTGGATGACGTTAGGATTTAGGCAATGTGATCAAGGCTTGCTTTGCTATGGACAAAAAACAGCAACGAAAAACAATAATAAACATAGGTAAACAAACAAACAAAGTCAGCCGAATAACACCTCCGAAATGAATATCCCTAGTTACAAAAATCAGGGGGGTTGCCTTCTTGGCCGCGTTAGCCCTCATTCCAACAAACCGTCTTCTCCCTTGCTACGATGCTGCTGCCGGATGAATTCCTCGACCTGGGCGTCGTCGTAAGGCCGTTCCGGAGGGCCAGGTATTCCCGGACGGGAAATCTTCTCCTTCTTCTCCTCCTTCTCCTCCTGCGGATTGCCGAGGATCTTGGCGGCGGCTGGAATGTACTGTGTCACTTTTCGGAATGTCTGGATGAGCCACACGTACAGAACATAAGAAATCAACGAATGGGGTTGTGCAGTGCTGTGGGAGTGGGCCAATGTTGACGGTGCTGTGACTGTACAATGCAGGTAGGCACGAAGAAGGAAAGGGGATGTAAAGTGCTATATGATGCTGAAGATCACCCACCTTTTTCAATAATAGGATTCTGTTTGGGCGGCTCATCGGGTTCCCGAGCATCGTGCGCCGCCTGGTCTAATTGCTGCTTGAAGCTCATCTCGCGCACATTGGTCTGCGTCTTGGGCGCAGGCGCGAACTTGGAGTTGGGTTCAGCGGACATGATGAAAGGGGGGCTGTGTCGGGCACTAGTGGTGGTTTGGGTAAGGCTGTTGGATATGGAGATATCGCTCGCGTGCTATCGATAGCGATAGGGCTGAGTCGGAGGGTCGAAGTCGAAGTAAACTTGAAGGGGCTCCGCGGAGAAGGACGGTAGAGACAGCTTAGGAGGTTCAGAAAGTTGGATTGAGTTTTCTTAATGTGGCGGAGCAAAAGCAGGCATCAGAGAGCTAAGAACAATCGATGGGGAAAGAATACGCCCGACAGGGCTGGGCTGAGGAAGGGGGGGCTGCTCCTAGTAATAAGACTGGTAGATGTTGCGATGTAGGTGAAGGACCTGAATGCAGGGGAAACGCGCGTCCAGCTCAGAACTATGTGATCATAGGTCTGGGCGGGCTGGGCCGATTTGATGCCTGTCACTCCAAATGGGGCTGATCTGTCTGGGCTTGCGCGGGTGTTTCTTGCCGTCCGCTTTACTAGGTGATTCTATGGTTGTTTCCTAGCTGCTTGATGTAGGAAAACAGGCGATGGCCGGCACCCACAAACTGGGGCTAATGACGTCAATCCGCCTAGCTCGGCACTGCACTCTCCTTGGCCAGCCGGCTAAGATAACCTTAATTCACCCACTGTGCAGTTTCTTATCGTCTCTTATCGGGTGCTTATCGGCTACTGCCCCTCCATTCCGCCCGCCAACAGCCGCTACTCGGCGGCATTTCCCTCAACCAAAATTTTTGGTGATCTGATGCCGTCGTCTCAACACATTTCACCAAAGCTTCGAGGCTTTCCACGTTTTTGACTTCTTCTATTCCGCCTTTCCGAAGCGCATTTTCTTCTCCGACAATGGCGCCGATTCCAATCACAATCATTACCGGCTTTCTCGGCTCCGGCAAGACGACGCTGATCCTGAACCTTCTTCCCCAACTTAAGGCCGCGAACCCGTCCTACAAGCTCGCCCTCCTGAAGAACGAGTTCGGTGACCTGGCTGTAGACTCTCAGCTCGCTTCTTCAAATGCCATATCCGGTGTTCAGGAGCTCCTTAACGGCTGCATCTGCTGCAATCTCGTCGGTCAACTCAGCCAGGCTCTCGAGGAGCTGCACTCGACCGTCCGACCGGATCGCATCGTGATCGAGACCTCTGGGTCCGCCTTTCCCGCCACTCTGGCCCTCGAGGTCAACCGTCTCGCACGCGACACGGGCAATTACGTTCTCGATGGCGTGATTAGCGTCATCGACACAGAGAACTGGAAGGGCTATGAGGACACGAGCTACACCGCGCGCATCCAAGCAAAGTATACGGATCTCATCGTCTTCAACAAGTGGGAGCTCTGCTCCGAGGACCGGTTTGATGAAGTATTAGACCGCGTGGGTGATCTCGAGGTTGAGATTCCTTGGGTGAAGAGCCGCAAGGGCTGGGTTGGCGCGGATCTCGTATTTGGTGTTGATGGTGGGCTGGCACAAGCCCTGACGGAGGATACTGCTCACTCGCACGACCACGACCACGAACACAATGGAGAGAATCATGCGCACGATCACCAGACTGAAGTTGAGGTGTTGTCAGTGGAATTGAAGGGTCCCAAGGGCGCGGCTGTCAACGCCGAGAAGTTGCAGAACCTGCTGCGCGCTGCGCCAAAGGAGGAGGTGTACCGCATTAAGGCTGTCCTGACGGCATCTTCGACGGTGAGGGGTTCGGATGAAGACGGTGCGGCCCCCACCCCGCCACACCCGCAAGCGCGGTACATCCTCAACTGGGCCTTTGGTCGATGGACTTTCACTCCTATCGCCGAGGGCGGGGCCGAACATGCTTCGAGCGAGGGTGCGTTGTTGCGCATGACGATGATATTGGGACGGTATGAAAGCACAAAGTGGAAGAAGAAGCTCGAGACGGGCTCCTTTTTGGAGGTCGAGGGCGGCGAAGGGGAGTTGATTGTTACGAAGATTTTATGAGGAAATGATTTTAGATGTGAGTGAACGGGTAGAATCACGATACACGGCGCATAGAGGGGGCATAGAGAGATTTGACAGTTGTATTTGAGAACAGCGAGATAGTAGAGGGTCACGGCCAGAAGTACAAAGCATCGCATCATAAACGATAGATACAAGACCAAAGATAGGTTCGAGATGCAGGTTGATGCGTCATGTAAACTGTATGCTACAACCAATCCAGGTGTGTTTGGGTTATTTTCAAGTGGTGTACCAAGAGTCGAAATTACAATTACTTGCGGGAGTAAATTACAGCTGGCGGCTGAGATGGGAATCTCAGCGACGAGTGTAACCCCCTCTAACCCCGAGAGCACAGATGGCTCTCCTGTACTATCCTGTGACTGAAAACTTTTGTCATCATCACCATTTCTTTTATTTAGTGGCTTCTCATATCTCTCACTAGCTGTCTCAGTTTAGCATACGACAGAACCCGTCACCTTTCTGACTTAGTTATCAGTGAGTGATGTTTATTTTATTTTCCATGTTTTTACAAGCGCCGGGTATCTCACATATCTTACACTTCTAGACTAAAACATTCATCGTCTTGCCACCACGAGCAACAATGACTCTTTTAGGGGTTCTAATATCGTACTCGCCTCCCGAAAACTTAGTCTTTCCTACTTCCGACTTGAGGACTTCCGCTACCATCCAGTCTCGCAACGCGTCGCCCTGTAAGTCCGACGGAGGAGTGGGAACCTCAGCAACGCCGCGTAGTTTGCCGTTAATCTGGATTGCCACAGGCTGTTTTCGAGGCGTTAAAAGCGATTCAGTATTGTCCCTTACAGGAAATGAGGCAGCTTTGAAGATGGATGCAGAGCCGGGGTAAAGGATACTCCAGCCTTCTTCGGCAAAAGCGGGAGTAATAGGGGCCATCATGCGCAGAAGTGCGGACATGGCCTCTCTCTGAACAAGTGCGCTTGCGCCTGTGTTCTCCAACAAAGTGTTTGTCAGGCTCATGAGATCTGACACGACAGTGTTCAGAGAATAAACCGTCTCATATGACTGGGTGATGGAATCAATAGCTCCTTGAACAGCTCGCCAAATGGCAGTGTCGGCATCCCAAACAGCCAGCTCCTCGGCACCCAGCGACGCCAAATTCTTTGAGCGACCCTCCAGGTACGTCTTGACAGGCGTTCCGTCAGTCGGCAACTTCTGGATTTTTACCGCATGGTCATGCAATCTGTGGAGCCACCTTGTAACGCCGGTGATCTTGTCGTCATCCCAGTTGAGCACGTCACTGACCGGCGCTTGGAAGAGCATGTGGGCTCTTGCAGAATCGGCGCCGTGTTTAGCGACGAACTCCGTCGGGTCGACTCCGTTGTACTTGGACTTGGACATCTTCTCGAAGGACACATTTGCAGTGGCCCCAGTAGCTACGACCTTGGGGTTTGAGGGGTCTTCCAAATCAACCTCGTCCGGCTTCAGGAATCTTCCTGTCTTTGGGTCGGTGAACGTCTTGCCGTGCACCATACCCTGCGTAATCAGTCGCGTGAAAGGCTCATGAACCGCACCCTCTTCCGAACTTGGAAACAACGGTGTTGTAGCCAAGAACTTGTAGAAAAATCTGGCGTAGAGTAGATGCAGGATAGCGTGCTCAATGCCACCAATGTAGAGATCTACAGGCAACTTTTTTGCAGCCTCAGCCGAGAAAGGTTCTTTCTCATTGTGAGGATCCGCAAAACGTGCATAGTACCAACTTGAATCCACAAATGTGTCCATGGTATCGGTGTCTCGCTTTGCATGGCCACCGCACTTGGGACAGCTGGTGTTAACCCACTCTTCAGCCCTTTCCAAAGGATTTCCAGGTTTTCCGTTAGTCCAGTGGTCTCCAACGTCAGGCAGCTTAACGGGAAGCTGGTCGTCCGGAACAGGCACCGGGCCACAGGAGCCACAGTGGATGACGGGAATCGGGGTACCCCAGTACCTCTGACGGCTAATGAGCCAGTCTCTCAGCCTCCACTTCTCAACAGGCTTCGCCAACTCTGCTGCCTCTAACATGGATATTAGCATTTCACCTGCCTCCTTAGAAGACTTGCCCTTGAAGGGGCCACTGTTCGTTGTCATGACACCGTGCTCGACAAAAGGATCGTTTGCCATCGCGGATGTTGACTCGTCTTCAGAGGCTGCCAAAACGAACCTCACAGGCTCATCGTAGTGGTGCTCCTTCCAAAAAGCATTGTCACGGAGGTCATGGCCAGGCACGCCCATTACAGCACCCTCGCCGTAATCGCCAAGAACGTACGGCGCGACATATACGGGGATGGATGCTTTGGTAGCATCGGGCGTGTCCTCGTGGTAAGCCAGGGGGTTGATGGCTCTCACATGTGGAAGCAAGTAGCCAACCTTGGAGTCGCGAGGCAGTCCCGGTAGGGTGTCCAGAAAAGCCTGCAGCTCAGGATCGCTCTTGGCCAACGAGACCACTATGGGGTGGGTAGAAGCCAATGCAACGTACTGGACGCCAAAAAGGGTGTCTGGCCTTGTGGTAAATATCTCGATGCCGGCGTGGATGTCGTGACCCATGGCCAAGACCGGGAACTTGATGACCGCTCCAGTTGACTTGCCTAGCCAGTTCTTCTGTTGGGCAAGAACTCTCTCAGGCCACGCCTCATCCTTTGCGAGCGTCTCCAAATCATTCAACAAGGAGTCTCTAAACTCCGAAATACGGAAGAACCATTGCTTCAACTTGCGCTTCTCAACCTTGGCACCAGACCTCCAAGAGCAACCGTTGGCGTCAACTTGTTCATTGGCAAGAACGGTCATATCGACTGGGTCATAGTTAACCTCGGCTTCGTCTTGGTAGGCAAGACCTCGGTTGAGCATCATCAAGAAGAGCTTCTGCGTGTGCTTGTAGAACTCTGGGTCGCAGGTAGCGAGCTCCTGAAATACGAGATGTCAGCTGCAAACTTTGACGGCGAGGGAGTCAACCAACCCTTTCCCAATCCCAGTTGCCGTTCATAACCTCCAGCTGCTCCTTCATTTTCGTAATATTGGTCTTGGTCCATGTTGCGGGAGCAATCCCACGCTCAATGGCAGCATTCTCAGCCGGCAGTCCGAATCCATCCCAACCCATGGGTAGCATCACCCGAGATCCTTGCAATGTGTGGTATCGAGAGAGAACATCGGCGATGGTATAAACTCGGAAATGGCCCAGATGCAGGGTGCCTGACGGATAGGGAAACATGGGGAGGACATATTTGCTTGGTTTGCTAGAGTCCGTTTCGGCGGCAGTAGCTTTCGAGGCTTCCCATTGCTGACGCCACTTCTTGTCTAGGGCGGGTAGATCGAGCTTGATATCTGCATAGCTTCGTCTCTGGGTGGCCTGGACCAGATGTGGACTCGCGAAGGATTGAGGTTGTCGTGAAGCTAGCAAGGGCGAAGCTCGTGCAGTTTTTGCAAAAGTTGCAATGGCTCGGGTGGGCCATACGCGACCAACATTTCTTGCTTGGATCAATAGCATGGCGACGGTGCTGTCATGATCAATTGACGGCGTCGGGGTGGGAACGAAGTGACGAAGTAGTAATCATTCGTCGGTGTCACGTTCTCACAAAATATGGTCTGGCGGCAAGTGGTCGCGTTTGCAGCTCAAGCTATATCAAAAAACGGAGAGCTTTCGGAACGGCGCCCAGAATCCCTGCAGGTCCGCCCCTACCCTGCGGAATCTTAGTGGCACAGGGCCCTGCAGGGGAACGTCATTTATTCCGCGCACCCCTGGGACGAATCGTCGTATTGCACTGTTGAACCAGGCCCATGGCACAGGAGGATGATGTGCTGGGACTTGCTTGCATTGCCTCGTTGTTACCTTCTCATAACGGAAGTTGCGTACACTGACGCATGAACGGTAACTACGGACTCATTTAATATATACTTTTTCATATAGTCTGAAAGCTCAACGCAGTTTCCTCAGCGCCATGCAGCCGTAACGTGCCAAAGACGTTGCGGATTAACTAAAGGCCGCCGAGAACGGTCTAAACACTGTGTGTACTAGCCTCACCGCCCCACGAGACGTGTCATCCGAAGTTGCGGTCACAGTATGTGGCACTATCTCCATAAAGAGACTGCCCCGCCAAACTCAATCAAATGTCTTTCAATATCTTCGTAGGTACGCCTCAGTGCTAAGGAATGACGACAGCGCAAACAAGCCAATCAGGTAGCATTTTGTCTCTCAAAACTACCAAGCTTTGACTGTTGAGCTTGTAGTTCCCCTGGCATACTTTGTGTCTCAGTTGTTTTTCTCTACTCACGTCACTTTGTCTTTCTGTCGGTCTTGTTCGAAATCTCGGACTGGCTCAGCGCCCCCCGCCTTGCCCCTCCATTGCTGTTAACAACGTCCATAAGCGCACCTAAGCCTCCCATAGGAAGGGCGTTTTCTTGGATATTTTTGAGCGAAAAGTTAGGAAATCGATTTAACAAAGCATCAACTCAGCCACCGTCCGCTGTGTAGCAGATTGCCCGGCATACACATTAAGATGGACAAGATCACGGATAAGATCGCCGCTTTGCCGGCAGACGCCAACTACTTCTCCCTGGAGTTCTTCCCCCCCAAGACCGCAATGGGTTTCTCCAACCTTCGCGATCGTCTGGACAGAATGGAAAGGGCTTTGAGGCCACTTTTCGTCAACGTGACTTGGGGAGCTGGTGGATCAACCTCGCAAAAGTCCTTGGAATTGGCAGAGATATGTCAGAGGGAGCTGGGCCTTACAACTTGTCTCCACTTGACATGTACGAACATGAGCCGCCGCCTCATTGATAAGGCTCTGGAAGATGCGAAAGCGCTCGGTATCCGTAATATCTTGGCCCTGAGAGGCGACCCGCCGCGCAAAGACGAGTATCGTGGCGCTGATGACTCCGACGTTGACGACGTCGACGACTTCGTCTGGGCCATTGACTTGGTCAAGTATATCAGAAAGAAGTATGGCGATTATTTCTGCATAGGAGTTGCCGCCTACCCCGAGGGACACGCAGATGAGAGTCACCCTCTGGGCCAGAGCTTCGAGCACGACCTCCCCTACTTGGTCGACAAGGTCCAGGCCGGTGCAGACTTCATCATGACCCAGCTCTTTTTCGACATCAAGGCCTATGACAACTTTGAAAAGGTTTTGAGGGAACACCCCAGTGGCGCCTTCAAGACGATCCCTCTCCTCCCGGGCCTGATGCCTATCCAGAGCTACCAGATGATCAAGCGCACGACCAAGCTCAGTCATGCCAAGATCCCCGATGCTCTTATGGCCAGACTGGACGCTGCCAAGGGCGATGACGAGAGAGTCAAACGCGTCGGTGTCGACATTGTCAGCGAGCTCGTGGAGCAGGTCAAGGAGGTGAAGAGCAGGACGCCTGGCCCCAAGGGTTTCCACTTCTACACCCTCAACCTCGAAAAGGCTGTCTCCTTCATCCTGGAAAGGACAGGTCTCATCCCAGACCCCGAAGAAGATGATAATGAGGAGGCCGTAATTGACGACGGCACCGTTCCTACAGTCCAGCTCAACGGCCTGGCTCATGTCCCCAGCGTGCCCCGTACCTTCTCTGGCCGTCGCCAGTCTTCTATTGGCTCAGACCCCCACAACCGCGTCATTGTCTCCTCGGCCTCAAACCCCGCTTACGAGACCACGGCTGCCAGTCTTTCCGCGGAACCCGTCAACACTCGGGCTAATACGCTGGCCATCTCCGAAGGTGAGGGCGTGCTGGGCCGTGAGGCGACGTGGGACGACTTCCCCAACGGTCGATGGGGTGACGCCCGTTCCCCTGCCTACGGTGAGATTGACGGTTACGGCGTCAGTCTGCACATGTCTGTCACCCAGGCCGTCAGCCTCTGGGGCACACCCAAGACGGTTCAGGACATCAACAATCTTTTCATCCGACACATCAAGGGCCAGCTCAGCGCCATCCCGTGGAGTGAAGAGGAGCTCCTGCCCGAGTCCAACATCATCCAACAGGAGCTGCTCGAGCTCAACTCGCGAGGCTGGTGGACTGTTGCCTCTCAACCCGCGGTCAACGGCATCCCCTCGCGCGACCCGACGTTCGGTTGGGGCCCGCAGCATGGCTTCGTCTTCCAAAAGTCGTTCGTCGAGTTCTTCCTCCCCTCAGCGGACTGGACCGGCTTGGTCGCGCGCCTGAACGAGGTCAAGGACAACACCATTTGCTTCTACGCCGCCAATGCCGCGGGCGACTTCGTGTCATCGGACGCCAGCGGCGGTCTGGTCCTGGAAGGTACCGAGTCGAGCACTAACGCCGTTACGTGGGGCGTCTTCCCCGGCAAGGAGATTATTACGCCCACCATCATCGAAGAGGTGAGCTTCCGTGCTTGGGCTGAAGAAGCTTTCAAGATCTGGGGTGAGTGGGCCAAGGTCTACGGCAAGGGCAGCGAGAGCGAGGCACTTCTGGAGAGAGTACAGTCCGAGTACTGGCTTGTGAACATCATCCACCACGACTACGTCGAGAGGGATGCTCTGTGGAAGTTGCTCAGGGGTGAAAAGGAGAATTAGTCTGGATAAAAAGCGAACGAGAAAGGGGTAATTGGCCGGGCATAGTTTTCTCTTCCCTATACTAGTAGCCGCCATCCCAGTCAGCAGCGAATGAAAGAAAGGAGATACCCCTCATCTTTGCTCTCACCTTCCTCAATAGTGAATTGATATGGATAATTCATAATGGCGTACTGCCATGGTATCTTATTGAGAAGAGTCTTCCACGTATCAGAGCTTTATGAGCCTCGTGGAGATTTCAACTATCTAGAAGAGGTGAAAAGCCAATCATCGTCCTTCGTTTTTTGTACATGTTCCCAAGGTGGCTTTAGCCAAAGGATAGTCCCAACGCCAACCCATGTTTTGAGAATTCGTAGAGGAGGAATCCATAAGAGCAAAAAATCAGTAATCGCATATAAGGCAGACCCCAAACCATTCCATTTCCTGGTTCTTCACGGCAGCAGACATTTCAAATTTCACCAATGCCATCATTGTCCAAGTATCCGTCAGCGAAGCTGTCGACGAAACTAGGGTGCAAAAGGTCGTCAGAAGCATTGCCGAAGAAGATGTCAGCGCTTGATTCCTGGGAGAAGCTGGAGGGTGCGTAGAAGCTCGCAGCCGGCTGAACCATAGGCTGCGCCAAGTGTTGTTCCGCCTGTTGCTGATGCTGCGGCTGCTGTTGCTGTTGCAGAAAGGCGGGCTTCGCATCGGCAGGAGCAGGCTCGTAGCCGGTAGTGTTATCAGGGGTGTTAACCTCGCTGTCAGAGGTGGTCAGGTCAACGGCAGCAGCTTGAGAGATACTGGCAGCCGCGGCGATAGTAGCGGCACGGCTTGGGGTGTTGCTGCGGCGGCTGGTATTCTTGGCGATACGGCCGTCGACAACGCGATCGCGGACGCGCGACTTGGAAGGGGTGTCCTCGAGTGCATTATAATCGACGTCATCATCCTCGTCATCGTCCGCATCACTCAGCGGCTGGAGCTTGATAGGATTGGCCTTCTTGGCTGTCGAGCGGCCGCCGCCTGAGGCGCGTGGCTTCGACGGGGTAGCCTTGCGAGGCGTCGACAAAGCACTGGACGGGCCCCCACCTGACAGGTTTAGGGCCGTAGCTGGGTTGCCGCCGCTGTTGGCGGTCTGCTTCAGAGAGTCGGCATCTTTCTTGATGCTGCGGAACTGGAACTGGATGCCATCGGCAGTAGACTCGCCAAAGAATTTGGCAATGTCTGACATTTGTTAGGTATTTTCCGTGTAACCGCAATGAAGTGAGAGAAAAGGAAGAGCAAAGGACTGCAGGGTCTTACCCTTCTTGTCCTTGGGCAAGTCTCCAGGGATGTTGATGCAGTCAACCCCCTGAGAGACAGCATCCTTTACAATCTTGGAGTGCGTCTTGATGGCTCGAAAACGATGATCAAGGGCATACTCGGTCATGTCGGAACCAAAATGCTTGACAATCTCTGTCAGACGTCAGAGAGACGTTGACCAGGGTGATGAACGGGGGCAAACACGGGTATAGTGGCAGTGTGGGATTGAGGATAAGGGGAAGTTGAAAAAGTAGCTCTTACCTTTGTAGTTCCATCTAACTTCGGGATGAGCGGCAACAATGGCGCGGAGCAGACGAGCCTGCGCATCGTAGGTCTTGAAGTTGGTCTTCGAAGAGACGGGAGCCATGTTGATTTGCGGTCTGAATAAAGTAATTGAGGTTAGAGAACCTATCCCAAGAAGTAGTCGTGGTATCAGGTTGATGTAGTGTATCTCGTGTGTTGAGAGATGGTGTGTATGGAGGTGTGAAAGGAAGAAACGGAGTGTTGGCTCAGAGGAATGCAGAGAGGCAAGAGGATCGGGAAGGCGCAGTGGGCAGAATTAGTGTGGAGGCAGGTTTTAGGCACTCACTGGACAGATGACGGAAAGTGCAAATCCTCAGGTGAAAAATGAAAGTGCTTTTCGTAAGTAACGAGGACCTTGAGGTTGACTCGAGAAAAATTAGAAGAGTTGACTGGAGGCGGAGTATGCTATCACGCGGTAAGTTTTTGTTTTGTACGTGGTGAAAGGTGAAGTCGAGGTGAGATTGGAGGTAAAACTGATACGGGTGCTTGGTGGAAGGAGACAAGTGCTTGTGGGGGAAGGCAGTAGTTGTCTTTTGGAGTTAAGTGAAGAAAGGGCAAGAGCCATTCGCTCTGTCTTACACAAGCCAACAAGTGCGATCAGCTGGCTATAGATGACTTACCAAAGCTGTATGAAAGACAAGGTAGCGAAGAAAAGTATTACTGAAGTTGTCTGAATGTTGATAAAGGTAGGTTGGGCTAGATGGGGGAATGTTAGCTTTGTGGTATGTCTATGGTGTGGACGGGACAATAAGACTGGTTAGAGGAAGTGTCAGAACGACCCAGAGGCAGGCTATCGAAAGTGAGAGGTGATATAGATAATTATGAATTCAGACCTCAGGCACCTCCACCACTCTCATCTCAGGGCAGGCATTGCAAAACCAAAGCAGGAACTTGCTATACGATGGCTGCTTCGGCAGAAACTCGCATTTATGGAGGTTCCAATAACCTTTGAAAGAAGAAGCTCAGCCAGTCGCGGCAGTTTCTTGCCTCCATGCATGTGTGTCTACACTTAGACAACCTCGGCGCAAGTGCCTTTTTTGAACATGGAGCTTCCAGTGCCAATCATGAAGTGATGAAAATGGTAGTGAATCCTCAACAGCACATGACTGTAGTAAGAGCAGCCATGGGATGATCGAATACCGGACAATAACTTAAGAGTACACAATGTATCTTTAAAGCAACCGGAGAGAAGAAGGAATACTAGCCAGTGGAAGCCTACGTACCTAATTTAGTTCCCGTTGACCTTTTTGTTTAGACCAGCCTATCCCATGTGACTAGAGGCGGCCTATTAACGGAAGTAGCCTCAGTCGATTCACTTTGTAAATGTCCTTTGCGCTGGATTCCGGTCTGAAGCCAGACTATCTTAGGACAGGGAGCACCCAAGCAAATGTGTACGGGGATGAAGGCTGATTAAGTTGAGTTGTTCGGTGGAGCCTGAGAAGCCGTGGCGTTTCGGTAGTGCGGTCGTTGTGAGTAGAGTCCAAGATGCGGTTTAAAGAGTTGCGGTTCAGCAACTTGTCTCAATCCTCGCAAAGGGTTTACAGTTCAGGAAATTTCTTGGTATGTCGAGTAAAGCATGAAAGAGAGGGAGAGACAGGGGATGTTGACAAATGAACAGTTTGTGGGGCGTTGGCGGGTCAATGAATGATAAGTATCATGAAAGATGGGAAGTCCTACAACAAGCGGACCATGAGAAGATGACGTTCAGAAGCAGCAGCCTCGATAGCTAAAGACTGGTAGACGGAGCTGGACGGCGATGGATTGATACGGCAGTTGGGTGGCCAACTCGAAAAGTGGGAGGCTGGGAGTCTTTGGAGCTCGTCAGTGTTGGCGCAATTAGGTGAGTTGGGGATAAGGAGATACATGAGCGACAGGAAAAGCCTAAGCACAGTAGAACAAGAAGACATGCAAATGAGATTAAAAAATGCATTTATGAAAACCGGGTATCCAGAAAGACCAATTTCAACCAGAACGACAGTCGTTGCGCCTTGAGAGGTGCCCATGTCCTTTCTGAGAAGTGGCTTGGTAAGTAGTCGCTAACGCAAGTTAACGACTTGCGCACATCTCCAGAGTAGATTGAGCTCACCTCTCTCATCAAACCCCTGCATTCCCACGGCGTTACTATTGGCTCCATAATCATGGCCCCTGAAACTCCCTGTCTAACCCTTGTCTAAACTACCACTCATAATCTTTACTATGTTTTGAAGAATCCACGCCCTATCGCACCTGGGCCGTACATGTTGACCAGAAACGAAACCATTTTATACAAACGCAGACTTGTGCTATTATTTATTGAAGCTCCTTACCGTACGGCGAAGACGTTCTCCGGACAGGGGTAGCCCGACCGGCGACGTGCTCGGGCAGAGGTGGCTTGTAGGCACCGTTGGGGTACTGAGGGTACTGGGACATAGGGTGCTCCTTAATGTCGCCCTTTTCACCATCACCGTACATAAGGTATTGGACGCCGAGGAATGAGTCGCAGCAGGCCTGGAACATGCCGCACAGCTTGAAGGCCCAGGGGATTTCGGTCGACGAGGTGAAGAACCAGAACATCTTCATGGCATCACCAATCAGCCAGCTGGCCAGCACAGAGAAACGGAAACCCTTGCAAGACTGCGATCGCGCATTCGAAAAGATCTGGGGAAGGGGCAGTGTTGCTTCGACCGAAAGACCGATGTAACCGATTATGATCGAGTAGGTTTGGTAAATCGACGGCATCGGTGTAAGGAGCAGTTCGCAGACGGTCAGGGCGATGAAGAAGTAGAATATGAATTGCCAGTAGCTGCAGCGGCGGTTAGTTGCAACTTCAGACTGCAGCTCGCAATGCCATATAGAGATACTCACGGCTTGGGCGACCTCCATTGCCAGAAGTTGTAAGGTCGTTGAGCCCCGAAAACGGGGCCATCGTTGACGTTTGCGAATGGCGTCGCGGCCTCTCCTCCCTTGGACGACGGGGGCAGGCGGTGATCCAGGGCAATCTTGAGGAGGACGACTTGCATTACAATCATTAAGAGTGCTTGAACAAGCAGGGCCGTATCGAATCGCGCGCCGGGCCAGTAGAAGATCCTGTGTGGCGGGAGACTGTCAGCTTCGCTCCGGAAGGAACGGACCTCGAACAACGCACTTCAGCAGAGATGCCACCAGCATGATCAGCGGGATATCGAGAGAGAACCCAGCGCTTGACTTGTTTCGGTGCATCGACAGCGCCTGGTCGCTGTAAGAGAGGACGGGCGACAGGATGAGGAAGACCGGGGCGAGGTAGCCCGTAAAGGTCGTCATAAAGGACGTCAACCAGTGCAACATTTTTGCGGTTTGGAAGCACACAACGATTTGATTAAACTGGATGAAAGATTGAATCACAAGCAAACTCCTGCGAAAATAAAAATGAAGAGTGGAAAGGGACGAGAAGTCAAAGTCGGTCGGGATATGTCCGACGCGTCGAGAAAAGAAGCAGAAGAGCGGAGCGGAGCGTGGCGGGCGGGCGGGCAGTCGCAGAGTTGTCAAACCCGATCTCAGAACTGAATAACGGGTACGTTTAGGGGAGCCAATCAGGGGCGGGCCAAGACAGGTATAGGTCGAACCTCCGGCCCAGAATTGCTTGTTTCCTGGTGGCAGTTGACGTCGCCTATTCCATAGCGAATAGCAGCGGAACGATTTTTTGAGCAGTGGGTGACGACAGGGTTAGCACAAATAGGAGCAGCCGGTCGTCTAGGAGGTGGGAGGATCCCGGAGTCCCGAAACTTTGGGCGATCGCACAGCGCAAGATGCGCTACGACAAGGCCGGCACACTAAACTTTTCCCGCTCTGAGCTCCACTGTATCCGTCCATGCCAGCGTGACAGAGCGCCCAAACCGTCACAAGATAGCCTAGAAAATTGTGACTTGCGTAGCAGCTGTAACCGCTCGGTTCGGCCCCATCGGATGGAAATTTTGCGATGGCAGGCGTCGGCATTGTCCAAATTGCAATGGTGCCAACGGCACGCGGTAGCACGGTCCAGGTATACACTAGTAAGTTCAAACACCTGAGGCCGCAAAATGGAATACCCCCCTCAGCAAGGTGTCACGGTGTCCATTGCTCCCGCCTTGGGATTTTTTTTTGTGGTCTTCTTTTCTCCTTATGCGCCTCATTCTCAAGTCCCTCTTCACACCGCCACTCACTGGAACGTCAGTGTCCTGGCCTATCCACCAGCCACAGTTCCCATAATGAGTGATTCACCACAGGCCGACAACGGCGATTCTCAAATGACACCAGCCACAATTCATGCGTCCCCTACGCCCAGACGCCCTGAAGCGGGACAGGCGTCGCGGGACCAAACCTGGAGAGACGAGCAATGATTGAATGAAAACCCCACCTCCACCGCCACAAAATGTGAATTGCCCCGCCATGCAAAAGTTCGAGACTCCAATTTTCACACTACCTTATCGTTTATCAGTGCCCCGCCAAAATTTTAAGACACCCCGCCATGCCGCCTCCGAAAGACTCACTCAGAATGCTGCAAAACTTATCTTTATCGCCAACCCTCAATTCGGGCGAGAATTCCCCATTGATCGCAGGCCGCTCTCCGTGTCCTACCCCGACCCGGGCCAAAATGGAGTTCCTCACTCTCGTTGGCGCTTCGGCTTTTACGCCGAAGCAGGCCGAAGAGCTCAAGACGCGCATCAACAAGCACGCTGCCGTCTCCAACAAGGTCGCCCACGTCGAGGGCATCTGGATGTACTACGTCCACCTCAAGAACAGCGACAACAACCTCATTGTCCAACAGAAGTTGACAAAATGGCTGGGCCTGCCCGACCAGACCACCGCCCAGATTGCCGCCAACACCGACACTTCAAAGACGTATTACATTGCCCCGCGGAACATCTCTCCTTGGTCTTCCAAGGGCACCAGCATCACTCATGTGTGCGGCCTGGTAAACCACATTGACCGTATTGAGCGTGGTAGAGCCATCACCATCACCTTCGAGCAGCCCCCGTCCGGTGATGAAATCGACTTCAAGGATGTCGTCTATGATCGTATGACCGAGACCATCAGCCTGTCCCAACCTGACCTCTCCGCAATGTTCATTGAGGGCCAGAGATATCCTCTGGAAATCGTCGACATCTTCGGCTCCGATGCCAACCCCGTGGACACCCTCAGGGCTTACAACAAGCAGTTCGGCCTCGCCCTGGATGACTCTGAAATCGAGTACCTCGTCGAGGTCTTCAAGCGTCTCGGAAGAAACCCCCATGATGTGGAGCTCTTCATGTTCGCTCAGGTCAACTCGGAGCACTGCCGTCACAAGCAGTTCAATGCCAACTGGACCATTGATCAGGTCCAGATGGGCAACAGTCTCTTTGAAATGATCAAGAACACACACAAGTCTAACCCTGAGTACACTGTCTCCGCCTACAGCGACAACGCTGCTGTTCTCCAGGGTGAGACTGCCAACTTCTGGGCCCCTGACTACTCCACCGGTAGCTGGAAGCTCACCAAGGAGGTGGTGCACGTTCTCGTCAAGGTTGAGACTCACAACCACCCTACCGCCATCTCTCCCTTCCCCGGTGCTGCTACTGGTGCCGGAGGTGAGATTCGCGACGAAGGCGCCGTCGGTCGTGGCTCTGCTCCCAAGGCCGGCCTGTGCGGTTTCTGGGTTTCCGACCTGCTGATTCCCGACGAGAACGCCCCCTGGGAGGTTGACTTGGGTAAGCCTGCCCACTTCGCCAGCAGTCTCGACATCATGCTCGAGGCCCCTATCGGCAGTGCTCGCTTCAACAACGAGTTCGGTAGACCCTGCCTGCTTGGCTGCTTCCGTACTCTCCTCACCAATGTTGGTAAGGAGGAGTCGCCCGAGTGGCGCGGTTACCACAAGCCCATCATGATTGCCGGAGGTGTCGGAACTGTCCGCCCTCAGCACGCTCTCAAGGAGGTCGGTGACGTTCACGACGGCGCTCACGCCATTGTTCTCGGTGGCCCTGCCATGCTCATTGGTCTTGGAGGAGGTGCCGCCTCTTCCAGCGCCTCGAACGAGGACACCGCTGAGTTGGATTTTGCCAGTGTCCAGCGTGGCAACCCTGAGATGGAGAGACGCGCCCAGATGGTCATTGACACTTGCGCTGCCCTCGGCGAGCAGAACCCCATCGCCATGATCCACGACGTCGGCGCTGGTGGTCTTTCAAACGCCCTTCCCGAGCTGGTCAAGGACGCCGGCTTTGGCGGCAAGTTTGAGCTCCGACAGGTTCACTGCGCAGACAGCAGCATGAGCCCCTTGCAGATCTGGTGTAACGAGGCTCAGGAGCGATACGTCTTGCTCGTCAACAAGGAGAACCTCAACCGATTTGTCAGCATCTGCCGTAAGTCCTATCGTTCGTAATGCCTGTATGCCTTGGCCCCTAATCTAATCCTCCGTAGGCCGTGAACAATGCCCCTTCTCCGACGTGGGAACTGTCGTCGCCAAGGACGCCGAGGGCAACGCCAAGCTGACCCTCAGCGACCGCGACTCCCCTGAGCACCCGATGCCCATCGACCTGCCCTTCGACGCCCTTTTCCCTCCCGGCCGCCGCCTGGAGCGTGTCGTCGAGTCCCGCAGACTGGACCTGCCGGCCTTCAACGCCGCTTCCGCCCTCACAGCAGCCGTCAGTGGCGAGGCCACCGATGCCGCTCTCATCACTGCCGCCACCGAGCGTGTCCTCCGCATGCCCGCCGTCGGCTCCAAGTCCTTCCTCATTACCATCGGTGACAGAACCGTCGGCGGTCTCTCCGTCCGTGACCAGATGGTCGGCCCCTGGCAGACTCCCGTTGCCGACTGCGCCGTCACCGCCACCTCCTTCAGCCTGGGTTCCAACACCCGCACTGGTGAGGTCATGGCCATGGGCGAGAAGCCTCAATTGGCTCTCATCTCCCCTGCCGCGTCCGCCCGCATGGCTGTCGCGGAGAGTTTGCTCAACCTCGGTGCTGCCGACATCCTCGGCAACCTGAGCCGCGTCAAGCTGTCCGCCAACTGGATGGCCGCCGTCAACCACCCCGGTGAGGGTGCTGGTCTCTACGAGGCCGTCAAGGCCATTGGTATGGAACTTTGCCCCCAGCTCAAGATTTCCATCCCCGTCGGCAAGGACTCTACTTCGATGAAGGCATCCTGGAAGGACCGCGAGTCCGGCGAGGCCAAGAGCGTTACCGCGCCCATGTCCGTCATCATCACAGCTGCTACCGTGGTTGAGGACGTACGCAACACCTGGACTCCCCAGCTTCGTCGTGTCGAGGACGTCGGTGAGACGATCCTCATGTACGTCGACCTCGCCGAGGGCAAGAAGGCCATGGGCGGTTCCGCCCTGGCGCAATCACTGGGACAAATGGGCAACGAGGCACCGGACGTTCGCAACGTTGATCTTATTACAGACTACTTTGACGCTCTGCAGCAGCTCCACAAGAGCGGCGTTGTTCTCGCCTACCACGATGTCTCCGACGGTGGTCTCCTGACTACCATCGCCGAGATGATGTTCGCCGGCCGCTGCGGCGTGGACGTCATGCTCGACGACATCGCCAAGTCCGGCTCTTCCACCGATATCCTCGAGGCCCTCTTCCACGAGGAGCTCGGCGCCGTCTTCCAGGTGCGCAAGGAGGACGAGATCAACTTCAAGCGTTGCTTCGCCACCTGCGGTCCCCCGCCCGGCCTTATCCGCAAGTTCGGTGTTGTCAAGCCCAAGTCTAACCAGTCGCTCACGATTCGCTACGGAGGAGCCGCACCTGTTGTCAGCTTGGACCGCGCCCAGATGCAGCAATGGTGGTCGAGGACGTCGTACGCCATGCAGAAGGAGAGAGACGACCCGGCGTGCGCCGACAGCGAGTACGCCACCGTCTCCGACTCGACCGACCCTGGTCTGTCGTACAACCTCACCTTCAACCCGTCGGAGAACATCATGCCCCTGACGGCCACTCTGGGCAGCCTCGTCCGCAAGGCGCCTCGTGTGGCTATTCTCCGCGAGGTCGGCGTCAACAGCCATCGCGAGATGGCCTTCGCCTTCAAGGCGGCCGGCTTCGACCCCATCGACGTTCACATGTCGGACATTCTCGCTGGCCGGTCGCTGGCGGACTTCGTCGGTGTTGCAGCGGGCGGTGGCTTCTCGTACGGTGACGTCTTTGGCGCCGGTGTAGGCTGGGCCCAATCCATCCTCGAGCACAAGCACGCGCGTCAGGAGTTTGAGAGCTTCTTCAAGCGGCCCGACACCTTCGCCTTGGGCGTCTGCAACGGTTGCCAGATGATCACTCGCCTCAAGGAACTGATCCCGGGAACCGAAAACTGGCCCACGTTCGTCGAGAACGCCAGCAGGCAGTTCGAGGCTCGCTTCACCATGGTCAAGATTGACGAGTCCCGCGCGGCGACGCCTTCCGTCTTCCTCAACGGCATGAACGGCTCGTCCTTCCCCATCGCCGTCTCACACGGCGAGGGTCGTGCCTCCTTCTCCAACCCCAACTCCCTTGAGGAGCTGGGCGGTGAGGGCCTCATCCCTCTCAGGTACGTCGACAACCGCCTGCGCGTCGCAGAGCCGGAAAGCTACCCGTACAACCCGAACGGTAGCCCTGGCGGCGTGGCTGGTGTCAGGAGCAGGGACGGTAGGGTCTTTGCGCTCATGCCTCACCCCGAGCGGACCATCATGGCGGACGTCGGCAGCTACGTTCCCCCGGAGCAGGTCGAGGCCTGGGGCGAATTCGGACCGTGGATCAGGATGTTCAAGAGCGCCAGACGCTGGGTGGGCTGATTGGACCTAGGTTTGTTCTGTTTTCGGCTGGGGTTTGATACGACAACCAAAAAGGGGGGGCGTGTGTCTTTCTGCGTGCGCGCGCGCGCGCGCGTGTGTGTGTGTGTGTGTGTGTGTGTGTGTGCGTGAGCGAGTGTGAGTGGAGGAGATACTCAGACGGATATGGAGAGACAGAGGAAAGGGATAGACTGAGGGGGTAAACACAACAAAAAAAGAAAAAGACACAAACAACACATCTCTATTACTACATCTACGCAGTAAAATGACATGAAGAGAGGGGGGAGGAGGGGTGGGATTTGGGTGAGGGGGGAAATACGTCCATAGTCGTCGAGCATAACTTGTTCCTTTTTGGGTTATTTTTTTCTTGTCGGGACTTGAGACTTGGCTCGCCGTCGCTGCTGCTGCTGCTGCTGCTGCTGTGCTCCAACGAAACGAGGGACCATCATCATACCTACTACTACCAGTATCTACCCTACCCTACCCTACCCTACCCTACGGTACCCCATCCTCCCAGACCGAGACTTACCTGATAGCCTTGTCGGTCGCCATGCGCGACCAAGGGAAAAGGGAAGACATCTCCGATGATCTCTGTCTCGCCTGGTCTACTACGGAAGTGTGTACACGGTGAGAGGTACCCCCCCCTCCCGTCTACGTGCGTCTCTCTCGTTTGGGGAAAGAAGCGTAGAATAGAGTAAAAAGGGGGACCTTTCTGCGCCGGGCCCACCCCTTGTTTCTCTGGGGTGAACGGAGAGGACGAAAAGGAAATGGCTGCTGCAGAAAGAAGATGCAGGTAGAGAAGAAACCAGGGCATGGGCGGCGTCCTTTTTTTCGTCCCTGGAACGCCTCCTTTCCGCCATCATGTGTGTGTCCCCTTCCTTTCTGATGAAGCCTGCTTCGTTCTTTCCACTTTCATCTTCCTGCACTGTTGGCTACTGAAAGACCGGCGTCTACCAGATGCTTGCCTTGACAGAACGTGTGTCGTGGTAGACAGACAGGCAGACAGGCCAGATAGGCTTACAGAACGAGGAGAAACAGTCAAGGGGCACACAATGGGATACCGAGATGGTACGCTTTCGGTTTTTGGCCCCCAAGTTTACGTACTGACATTTCACATTGAGCAAATTCCTTCGCGCCGGCAGTACGCCCCGATCCAACAGCTACTGGTTGTTGGAGGATTGCCGTGTATCCCTTCTGCGCCGCCACATTATTTTGATCTCTTCTTCCTCACACATCACTATTCTGTACGGACGGATGCTCATGGCGATTTGAGCATCCACGCTTGTCAATGGCTCCTGTCGTAACGCGTAGTGCCCGCCTGGCCTGGCGTGGGAGTCTGCCCAACCCCGGATCAGAGGCGCGCACTTGCGCCCGTATGCCGCGGCCGTGGCGCTTGTCAAAAGGAGTTCAAATTGCCAAGTGTATCGGGTATTAACAAACACTATTATGGCTGGAAGAAACCCCCCCCCCCCCCCCCCCCCCCCAACAGTTGTGGCCTGCAGGTAAGCCATGTGTGCAGACGCGAGCCCCAAAGGCGCCCCAGAGGCAAGCCAAAAAAAAAAAAAAACGAGTGTGTATGCGCATACACTCCCGCGGGCGAATGGTACCCTCCTATTTCGTTCCCTTCTTGTGCGAGGCAGCCAGCCCATCAGCTTCGCGGAAAAGCCACAACACCCACAACCTGCATAAGGGGTCTTCAACAGATGGAGGATGGGCGGTTCGGCAGAAGAAGAGGGGGCGCGCCGGCGTCGACGGCGCTTCCAGTTGAACTGTACCGAAGGGCCGCCGCTTGTGCAGAGCCGATGTTAGGTTGGAAAGCTCCTCCGCATGGCGTCTGTTTGATCGCGATTCGGGCCATAAATGTGTCCGCCTTGCCTCGCGTCTCCTCGCGAAATTACCCTGTTGGCTAGCAAACCCGAAAGTAGCGCACCGCTCTGCATGGCAAACCGACGAATTGGCATCACACAAGATCTACCGCTGGGAGTTTGTTGTGATGGTTGGGTTTACTCGTATGAAAAAGGGGTAAGCCAACCAGTCAAAAAACAAGTCGAGTGATGTAGGAAGGGACAAACCAGTACGGCTCTTCCGAGGGGCGTGACAGTGTCCCAAACGACACGTCAGTACCATTTGTGTAGTTCTCCTCTAACATGGCGTCTTCCTCATGCAACGTCTTGTGCGGAGCCCGATATGTTCACAAGTTCTGCTACTCAGGCTGCTGTTGTTCGTTGGGAAAGCGGCCATGGCTGGACAACACTGCGGCTCCATTTCGAGCATGCCACAACCAGTAGGGTAGTTCGATGGCCGACACACCCTCAAGACTAAAACCCCGCCCATTAGGGGAGTGAGTTCGTGTTGGTAGGCCCATCATTTCCCCTCCCTTACTCATTGCTTCTGCCACACATGTGGCGATCCATCAATGGGGAAGGCTTAAGACAAGAGGCGGATGAGCCGAAAGGGGGCCAGTCAGAAGACGTGAAAGCAGCAAAATCTGAAAGCGGCTCCTCCATAGCTAATGGCATAATGACCCGGGACTCCGCAGGGCAATATGCCCAGTGCCGATAGCCAACCTTGGCGATGGATCAAAAGTTTTCTGGCGACCGTTCATCCCACGAGACAACGCCGCTGGGGACCCCATCATCGGCCCCGCCCCAAATCCACCAGCATCCTCCGCTGCGAATCCAGGGTATCCCATGGAAGATTTGGGGGAAGGAAGCTTTGGCCAGACACCGCAATTTTCTTGTACCTCCTGGCGCGCTGCAATCGGCCGGATGCAGCACGAGCATCTCCTAGGATAAGCGCACAAATGCCAATAAGGACGACTGCCGAGGGCAAGGTGCCCAGGCCCAGATTGCCATGGTGGTGCCATGTTGTGAAGACCAAGTCCCGAAAAGTTAGAGTGGTCCCCCTGGCAAGCGTCGCTCGCAGTGCCGCAGCAAGTTAGCCTTACGGATGGGCTATTGCGAGTAAGAGATTGGTAATGGTAACGAACGAGGACTTGCATACAGCTCCCAGGACTGAGCCTGAAGGGGGGAGCGCGCAGGTCTTGCGGCGTAGACGGATCTATGGGAAATCCATCCATCCACCCACCCACCCATTCCATCTCCTCGTGGCGGCGAGCGTGTCAGTCTATTGCCTTGGGGAACGTCGGGCCTATGGTCTGGCCCTGGGCTGGGCCGCAGACCGGCAGCAGCAGACACCATAAAGAGACATGATTGGGGAGTGCGATGCGTCTCGGCACCTGTCGACAGCGTCGCCATCCCTGGACAGCAAGTCGGATCTCCTGGTCTCTTGTGTCCCGGCTGGGATAAGCTACCACCGGTCAGATGTGCTGGGCGACTGGACGTAGTAAAAGGTCGGCATCGGATAAGATAAAACAGCGCAGTCGATGACGGGAGTCCCGACCTCCGTCGGGCGCCTCCTCCCTTGACTTGTAGGCGCCACTTCCGGCTTCATCGGCGCGAATCCAGGGTCTTTTTCGGCGGCTTTCTGGGTGACTCTGACGCCATGGGCATGGCAGGAGTGCCTAGGCTGGCCACTACAGAGGCCATCCCCCCCCCCCCCCAGCTCTAGTTACTAGAAATCGCCCGCTGCGCATTGCCGGGTATTTGACAACTGGTCGTGACCTCCTCGGCCACTCCATCCATGATCCGATACGGTATTACGAGCCTAGCGCGGTGCGGCATGCCAACCTTCGCCTGTGACCTCCCTCCGTCCTCTGGCCTAGTTTTCGGATGGGTGGAATGGCCAATTTTAAACATTGATTTAATCCTTCCCTTTGGCCTGCATCAGCGTCAGCTTGGGAGTGCGGACAGCGCTTCCAAATCCATGGTTCCCTCATAGAAGCTAGCGGTTCGGGTAATGCGCTACGTGACAACCTTGTCAACGCTTAGAAGGGCCGGCTTATAGCCTGTCTTGCGCTTGAATGGGGAGCATCATGTAAGTTGGGACAGACACGCCAACTCACGAACGATAGACGGTAGTGGTAAAAGGCTAACGTAGCGGATGGCCGTGCGGTGCCCTTCTGCTTTGGATTGGCAGGTGGCAGACAAATGACTCCCTTGCAAATAAGGTGTCTGCAAACTACCATGGTAGGTGATTGGGGCTTGTATTGACAGGTGCCCCCAGCTCAGTAGTTTGCGTTGGGACATGGAAGCGCCGGAAACAAATATCCCTTCAATCAGAGCTACGGAGCTACTGGCCGCGCTGGGAATGGTTCGAGCGTTGGTGGCCCACGTCATCCTTCAGAAGGGGGTGACTACGTCTCCGGAGTTCAGGGCCTAGGGTGTCATCGCGGCGTTCAGCCAACCCGTCGGGGGATCTGCTCTCCAGGATTTCGGTTGTCGATTTGGGGTTTGTGTGAACAGCGCGGCTATTCTTAGACAGAGCGGAGAGATGTGGTTTTCTCCCCTTTCATTCTGCTTGTGCATCTGCAAATCTGTGTCCGCTCGATGTCACACCAATCAAATACCACACCTCCAGACTGATCTATCCAATACTTTGTCTTGAAGACATAGCCGTTGTATTCACAAACTTGACGATTACTCGAACAGTGTCCACGGCCGTTGGATACTGTCTGTTAGACTAGAGAACATGCCGCCAAGACTTGTTGGATGTGCACAATCAACTTTTCCGAGCTGGTTAAGCGAATACTGAGCAGTTCCAAATCCACCGCAAAGATCCCGGCCAGCACCACGGCTACGGACCTGCAGGACAACAAATTACGATGCCAGGGACCAACCACTGTCGACAGAAGCGCGCGCAGGTGCCGGGCTGCGGGCTGCGCACGCAGGTATGGCACAAATACAAGCTGTACGTGCATGTGTGCAAATCTGGCATCCATGTATGGTGTGACAGGGTTCCATGTCGCAATACTGTGCTTATATCAATCTCACTGAACCTAGTTAAGATGAGAAAAGCTCGTAATCTAATGGGTCGTCTGCTGGTGGCTTACTGCAACAGAAGGTTTGATGGAATTCCACCCGGGTTTGGGCGGGCCAGTCAAAGGGCCGGCGCCATTTGTGTACAGGCGGACTGTCAGCGACCCAATCGTGAGGTATTCCCAGAGGGCATGGCAAATGGATAAGCCTAAGAGGGCTAGTTAACGGATAGAGGATTGATATCGTACCGTTGCCGCCAAAGGGATGTGACTTGGGGGCCGATGAAAGTGGAAGGTAACCAACCCTGCTCTTGGCCCTGTACCATCTCCTCCCCTCATACGATGAGTACCACTATCAATAATATGGCCTGAGCCGCGCCCGTCCTGGGTGACAGTGAGCTCCGCAAAGGCATGGCAATGTGGAGGTCGAGGCAGCCGACCCCCCACAGCTAACTGACTTAATCCCTCGCCTGCGTATGTCCCTCGTAAGTTCCAGTTCATGGTCGAGGGCGGTTGGCTAGTGTCCGATCCAATTGTGGGAGCCACTGAGAGCTTGATTCGCTTTCTGAAGCCTCTTTGGGCATGCTGATCTAGGGTGGTGAATTCCGCACCGTAGCCTCACCCTCATGTGGGAACAAGACGTCGGAATTGTTACTTCATACCGAAGTGGTAAAGAATATTACAACCGGCGCTCAAATTAATATGCCCTCGATGATTCTGATTAGGTCGCCGACCATGATCTTCTTCATATGGGGCCATATGCCTCAGTTATTCCATGGAGCAGATGCAACGTGGTTGTACAAGCGACGAATCTCCAGACGCTAGAGCCATTGATCTGGGTCATGCCCTTCGGGAGTCTTGTCGTGCTAATGCAGACGTTGGATGGTGATCCGTGTGCAATTGTCACTATCTCATCGGTTCGTCGGCGGAAGCTCGTCCCGCGATAACCGCCATATTCATAACTGCCATAAGGAAATACGAAGTGACGCATTCCCTCCATTACTGAATCTCTGTCCCTAATCAAAACCGAATATGTTGGCTAGCAGCATCGACAGCGCAATCGAACCTGACGAGCACAGTGTTGCTTAAAGGCTTGCCACTAGAGGGCAACATAATGCTGAGGAAATATTGTTGCAAAGTCTTTATGACAACTGAACTGTTCTGTCCGACGCAAGTATATGCATCCTAGTTGCTGCAACTAAATCCCCATTCTCACGCCCATAAGACTTTTTGTTACCGAGTACAGTAGCGGGAACGGGAGTGGAGTTTTCGGCGATTTCGAAACCCCCCCCCCCCCCCCCTGAACCGCCTGTGAGGGTGTGCTCGATAGCGGCAGAAGGGTCGAATGATGATGGAAACCGTGCTTGCGCGTGAGCCAACGCTGGCCAATCTACATGTACAAATAAAACAGCCTGGTCCGTTTGTACAGTGCTCGTTTAGGGAGTACAGTTGCACGAGCGGCGCTTGCCTTGAGAAGATGCTCAAGGCGAAATTCCTTTGTTTGTTTTCAATTATTGATTAATGGGTGTCATAATAGCGAATCTCGATGCTTGGTGGCGGGCGCATCTTGTTATCCTGCTGCCTAACTCTGTTGTGGAGAAAAGAAAAGACAGGGTGACAGGAATAATGGAGAAGGGTTTCCCAGGAAATCGTTCACCAATTGTCGAAGAATGCCATTCTACTATGTAGGGGGGTGAGTGACATGGGTGTTATTCAGGCAGGGTTGGCTGCTGAACGGAGCGGAATGCCGAGACTAACTCGATCTAATGCCCTGGTTGCATACGAGGATCCGAATCCTGTAAATCAAAAGCTGTGATTGAAACAAGTAGCTGGTCTCCGTTAGGTTCTAAAAGTTGCAGTCTGTTTATCTTCAGGATGGTGCCTCGAGGTGCTGGCTTCATACAGGCTGAATAGGATGATATATTGCCGGCGAAGTAAATTTTGATGATCAGTTCCGAGATGCTACAACAGCTGGTGCGGAGCACCGGCATGCGATTGGCTACCCACGACACAAACGCGGCTTTGTCCAACTTTGCTTCGTGGAGCCGGTTGTGTGTCCGCCCCTCCATTCTAAGGTAAAACCTGAACTGCTTTCTTTCTTACTTTGAATCTTCTGACGGATTATTCGATCAGTCGTCGTTCAACAAGTGAGGTGGGCGAACCAAGCAATCCAGTGCTTCTTGTCGAAGAATTGAACTTGTATCTGTAAGCTCCGATGGTTTATCTCATTGGCCATGCACAAGTATTAGGTGCAACTTCGCATCAAGGACAAAGGTGCTAAGAGTATATTATATTTGACACTCCTGGCAGTTGTTTGTTGCGAAGTATCTAGCAAACTGTGGTTGCACTTCAGGGCTCACCCAGGGCTGCTTGAAAGTGATGTACACGCATAACTTCCGGGGTAGGATACTGTCCACAGGCATGGATGGGGGTAGGGAAAACGGTCTTGGACTTAGTACGCGAGTCGACAAGCAGTCCAAATTCTGTCTTTTGCCCCTGGTAAGAAAGCTTGTGATTGGCCATCTGCTATGCTTGGTCCCGATGGGCTTTCTCACATGCGAACCTCAATGACTGGAAATTGGGCGTATCGGCCTGTCAACTTTCGAACGACACTATTTGGTACGTCTAAAAATAGCCGCCCCGTCACGAATTGTAGCATCGTTTGTCTCGCTTACGGACTGGTCTACACTCTATAGACGGGATGTTTCGTGGGGTGCTTGCTGATTGACGATATCGTGAGTGACATTTTGGCTGCCGTAGGCAAACGATTGGCGTGTTGAAGCGTCACTCGATGAGAGCCGACACACAAGCGGTAAATGCATTCGAGTACCAGCCAGAGCGCATACCTTGTATGCACTGTATTGAAACAAAGGAGCAGAGTTTGTCGGTTCTTGACCCGGTTCAGACCTACATCGTAGCATTTAGCATCCTGAGCAATGCAGGCGGACAGAAGTCGTGCGCCTGTAATTTGCCGTTGGGCGTCAGCAAATGCACACCTTCGGCATAGCTGTGGTTGGTAGATCAGCCGAGGAACGGAAGCAGACAGGGCCGTTGCCGAACCAAATCCCATACAACACTGGAGCGCTGAGCCCGGCAGGAGGCTGCTAATTCTTGTTGACCAGAGAGACTGGGATGAAGCTCAAGAGTCAAGCTGGCGAGACGGGCTGTCGCTGCTCACCCGGCCAGCATCGGCATGGGTTCGGTGAATCCCCTGAAGCGGACTGCCATCGCCAATGTCTTGTAGACTGAGACAGCGGCCGAAAGATGGCCCGCCCTAGGGACCGACCGAACGATGGAATCGGGATTCAAGCTCAAAGAGGAAGTCGGTCGGTCGCCACTCCCAGAACAGATCGACCTGAATCCTGCAGGCAACCCTGCCAGTGTGTGCGCGCACCGAACCTTTGCAAATTTCTAGAATGGCATCAAAGGATTGCTAGCGCGGCCCTTTTGCTGTTGGTGCTAGCATGGCCCTTGCTTCGGCTGCTGTTGTTGTCACTCAGCAGCCAACCCATTTGCGCTGTATGGATAGCCAATGCCTCTTGAAGTCCAACCCAAGTAAGTTTGATCTGTCATCCTGTAAGCTAGCTGAATGGGTTGACAACAATTACAGACAGGCGCTAATAATCGGTTGCCCGCAACGTCCTTCAATTGGAAGTACTTCACTTGTTGCGACTCAGGTTGTTCGGGCTTGGGTGGCCCATACGCCGTCTCGGGCACTTGCTGGGTAATTCTGGATATTGCAGGGCATTGGGCGATTACTCACACCTCATTGAAGTCTGCAAACAATCTCTCTGGTGCAAACTAGTTGTAGATCTAAGGTGATGGCTGCCAATTGCCTCTCCCTCCTAGAATGCCAGCAAAGACACAGTTGTGTGCTTAGGCTGCTTCGTTGGTGAACAAGGTTCGGCAGGTAGCTGCGCGGGCCTCGATTCATCAAAAAAAAAAAAAAAAAAAAAAGAACTAGGCCAAAGGGAAACGGAAGGGGGGAAAACAATCACAAGCGATTTTGGTGTGACGGCGGTTCAATCCCGTCTGAGGTTGATGCTCCAAACTGCGACAAGTCTGTCTAATCTGTCGATCTTCAAGGAACCCCTGCTCATAGCTGAGAAGAGTGAGGGGCTTGTTGACCACACCGACGACCCCTGAGCCGAGCGTCAATAAGAGATTAGTGATGAAGAACTACAACTCCACACGGAAGCGTATGTTGCTGTTGCTGTCATTGACAGGCGGATAAGCTCCCACACCAAAGTTGGCTTGCGGTTTAGTTCAGCTGTGGTCTGAAGACATCACTATCTCACCACTTGATAGGTAGCGTTGTGCGAGATCGCCGCAGACGTGATCCGCGGCGACGCTGGTCTAAACAACGTCACCAGGCGTGAAACCTCTGTCGTACATTCAGTGTACACGTCAGGCATCTTGCTTAGGAACTGATCGAATTGTGACATATTGTGGAATTGATTGCCGGAGTTCCTTGTAGTTGCAGACGTCGCAGCCTCGGCTTCAACATTCTGGTTCTTGGCCACGGCCCAAGTTTCTAGACTGTCCGACCATTGAATCAAATGACGGAGCCCTTCTTTGTGATCAGTCGCCAGAGTGGTGGGTGCGGATGGGGTGAGAAAGTGACGTGACCGAGCAATGGGGTCAGTTGCGGCGAAGCCGGTGCATTTCCCTATCATTGTTTTCCCAACCGACAAGTGGGCGGAGGATATGATTCAGGAACTTTTGCGATTGTGTCGAACATGACAAGATATTTGCAACATGCCAAGACCCATGGCGTGGGCAACGAGCGGGGAAATGCCACTCGGGGACACAGTCCTCTATGAGTGAGGATGGACATTTCGCGGTTGCTGAAAGTGCGTATTCATGACTCGTGATGCCAGCAGTTGACGGGTGGTGCGTCCACGGTGAGCGACCGAGGTGCCCATCTATAACCCGAGTATCGGGACTTTGACGAGATTTAGGGTAATATAAGGTGTGGTCTGGTCCATCTCCGGGACTTGTCACGGCATTTTACGAGGCGCTTGGGCGGCTTTTCGAGTGCCGAGGGGTGGAGCGGTCCATTGGCAGGCGGATGCTAGGCAAAAAGAGCATTAAGCCGCGGCCGACAGAGTCCACAGCGGATCTCACCCTTGGATCTCGTGCGAGTGAGCCCCGGGCACGGCTGGAAGTCCGGTCTTGCCCGGGTTTAACGGTATTGTAGCTCATGGTCCCCATATCTATGGGTTTCGCGAGGATCACGTCGAGATTGAATCCATTTTATCTGGAGCACTGATCAGGCGACGGGGCTGATCGGACTCGTTCGTTTGCTGAGTTACGAAGGCGAAGTGGGCTAGCCCAAGGGACCTTTTTCTGCTGTACTGTGGTCACATCACAGCTGGCAAGGGCGAGGGCGTGAGCATTGGCGTTGGCATTGGCGTGGGCATCAACGTTTGAGTGGAAAGGAGTGGAGCATTTGCGCAGGTGGAATGCCAGTTACAATCCACACAATAGGTCCATTCGGATGTGAGAATCGAAACCCAGTCACTCCCGAGGCTCACAATCTTTGCCTCTCCTGGCAATTCCATTCGAGCACCGCGAGTTTGAGTCCAGTCTAGCCCAGCTCTTGCTGTCCTCTTGCTCCTCTTCGTCCTCTGCTCTCGCTCTCTCGGGCAAGCAGAGTCGGCGCCATGGATTGAAATCCATGACAGGTCTATGTCTTGGGGTGTGCGCTGGAACGCACTTCTCTTGGCAGTTGGGCAGGTGTCTGCGGGCTGCATACTAGTATGCGGCCTACTCTAGGCTCGTTAAGGATAAAGGGTGGTGCTGGTTGTCGCTCATGAGTGAGGGAAAATCACGGAATCGTGGGTCTGGAGCCGATTCCAAATGGAATGTGTATGTCCTGAGGTGCAGGCAACCATTTCCAGTCCCTTGGGAATTGCGTTTGGCTAGGGTCACGCCTTTGCGTGCCAGTCTTTTCCGTTTACCCCCTCGGGACACAATTAGACTGGGGAGCCGGACCGGTCGAATGGGCAGAGTAGAGCCAAAGTGCGAGTTGGTTCAGTTGAGAAGAGGTATCGTTTTTTCAGGGAGCAGCAAGATCGGTTGGAAATTGCCGCAAATTACAACGTTCATTCCGGGTATGTATGTAATTGTGAAGGCTGTTTGATCGCTTGTGAGTCTTGTGTTGCGTTGCGGCTGATAGCAATTAATGCAACACAAGCGGGCCAGGGCATGCGTCGTACTGTACCGTGTTACATTCAGAAGTATGCGCAGGATGAGGTACTATCGGTTGGTTGGAGGAGGGTCGCGTGTCGTTAGGAGGAAGTTCTGCCTCCTGGCTTCATGGGGGCTGTGTCATTAAGCTAATCCAGACGGTGCCGCCCAAATCTTTCGCTTACAATGCAGATTCCGCGATGCGTTCCTTGCCCATGTTTTTCCCTATCGCCCTGTGTCCCAACCTTCAACAGCCCCCTTCTTGATGTTTATCGTCGTCAAGGTTGTTGTTGTTGTTGTTTTTGTTGTTGTTGTTTTTGTTGTTGTTGTTGTTGTTGTTGTTGTTGTTGTCGCCCGCGTTCTTACCTTCCTAACCTCGGCTGTTCAAGTTATTTCACACCCTTCGTTTTCTGCCAAATATTTTTTAGACATAGCCTACCTGGCTAAATAGCATAGGTCCCTTAGCGAGGTGCGAGAATGAGGAGATCAACAACGAGCGACATTTCATCCCCTCAAAGTGCAGCAGGGCAGTTGCGGGTCCGAATCACAGGCAAGGAGAGATGACATATTTGGGCATTGTGTACAACAAAAAGTGGCCAAGTGGAGGTTTGAATAAGGTATTGGACATTGAGTTGATCATCCAAGGCAGGACGAGTTGTCCAGGTTGTGTTCGTCCAAACTGTTGAAGAGGTAGGGAGGTGCCCAGGTACCACTCAGCATCGGGTGAAGCACCTACCCCGTCATGGAAGGGGAAGGGGTTGGCACTAGGGTACATAATGAGGAAGAGGAAGGCACAAATTCGTAAATGCTCGAGCCCCGGTTCCCCTAACCCACCTCACGGGGCACATGAAGATTCCGATGGAGGGCGCACACGTAGGTAAGGTAAGGAGGACATCGTCTTACCTACCTACCTGGGCTGGTATCCCCTGGAGGGAGGCGAGGTGGGATTGAAAAGGGAAGGGCCGTCCAGGTGGCCGTAGTTCTTGCCCAAAGCGTCAATCCTGGACAAAAATCCGGAATTCTGGAATCTGGGCCGGTGTGTAGGAGGCTATTTTCCACTCGGCTCCATTGACGAGGAAGGAAAGAGGGTGGGCAGAGGGGGGTGGTGAGGTACTTACGTACTTCAGCAACTTCAGGAAGGGCAGGGGCAGCAAGGAGGAGGGGGTTGAGGTGTGACTTGCGACTTCCTTCATTCGCGAGATGCCAGGAACCGCCCGCTCTCCCCTCCCCCTTGAGGCCATCCGACGGGCACGGGCACGGGCATTGCGGTTGGTGATGTGGAGGCAAGTACGCCCGGTACATTGCAGAAGAACGGCAGTTAGGGGAACTTCAGGCTCATTTGCTTGTTGGTGCTATGCGTCGCAGCAGATGTTGGCGTTGGCACAGGCCGCAGCAAGGACTGAGGGACCCTGGCAAGTGCCCGCTCCTAGCGGGTCCCCGGTTAAGGTGCTTTGCCCACTCCAATAAGCCAGGTTTGTAGTAGGAACCTTTGGTTGAGCGACGAGGGTGACTGCCACACTTGCGCCGCACATATTACGGGGATCTGATAGCTACGCCGCCGTCCAACAGATACATTGTAGACAGCCGAGGCGAATCACCTGAGCCGAGAAGACTGGCTCCATATCCATTTCCCTCACTCGCCTGCACTCTGCATTTACTGGAACAAATGCAATGCCATGTACATGTGAAGAGCGAGATGAAGATGGCCGTCATGGGGCCCTGTGATGGTCGAATCAGATGAGTTTTAAGCAGTTAGGAAGGAGTCGAAGTCAGGTTCTAAGGCAGAACGAGCCATGTCATATGTCATGCCAACCACCAGCCGCCCGCAGCCGCCCGCAGTTGAACACCTGGATACTTCGCTCGAAAGTGCACTGGTTGCGCGAACTACCTCGGTGAGCCAAGATGCCCGACCATCGTGCAGTAAGTTAGGTAAATGCTGTTATTCTCAGCGAGACTGGAGATATGGAATGGTGAGCGCGGAGATAGGCTGGGCAGTTGTGTTTGCCTGCGCCAGGGTTTGGCCTAATGAGGCAATCGTTTCGTTGGCCGACAATGAATTGGAAGGGCCATCTCAGCTACAGAGTAATGACCAGCTTACCTAAGGCAGTTGACCTCACATTAGCCACCTTGGTGCTTGGCTAGGCGGGAGGTTGACAGGGCTTGAGAGGCAATGACAAGGTAGCAAAAAACTGTTGGAGGTGTTCGCGAGCGCCCCAGTGCCCTTTGCGTAGCATCCACATGCATGTCAGTACTAAAGTACCGGGAGAGCTCCCGGACAAGAGCCCTGTTCCCCGACCCGACTGTGGGAACGAAGTCCAAACGTGAGCGCAGAGAACACATAGTAGGAACGGAGAGTGTGGAGTGTGATGAGCTGGGGGCCCCTGTCTTGGTAGCGGGTAGCGGGTTTGGTTTGTGGGTTACCTTCTCTATCTTGCACTCCCATTGCCAAGTCGAAATCTTTGCAATTGAGCAAAGACCATTCATTTGCAGTATTTTTCTTGCTCTGCTAGTAAAGGTAGGGCACGCACAGCATTGGTGGGGAGGGGCGGTCCGAGGTAGATACGTGTTATAGATCAAAACTGAATGGTATTGTGAGGAAGCGAGGCATGCGAGTTGTCGACAAAGAAGGGATCTAATCCGCCAGCCTCCTGTTGCATTCCGCTGCCACATGCCAAAGGGGTTTGACAAGCCTTGCGTTCCGTGGAAACAATACAAGGCAAGCGAAGCACGGGCAGCGTGCTTAAGGTTTGATGTCACCCTAAGGCGGCCCCTTGGGTATTGGATTTGTACTTTTCATTGCCGGGTCACTCTAAAAACTTACAAATGCCTTATTAAGTACCTGGCACTAAGGTGCTGACCTAAGGAACGGTAGGCGCACCGTTTTATGCGGAAAGGGCAGGTTGAGGGGAAGGAGGAATTCCACCCGTACTCCAAGAGAAGGAGGAACCGCTTCCCACGTCGCTTGACCTGGTTTCCACCGTAGGTAAGCTACAGTAGCTTGAGGAAGCTAAGTCAGTTGTTCAACTGCTAGCGACTTCCTCTATACTTGTATCTAGATGATCTTTACATTGCCTTACCTGCCCAAATTCTTTGCATATCATAGTATGCACCTATATTGTGTTTTGTACAAGTCGTCGCTCTGGTAAGACAACAATAACAAGAACAACTCCAATAACAAAAACAACAACCCTGGGACTCGCATTGTCTTACCTCATTCAGGTGTCAATTTATGCTTCCACTGCTGTTTTCATCATTTTCTCATCAGGTTCTAGCCGCCAAGCCTATCCTGACTCCACGGCCTATTCCATGTGTCCCATTTCGGATCCGATCCTCATCAACGGCAGACCATGGCCTGTCTCAGATTTTCAGCGCGGAGATCGAGACGCCCATCTGGACATGGCAAATGGAGACCTTTTGGTGCACGTTGACGACAGTTGTGTTGTAAAACAGCATTTTCCCTGCACATCACTCAACACTATCCAAAAAGTGCTTTGTCTTCCGTTCTTCAATGCAACACAACCCCGGAGGGGCCACGGCCTCGACCGAGCCATTGCGACACTATGTATGGGCATTCGTCCCCCGATTCCTAACACAGCTACCAGGAAAAATAACATACTAACACATTAAATATTTTGCTTCGGCGAGCCCGCCGAGGTGCTCATGTTATCCCCACCGGTACGTGACTCTCCTTCGCTTTGAAATGTCTGTTGCCAAGTTCAGAAAACCATTGATGGTTTAAGGCGAGGGAAAAAAAAAAAAAAAAAGGTGCACTAGGAGCGCCGTCTGATCTGTGTTCGCATGGCTGGAGGAAGCCAACGATGGGCGAGTCGGGTATGGCAAAACGGAAAACGACCGACGAGAGTGACGGAAGAGGAGCAACATGTCCGTCTCCAGCCACGCGGAAGGGCCATAACGCTAATCAAGAAAGCGGCGCGGACACTAATAATTTTTCTTACAGTACACAACCCACAACGACCACCAACTGGCTCGGACTCCAGAGCCACATCTCGCATCTTCCCTGGTTTAGCGTCAACACCACCGTGGTCGACGGCTGACTGGTGGAACGTCACCGAACCCGAACCACACCTCTCCTTATTTGACTGTCTAGACTAGCCGTACCAGTCGATCCTCAGCCCAAGGCTCTAAGAGGCTGCCAAAACCGCTGCCAAGAGAAGCATTCTACCGGCAGGCATTAGCCCTGGATCGAAGTTGACCCCGGCAATGATGCCACAGTGTCAGCCTGCTGGCTATCCAGCTTCCTCCCTTTTCTAGCGCTGCGCCAGAACCCGCGCTTCGGCCGCTCTCGTGAGCAATTTCAATTTCACGAGTGTCAAGTTTTTTCTGATGACAGGGCTATTTTACAGCCACAATTACGAGAAGGGGGAAAGGCTATCTATCTCATTGACGAAATACATGCCAAAGCCTAAGACCGATGCGGTTCTTCTCTAGGAACATTGGTAAGCCACGGTGCGGAACTCCATCTGTCGAGCTCCATACGGCCTTGCCCTGTCCTGCTGTCCTGCACTGCAATGTCTGCACTCTGCTTGCTGCGTTGCCGGAGTCCAGGACTGGTCCGGTCCAGATCTTCGCAGCTCGCCGTACCGTAGCAGTGTACCCAGGGGAATGGGATCGGCCTAATGAAGACATGCCGGGCGCGTCTTATTAGCCTCTTTTATCGCTGCAGGGGACACCCAACCTTGCCCTCTCAAGTCCACAAGGACGACGTCAAGCCCACAGGGACGTTGCAAAGAACAGTTCAGGTTTCCTCCAAGACAGGCAGGTAGGTACTTTTGCACCACTGGAGTCCACGCCAAAGGTGCAGGTACCTTTTCTATACCTTTCGTCCCAACATAGCCTCTTTGGTTTTGACGACCCCCGGTCTTTCTCGCTCAGTCGCTCCTTTCACAATTGAACAGGTTTACAAGCTACTGCCAGAAGCTGGTAACTGAGCGCTGCAGTCTGCTGTATTCTGATGAGATTTTCTGGCTACTTGCGACGGGGATCTACATCTGGAGTCAACGCACTAGCCTGGCCTAACAGCTCTATGACTACATAATCTCTTATGTACTTTGCTCTCGTCACTCCAGAGATTGGCGTGACGGGATGTCCACCACGCAACCCCGCGCCGAGGTCCACAACCTCTCTTGGAATGAGCCAACAACCGGCGTACCGTTCTCATTATTTCCTTTTCTTGCCCGGCAATCCGAACCTATCTTGTTACGTCCAAGACATCCTCTGGGCACACTACTTGTGGATCATAGCATGGGATTTTCGACCCTCATCATGCATCCCTCGAGGCCTAAAGGCCAGGACACCGAGAAATGACACGAAACGTCTTCTCGCCGCCGCCCGCTCTCCACACCATTGCAATGATCGGTCGCCTAGGTCCTGAACTTGGCATACAGGCTCTGAACGACGTTTCCAAACATTGGCGTGATGGGAGCATAGGGTACAACTGGAACAACCTTCAGTCCTCTGTATCGAACCAGCATCACCCTCTTACCCCGGAAACCATCTCATCATTCATCCGACCTCGTCAAGACAAAGGATCAATGCCGTCATCCCATTTCCCTTTGTAACGTCGTGACCAAATATTAGCCATTTTCAGAACCTGGACCATGCTTCGCACGTTTTCGCCTCTTGCTGCCTCCCCCGTCTTATCCTTCCCGTCCCCCAACCTTCAAGGACCCCAGCCCAGAGACTCCCCTGTCAGCTAGTTGCCATCCCTGCCAGCCCTCCTAGGGCGTCTATCGGGAACCCTCCATACCCTCCCTTCGCGGCTTCTCTCTTCTTCGTTCCCCATGCCACCCCTCCGCTGCACTTCAACCCCCGTCACCCAAGACCTGTATCCACTTCTGGACCCCTGCCAGTATGCACCCAGGATTCCCTCATCGAGCATAACTAGACCCAGCTTGCCCCATTTTACCATCGCTGTGCCTTATTACACTGCGACGCTGAGTGCAGGCCCTATCCGTCAGACTAATGCCTCGAGGGAATGCAACTTGTGCCTCCGAAATACGTAGTATACGGAGTACGGCGAGGGAAGTAACCCCCCTCCTTCGCAACTCTCGACAAGGCCACTCGCACACGCCATGCCGTCGGTGCCGACGAGGCGCTAGGTCGGATTAGCTTCTTCCTCACCCCTCGTCCTGGCCAAGCCGACGAGACAGCGGAGACACAGTCAAGGGTCATGAGAGATGCACCGCACGTGTGTGCGCCTAGAACGAACGGTACTTTGCACCCGTCGTATACACATGCAGCACTCTATCGGTGCCCCTTCCGGCTCCCTTCCCCAATCTAACGAGCCAAGCCAATCCAGTCTGTTGGTCGTCTTCCTTAGTGTCTCCTTTTGGCCCCTCGGTGTATCTCTCTCGCAGCTCGTTACCCTGAATGTGGCCGAAGGGGGGCAACTGGCCAACTGCTCCTATGGGCATGTATATACAAATGAGGTGGATAGGATATGCATACATGCCATACCTTGAGGCGCTCTCCGCGCCTGCCCTACTTGCCTACCTTGCTCTGCCCGAAATCTCAAAAGCCACCCATCTCCAATATATCCTACTCCCACACACCTTTAGTTTCTCTTTACTTCTCTCCCATCTTGTTCCTATTCTACCCATCTGACCGTTGATACCTTTAAACACGAAGACGTGAAGCAGACACGCTGCCACCACGGCTCATCAGTCAAACAAACATATCGGCGTGCCGAGTTCCCACCGGCATCTCTTTGATCGAAGAAATTGAATTTTGGTCTCCCCTTCTCTTGACTCACCCCCCGGCCGTGGCAGACAAACCTTAATATCAGCCGTGTGCCAGCTAGCTAGCTCTCCTTCTAGCTTGACTTTTCACTTGAGCAACTCAGTCTCTCTGGGCTTTGGTTCATCCATTCTGCTGGTCGACATTCAAACCACAAGACCAAAAACACAAAAGAGACAGCACCTTGAGAGTCTTGGACTCGACCCAAAAGAGAAGGTATTTCAGGCCGGAAATGCCAAGCGGCCTCAACCTCAACGGCATCGACTCGCTTTTTCAATGGGTATTCTAGCTTTGGAACCCCATCCCCGTTTGGCCGCCCCAGATTCTCCTCCCGGGCTGGTTAGCCCATCCTCATCTTCTTACTCCTCCAGACCATCTCCTCCCGCGGATCAACTCTGGAACACCAGATTTGGCCCAGTATCTCCTCCCATGTCGAACTATGAGCAGAGTTCAGCGGCCGACATGGCGACTAAAAGCATGGAAGATACTCCGAGCCGCAAAGATTCAACACAAAGCGCCCCTCGTCAGCAGTTGCCTTCGCTGAGCAGTCTCTTTGGACCTCCATCTTCCGTCAGGCCGCTGCACTCTCCGTTGTCTGACCGGCCTGGCGGCTATCCCGTCACCTCTCCCCTGGACCGGCCGCGTATGCCTTCAGCGCATGGCGATCGCTCATACTCCACATCGTACTTCCCGCCACAAGAGTCTCCAGCAATTTCTCAACCAAGGAGCACTTATGATGCGAGATACGACCATGACAGACAGGCACTGCACGGGTTGTCACGTTCCTTCTCGGGATCTGGATCACCAATGTACCGTGAGCCGGAGCACTTGCGTCAGGATTCTAGATCCGACGCCGGACTAGGAGGCAAGTGGTCAATGCATCACGAGACCGGAAAACACGAGTATTCCTTGGTGACCAGAGACAGTCAATCATGCCTACGGGGATCTTTTGACAGACCTTCATACCAGTACTCCAGCTCCAAAGACGCCGGTCCCTCCTACCGAGATCAGCGGCCTTCTTCAGGCTCCGGGTTGATGCAGCCCTCAACGCCGGCAAGTACCACAACCTCCGAGGGAATTCCTTCAAAGGATGGTCTTGGCCCCAAGATTTGGACAGGAACGCATTTTCTTCCCCGCTTCGTACGTGCTGCTGAGGTGCCAGGGGAGGGCATGTGTTACTTTTATGATGATGGAAGCCACTGCAAAACTGTCATCGATGGTGAAGCCGTCAATGCCCACTGGGGTGTGACCAAGGCCGGAAAGCCGAGAAAGAGATTGGCGATTGCTTGTGTTACGTGCAGGGAAAAGAAGATCAAATGCGACCCGGACTACCCTCGATGCGTGCAGTGCGAGAAGTTTGGCCGAGTTTGCAAATTCAAGAACGCGTAAGTAGTGGCATTATTGATATTCTATATTCGAGGCGGACCTGTATGTCAAGCAGGCTTTACTAACTAAATGTCGGATATTTAGACCTCGAGGCGGCCACAATACGTCTCCGTCAACGCCGCCTGCAGAGCCGGAAGACATGCGGCGGATGGGAGGGCCCATCAACTCGAACGATATGCACCGGCCTGGCAGCAACTCCAGCGCCTCAGTTTCTCCTCGTACTACCTTGCGTCAGCCGAGCCCAGAGCCCCCCATGCCTCACAAGAGGATGCGCTTGGGTTTTGATTCCTATCCTCCGATGACGAGCGAGCCACCGTCATTGAATCGGACGCCTGAAGTGCCCAAGGCAAGCATCTCCTGGCAACATCGCCAGCCGATTGAGCTCCCTCGCATTCACGAGGACGTGCTCAACCGAGCATGGCAAACAGATCCGTACGTGTCCGACCCTCAGTCAATTAACACCGTAATCTCTTCCTTCTTCGTACACAACGACAGCACCATGGCCCTTCGTTTTTTGCCCGAGACCGCGTTCAAATCCTGGGTGACCGGTAATGCTCATAAAAAGTCTCCAGAAGACCTGATGCTCATCTATAGCATCCTCGCCGTCGGTTTCGCTTTGTCGGGGGGGCCCAAGCACATTGCCCACGAATACGCCCAGGTCGCCTGCTACGCCCAGCAACGCGCTTCTTCCGGCCTCCAGCTTGTACAAGCACGACTGCTTCTGGCACTATATTATCTGTCCATCTCTAGACCAGCCGAGGCGAACGAAATGTCAAGCGCAGCCATCTCAGCGGCTATATTCCTCCAGCTGAATATTGAATTAGACCAATCGATCGAAGCGGCTTTAACGGTATTTCCCTATAATCTCCAAAGAGCAGGATACTCTGAAAGTCGAAGAAGAACGTATTGGGCATGTTTCGTACTGGAACGATTAAGCGGCATGTTTCCGAACCGTCTGGCTATTCTCAACGTCAAGGACATATTCATACGACTTCCATGCGATGACGAGTCTTTCGAGAATCAGTCAGAGTCAGAAACGCCCCTTTTCCCAACATACCCTTCCAGCTCGTCTAAGTCTGTTGACCGACCACTATGTGTCTCCGCCCACCTAGTCCAGCTTGTGGCCATTTGGGCAGAGGCCATGTCTGACATGTACAGAATGGCCCAGAGCCACCAACCGAACGTGGACCCTACTGCTTTCGTCAATACCGTGACAGGAAGTCTAAATAGGTGGCGCGCGTCCCTGCCGGAACGGTATGCTTATAACCCGGGTAACATGGACTTGGCTGCTCAAGATGGCACTCTCAGCACTTTCCTCACAGTTCATCTGCTATACCACCATGGGATGATCAAGGTTCACCGACATGTTTCCTCAGCACAAAGCATAACAGCAGAAACAAGATTGCAGTACCTCGAAAGGGCACAGGAGGAAGCTACGAGAGTTCTCGACATTACAGGCATGTTGGAAGTGCTGCTTCAGGCTCGACGAGCTCCGATCAGTGCGCCACCTCCGTTGATGAGCTGCGTCATCCTAGAGGCTACAGACGTCCTCACGGCGGAAGGGTCCTTGGCAGATGTTTCGGTTCTTCTGGATCGTCTCGCAGTTGCAGGTGCCATAGTGGAAGCTTCAACTACAGTCTGGGAGGAGGCTCGTGCCCATCAGTCGGCTTTGGAACGACGACTAGATGCACTACAGGTTCTGCGAGATCGCCAGCCCTGCGACGCACCTTTGGCGGGCGGCAGGGTATTCGACCACGAGGATGAAGGCAAAAACAGCAGACTCTCCCTGGGTAGATGTTGGCAAATGGATGACCCAATGGACAAAACGTTTCCTAGGAGTATGGATCTCATATATACGCGAAGCTGAAGCAGCTACCGCAGCACCAGATTTGTTTTTCTTTTGTCTTTTTTTTCTTTTTTGTGCACTGCATTTAAGGCGTCTGGGGACACGTGAATTCTTTTGAATTTTTTATACGTTTTTTTTTTTTTTTTTTCCTTTTTCTGCCAGTCTTGGACTGGATCTATTTGGGGTGTCAAAAAGCATGCATGATCACATTATCATGAAGCCGCCGTAAGGTATTGCCCCCGGACGAGTTTCTGCTTCATTCGCTTCGCTAGACTCTTGTCTATGTACTATTATACCCTGTACATGAGAAAACGGATGGAAACAAGACCAGATGGGATATGTAAGTAGAGAGGAGGATGACTGAGACAGAGATGGGCGTGTACCCTACAGTATCCGTAGATGGACAGGCCTAGGAGCTGAGCCTGGCAACATGAAATGAAGATGAAAGAGGGGCGTGATGGATTCACGCTACCAAGGATTACTGCACAGTTTATTTGCCATTGTCTTCATCCATCCCTTGCACCGTGATATTGCAGAATGGAGGGATCGGTCTGCATGTCTCAGGTAAGTCGCATAATTGACATGCGGGATGCGGCATACGACATGCTTCAATTTGGTTTCTCAACGGTGCGGTAATTCGTGCCGATTAAGCAAGCAAAAAAGCCTCTCGCGTAGGATTCGATACCGTACCATCGACGGGCAAGAGCTGAGCTAGGGGTTTCGGTGTGGTGCTTGGGCTGGTTCTTTGGCAATGGGCCATGTGTTGCCACATATGCGGCGACGTTTGCTTGTAGTACCGAGTACCGACATGGGACTGTACGTATTCTTTTTTTTTTCTTTTTCCCATTCTAACTCCCCTCCATTCCCGCTTGGGATGGCAAGTAAACAGTCTTGGCACGACGTTGGGACAAACCAACTGCTCAGCAGCTCGGCATGTCGGACCGCTGTGACGGAGCACACCGGTCGTAGAGGTCGGTGGGGAGTCCAATCTCGCGGTGCTGCACGAAAACAGATACGACATGCAATGATGTCTCGGTAAATTTTCTTAGGGGAATCCTCATTCTCGCGAGGAGAAAAAATTTTTTTCACCGTGGTTTTCTTACACGATTGATATTTTTAATTTTCTTGGCTTTTTGTCGCTTACGTTTGTTGCTTTCTACCGATCCAACACACACACACACACACACACACACTGTACACACACGCACACACCCCTTCTATTCGGCAGCGGCGGGAACATCGTCTAGGGGGAAGGGGGAGATGGGGGAATTTGAGGGGGGGTTGTAAGTGGGTGGGTGGGTGATTAATACCGGCTGTAAGAGTTCCCCCCTCCCCTCTTCTCTCTGGGAAGAGCCTCAACCTATCGTAAGGATCTGGTTTGAATCCTTACTATGGAGTACGAAGTACACGGGGTTCATTTGCTCGGATAGATCTAGGAAGCCGAAAGCGGGAGCTTCTTTCTGCCCTTCTCTCCGCCCATCTACTCACTAGTACGTCGTTGATGGACGCATTGTGATTTTTTCTGGTGTCTCGGTGTTTGCCGACCTCGCACGACAATAAGACAAACTACATACCTCGGGTTTTGAGTAAGATCGCCAAGCCAAAGCCCTATTGGAGATGCCGTGGTCCGGATCGTGGATACGTTGCTTACTCGTGAACATGCCCCCCGTTTGATTTTTGTTATCTTGGAATATTGATGAATGAAAAAAGAAAACCCGCTTTCTGCACGGGGAATTATTTCGCGCTCCAACTGGAATGAGGCTCCTCCTCTACACCTTTTTCAGGGGGGGGGGGGGGGGGGGGGGAATAGGCCCACCGTCCAACAGCCGGCACCAGCCGGGTTCTTTGCCGCACCCCCTTCCCTACATAGTATGTGGTATACATGTGATGAACCCCCACACGCCGTTTCTTTGCCACTGCCATTTTCATGGGGCGGCGGCGTAAAAGGAAGATGCTTGAAATCCGAAGATATCGGCTCCGAGACGCCCGGACAGTTTGCTGCTGAGGAATGGACCAACCCTGAGAGGTCAGGGGGGGAAATGAGATGGAATTCGGGTATGGAAACCGTTCGCTTGCAGGGTTCCAGAGGGCTCGGGGGAATGTACCGACCATAGCCTAGCGGATATACCCATACTATCTATACCATAGTACATTGGGGTGTGTAGTGTAGTGCAGTGGAAGGTTGTATAATGTACCAGAGGCGATGACGGTGGAGCTGGTCAGGGTTGCTGCCAGTGATACTCGGCGGATTACCTAACATTACTCAACCGTACCGTCATCTCTCTCCCTTTTTTTTTTCTTTTTTTTTTTTTTCCCCCCCGCTGATTAGTATACGTCCCATTCCCTTCCCTCTCCCGCTCGGCGCCGGGATCCGCACCGAGCCCCGAACCCTGGTCCTTTACCCTCCGTGCCGGCGGCCGGTTTGCCTTTAGGTGTAACTTTGCTCATCGTTGCGTTAACGTGCCCCTGCGCCATACCATTCCATCGCCGCCCGCAGTGTGTACCTGAGTGACAAAGAATCCCGGGCCGAGGGTGCTGTTTTCTGAGTCATTGGGTCATCGAAAAGAAAAAAAAAAAAAACCAGCTGCCATGTACGGATATTCGACGAGAACGATCCCGCGCCTGGCGCGAGGCGTGGTGAAACAGTCATCAAGATTGCCAGTCATCACATTCCGGCGCACATTCGCAGCCGCCAAGCCCTCGTCGCCCCGTCCACCGCCGTCGCCGCCCCCGTTCGAGACCGTCCCGACTTGTCCCTCCCCGACATGTGGGTGCGCCGCCACGCCAGAAATGCCAGAGGGTCTGCCCATCGACGTCAAGAGCCCGCTCAACGGCGTCGTATCGGCCTACGCGGAGCAGGTCCTCGTGTGCACGGGCAAGGACGACTGGACCTCGAGGATTGAGGAGGAGAACAGCGGAGACAACCTCGCTGCGGACCTGAAGGAGTTGTTCGGCCGTGGTGGGACGTATAGTGATGTGAGTTTTTTTTTTTTTTAAAACGTCCTTTCTCATGCCCCTTTCTTCACATTTTGAGTGTCTCATTATGAGAGATGGTTCTCCACTTGTTCATGTAGCAAAGTTGCTACATGAGCCTCGCAAAAGAAAAAGTGAATTGTGATTCATATGCATGTGTGTATATGTGTGTCCATGTGTATGTGTGGGATGTTTTGAGAGAGAGAGAGAGAGAGAGAGAGAGCACAGGCTGACGGCAAGTTCTTCCCTTCCCGCCGTCAGCCATGGCACAATATTTCCGTACTCAACGCTTCTTTCCCCTCCTCCGTACCGAAGCGGAGCGAGCTCCAGACGACAAGCGCCTACCTCCTCCCGAGCTTCAAGTACGTCCCCTTCCTGCCGCGCGTCAGCTTCGACAGCGTCCAGGCCCTCGCCAAGGGCTACCTGCTCCCCGAGAAGCTGCACAAGATGCACGACAACCTGTCGCCCATCCACCGCGACCGCCTCACCCGCAAGGAGGCCTACCAGTCCCTTCTCTACGGGGTGAAGGACGTCGAGGATGTGCTGGTGCTGATCTGCGGCCACGGGGGGCGGGACATGCGCTGCGGCGTCATGGGACCCGTGCTGCGGGACGAGTTCGAGCGGCAGTTCGAGGGTGCGGGGCTTGCTGTTCAAAGAGGACCGGTGGCGGTTGACGAGACCGAGGGCGAGAGGATCGCGGCGCCCGAGGGCGGCAGCGAAGAAGACAAGACTTCGGCGAGGGTCGGCTTGATCAGCCACATTGGCGGGCACAAGTTCGCGGGGAACGTCATCGTGTATATCCCGCCTACCTTGAGGACCGCCGGCGGCGAGGAGCACCCGCTGGCTGGGATGGGGATCTGGTATGGTCGGGTTGAGCCGAAGCATGTCGAGGGCATCGTCAAGGAGACGGTCCTCGAGGGGCGGGTTATCGCTGATATGTTTCGAGGCGGCATCGACCAGAATAGAAAGGTTTTGAGGCTATAAAGTGTAGACGGGGGTTTTGAGAGCTGGCAGTGTAAGAATTTGTACGATAGAGGAACAGACGCGCTGGACTAATTTGTCCCCAAGACTTGCATGTAGACGTTGATGTAAGATTATACTCAATTCTTTACTCGATGTTTGACCACCACCAACACCACCACCACCAATTCAAGTGCTACGCACTTGCTTTTGTCTGTTAAAGGGATTTGAAACATTGAGAGAATAAAAATACATCATTGAGCTCTGGAAGTTGCGGAAACCTGCGGATAAGAGGCTCACTAACACTCAATGAGGGACTCGCGAGCTCACGTGACCGCGCGTCTCTATCAATTGGAGCGAACCCACTCACTCCGATCATTCAACCTTGTACATGCGACCGTTGAAAACGTGACTCGGAAAAAGATAACTAGGACAGGATTTCAAGTACTTCCGTTTCATTAAGGAACGCTGCTTGCAAATGCCGTTTCCAGCCGGAGCCTCCGCCTCCGGCGGCGCCGCCCTTCGGGCTCATCTCGGCCGACGTCCTTTTCACACTCATCTGGCACCCGCCACCGTGATGAGACCGGCCAGGTCAACGGCAGTAACGGCAGCAAGACTTCAAGGGATATCGGGGACATGCCATAGCCAAACATTAATACACAAAAACAACGGCATTCTACGGGAAGCGCGGATATCGCCGAAACTACTCACGCTCGCATCCAATACCCGTCGCTTTCGATCCACAACGACGGCGCACGAAACCTCACATAACCACCGCAAAAGCTCCTTCATAAGCCCACGCTACCTCCCAGTTCTCGTCATATTGGCCATCGCAGGCGTGGCATGGGATTCGCAATGGCTGTTCCCGTCAAGTACGTCCTCTGACCCCGCCGAAGCGACCATCCTCTCCAACGCGAGGAAATTCATCCGCTTCGACGTCATCGACAAGGAACAGGTCTCCCCGACCTCCTTCATCCTCACCCTCAAATCCCCCGCCCCCAAAGCACTTCCCAGCCTGTCGTCCCTCTGGGACGTGTTTGACCTGTGGTGCGTCGAGGTAAAGCAGCCGCAGATCCAGGTCGCGCGGGAGTACACGCCGCTACCCCCGGCAGCAGGCTCGGACCCGGATACCTTGAGGTTGTACGTTCGAGCGCTCCGCGGAGGCGAGGTGTCGACGTACCTGAGCCGGTTGTCGCCCATGGGAGACACGGTCGAGCTGCGTGGTCCACACGGCGAGTTCGACCTCCGTTCCCGACTAGGCGCCGCCGGAGACCGCGTCGTGTTCCTCGCGGGCGGGACGGGCATCGCGAGCGCGCTGCAGGCTGCGAATGCTGTTTTGCCCGGCGGTTCCTCAATGACTATTTTCTGGGCTGTGCGGAGCCGGGAGGAGATTCAGCGCGGTGCGCCGTCCACGCAGCAACATGCAGCGACGGCAGCGTCAACGTCGTCATGGAGCTGGAATCCTTTTTCCAAACGACCTCAGGAGACTGGGTTGAAGATCCAGGCCGAGGTTTTGTCTGCCGAGGCCGACGACGCTTCGCCCATTAGCAGAGAGCTGATCGCTCTCAAGGAGAAATATGGCGACAAGCTCGACGTCCGCGTCGTGGTTGACCAGGAGGGCACACTCATTCGGGAACCGGACCTCGCTGCGGCTCTCGCCCAACAACAACAAGGCCCCAGGCATCTTGGAAATGCCCTGCCGCCCACGACGACAGACGGCTGCAAGTTTCACTCGCAGGAGGCGCATCTCGGGATGGTCGACGGCGCGCCGAACGCCGGAAAGCGGCTTCTGTTCAAGGACGAGGACTGTGCTTGCTCTCCCAAAGACGGTACGGCGGCGCCCGGCAAGAACGTCTTCGTCATCTCCGGGCCCCAGGGTTTCGTGCAGGCATACGCGGGCCCCAAGATATGGCGCGACGGCGGTCAATTACAGGGTCCCGTTGGCGGGATGCTGGGTGCCATCCAAAGGGGTAATCCTAACCTGTTGAAGGACTGGATCGTCCTCAAGTTGTAGGTAGGCAGGCACCAGCTGTAAGATTCGAGAAAAAGGGGGGGGGGGGAACCAAAAAGAAAAAGAGGCACATGTACAACACACCGACGAAAGCATCCGAGAAACAGTGATATTCGATAACGCTGTCTAGTTCTGGACTTTGATGATCCATCCAACCCGAAAATATGCTACAGAAAGTGGAAAAAGTATAAGCCCCGCCTGCCGTCAACTCCGTTTAATAATGCAAAGACAGCTTTCTCCCTTTCAGGCTGTCATTCGTGCCCTATCCCATTAAAACGCCCAACCGTAGTATCCTTTCAATAAAATGGTTTGAAAACGCTGATGCTTTCTACGTGCTCTGCACTTTTCTATATGAGGGCGGCTTCATCGTCCTTCTGATCAGCTTCACTGCATATGTGGGAATGAGGGATATCGCCCCAATGGCGAGGACGCGCCAGATGAATCCCCTTTGACACTTATTAGCGGCGGTGATGCAGGTCGGAATAAGAGTTACTCACAAAGTGATGATGAATTTGAGATCAAAGTACCCGCCGAGGAACGGCACGGAACCAACGTAGATGAGGAACGTGCCGACGATGGAAAGAATCATGAGAGGGTGCCATGTGGTGATCTCGATGGCAACCATTAGAAGCTCATTGAGAACCAGAACGGTATACGACACAGCCACCATCTTGGGGCCGTCGACTTCCGTAAGGAGCTGCGAGAGGCCTTGGATCGTGCAACCTTGGTAGATGGAAACAAGAACCCAGACAAAGAAGGTGCGATATGACAGCGACCGCCCTGACGTGAGTTCCTTGTATAACTCTGGGTAGAGGTTCGCGAGATTCTCGTCGACGTCCTTGTCAAGGACGAGGGAGAGAACAGGGAATGCAGTATACAATGTGGCGTATCCCACAAGAAGCCAATCCTAATCGTGACAGTCAGAGAAATGTTAAACGCGGCCTTGCTGAAGAAGCGCACTCACCTTGTAAAGACCTTCAGGTTCAAATTTGATTGCGATGCTGTACATTGTCTGACAGACGGCAATGATCAATCCGCGATGGATGACGAACTGAGCAAGCTTAGCACTCCGCTTGTAGCTGTTACGCCCGTGCCAAACCAGTAACTTGGTCAAATGGAAGAAATGCTCAATCGAGAAATCCGCGGCTAAACTAGCCTGTCGGCCCTCCTTGCCAACAATACCAACACCGACGTCCGCTGCTTGAATCATGGAAACATCGTTGCCACCATCGCCAATACAGCAGACCCTCTTCTTTGTGTATTCCTTGATCAGCTTCGCAATCTCTGCCTTTTGCGTTGGCGAGCATCGGCAGGCGACAACAGTAGGCAGCTGGACAGCGACAGACACAAAGTCAATTCTGAAATGGGTGAGGAATAGAGCCAGACTCTCGCCGTCAATGAGCAGGCACGAATCAGTCTTTCCGCGGAGGAAGTCGAGATGATCTTGGGCATTATCCTTCTTCTTGAGCTTAGCGACCGTGTAGATATACTGCCCTCGGGCAACCAATTTGGAGCTGACGGCAACACAGCGGGCTGTTTCAACCTTGTCGCCCGTCAACATCCAAATCTTGATGCCGGCGTTTCTCAGCAGTTCTAGGGACGGCTTGACATCCTTTTGCAGCTTGTCTTCGACACCTGTCACGCCGAGAAGTTCTAAGTCGCGCTCTAGATGGTGAGATACGACTCGTTGCATGCCAGCGTCACGCCCAGAGATGGCCAACGAGGCTGCTTGGTAACTTGACGAGAACTCCTGGTACTGCTCATAAGAAAGGCGCTTACGTCCAACCACGAGCGTACGGAGGCCTTCTCGAGCCATGTTGGCGGTTTCCTCATCGAGCCAGTCGTTTTCGGCCACGATGGAACTCATGACCGTATCGGCACCCTTCTGATAGAACCAGATTTCGCTGTTGGCAAGGTTGGGCACGGTAGACTGGGTTTGCTCGTAAAACTGAACAATAATGCCCATGCGTTTTCCTTCAGAGGTGAAGGGGAAGACATCCAGGATGCGCACTCGCACAACTTCACGGCCAGTATCTGTTGACTCGAGAACCATGCTCTTGCGATCACGATAAGCCAGCCGCAGACCAACAGACTCGGTCCAGCGGACGATGGCAATCTCGTCGGGAGACGAAGCCTGGTACGAGACAATCGTCTTGCCATCTTCTTCCTCTGTAGTAGGAGTTACATTGTGGCAGAGAGCCAATGCTAGAACGACGTCGCGAACGCGAGAGCCAATCTCTCTCCTTGTACGGGTAGCGCCCACATTTGCCGAGTTGGACACCGTCGACGAGGGTGTGATCAAAGCCGTCTGTGAAGAAGGATCGGTGGTGGGCTGGATGTGAAAAGCTTGTCTGACATACGAGTTGACTTCATCCATAGCCTCATTGGCATATGAAACCGTACCGACGTGAATTTTTCTCATTTCCATCTCGTTTTGGGTCAACGTGCCCGTCTTGTCGCTGAGCAAATACTCAATTCTGCCCAGATCTTCGGGGATCGTGCTTGTCCGAACCACAGCTCCAGGAATGCCAGGATCTCGCTGGATGAACCAAGAGTAGGCGCTCTTGCCCATGTCGAGGTTCACACGCAGACTGATGGGTACAATGGTCGAGAAAAGAACCAGGAATCGCATAATCTTAATGTACCAGACGTTGCCTTCAGTGTTCGAAAAGCCTTCCAAAGCCACCAAGATGATGGAAAGCGCCAGTGTCAAGGCACATAGGATCTTTGTGAGTGAGTTGATCTCATACTCCAAAAGACCGGTTTTGGATCGCGAAGGCGCAGTAGACAACGCAGACCTAGTTTGAGGACCGGTGTACATAATGACGGCAAGCGTTGTAGCACTGGAGGCGATAACTGTGTTTGCCCATGCAGTGTTGTCAATTGAGAGAGGGGCAGACACTTCTTCTTCCCCATCGAGCGTTCCTTGTTGACCTTGAGTATCCCTCCGGGTAGGTAGAAGCTCGACAGTGCCTAGAAACTCGTTGACCTTCTTGTCCGGTTTTCCTCCTGTAACACGGAGACGAACGAATTCTTCGGTAGGCAGGGTTTGCGACAGCGGTGATGCCAACCGCAACTTCCAGTCTGTCTCACCGTCAAGTTGATCAGTTCTGATGAATGTTTCGCCAGCTGCCCCTCCGCCGCCACCGTCGTCCTTTTCGGTCTCTTTGCCCTTCACCTCCGACGCATTCTTGGGCGCATCATCTTCTGTATCAACCAGTAGGGATTCCTCTGCGATCGTCTCTATGACAGGAGCTGCAGAGGTGGTCTCCGAAGTTATGCACTTCAGAATGACGACATCGGCCGGGACTCGTTGACCTTTGCTTAACTTGAGGACGTCACCGACCTTGAGATCGCGCGACTTCCGGCTGACTTCGCGCACAGAGGAAGACGGTGGGGGCAAGCCACCATCTGCTTCCGTTCGCTCCTCTTCTTCCTGAATATCCGAAAGTCTATCCCGAATGTTGAGTGCTTTCTTGCCTCTCCTCATTGAATCCGATTTTAGCCTCTTGTGGGATCGTTGTGCAGAACCCAGGCCACGTCCGGGCTCGTCAAAAGTAAGAATGGTGTATTCCTCTGCGTTGGCTTCATTGTCTCTCCGGCGTCTTGCAATGTCATCGTATGCTTCCTTGCCCATGGTGATGAACAACACAAATGCCAAAGGCGCAATATAGGTCGTAAGGTAACCAATTCGCAAAGCCGGAATTGCTTGTGACAGTGCCACTAGTAGAAAGTACATGTTGAAAAAGAAGGAGAACTCGTTGTACAGAGTGATGGGCAGGAACGTCAGCGCCGTATACTTGGCGTTAGATATCAGGTTCGGCGGGAACCTCGTCGATTGCGAAGACCCTACTGCGACGAGGCGTGAGGTTGACGGATCATCTTCATCTTGGTCTTGCGCATCGTCATTGTTCGCTTCCTGTCCTCCCGAGTTCGACATGAAGCTGGGCAACCGTAGACTAGAGGTAAGACGTTCGAATTTGTCTCCGGCAAACGAACGACGCCTTGCAGGCGGCCCACCGGGAAGCAAAGGCGAGTTATCATCGTCGGACCCAGCGCTCCCGTCTCTGTACTGTGACGAAGAGCCTTCCGGCTCCCCAAGAAGGGCTTGGACATCTTCGCTATCGCCGTCGCGGTTCTGGCCTAGCTCTCCATATCCCTTGGCCTTCTGCCCAGCTCGACGTGAGCCCCCCATGCGTAAATTTCGCAGTGCAATACGTGGCGATCGATGCTCGGCGGCCTGGCGGTCGTTGCGGATGATTCCAGAGCTGCGGTAGGTTGTGGTCGTGGCAGGATCGAGCTCCTGGATGTCGAGATCTAGGTCTGAATCGGAGTCATTCGCTGGGGAGCCTGGCGGATCCGCGGAACGGTATGACGTTGAAGAAGGCATCCCGCCCGCATTGGGAGTAGGTATATGCAATAGGCGACTCTCTAGCGGAGTGCCGCGAAAGCGGAAGTCGTGATAGAGTTCAGTAGCCGGTGCCTGTGCTGCTGCTCCGGGATCTGCATCGGATAGCTTCGGCCGGGTCGGTTGCGGGTAGCGCGTACGCTTGATGGGTCAGGCGTTGGTATTTGCGCCGTGATAAGCCAGATCACGCAGTTAGTATCGCAGTGTTGACTTGTGGATAGGTAGGTTGAGTTCGTGGTGTTTTGGACAGGTAAACCACTGACGCCAGCTATGCCGAGAGGCCAGGAGGCGTGGATGATGTCGCCTGGAAGGGCTGAGCCGATCCAATTGGATGGCAGTACTGTTCGGACAGTGTGTCAGTGCCACACGACGCTATATTCCAGTGTGTGCTACGGGGGGCCACCTTAAGTGACGAAGCCAGCCGCGTGGCCCCTAGTCAACTGTAAGGGTGCCTATAAGAGCGTCAGGCGGGGGGTTTTTGGCTGTGGCGACGGTGTAACTAATGGGAGCTTCCAAGCGCTAGCACAAGCATCCGTTTCTCTTGCGCCCCTCCTGCTAGTCTACAGTATCTTTTGTAAAATATCCCTGGCGCCTTTTTAATTTTTATTGTATGTTACACATTCTTTCCTTTTGGTATTCACCTTCTACCTTTTCAATACGATTGCATGTGTATCTAGGAGATGCAGGGGCTGGTAGGAAATGTAGGCGTGTAAGAAGACCTCATGCTCTCCCTGCTTTTAGGGTCTTATTACAGGGTGTCTTCGACAACACTTAATCTATGTACTACAATACAAAGATAGGTCGATAAACTATTGTAAATACTGTCTTGCCTCATTCAACTCATCCACAAAACATTATTGTTGGCTGAAGGTCATTATAGGAACCTCGAGATTTTTTTATTTTCTTTTTTTCTTCCTCTTTCTTATCTCTCTCGTAGTATACTCCATTCTTTACAGCATGAAATCCCCTAAGCCACATGCCATCAACTGAGACGTTTACAGCTGCGCCCGGAGGATCTTCGGCCCCGTCCCAAACCACCATACGAACTTGGGTCCGCCCCTTTTTTGAGCACGGAATGACGGAATCGGCAAAAAACCGAGCCTCTGACTGGATGGGCCGCGCCATTCCAGCCAGCATTGACAGGCATTGGAATTTTTTTGGATCCATGTCGCAGCAACCGCAGGCCGCAGGTTGCAGGTCGCAGTTGCGGTTGGATGACACTAAAGCAACAAGGTACATGGCAGAAGTACCGTGCAACCCCATACTTTCAAAGTACCTGCCAGCTTGCACCTTGGGCCACCCCATTAGACTTTCATTTGTCCAGCAAGACACCTTGACGCCGTAATCTCTGCCTTCGACCTACCAACCCGTGAAGTTCAGCATGGAGTTTGTCGTTGTGTATTCTATCTAGACTTCTGCTTCTCTTGTACATGTACGTGTTTATCCTTTTGACGGGGTGCTGATCGATGCCCTCGGTCCCCTCTGGGTCGGCGCGTTGTGCGACGCCAAATCTCCAGAACCGCGCCTTCATGGGCTGTGCTGACCATTTCGAGATAGCTGTTCCTTCAGTCTTTGGACTCGCACCACGCAAACTCGCATGACTCGACCTAATTAGACCATCATCATGACTGTCGAGACCGCGAACGCCTCATGGCATCCGGCCTTCATGCCCAATACTGCCAGTGGCAATACATCCGCTGAAGCCGCAGCTCCCTCGAGCGCAAATCTCGATGCACCACCTCCACCTGTCCACGCCGAAAAACAAAATCCCCAAGAAGACGTCGAGTCTTCACGCGAATCACAAGAATTATCTTCATGGGACGATGACCCTGAAGAAGAGAGTAACCCCTGGCTGGCAAATGACGCCGACCAGGAAGCATCCGACGATTGGCCCGTCTTCGATAAACCAGCAACGAGTTCGCCAGTTGAATCCAAGGACACCAAGGAAGCCCCCAACACCAGTGAAGTTCCAGACTCGGAATCAGCACTGGCTTCTACTGCCCAGGAGACCTCGATCGAGCCAGATACCCCAAAGGAGGCCGCAAAATCATCTGGTCATACTTTAGGACACACCAGCAACGACTCGTTCACGCGGACAGTGGCCCACGACGTCAACTGGGACGACGAACATGATAGTGAATGGACACTCTCCCGAACCGACACCGATCCTTTCAAGTTCATGCCGCCGAGCGACAGAACAAACTCGTTCCCGCCCGTACCGCCAGTCGGAGCTTCGACCTCCGCTCCTGGAGAGGAACATCCGCTCCCCTCCAATCAAGCCGAAGACCTGATGAATGAAATTGAGAACACCTCGGATCACCACGACGATATCGGAGATAAACAGACGAACAAAGCCGTAACTGGGTTTGATTATGGGTTTGGGGATGACACGGAGAACGACCATCAATACGTTGGCCGCGACGTGTCCATTACGGATCACGAAGCTCTTGGTTCACGATACGAAGAAGGAGTGCCTCTGATTTCTCAAGACGAAAGCAATGAGGACGCGCCGCAATCCGAACAACCGCTCCACGGGTTTGACGATGATACAGCTGGAGATGATGACTTTTTCAGCCAGATCAAGGGCTCAAACAATGACGAATTTCCAGACTTTGATGGCAAACAGCCGTTGGAGCGTAAATCTACCATGCAGGTTCTGGGCGCTCTTGACAACCATACATTGTCAAGAACAGACACTCTTGACGATATGCTGGAAGAGGACGAGGATGAGGAGGCGCAAGAGGCTAATGCTGCCGCGTCGGAGCCAACAGCGCCGGAGACCACCCAACCTGAGACTACACAGGTTGAGGAAGCCGAGGCCAAGCCTTCCGATGATCTGGCCGCCAAATGGGAGCAGGCATTTGCAGACGATGATGAGGATGATTTCTTACTCGAAGAAGCGCCTGAGGACTCTGGCGAAGGCAAGCCTGTCGACCCTTCCGCGTTCTTTGGTAGCGACGATGAGGGATTCCTTGAAGATGACGATGAGCCACAGACGACAGCTCCTGCCCCCACACCTGGTATCCAAGGACGATACACCCCGCAAGCACCGGCTGCCGTTCCCCAGAGAGCTAGTTCTTTTAATTATGCCCCAACGCAGGCAGCTTCGTCCCTGGCCGCCCAGCCGCAAGTTCCAGCTTCACCATTTATGGCCGCTTATGGTGGCCAGCCTTCACAACCATCCGCCCCTTATGGAGCACAACAACGTCCCGAGCCTCCCAAAGCTCAAAGCTTTGCGGCTCAATCTAAAGGCGGCTATACATCACCGTACGACCTTCCCATGGAAGTGGTTGTCCCTAAAAAGCGAGCAAGTGCCCAACAACCCCTCCGAAGCCCTTCAACTGGGCCAACATCGGCTCCTCCGCCTAGAAGCTCTAGTATGCAAACGCCTACTCTGCCTCCGCCCAGGACAGCGTCGTCCGGCGCTTCTCCGCCGCCACCAAGTCAATCTCAGCAGCCCTCGACAGGGGGCAAGCCTGCCCCGGCACTGCGCAACAAGGAAAGTTTCTTTGAGGATCTGCCGATAACTTCCAAGCCCCGATCTGCTTCCCGACAGAGCCATCGTGTCTCTTCCCCGGCCCCAGCTGGCCCACCTCAGCCCCTTGGGCCTCCTGTGCAAGGCCAACTTGCACCGTCGCCTCTGTCGCCCCCCATCGATGCTCCGGGCATGTCTCGTTCCGCATCTGGAGGCATCCCGAACCTCGTGCTGGGCGAGCGCCCCAACCCGTATGCGCCTCAGCCAGCTCAACCGCAGATTCCAGGTGTTCCCAGCAATGCCAGGTATTCTCCTGCTCCCCCGGCGGCACCAGCAGCAAACGGTGCTAGCCGTCCATCGTCTTCGAGCAGATATTCTCCTGCGCCAACGGGTCCGAGACCGCCTGTTCCTGCTTTCCATTCATCTACCGCCCCTCCAACAGTGCTGCCGCACTTGCCTAGAACGTCGAGCCCTTTGGCACACTTTGAGGTTTCGCGCGAAGCGCCCACCATCAATGGTGACCATAGTCAGGTTGATCGTAGGTCGAGCCACAGCCTTGAGCCGAGGATCACGAGGGTTTCGTCACTGCCCGTCACCCGTGAGGTTGACGAAGAGGATGATTCCAAGCCTGCGCAGCTAAACAACGGCGTGCCCCCTGAATCTCGGTACAGTCCAGCACCACCAATGGCAGCTAGACAGACGCCGCCGCCGCCTTCCTCTCACGGCTCTCTAGCGCATTCGACCTTGTCACCCCCAAAGCGATCTACATCCAACTACCTACCGCAGGCTGCTTTGCACGAGTCACCGCCCGACAACAGATTTGTTCCACCTCCTAGGTCTCAAACACAATCACCGGGTTCTTCTCACGGACGCCCGTCATCCCAACCTGTTGCTCGCCCATCTTCGGTGCACAGTCCAACATCGCCTCGGGCTACCAGATCCTTCCAATCAACACATGCTCCTGTCACTCGCCCACGTGGACCATCACAAAGTCTCAACATGGTCGCGCCGACAGATGGTCGTGAGAACGATCCCCTGCAGAGATGGAAGGGTGCTCCTATCATCTCTTGGGGTGTTGGCGGAACGATGATCACCTCATTTCCCAAAAATGTGCCGCGTTACGGTATTGGTCAGACAGCTCCGATGATCATTCGCAGCCCAGGAGAAGTTCACGTTAAGCATGTGAAAGATATTCAGCCACTTGAGGAGAGACTGGCGAAGTTCCCTGGACCCCTCAAAGGAAAGTCAAAGAAGAAGGAGACGATTGCTTGGCTGACTGCGGGCATTGAAACGCTTGAGCAGCAACTGCCTGATATGTCCTTTCAAACTCAACTTTCGCATGAGCACAAACGTGCGGTCGAAAGAGTATTGCTCTGGAAGATTTTGAGGATCTTCATTGAATTTGACGGCGTTCTGGAAGGTACCGGTGCCGTTGATAAGGCTGTGAGGGATGTGCTTGCCCCTGGTCTCACTGTTGATGACGGCGAACCCACGCCTGGCTATGGAGCCGCTATCGGTGGCGAAACACTCCAGGAACCTTCTCTGACTCAGATGAGAGCGGATGCCGTGGACTTGTCTTCAATGGACCAGATTCGCAAGCATCTTCTGATTGGCGAGCGCGAGAAGGCCGTTTGGGCTGCAGTTGACAAGCGGCTCTGGGGTCACGCCATGTTGATTTCCAACACTGTGTCTCCTGATTTGTATAAACAGGTGACACAGGAATTTGTGCGCAAAGAGGTGAACTATCCGGGCCACAACAATGAATCTATTGCAGCGCTATACAAGGTCCTGTCTGGCAACTTTGACGATTGTGTGGATGAGCTTGTTCCTGTCCACGCCAGAGCCGGATTTCAGCTCGTCAACACCACATTAGCCACCGGTCCAACCAAAAACGCAATTGAAGGATTGGATAAATGGCGAGAAACCCTGGGACTGATTCTGAGCAACAGAAGCACGGAAGATATCCGGGCATTGAACGCACTGGGCAACCTGTTGTCCTCTTATGGACGAGCTGAGGCGGCACACATTTGCTTCCTGTTTGGGCGAATGGCGACCATTTTTGGAGGCCTGGACGATGCGGCCTCAAACTTCGTCTTGGTCGGCGCCGATCACAAGACCCAGGGCGAGCAGTTTGCTAAGGAAACTGAAGCCTTGTTATTGAGCGAGGTGTACGAGTTTGGACTCTCCCTTTCCGGCAGCTCGGCCCTGTCTACTGGCGTGCCACACTTGGCCGCGTACAAGCTTCAGCATGCTATGACACTGGCGGAGTACGGACTGCGCGATAAGGCACTCCAGTATTGCGAGGCAATTGCTGGTTCGATAACATCTCAGACCAAGAGGTCTCCTTATTATCACCCGATTTTGGAAACTGCGGTAGAGAACCTTCGAGCGAGGCTTAAGCAGGCTCCCAAGGAAGAGTCATCATCTTGGATTTCGAAACCCAGTATGAACAAGGTATCAGACACAGTCTGGAGCCGTTTCAACAAGTTCGTTGCTGGCGATGAGAACGATAATTCTGCAGCAGGCGGTTCCGCAGAGGGTGGTGTCGAGTCTGGACCGTTTGCCAGGCTTGCAGGTGGCACGCCTACTATCAGCCGCTCACCTTCGGTATCTAACTTTGAACCGATGTATGGTGGTGCTGCCTCTGGCTTCCCTGTCGGCTCGCCGCCAGCGGCAGTTCCTATACCCGCTACCAGAGCAGCATCTCGCTACGCGCCGGTCTCGTCTCAGACCCCCCTCTCCAGCTCATACGAGCCTGGCGCTGGGTACACACCTGCCCCCGCTTCAGCTGGACGTTCGTCGAATGAATTTTCTCGCAGCCCTTACGAGCCTGGTTCTGGGTACATGCCTGCACCAGCTTCGGCCGGGCGTTCTTCGAATGAGCTCTCCCGTAGTCCCTACGAGCCTCGAACTTCGATGGACTCGCAGCCTGGCTACACGAATGGGGGATACGTACCGCAGACGGGGCCTTCACAAGGCTACACACCATCAACCTCTAACTTTGGGCAAGACGCAGCCACGTCTGCTCAAGTTCAGTTGGGAGGCGCCCTGGCTTCTCCTGTGCAACCGACAACGGGCTCACCGTACCAAAGCTACGATCCTTACGGTGCAAGCCAACTGCCCACAGTCCCCTCCACGGAGGCTGAGACCCAAAACACCACCCAGGATTCAAACAATGACCTCTCCGGCTCAGGCTACCAACCACCTTCGTATGGGTATGAGCCTCCATCTATGGTGCCAAACGATGAACCTGAATCGCAATCTCAAGAGGCCGCTGGCTCCAGCAGCTACGAGCCTCCCACGTACCAACCGTACAGCTACGAACCGCCTTCGTATAACCCTGAGCCTGAAGAGGATGACGAGTCTGCGGAGCGGAAACCGAAGCCCAAAAGCTTCATGGATGATGATGACGATGATGACATCCCCGCTCTCAAGGCTCTCAAGCCGCAGGAGAAGAGCAAGGCCGAAAAAGATAGGGAGAACGATGAAATGTTCAAGAAAGCAGCGGAAGAAGATGGTAAGATTATCAGCCCTAACTGGATGAGACCCTACTGACATGCGTACAGCCAAACGAGCAGCAGCAGCACAACAACAGAAGAAGGGCTGGGGCTTTAGCAGTTGGTTTGGAGGCAGCAAGAAGGACGCGACTATCGATGCTGCGCAGCCCAACAAGCCTATTAAGGCCAAACTCGGCGAAGCCAACAATTTTGTGTATGATCCAGACCTGAAGCGCTGGGTGAACAAGGCTGCAGGTGCAGAAGCGACCCAGGCAAAGACAGCGACGCCGCCCCCGCCAAAGGCCGCTCCTCGTTCTAGCACGGGAACACCGCCCCCTCGTACAATGACGCCACCCATGGGCCGAGCAAGCGCGCCTCCCGGTGGCCCATCTGGTCCGCCCGTCTCGAACCTTGCCAAGGCACCCTCTCAGGAGAGCCTTGGTGGCCCGCCGGGACCCCCAACTGGCATGATGCGCTCAGTATCAAACACCAGTGCCACTGGTGGTCCTCTCAGTGGCCCCCCGAGCCGACCAGCGACCAGCATGAGTAATGCCAGTAGTATCGATGACTTGCTAAGTGCCGCCGGCCCGCGGAAGCCGGGAGCCAAAAAGGCGAAGAAGGGTGGGCGATACGTCGATGTTATGGCTAAATAGGATACAGCAGAGGATTCACGATTTTCAGATTCACGATCGAAGACGGCGCCGGTGCTATGAGTTGGCGATGTATATTGTATTATAGATTTCCCAGTGACTGCATTGTAATAGTTGTTTTCGGGCCCATACTGCTCTGCGTTCTGCGCGGTGTCGGTAGCCCGTGTATTGTCTCACTATGTCAAAGGCTGCTGGTCAAGCATGGCTTGTCCATGACAAACCAATCGCAACATGAAGTCTGTGACAAAGGAGGCGTTGATAATGCTCATCACGTGCCCGTCTAACTGGCGGATGTACTTACTTCAAATTGTTTCCGCGAAGTAAAGGATCAATAATGGTCTTCAGTCTAAGTCCAAATATCAAACGGAGTTAGCGGGGTTTAGGGGGCTGGTGATCCAGGGTCCAGGTAGGGGATCTGGGGTACAACCGCGGGCAACACTGCTCGCCGTGTGTTCGCTTATCAGTACCCGGTTTGATTGGTCCAGCTGCGTAACAGCTGATGGGGGGAATGCGCAAGGAAGTGGCAGCCTTGAGCCCCAAACCTTCCGAACCTGATGCGTCTTAGCGGAAACATCAGGCCCACCACCCTCGGTACAGAGAGGTGGGCTGCACCGACAGGCGCTAGCTGTACTGAAGAAGGTACATCGCTGCGACTGCGAACTACCTAATGACGACGGTCTTTGGTGATCAAGTCTCAACCTTTCTTTACCAACTTACCTATCTAATAAATATATCAAACCCTTCACCTCTGGCTGACCCTGGGGCTTTGCTGCCGTTTCTCTTATTTCTTTTGGCCTTTCTGCTCGGTCGTTCCCGTTGCATGAGCGAAACACGTGGTGACGTCTCAGCCTTTCTCGCTTTCCTCGATTTTCCTCCCATCACACCGACCTCGATCGCCACCTTCTACCTCATTCTCTTTCTCCGATTATAGACTGCTTCCGCCACTTCGCTTACGGCTTGTACCTTTCTTGGTGTCAAGGTTGCTTCCACACGAATAGACGGCGTTCTTTCCTCCTATAATAACCAGCTTCTCGACTATGAACTCGTGCCCCTCTTAACGCAACCGAACCACACCTCACGATGGACTATTCGCGACTCAAGGCTGCTGCCTTGCAAGGCGCCGAGGACGAAGAGGCCGTCACTGTCGATACCAGGGCCTTGATTGACAAAGTTCTTGCAAGATACTCGGGTGAATGGACGACCCTGCGAGAACTCATTCAGAACGCCGCCGACGCGCAAGCAACAACGGTCAAAGTCAAATGGGAGACACTACCTTCGACTTCAGTTGCGCTTCCGAATACTACAAACCGATCCGAATTACTTAAACATGTCATTGCGAATCACACTCTGCGACGTCTTGTCGTTCAAAACGATGGCCAGCCGTTCACAAAGACCGACTGGGGGAGATTAAAGAGGATTGCCGAGGGAAACCCTGATGAAACAAAGATTGGTGCCTTTGGTGTTGGTTTCTACAGCGTCTTTGCCGACTGCGAGGAGCCATTCGTAAGCTCAGGCAACGAGGCTATGGCATTCTACTGGAAAGGGAACGCTCTCTTCACCAAGAAGTCAACATTGCCCGAAGACCAGAGAAGCGGTGATACCACATTCGTTCTCGACTATCGGAATTCCACTACCCCTCTACCGAATCTCCTATCGGTCAGTCAGTTTCTCGCCACGAGCTTGACATTTGTTGCCCTTCAACATGTGGAATTTTGGATCGACGACTACAAGATACTGGCTCTCCACAAGAAAACATCGCCGAGCCTTGAGGTGCCTATCCCGAGGGACCTCGAAACACGGACGAAGGAGGGGCTCATGAAAGTCAGTTCCGTGGAACGCACTAGCACTCAGATCGATGCGGCTGTTATGAGCGCAGCGGGTTGGAAGCCAAAGGCAGCCGCAGCCACCAAGACCTCTGATTCGTATGGCATGGGATCCGAAGTGCCCTCACTTCGGAGCTTCTTCTCCAGATTGACCTCTTCAGCGACGCAGGCCACCGCAAAGGGAAAACAACAGAGAGAAGAGGCTGCAGCTCAGGAAGAGATTAGCGAGGACGTGACAAAGATTTCTACTTCGACCATATTCCTTCGTGTGACGAGTGCAGCAGTTAAAACCCATGTGTCGACATCCTTTGCAAGTGAGCTAGAGCGAGCAACGAAGAAACCGCCGCCAAAGACTACGAAACTAGCCATCCTTACCTCGTCCTATGACGAGACCATGGCATCAGAGAGCTCACGCTCTGCTACTATATCAAAGACGGTCGATGTCTTCGCATCAGTTTTGCCAAGCAAAAAGCCAGGTGGACGTATCTTCATCGGCTTTCCTACGACCCAAACAACCGGTGCCGGCATGCACATTTCTGCCCAATCAGTGATTCCTACCGTTGAGCGTGAGGCCATTGATCTCAACGCACGATGGGTCAGGACGTGGAACATCGAAATGCTTCGAGCGGCTGGTATCATGACCAGACTGGCGTTCATCAACGAGATGAGCGATTTAGACTCCAAGATCAAGAGTACTGTTGGAACAGGAATGAAACTGGCAGCAGCGGATATTGCAAAGCTGATGCCTGAAGCACTTCACATTCTTAAGACCTTCACATTTACTGACTCCACACCAAGCGGCCATGTTGCACAGATTCTTGAGGAATCGTTTTGGACTGCATTCAAGAAGGCTTCTGTTGAGGTTTTCTCTTCCCGCGGTGTTTTGTCGAGCACAAAAGTCCGCATCGGTTCGGACGAGCTCAGCAAGTTTGTTGATACCATTCCCGTCGTTCCCAAGGAGCTCATGGAAAACTCGTTTGTGCGAAAGTTGATCGACTTTGGGCTTATTAGCCCCATTACCGTGGATGATGTTCGAGCAGAACTAGAAGCTAAAGCGATGAACAAGGAGCAACTGGTTAATTTCATTAGCTGGGCTGGAAAGAAAGCGCTCAATGGGGAGCTAGACCCCCCTAGCAAAGCCCGACTTCTCGACGTTGCGGTTGCGACAGTCAGTGAGAATGGTGAACAAGGCGACATCATCGCCTTGGGTACCATCACGAACTATCAAGCAGCGAACAAGATTCCAGCGAATCTTCCTATCCCTCCGACGACCATTCCTCTGGCATATACAAACACCTGCTCTGCCCCTGAATTGCAAGCTCTTGGCTGGGATCCTCTCGAGATTGTGCCCTGGTTACGCTTTTTGATAGAGACCAGTTCAAGCAAGTCGGACGACGAGAACCTGAAAAAGTCACCCAAATTTGCAGTTCAAATTCTAACGGTGTTATCTAAAAACTGGGATAATATCAGTCAGAACTCCAAAGCGACGATCATAACGCTTCTCCAGGCCCATACTGTCATGCCGACAAAGATGGGCATGAAGAAGCCAACTGATTCTTTCTTCCCCAGCGTCAAACTTTTTGACGATTTGCCTGTTATCCAAGGCTGCCAGAGTTTGAAGGACAAATTTCTTTCGGCGATTGGCGTGCGCAAAACGGTCGACCTGGATACTATCTTCTCTAGACTACTGAGTCCTTCAGCCGAAGGTGGTGCGCAGAAATGGAGCCATATGGAGCTCATCAAGTATCTTGCTTCGGTCAGGGATGACATTCCTGCAGAGGATATGAGGAAACTTAAAGAAACACGTTTCTGCCCTGCGGAGGCTGGTCCGAAAGGCATGGAGCCCACCAAGGGGAGCACCCAACTTTACAAGGTCTCAGAGTTGTTCGAGCCAAAAGACACGCTGAGAGCTCTGCAATTGCCAATTATGCAATGGCCTGGCCCGCCTGGAAGCTATAGGTCCAACAGCCATGAGGGTCGGTTCCTCGCCATCCTGGGCTTGCGTCCCTACCCGTCTGTCCCTGAGATGGTTGACATGATGTCATCCAAGGACGCAGAGCTGAGGGTTTCCGCGATGACCTATTTCATTGCAAATCATCACATAAACGGGTACGGGTCCTTCAACCTCGCTGACAGCCGTAGGGCTTTCCTGCCCATTCAAAATGAAAATAGGCTGGTCCCACCGTCTGCTTGCTTTACGAATGAGGGTGCTGCAGTCCTGGGCTTCGACATCCTTAAGAGAGAGCTTCACGTACATGCCAACAAGTTTGGTGTTGTCAGAGATCCGCCAATTGTTGAATGTGTGTCGCGTTTGCTAGCCAAACCTCCACAGGATCGTCAAATGGCCGTCACTCTGTTCGAATACTTTGCCTTGCGGCTTGGTGATCTCGGAGAAGGCAGTTTGGCGAAATTACGAGATGCTCCCATCGTCCCAGTCACTCGGCAAGCCCGTGATGACAACGAGAAGTCAGGCTCTTATGTTACTCATGTGAGCCCTAAACGATGTTATTTGGGTAGTTCTGCGACTTATGGCAACATTTTTGACTTCGTTGATTTCGGCACGAACGCCAACACTTTCCTGTTCAAGTGCGGAGCCAAGAATGAACCTACAAAACCAGAAATCGCACATCTCGCATGCAATGAGCCAGCACGTCTTCTCGGCATCCTGCAAAGCCCGGATAAATATCTAGCGCTTTTGAAATCATTAGCTGAGAATTGGGCAACTCTGAAGAGAGATAAGGAGCTGGTCAGGAAGATGAGAGCGTCTCCTTTCCTATTGGCTGCTAAGGAAATCCCGTCACCCACGCCGTCCAAGGATAAGCTCATTGACATTGACGACGATGACGCCCCAATCAAGCAATATCAGCTCGCTACGGCCAGCCGGATTGTCATTCTGGACGATATTATCAGCTATCGCCTCTTCAAGGACTATTTGATTACAGCGCCCGAGGAGGAAGTTTTAGAAGAGTTTTATTATCAGCTGGGCGCCCAAAACTTGAGCTCACTTGTGGAGGAGGAAGTCAGGATTGGTCCACATGCAGATAAGCAAGATCGGGCGGCAAAGCTGCGGAAGCACGTCCTCGAGCGCTCCAAGATCTTTCTACACGAATATTCAAACTACCGCCGAGACTACATCAAACACGATGCGAAGTGGTTGGAGAAGAGCTTACGGGTTGAGCTTGTGCGGTCTGTGGCATTACGACGGTCTCTCAAGGGCCACAGCCAATCCCATACGGAGAAGAGATCTGCGGCTAGTGCTCAGTCTGGCTCCAGCTGGATTTTGTATGTTACCGCCGAGGGACAGCCCGACATGTACCAGGTCGGACAAGCCATTTGTCAGCTCCTTTTGACAAGGCCTAATCAGCAGGCATACCTCTTCTTCGAGCCCTTCCTCACTCTTGACCTTCTTGGCTTGCGAGCCAGAGGATACAATGTAGATCGTATCTTGCGAGCAAAGGCCGCGGAGGCCAGGATTGCCGAGGAGGAGCGCCGCAAGGCACTTGAAGCGGAACAAAAACGCATTCAGGACAAAGAGCAAGAATGGGGACAACAAGCCAAGGCGGCCGAAGCTGCTCGACAGGCGACTCGGACCCCGGAACCCGTCATGCCAGGATCGTTTATGAATGACAGTCCCGAAGAGTCGCACAAGCTACCACCTCCCCAGCAGCAAGGACGAAAGGGCAAAGGTCTCTTTTCCAATCTTTCCCGCCGCTTTGGTTTCGAAAGCAATGACAATGACGAGGCGGAGGACCAGCTGCAAAAGTTTATTGACAAGCCTCAACAGAGCCATCAGCATGGAGCTGTTGACCAACCGAGCGGGGGCGGTAACGGTTCTGACAAGAAGGACGACGGGCGTGTAACCAACCCCGCCACTGTTGGCCAGAACCTTCTCAACGCTATCAACTCCACAAGAGCCCATGATTCAAACAGTGTTTTCTCACCCCCAAGTGTGAACGAGGTCAAAGAGCAAGCCACTTATTGTGACAGTACGCCAGCACAGAACATTGTGTTTGCTGCTGAGGCTTCCAACAGCATGAAGGTGTTTGTTTCAAAGAACCTATCCACTGATGCCGGTCGCTTCTTGTCAACATACCACGGCGCTATTAACGCGTTCGCCTCTCTGCTCACTGAGGTGGGCAGCATTTACTCGCTTTCTCCCCGAGTTCTTCATATTTTTTATGATGAATCAGGCTCTACAATCGCCTTCAATAGCAATGGCAGCATTTTCTGCAACCTGCGTTTCTTCCTGCAGTTGCACGCAGACAAGATCGGCCAATCTCGAGCTAGTGAAGCAAAGGCTGAGTCAGCTGTGTGGTGGTGGGTTGTGATTGCTCACGAACTGGCGCACAACCTAGTTCAACCCCACAACTCCGATCACAGCTACTACACGTATGTAGATCCGTTCCTACTCTATAACTTTGACTAACAGTGTACAGTGAGTCTTTCATTCAGCAGTACTTTGCCAAAATGGTTGCCAAGACGGTGCAGTGGGCTCAGCAGTCGGCCAATGCCCCTTCAACTACCCCTGCTCTTCCACCAGCGCCATCTCAAGCACCGCAGGCCCCACCATCATACCAAGAGAGCAATAGACAAGTACCGGGCAATGCAAGATACACTTTGTTTGATTAGAGGTCGTCCAGACGACATACGGTACGGTTATAAGTCCGGTACTACCTTCGACAGAAGGGTTCACAGACATAGACACGCATCTCATCCTTTACAGCATTTGACTATGCTCTAGCATTGTTGGAGTTTGGTAGCACATCGGATAATATCATTGTAGATTTACATAGACCTGTATATTTTACTGTTACAGCTTGGTTGATGAATCGTTAGCCTTGTCACTCTTTGTGAACCCCTCGCGTGTTGTTGAGCCTTGCCTTTGCTGGCCGCCTCTGCTGCCCGCTTCTTGACCTCCAACTGTGAGAAATGCAGTTTCCGCTTCGTGTGCGGTGCTTCCGTAGTTGGATCTCGTCAGAAGCTTTCCAGTCTTTGCCACAACTTTAAGACGTACCTCTTTGGCCGTGCTCATACCAAATCATACCGATCGAAGTCGGCTCTGCGGATTTTTGACTGTATTTGTGGGCCGTGAGAGACACAACCAGCGCCATGAGACTTGTAAAATATCGAGACAATTTGAGATGGAGGAATGTTTTGAGAGGACATCCCAAAATATGCAGTGATTTAACACACTTGTGGCAAAGGCGAGGTTTCGTTTTAAGGGGGTTTTCTGGTTGAACGAGTTTGAAAGGCATAAGTTCGCCTACACATTGCGTTGAATTATTCATCCTTCGGCTGGGGCGTAACTTTGATGCAATAAGCCAGGTTTCTACTTGAACGGGCTGGATATGAGAAAAGTGCCAAGAGGTGCTTGTCTCGCACAAGCTTGAATCTCTGCCATACCCAGATATCTGGGCTGGTACTTTTGTATATCGGCGAGACGAGCAGTGCAGAATTAAGTGGAATCTATCGACTCATTGTTCTGCTGATATTCAAATGTCTGAAGTGAGTTATATTCTCCCCAGCAGATGTCGTGTGTATCCCGGCGACGATGGTTCTTTAGGGTCGCAACGACGATTCAGACGAAGGAATGTATTCTTTTTCATGCCCACTTCCCATACTTACCGTGTGAGTGAGGCTGCCTGGCCGGAGTGGCAATTGAATGGGTTGGCTTTTTGTAAATAGGTCATGTCGTATTTATAAGGAGGAAACGCATAGCATCTGGCTCAGTCATTTGCAGATGATCAAATGCGGATATAGGGTACTAGGGTTGCTCTAAGCAAGACTTTAACCTATTTCATTTAGCTGTCGACGGCTGCAAAATTGGAAAATGACACTGGGTCGGATTGCGATAGAGATTATTGTACTTCGTGAGGCATTGCTTATTTCATCCCTGTTAAGATGATACTGTCGTAAGTATTATGAATGTATCGTACAAAAAAACCACATTGCTTAACCCCATGCTTTCGATGCCCCCCAAAAAACCCTAACGCCTAGCATCCTTTCCATGCCATTAGCCATCATACATTTCCATGCTAAAGCCTTCATGACCTTCCAAGCCCATCACCCTTTTTCGCTACCGTCTTACGTGGTAGTACCACAACCTTACGGCTGAGTAATTCTCGCAGCTCCGGCGTAATGACCTTCTTGACCTGCTTGTCATCCGCCGCCTTGCCGGTGTCCTTGCGTGGAGAGGCCGGTCCTGCGCTATTCTGACCCTGCTTAGGGGGTTGGTCGGAGTTCGGCTTTGAGGGAGAGCCAGGGGGATCGCGGATTTTGGGAGGAGGAAAGTTGCCCTTCTTATCGACAGCCTCAACAAGACGGTGGAAACGGTGGAAGAGAGCCTCGGCGCGGATCAAGGTTGAGTCAAGGTCCATGGTGTTTGAGAGCTCATTGACTATGTGAGGTTAGCTTGATTATTCAGATTTTAGGGGTAAAAACAAGGATAACATACCATATTTCAGAACCTCGTCAAAGTGCTGCAAATGAGTCATGATGACATCCCGGTGCTTCTCAAGTATAGCTAGCGCTACGAAGAGGTGGAAGCTACTGCTGAGATAGTCCGTCCAAAGGATTTCCCAGAGACGAAGAACGTCTAACCACTGGAACTCGCGCTTGTACCATACTAGCAGCATACGGAAGAAGAAGAAGAAGTTGGTGCTGTCGGCGGACTTCAGATGCTCATACAACTTCGGGTCCATGAACTGGACAAGGTGGTCGAGAGTGAGAAGCTGGGCACGCATGCCCGACTGATCGCGCAGGAAGTTGCGCTCCATGCGGTCCATGAAATGCTGGAAGCCCCAGAAAGCAATGGCGTCGTCCTGCATCACGGCATAAATGGGAGCAAGTAGGTCTGACATGCCCTGCACGTATCCGAGATCCTTGTTGTACTCATTGTAGGTGAGTAGCATGTCCTTCATCTGCTCAAGATGAACGTTGGTGCCGACTTCAGAAAAGGGAGAATCGGGATCAGGATGTGGGATATCCTCTCCCGCGAAGATTGGAACATTTCGATCCGTTCGGTGGACGTCCTTTTCTAACGGGGTATTAGCATAGAAACATTTCCAGAGCTTTGTAGAGGTACTTACCGATGCGGGCACGCTGCTCGCGCCACCATTCACCCTCTTCACCTTCACCTCCAAGATCCACAAGTCTCTCCCACCAGGCGCCCTTGAGCTTAACGTACTCGTCTCTCAAGGACGCAATCTGGACCTTACGTTCATCTGAGGTGCTATACCAGTCGTAGACTCCCAAAATGAACAGCCACGCCTCCTTTCGCACACCGTCGTCTGGATCCAGCCCGCCGTGGAAGACTCTTTCTTTGACTTCGTCAATAGTTACTGAGAGCCTTCCAGTGCGCTGGTCAAAGAATGTGTTCCACTCCTTCAGAGTCACCGGCTTCCTCCTGTCCTCCAGAGACATGGTGCTGCTGCCGTCCAAAAGCTCGAATTCTCCAACATCGGTGTCCTCGAGCTCCAAGACTTCCCTTGCAGTCCATATTCGCTGGCTACGATCTCGTTCACTCTGCTCGGCGATCCCCATTGCCCAGCGTGCAAGATATATCCTGGCGCTGTCGAACTCGTCTTGCAGCGTCTGGACTTCTGGGTTTCGCAACAACCTCTTTACTTGTGGAGGCACGTTCGGGTTTTGCATGACATCTTGAGCCGCCCTCCGTGTGAAAGTCGTGACTTTGCTGAACTTTTCCATGATGTTCCAGCCAGTCTCTTTGACAAATTTAACAAAGGGGTCCATCTGCGCATCAGCGCTGGAGCCCGCACCGCCGGCCCTAGATCCAGAAGCCCCTCCGCTACCATCTCGCTGGCTATTAAGGACAGAGCTGGCTGTAAGTTTCCCGCCAAAAGCCTCGCTATCCTCCTTTGACGGGTTTACCAAATAGATATTCGGCTCGGCTTCAGATCGCTCGATGGGGACGTACCGCCTCAGCCAACGCAGTACCTCGTCGCCTCCCCAGAACATCTCACCACGATCGCCGAATGGATCGAAGCTGTCTCTTGTCCTCCTTTTCCTCTTGAGGATCGTGCTCTGGCATTCATTGTCGTGGAAAAAGAGCGCAGGAAAGCTGTCGCCCGCGCGTGAGTTGATAATCAGCGACCCGAACCACCAGCCTAGGCTGGGCGGCCGCACAAGAAGCGAGTATATCGCACTGACGGGTATCGCAAACGCATAGGTGCCGACAGACCCTCTATGGGACGTAACCGTCGGGGGAGGTGGCACAAGGTATGACTGCTTTGGTGGCGATTCGCCCTCACTAAGGTCGACTTTCACGTAAATGCTCTCGACGTCACCGAGGGACGTTTCGGGGAGCCATGCTAGCAGCAGGTCCGAGGCCGCCGGATTCTTCGAGTCTTGGGAAGAGGAGGATGTTGGCCGTTCGTTTCGCGGACCCTTTTGCTGCAACAGGGCAATATAACCGGGAATGTTGTCTTTGGCAGAGGGCGTGGGATGTACATAGACCTACATTTCGTTGCGAAAGCTTCCGTCAGCTCCGGCACCTATAGTGGGGTGGCGAACGGTTGTCTGATTTTCAGAAGGACTCACCTTGCTCTTTGAAAAGAGCAGCTTCACGCCGCGACCAGTTTCAGTGTGCGTGATTGTGTTGTAGTCACCCTCTTCATCGTCGCTGAGAGCATAAAAGCTCCCCGAAGGCGAGCGAGGGCGTCCCGGTTGAGGGGCACTCGACGATGGCGGGGGATCCGAGTCTGAGGTCATCGTGCAGCGTTGCCTTTGATGATGTAAGACAATTTCAGGCTCCCAGGGCCTAGGAGAGGTCTTGGAGGTAGACGAGACTATTCGTAGGAAAAGAAAAAAAAAAAGGTCAACGGTCGTGGGTCGGCTGCTGGAGTTCCTCTTCAAAGAACCGAAATAGTAACTGAGGGAAAAGGAAAGACCTGGAAAGTCAGCATGTGAGCGAAAGTGTGGCTAGTGATATGGGATGTTTGGGCGAGCAAGCCAAGCACAGAGATGCGCGTATGGTACTCGTTGAGTGTGGCCACCCACTTCCTTCCTCTGTCACCACCCCGCTATGAAAGCTTGCATCCATGTCTCGGAGGGGGGCTGTCCCACTGTATCTGTACCGCCACTTGGCAGCCTTTTAGCGTCTCTTAGCAGTATAGCTACCTGAAGCATCAAGGTAAACCATGTCATCTGCAGCATGCATGCGTCGTCATTCGTGCCTTCGGGCTAGCCTCCCGGCCTTTACGTATTGCACGCGCAAGCGACTCGTTGCCGCCGTCTCTCGCGATGGTCTGCCTCGCCAAAAACGAAGCTTTAGGAAAATGCCACAGGCTTTTCTCCATGGATTCAAATTGTGACTCGTCGATACGCAGCTTTGCAACCGAGACGAATTAAATTAGGAAGAGAGGATTACGTTGTTACGATTTCCCCAATGCATACATGTTGCCCTAAATGGCAATTCGACCTCGCTTGGTTTATCATTGTTCACAAAGACGTAAATATTAGTGTTTGTATTGTGTGCTTCAGCTCTGCTTCCGCACCCTTTTGACGGCATGTCTTCCAGCTACATAGTCCGTCTTGCGCATAGTCTCTGTGCCGCTTGAAATTGAAATGCAGCCTTGAGAAGTCCCTAGTAAGGCCTGGTCTTTCCAGTGGCAAATCCACCAAGAATTACGGCCAGATAGGTCCGCATAGATGAGTTGTCAGTGAGTCTTCCGAGGAGCTCTCCAGCGTGCCTCATATGGTTCTCTGCCTCCATGAACCGCAACAAGCCAAATCATACGGAAAACCTCCTTATCTCATCCGAGGACCGCTTGGAAGTCCTGTCCGCCTTGGACCGCTAGGCAGTCCTGTTGGCCGCCCCCCACCACCGCCGCCACCGCCATAGTCAGCCTCGCTGGTCGACCATGGAGAGTTAGCTGACATGAACGGCCTATCCCCGCCGCCGCCGCCGCCGCCTCTTCCTCCATCGTACATTCCACCAGGGGCAAAACGCTCTTCGTAGTCACCAGAACCGCCGCCTCCCCTACCTGGGGGTTGAAAGGGCCCTTGATTGCCTCCAGACGCTGGGCTCGTCGTTCTCGCACCTCCCCAGAGTCGCTGCTTAAGTCGATCTTGTGCAGATCCGCCAGCTGATCCGCCGGCCGAGCTGCCAGGCGGTGTGTTCGCTGCTTCTCTTCCGTATGCCGCGCTTGACTGATAGCTGCCCGCCCGTTGGCTAGGCAAAGGCCGGGCCTGCACGTCATCTCGTCCACTATCTCCACCCCGAGCGAATGGGCTCATTCGCGCCGGTTGTTGTTCGGCGCCTCGCATTGGCGGAGGGGCACCGCGACCTTGTCGAAGGCTCACTGCGTCCTGCCTGGGTTGCGCCCCGGCATTGCTGTCCCAGAGAGAGCTGAGTCCCGTGCTGGGCCCGGGCTGCTGCTGCTGGTTGAGCCCGCCGTATCGCGATCCTACTTGGGCCGGTTGGGCATAGACGGGAGCTGCTGGTGGTGGTGCCTTGGGGTCGGGCGGCAACCAGCCCGGAAACGTACGCCCCTTCTCGGTGTAGTAGGCCCTCAGCACTCTGCAAACGTGGGTGTCATCTTCGGTGTCGCCGTCATTTTCGCTCTGCAGAAGTCGGCTCTGCAAGCTCGAGATCTGGGAGGTAGTGTTGGTGAGGATCCTCGAGTACCACGATGACATCGTGCCTGTTCTTTGAGACGAGGATCCTGCGGGGCAAGAAGGCTGCTGCTTTTCGATGCTTTATCGGGCGGGTTGGGGTAAATGGCTGCTCTACTCCGGTGCCAAATAGTCGCGCTTCGAGGTTTAATAGGCAAAAATTCGCTCGCTTGAATTGTCTCGTAACGCAAAAGGAGAAAGAAATCGAAAGGGACCGGTGACTTGTTTCGTGTAGGCGGCGTAATCGTGGAGAGTTGCTTGAAGTGGTCTGTTTCAAATAAGTCGGCCTTGAATGATAGGGAATGAAGGTCGACCTGGGTTGAGCCCGACACTTGTGGCTCGGCGGAGCAATGCCTGCCAGCGGTGGGGCCTACCCGCATTGTTCTAAAAGGATTTGCACTAATTGAAGCGCTTGGTCTTCACCGACCGACCCCGGCGCTAGCCTGCCTCGGTGTACGCTTAGATCGCCGCTTGGGGGGAGGCAAATCCTGCCTTGTCGGCTAAGGACTTTTCGAGAAGGATACCAGAAGCAAATGCATACTTCAAATGTAGGACTTTCAAAAGGACCTGAGAGATTGGATATTTCAGACTTCGTAGACCCTTACATTTTGTTGTACTTGGACAAATTCACGTGCTACTGAAATAGCCAACAAGTACATCGTAGGAACTCGACTTCAGATAGGTTCAGGAAACAAAAGGTTCACCAACATTAAAATTCATTCTAACAATATATATCACAACATGCAGTGGTATGCACAATGCCCTCCGGATGCAACTTTTCCTTCCGTAGCCAGCCATTAAAGGTATTCGCGCCAGACGCCAGTGAAAACCATCCGAGCCTCTACCAAGTCAACTCCTCGGCAATCTTGGGCCGCTCCTCCTGCTTCTGCTTGAGCCTCTTCTGGTTCATCTTGACCGCACGGCCACGCTTTCGCTTGTCTCCCGCCTTGCGGTCCGCCTCCTCGTCGCTGTCTTCCGAGTCTTCGTCATCGTCGCCTTCCTCCTCATCATCGTCCTCCTCACTCTCAAGCCAGTCCTCAATGTCCTCGAGCTCCTCGTCGCTCTCCTCGATGTCAGAGACGTACTCGACCTCCTTCTCGAGGTCATCCTCGGACTCATCCTCGGCTTCCTCATCCTCTTCCGACTCGATGCCCTCGTCCAGGTCCTTATCACGCTTGCCCTCGCCTTCCTTCTCCATGGCGTTGAGGACTCTCTTCCAGATCGACTCGCTGACGTTGAGGGGTTGGTCACCGTAGGCGCCGGACCGTAATCTTTCGACAAGCTCGCGCTCGATGGTTCGCTCCAGCTTGGCGGCAGCCTCCGCCTTGCGCTCTCTTGCCTCCTCACGACGTCTGATCTTAGGAGCCAGCTTAGGGACCAGCTTCTCACCCATGCGCTCCTCTTCGGCCGCTATCCTCCGCATGCGGATGTTGACCTGCGTCAGGCGCGTGAGACGCTGCTTGCACTTGTGGACGAGGAACTTGGGCCAGTAGATGAGCTTCTCGTCAAGCTTCTCGAGGGCCTGCTGGTAGTTGTTTGGCAACTTGATGCGCTCCCATAGTTTCGACGGGAGATGGGCTCGCTCGATCGTCTTCATGTACAGGTACAGCGTGTCCTTGTTAGGAGAGCGGCGGACGGTGGCATAACGGGAGTTGGCCAATGGGCACGACTGTCGATTGCAGAGACCGGTGACATTGTACTCGTTTCTGCAGAACGTCTGCTTCTTGTCCGTAGAGAGCTTGAAACTGCAGAACTGCTGGTTGATAATTTGCCTGCCGAAACGTTAATACTAATGAACTTAAAAAAAAACAAGAGACAAAAGACACACCAGATAATCTCGTCGGACGCCATTGTGACGGTATTCGGGAAAAACAAACAAGGCCTGGGTTGCGGAAAAGCCTTGTTGTTGATCAAGTGCTGAAAGCTCACGGGAAAAAGAGAGGCGGCGGGGCGCTGGTTTTTTCTTTGGAGGCAATCCAAAAAATTTCAGAATCGGGCAGGTGCAGGGATGCTTATCGCGATAAGATCGGAGACACAACGGCCCGAGTGGCCAATAGAAGTCCGTGCATTGCAGATAGCTCTGCGACTGGAGCTCAGTTCAAATCTCTCTCTTCCTCATTCACCCTTTATCCAAGGATCTCATTCGTGTATTCAATGATGGGGGCATTTTAGCAATTCTTTAATCTAAATTGATTCTTTTCTTGCGTTGTTTTATTAGTCCATGTCGGTTCTCGTCCGAACTACGAGGAGCCTCGGCCGAACCTTCTTCGTACGAGCTGCAATATGTGTTAGTGGTAAGGGCCGTTTTCCCGGGACGGGGCCGGCGCCGTGGGGGCCGATTGCTGGTCCTGTGCCGATCCAACGGCAAGTTTTCGCCGGGTTGCAAACGCAAACAAGATTTTTATCATCTGGTTCTGCCGCCCTGTTTCACGAAGACACTATTTATGCTTTGTCGACAGCTCAAGGCCGGGGTGGCATTGCAGTAATACGCATATCTGGCCCAGGATGTAAAAATGTGAGCTACCCTGAAGGCGCAAAACAGCATTGTCGCTGATGAAATTTACTAGGTGTATAAAGGGTTGTGCCCGGAGAAGCCTCTACCAAAACCCAGGTATGCTGCAGTCAGAACCCTGACGGACAGCCAGGCAGGCGAGAATGCATCCATTCTGGACTCTGATGCTCTAGTCCTGTACTTTCCGGGACCCAAGACAGTAACTGGAGAAGATGTCCTCGAGCTTCACGTGCATGGCGGCCCGGCAACAGTCAAAGCAGTCCTCGCGGCAATCCCCAAGTGTACTTCAGAGGGCAAGATTCGCTACGCCGAACCAGGAGAGTTTACCAGGCGAGCCTTTCTAAACGACAGAATCGACCTGGCGCAGGTTGAATCCCTGGGCGACACTTTGGCCGCCGACACGGAGCAGCAACGGAGGGTGGCTGTCCGCGGCAATTCGGGCGTCCTGGGGCGAACTTACGAGGGTTGGCGCGAGCAGCTCCTGCTAGCTCGCGGTGAGATTGAAGCTCTCATTGACTTTTCGGAAGACCAGCATTTTGACGAGTCTCCGTCGGACCTGATGAGCAATGTTAGTGTCCTGGTGGCTGATATGCGGCAGAGCATACTTCGCCACGAGGCAGCGAGCCAACGCAGCGAACTACTTCGCAACGGCATTCGCATCGCCCTTCTAGGGCCGCCGAATGTCGGGAAGAGCTCCTTGATGAACCTTATTGTGGGACGGGAGGCATCCATTGTGTCTATGGAGGCGGGAACAACTCGTGATATCGTAGAGGTTAGCCTCGATATTCGAGGTTATCTGTGCTCGTTTGCAGACACGGCCGGCATCAGAACGAGGTCTTTGGTGGCGCCAGGAGACGACCCTTCAGAGCCCGCACTAGGTCTGGTTGAGGAGGAGGGCATCCGCCGCGCGAAACAGAAGGCGGCAGAATCAGACATCATCGTCGTCTTGACATCGATCGAGCCAAGCCGCGACGGTGGGTTCCGGATAAATTACGATGCGGAGACGTTGAAACTGGCGTCTCAAGCCCGGGCATGTCTTGTCGTTGTGAACAAGAGGGATGCAGTGGATGACACCACATTCTCCAGCCTCATCGAACAACTCCGAAGCGAGATCAAGGCTCGCGTGCCAGGCATGAACAAAATCGAGCCCATCGCAATTTCGTGTCGCGAGGCCCAAGCCAAGTCTATAAATCATAAAGATCCGGGCGCCATCAACGGGCTTACCGACCAGCTCGTGCAGTCATTCGCAGGAATGACGTCCCTGCCTTCCGACCAGCAAGACCTGCTGGGCGTGACTGCCAGACAAGCGCAGCTGCTCGAGGAATGCCGCGGGTGTCTGGATGATTTCATGGAGGAGGCACACCCGGAGGAGGAGGAGGGGGAGGGTTTGGAGCCGGATATCGTGCTGGCGGCTGAGCACCTCCGGTACGCTGCTGACTGTCTCGCCAAGATCACAGGACGGGTTGAGACGGGCGACGTCGAGGAGGTGCTGGGGGTGATATTCGAAAAGTAAGTGGGAGCGGATCTGACTACGGGATCCTTTTTTTTTTCCTTTTCATTTTTTTAAAAAAAAAAAAACTTATTCACTTTTTGTCATGTGGTCGCTAACAAAGAAGCACAGATTTTGCGTGGGAAAGTAATGATTGAGATGCTACCTACACCGGACAATGAAGTCCTAGTATATCTAAATCTAGTAGTAGTGAAGAAGAGGGATGTGGGTTGAGCGCTTTCAACGCCCCCCCAAGGAAACAAAATAAAACCACGATTTCCACTCAATGCGATGCGGTGCAATGCCATGCTATGCAACTTCCAAGTATCCCAAAAGAATGATCCAGCGCAAATATCTCTTTTGTTATAAAACTCCGGCCCAATGCTGTGACAATGAAGGAGAAAGACTGCGGAAACAACCGTCTATGATCCCAAGTTTGTCGAGAAAGAATGAAAGAGGTGAGGTGGTAAAGTCGCCTGCCAGTACAGTTGGCCCTGGCTTATCCTCGCGACTTATCCCCAAAGGGTTGTCGCGCGGGAAGTGAGCGACATCAGAACGCCGGTCTAATGCAGATGTTGAAAAGAGGAAGAGTGGCAGTGCAGTTGATGGTGCTGCCCGTGACGGAGCTCAAGACGTTGGCTGGCGGCCCAAAACAGGTTGCTGGGGGCGGCAGCCGCAGAAGTGAAGAGGGTGCGGGAGGGTGAGACGCTTATTTGTCCTCCTCATCGTCACCATCCTTGTTGTAGCCAGAGCGGCCCTTGTTCTGGTCGTCATCATCGTCGTTGCCGTCCTTGTTGTAGCCGGAGCGGCCCTTGTCGTTCTCCTCGTCGTCGCCATCCTTGTTGTATCCAGAGCGTCCGTAGACGGTGGTGGCAGGAGTGAAGATGAGAGTGAAGCTGGCCATTTTAAATGTGTAGATGGGTTGTTGGGGTTGGAAGTTTGGTAGTGTGGTGTTTGGATATGATGGTGTGGGTGGTTTGAGTGTTGTTGGTTGATAGTGTAGATGTGAGTATGATTGTTAGTGTAGCTGTAAGATTGTGTTATGATTGTGATGATTGTGATGATGATGATAATAAAAAATGTTTCCAGAGGGGATATAGCAAGTGTTTATATAGATCTCGGGACAGCTAAATTGCCATGAGCACGAGTGCCATGGATGAGGCTCATCGTGTAGGTACACGTAGTAAGAGCCAGCCCTACCTTGGAAGATACACTGGTACCCGGTCTGCATATCTGAGCCTCCCCGTGTCGAGGCGCGGCTTACTGGTACAGGTACGGTACTGCAACGCATGATTTTGGATGGATTGGCATCTGCTTCAACCGGACTTGTGGTTCTCTCAAGGGACGGGAGGAAGAGACACACTTGTGATGCTGGTTCCGGCATGGCCCCCACGAACCTCCAGGCAGCATCTATTCCAAAATTGGAGGGGGTGGATGGGTGATGAGATGAGCGAATCAACCAGGGCCATGGGCCGAAGAACAGCTTCTGACCCCATGTCCCTGGCTTTGACCGGGTTGGGCGTGACACCAGTTGCTCGTCTCGTTTCCTTTTGGAATTGTTGCGCAAGGGCGTCGTCAGAAGTTTAGCGTACTATCGTCGCGCGAAAGGGTGTGCCGGAGATGTGTCATTGCGATGGCAATCTGCAGAGACCCAAATCCCGACGTGGTGGGATGGGATGTGCTGGGGGGTGTCTGGAAGCGAGCATGCCGGGGTGCCGCGGGTCTGCGTGTTCTGTCCAATGTCTACTCCCTGATTGTGTGTTCACACATGGGCATGAGGAAGGGTTGTTCTGCAGCAATACCGTAATAGGCTGTCTCATCTCAAGGCTCGTTTCCATTTCTGGCTGTAAAAGGAAAAGTGCGTGTGTGGCTTGTACACTCCGAATTTTTGGAAATTTAGCCAAGGAACAAGGAGAGCAGGGGCAGCAGCAAGGGGACAAGAACCAGGGTGCGGGTTACACGGATTGGAGCGGCAGGTTATGATTGATAGTACTAGAGTTGGTGGAAGCGCTAGAAGGGCCAAAGTCAAAATGACAGGAAAAGAATACACTGAGTGACGGGCAACAGGCGAATGGGAGGTCGACGAACAGGGAAGTCGTTGTACGCATAGGGCTGAGTATTTTTGGGAGGGAAAGCACTCGTGCAAAGTAAGCACCAGCCCAGTTAGTCTGTAGAATCTGGCAACACCTTACCTGCCTTAGCAATACGTATCAGGTCGGCCCGGTAAGGCACGTAGCACGCAGGGCCTCGTGCAGTAGTGTACGTAGCAATCATGGTGCGAAGGAAAAAGAACGGTGAAGCAACTTGCAGCCACAGGGAGTGGTTTGAGTGCCTCTGTCAGCAGTCGGAGAGGCTGTGCAGAAGGTTCTGTTGCCATACACTGATGAGTGTCTTCGTGTTGGGTGGGGGACGGTGAGTGTTAGTGGATGGGAGGGTATGGCAGCTGACATAACAACATCCGTGATGTTGACTGGATTATTGACCGACCCGACGGGGCACGAATTCGTCCGTCTCAGTTGATTGCCGGTCACCCGCCCGATAGTGATTCGCCAGGGGCGGTAAAAAACTACCTCTTGCTTCGGCATTCCCTTTTCCTGGCTGCGTTATCTCTTCACCTTGGATCGAAGCGGTTCGACCGCTTTCTGCTCTTTTCCTGTCTTCGCCGATAAGCGGGAACCCGCTAATCTCCGTCGGTTTCCCTCGTGGCAGTAACCCGCCGTCACTCGCCCTGGTCCGGGATCGTCACTGCAGTGAGCATGCGAAAAGAGTCACCGATGCTGTAAAGATGATAGATACATATCCTATGCTATGATGTGACGTTGCGCCGCATACGACAAGACGCCCGGAAAATGGCACTGCAAAAGCCGTGCTTAGATACCACAAACCCCGACGTGATATCGGAGACTCCGCGAGTGAGCGGGAATGATTGTTTAGACTTCGTGGGGGAACCGTGGAGCATCGGGGTGAGGAAACCGGGGCGGTGCTCATCCGCTTCTGGATGATGACCTAAGATTCTTCAACCTCTTTCAACGTCATGATCATGATTGCTGTAGTCGTCGCGCTTCTTGATGCAGGAGCATGGTTTGTTCACTGCGTCCGCCCAATTTGGTTTAGATCCGACTGTCAGTGTTCGGGCAAAGCCGAACATTGAAGTTATCGCTTTTGGACATCAGACAGTAGAGCCGCCAGGGGGGGGCCAAGGAGAGGGAACACCGCTACTGTGGAAAGAGGTGCATATATCCAATTATACCGCATCCCCATGCTTATTTGGCCGAGAAACTGTAGAGGGATACCCGGTATGACTCAGCCGATGCAGCCCGTCCTTGTTGGCCTGACAGGCTCATTGAAAGGCAGACAGGCATGTGCTCCGCCTACCCTCTGAAGAGCGCTATTTACTGAATGGAAGGAGGCACCTTGGTGAAGATGTGGAGTGAAGTAATAACATGTTGTCGGGGAAGTCGGGGAAGGATACGACGAAGGACGCATCCAGTTTAGTGGGTCCCAAATTGGGCACAGAGACAGGTGCCCATGTACTACACTAAGAACCACGTGTAGCAGGGGGGGACTACAGAGGCACCAGCTGGCCCAAGCTTCAGGAAGAAACGGCACGATACCTTAATCTTTAGATTAGTTAAGATACAGTGGACTCAGCGTTCCACCCAAACCTTCATGAGGTCGTTGATGCACTTTCTTTCTTATTACAAGCCGATGATAATGGCGTTAATGATCAAGATACCCATATAGATGTGCACTTATATGTGTTCTCGATGTAAACATTTACAAGAACACGCGTGAGTCTAGCAATGTTAGTTTGATATCTTTACTATCACCACCCAGTGGAGAACCAGATCATCCCAGAACTTCAACCTAACGCACATGGTACAGGGCAACAGACCACATGTACTATCTCTTCCCTGGTTGCTTGGCGCCGTTACTGATGGGCATCTTCAGCTGGCTTTTCATGTCGTTATCATGTAATAAGTCGGCCGACGTCCCGTCAACTCTCTCCCGGATATAGATTACATCCGAGTAGATCTAGATGAGTGTGGGCTAGGGTAACCAATAAGCCAATCCTCTTCTCTCCGTTGTTTTTGGGAGAAGCACCCCTCGCTTCTAGTTATCGCATTCTCAAAACTAAGGCTTTACGACATGCCACATTCTCGGTTAAGCATAATCTCTGCGCTTTGGGGTCCTCAGATGAAAGCTATTATGAGACGTACTTACTAGCCTTGTTTGGTTCAAAAGAACAGTGAGGGTGGTCATCTGTTTTAGGTTCAGTTGTGAGTGGACTTGACACATACACATGCGCCACACCGTAACCGGGAAGTATGGGGGCGACAACATGGATACCGGGAGGACCTATTCATCTCATAATCTGCTGTACTGGTGGCTACTCCAACATGTGTTCCATTTTTACGTATCACTCACAATGGTAATTCTAAAGCTCGAGAATCGTTTTGTACAAACATAGAGCGTCGGCTTGTAATCCGCGAAACTCCATTACTAAGTTTACTGCCCCCAGATGTACAGAGACAACGCTTCTTCTCGGTACATTGGACCAACTAGCTCTCACCGAAGCCACACTATTGAAGCCTGATATCGTGCTGTGTTACTCGAGATTAAGCCTGGAACGGCTTTTCTGAACCGAATGACACTTGCTATTTTTGCCGTGTGTCCATTCATTGCCAGTCCTCGGGGGTTCTGAAGCCGTCTTTGTGTAACAGGGGCTCTTACTCAGACCGAATGCCACCTGCAATTTCCCAGCCAGCCTTTTCTTCGGCCCCCAAGCTCAAGCTAGCAAAAGTTCTCAGCCAACGGGGGTTTCTTTTCATCTGAGTTCGTGGTTGCTGAGTTGAAAGATGTGTTGACTTTGGGATATCTAATGTCAACACACTCCACACCCATTACCCACCTACACATGTCGCTGCGAACCGACCGGGGGAGGGGGAGGAGGGGGTGATAGAGAAGGGTGACATCCGCCTTCGCCTGATCTTTTTGAGCCGCCTAGCCCTATGACCTGCATGAGAGCCACTTTGGTGCTGACACCAAGCCTGTCCAGAGAGCTTGCCCACCCCTGTTCCCTCCCTCTCCCCCCCCCCCTCCACAGCTCACGGCAAACATGCTTCCAGTCGACGGCGTCAAGCAGAAGCGCACGCGCACAGCCCACCTGCGTTACGACCTCCCTCGTACCTCGTAGCCGCCTGTGTAACAACTTATCCCACACCGAAGAGCTCTTGGGCGTTTACGTAGGTAGGGCTGATGGTGTACTAGTACTACATGCGGTCATGGTAAAGGTAAGGCGGCCGCCAGTACCGAGATGCCTCCCAATGTTTTGTACCCCAATCTTTTTGAGACACACATGATGCTACGCCATAGGACTAAGAATGCTATGTAAACAAGCCACTCATCAGTTTGTTGCTTCCCCCGTTCTTCGCAGCCTACCCGCCCCCGCCCCCCGTTACGAAATCCCATCCTTCAGAAGGGCCATGTGAGACAAAAAGAAGATCTCGGTTCGAAAGCCCGGTCAGAATGTTTGTATCACACACGAAGGACATAACCAGGATTTCGGATCCTATGTGATTCCGCGGCCATCTCCCGCATCAATGACACATGCCCAGCACCGTAGACTAGGCTCCAACGACGCTTTTCTCAAGTCCAAAGTATTCTGTGGATTTCAGTGCTGGGCCAATAACGAATCAGAACCATCCATCCCGGCAGGGTATCGAATGACACAACACTTTGGATTAGAAAGACATGGTCTTTCGCTGGCTATGCGATCCTCTTCTTTGACACCCCCCCGTGGGGGAGATCCGCGTACATGGAGGCGAGGGTCTTGGCTCGGCTGCTTACACATTTACATCCGACATTGTCTGCTTTTGCCATCAGGGGGGAGGTGTTAGTAGGTGTAGGGGAATGAAATGCTTACGGAACGGACGGAGGGCCGATCGCTTACAATCCATACCTACCGTCGACTTCCACCGTCTTCGACTTCTTCCAAGGATGGACCTGCTGGAAAGGGAACCAGCGGTCGTACCAGCATCTCAGATGTGCCAAGCCTGTCTTCCCCGCCGGATGATCCGCAAATATGAAGAAGAATCTCTGGGCGCATGAGCTTGTGTAACATTCTCGACGGGTTGGCTCCCGCGGTCGGGGCAACGGGGTGGAATTTACGGCTCCTGCATGAGGTCTGTAAATTTCTGCCTTGAGTTGTGGACATGTGTTGCGGTGTGCAGGCGTGTTCTTAAGTCCGGTATAAGAGAGCGAGCAAAGGCTGGCAAAGCCACTGTCGATGACATCTTTAGGCCAATCACAGGTCGGTGACGACTACGGACGCATCATCATCCGCGTAGATCATCAACATCCCCTAATTTCACACACTCTCTCGAGGGAAACAGTATGCAATTTCCTCTGCAGATGTCATCATAGCGTTGCAGGATTTGGCAAGAGAAGTACGTTTGGACCTCGCGCTTCCTCTTCTGGATTAACTTGACGGAGCCAAGTCTTTTGCCAGTTGAAAACGACATCTAAACCCAAAACAATCCGTCCCTTGGGGGCTCCGATAGCGCGAGCATATTCTCCATTTGCGGGTCTGGTATCAGTAAGGGACAATCATTGCGAGTCAAGTCACATGCGAATGAGGAAGCAGCATGCTTAGTCCAGGCCGCTGGCCCTGTCCATATCTCATTGGGGGGGACATATGTAGCATCCCTTGACACCCGCCTACCGCCCATTTCATCCATGATCTTCATACAGATGTTTTTGTATCAATACGGGAGAGATAAATTTATACCGAAAGAAGCTCAAAGCTCATCCCTGACGTGGCCACCGCTCGCCTTGTCAGCTGCGTGACCCGGTTCCTCCAATGCCATCAGCTTGACGACCAGACTCGTCCAGCCGGTGAAGTGCTGCGTACGCTGGCCTTCGCCGGTCTCGGGGTTGTACTGCTCCCAAGCGAAGCCTGTCTTCTCCCAGCTGTTGTAGACTGTGTCGACGAGGTTCTTGCGCAGACGGCGGAACAAATCCGCAGCCTTGGCCTTGTAGGGGCCGTCCTGGGCGGCAACGTTCTGTACACGGTTAGAAATCTTGTGTGTTACTCGATGATGAGCGATAACTTACCCTAAGCTGGGAGACTGCCATGTAGTTGATGGGCATCCAGACCGGGCTTCTCCAGTAGTTCTCGGCGGTTCCGTAGAACTCGTCCTGCTTGCTGAGACTTCTCAGCCCGTGGGGGCTGAAGAGGTGCTCCTCATCGCCGAGCAGATCGAGGAGCTTGCCCAGCTTGGGGTCATCGGCCTCAAGGAGGCCAACCAGGAAGGGGAAGAGGGAGATGTAGCCCTTGTGGCAGACGAGCTGGTGCTCTTCGAAGGCGTCGATGCTGGCGTCACAGTAGCAGCCCTCCTTCTCGGACCAGTGGAGGTCATCGAGGTTACGGCGGATAGCGTTGAGAGTGGTCTTGAACTCGTTCACTTCTTCCGACATACCGAGGGCGTCTGCGATATTCATGAGAGACTTGGTCATCAGACCAACCCACGACATCAGGTCGACGTGGAGCTCACCGGGGTGAGGGGGTTGGGGGCGAGGGTAGTCGTCGAGGCCGCTGGTCAGGATGTGGGTCTCGGTGCGGCCCCTCCAACGGTAGCCTTCCTTGTTGGAGAAAGCCTCCCGGTCGTAGGTCTTAAGGTCGCCGCGCTGCGTCTTACGGAACCAGTCGTACTGGCGGCGAAGGAGGGGGTAGAGCTTACGGAGGTATTCCTCACCGAGCTCGATGTTGTTCAGATGGGCAGTCTGGAGTGTGGCGGAAGGGCCGAGATGCTCTTTCTCGGCGGGCAGGCTGCCGTTGGTCTTTCGGAGACGCTCCATGAAACCTTCAATGATGAGGAAGAGGGTGGGAGGGTTGGCGTAGTGAGGGTACTGAACTTGGAACTCCTCGGGCACCTTGCTACGTGCTTCGTTGCCGAGAATTTGCTCACGAGCAATCCATCCGTCCTCGTCAATCAAGTTGAACCAGCTCTTGACTACCTCCAAAGTCAGGTCGATGTCCCAGTCGGCAATAGGAATCAGATGGAAGCCCTCGTCCCAGAGGAATCCGCGGGGGAAGAAGGGGCGCGATGGAATGGCCGTGTAGAGTTCATAAGGACCCTCTAGTTCCTGCTGCTTGCGGGCACGGGCAGCTGCAGCCTCCTCCCAAAATCCTTCGTTCTCCTCATCGTACTCAGGGGCGTAGGAACGGTCAACAAGATGCTGACCGTGGAAGTAGCCAATACCACCGAGGAGGTTGGAGAACATGCTCTTGCCGAACTTCTTGTACTTCTCGTCGGTGAATGGAGCCTTTAGACTGAAGATGGAAGAGAAGCGCTCGCCAAAAGACTCGCTCACAGACTTGATCTCTCGGGTGACGTCGGCACTTGTCAGCTCGGGACCGGCTGAACCAGACGAGAACAGAACATCGAACTCGAACGCTCCCTCAAAGATCTTCTGGACAACGTGAGAGTTGCCTTCGCCGGGCTTGTTCTTCAGCTGGTACACCAGGTGCGCCGGGGGCGGGTCGTTCATGTCAATGTTCTCTTGTACTTCCTTGATGCTCTCCTGAATCAGGTTGAAAACAAGGCCCTTCGCCTGCCATTGGAGGTCATCCGGCACAGTCAGGGAACGCACGATAGTTCGGTCGGCACGCTTCTCCTCCAACAAAGCGTGGCTACCGGAGGGGTGCTTACCCTCTCCTTTGGTGACGACGAGCTTGTACTTGCCAAGCTCTGGCGAGGTGCCCTCAAACGCAACATCGCCATCAAAGCCTGCCGGGTCGCTTTCGCCAGAGACAGCAAGCTTCGCTTCGGTGCCCTCCTGAGCGATGTAATAGTGCAGCATCGTCTTCAGGTCGGAAGGAGCGCCCTCTCTAGGAACACCTTTGATCCTGGCTGCCCAGCTTCCGCCGTGAGCACCCCCAGACACCTTGACAAATGAGGTGGTGATGTCAATCTGGTTGCCTTCATCGTGGATGGTCTGGATGCCGCCCGTTCGTGCATCGTACTCATCCCAACCATAGCCGTGGAGGCCTTCGTGTTGCTCACAGGTGTAACGGAAACCTTTCAGATGTTAGCTCATGAGCCGCTGGAATATGAAGCACCATCTGGCAACTCACCCTGCTGAACGTCTTGGTAGTTATCAACTCTAGACCACATCAAACCGGTCCAGAGAGTCTGCGGAGACCTCGAACGGACTCCGAAATAGAGATTTGGCTTATAAGGTCCCCAGAACAGGCTTTGGTTGTTGAGGCGGCCGACCTCGGTGGTCAGGACGGAAGCTGAGCCAGGTCCATCTTCCGCTGCAAGGGCCAGCTGTGCACCAAAGATGTTGAGAAGAGAAAGGGAAATGAAAACGGCCAATTGTGTTATTCTGGCCATGATTGCGGTGTATGAGGATTAGACAGTGCCCATAAGAGCTCTGAATAAAGGAATTGACACTCACACAGCAGCTATTTGAAGTTGTGTGAGCGTTTACTGCAGAGTTTAGGCGCAATGATGGTGGTGCTTGAGTAGCGACGTACCTTTCCAGAGTGAACACGTTGGAGGACAGAAGCTCAAGCTCCTCGGGGCTGAAGTGTGGCTTTGGACAGCTAGCCTGACGTTGACACCAGGACGGGCCAATCAGCCCCCTGAATCGCGACAAGCTTGGACCAACTGACGTGTGGCGTCGGCTGTTTTAGCGTCAACTCCGTTGTCCGTAGCTGCTACAATCCCTGAAACTTCAGCAGGCCTTCCCACTACACTGGCACTGGGGGACTTCGGCGCGAACCTCCCCGCTAGAAAACCCCCGGTCAGTTTCGCACACCGTCATTCACGCCAGTGGCTGGCTGCATGTCAATTCCGTCTCCGTCCACTTTATCCTTATTTCTACTCCTAACTTGCAGCCTGCACGTTGGTAGCTTTCCTGTCAATCTGCAGCCCGTCTTGCGCTTACTCTCGAAAGCGCGCAAACGCCGACTATCGCGAGTCCCGTTCGTTGTCAATTCAGAACCCTGCTGGCGAAGCTTCTCAACATCCATTCGTACATGTCGTGGATTCAACAGCAATAGGTCATCACGATATAGCCGCGTAGCTCGCATGCGCACTCCCCCCTTTAAGTTGAAGATGCTGGACAGAAGACATACGAAGTGCTAGGATGAGCTTGGACTCGCTGTTACCCATCGCTCCTGCGAGGGTGAGGGCATTGATTCTTCCGCTAGGCCAGATCAGAAGTGACCGTTTCTTGTCCTTCGTCGAGCGCCTGCGGCCTGAACATGCCGTCTCCTTGCGGGATGTCACCCCCGATGGGCGGCCGAACAGAAGCAAGTCTCCCCTAAGTTTCTTCGGCGTAGCGCATGCGTTTACTAACCGCTGGGCGGCAGACATGTTCTCGCCCTTGGCTTTCCCACACGGCACCGTATTCTACGAACTAGTTACAAATACACCCCCGCCCTCCCACCTCGCCCTCCTGCCTTTCGACTTTTATCGCGAACCGCTTGCCGTCATTGCAGTCGCCGATGGCACTGAACTTGACCGTGTGACTTTTAACAAACGCCACTCGAACACGGCGCCAACCATTGCCGAACAAAACATTAGAACTCTGTACCAGGAATTGGAGGATCTACGAGACCGCTTCGGCAAGGCGCTGGTTCACCAAGTCTTGATCTTCGACCATGTGCCGGCGAAAGATAACCCGGTACACCTGCCTGAGGGCCTCATCTCTATACCACCGCCGGACGAGTGTAAGCGGACGACGATGAAGACGATAATGTGCGACATTACGTCGCAACTCTTGGCCGAAATGACAACCGTGGCCAAGATGTACGAGGCATACTCTACCATCGAATCCCCTGGGCAGTCTCATGCAATGAAGCATGTGAACGGCGCATCCTGGGATCTCGGTAGCTCTCCGCCAACGAACAAAAGAAATTCACAATTTGCGCCTACCCCTCAGAGATCAAGCTCTACCAGCGGGCTGCCTGATAGGCACATGCATCGCATGTCAATGCCCGTTGCGCCCTCGAAATCGAACTCCATGATACCGTCAACCAGCTCAACCCCGGCCCGTTCTTCAACTCCTGTCAGGAGTGGGCTATCGAACCCACCAACCACTTTTGATGACTTGGCTGCCAGTATCAGCAGCGGCTCTTCGACCCCTGACCCGACTCCGCTGGCTGGAGACCATTTTAGGTCGGATAGTTCAGATCGAGTCTCAGTGCAAGGCTTTGGTTCTGGTGGATCGAACGAGCGTTCGAGGGCGAAAGGGAAGGGGAGAGTGACCATCATGCTTGGTTCCCTCTACCTGCAAGCTGGACGTTGGACCGACGCTTTGAAGGAACTCATAGACGGCGCTACCGTGGCTAGGTCTATCAATGACCACATCTGGCACGGCAAGGCCCTCGAGTTGATCACCGTCAGTCTCTTACTTCTTGGATGGGCAAATATAGAGTTTGCAATTCCCACCGTATGCCTGCCGCCACAAGACAAGTCGACAGCCGCAACTATGGCTGCATTGGAGGCGTCGACTACTGATCCCAGCCAACCGAAGCACATCCGGAACCTTCAAATTATACTACCAGATCTTTTGGAACGCATCGTGGGTCTGTACTCCAGGATATCGGCAGAGCACTTGCCGCCGTTGCCCTTGGCTGAAACCACAATTCGATTCTGTAAGATTCTCTCCGCTCTTCATCTTGCTGACGGAAAGCTGGGAGAACGATCAATGGGTATGATCATCTTTGGTAAGCTGCCTTCAAAGCCTTTGACGACAGCGCCTCGTTTGATCGTTACTCCAAGCCGACAGCAGATCACTACCCTCCTCTTTCGAGCTTTCCCTTCTTCTGCATCGGAGCTTCTTACCATCGCCGACCGAGCTTCCATCTTGGCCGGAATTGCATCGGTTCTAGGGCCACTTGGGTATCATCGTAAAAAGGCTATGGTCACCAGAGAGCTTGTTTCGGTTCTCATCAGTGGTTTAGTCGAGGCTCGCACCCGAGGTGCTGCGGAAATGGGTATTCACCCTGCAGCAGGCCTGGTTGCTCTGAACGCTGCCAATGGCCACACCAACAGTGCAGTTGCTCTTGAGCTGGGCGAGGGAGATGTCGAGCAGGGGATAGAAGCTTTCCTTGGCCTTCTGTGCAAGTCCTACGGCATCGTAGGTTTTGACTTGAAAAAGGAACTTTCAGATGTTGCCATTGCTAGCGAAGACTCGGATGCTGCTATTCTCGATAGAATTCGAGGACAGTCAGCCGCAAGATTCTTTGGGTTTACCAGCGTCAAACTGAATATTTTGAGAGCTTGCATTAACTTTTCTGAGGCACTGCCCGACTTCAATGGTGTCTTGAAGTTTTCAAGCGATTTGCTTCGAACAGCGGGATCTGGTGTCGCCCCTGGGCCGCGTAAAGAAGATGCATCCCCTGTTATTTCTCGCGACGAGCAGATCCGCCTGGTGACGAATATTGCAAAGACTTCGAATCTGTCAAAAAGACTAGGCCTGGATCATCTGGCTGCCGAGTACTGGGATGAGTTTTTCGTCCGAGGTATAAGCTTGGAACCATTACCTAGCACTAGAATTCCCGTTCCTCACGCAAAAAGCACTATTCCGGGGGCCGTCACGGCAAGAACATCACAGGACGTCAACCCCTTTATTTATAATCCGTTCTTAAAACAGCCCGACAAAGCCACCGTCGAACATACCCTGGTTGCAAACGAACCGGCGACCTTCAAAGTCACTCTGCAGAACCCTTTTGATATCGAGGTTGATGTCGAGAGTATTCGTTTGGACACAACCGGAGCAGAGTTCGAATCGCATGCTGAAAGCACCATCATTGGCCCCTATCGAACGCAGATATTAAAGGTTTCAGGGACTCCCAAGAGCGCTGGTGCCTTGAAGGTCACGGGTGCGATTATTCGCGTCCGTGGCTGTCGAGAGCGGCGATTCCCAATCTTCACTCAGCCGTGGACTCCACAAACGGAGCTGAAGGTTAAGGCCACCGGTCTCCCTGCCCTAGAAAGCAGCATCTCGTCAGGGACCATTGTTGGTCAGCCATTGAAGGTTGAAGAGGTTGGCTTGAATGTCATTCCCCAACAACCCGTCGTCATCGTCAAGTCGACGACGCTTCCTCAAGCTTCCATTATGGTGCTTGAGGGGGAGAGACAAGTTTTCTCTGTCACTCTGCAGAATTTGTCGCAAACGACCCCGGCAGATTTTATGTTGTTCTCATTCCAAGACTCAACGCAAGGACCACTGCAAGCAGGGATTAATAATAGAGACGCCACCCCGGCCGAGCTCTACGAGTATGAGTACATCCTGATGAAGCGACAGGCTCTCAGGAGGTTGAAAAAGAAGGAAGCCGAGAAACGATACATAGCTCCAGGTGGCACTGCCACCTTCGACTTTGAAATCTTAGGTAAACCAGGGTTGACGAATGCCGCCATTCAAATCGACTATGCTTATCTTGGAGTACCCCCCGAAGAAGTCACAGAGCAATTCCACACCCGCCAGGTTGCTCTGCAGCTGACTGTTACTGTCAATGCTAGCGTTGAGCTCACCAGACTGGACGTTCTTCCTCTTCAGGGACCTGTGCCCCGACCGCTACTCACCCTCACCCACCTAGAGTCAAAATCCGACCCGTCTACACTTGCAGACGAGTATTGTTTGCTGTCTATGGATCTCCGCAATGCCTGGCCTAACAACATGGAGGTTCAATTGGACGGCGAGGAAGGCATCTTAATTGAAGAGCATGTTCTTCCTGGCAACACCAGTCGTGTCATCGTTCCTATTCGGCGGATATATCTTGACGATCCTCATGCTTCCATTCCAGCCTTGAATCCTTCGAGACAACGGCAATTCGTCGTCAGTACCAGCAAAATTACGCCAGATATGGAGCGCTCCAACCGCGAGGCATTCTGGTACAGAGAAAAGATCCTCACAACACTTACGGCTAGATGGAAAACTGTTTCCGGTCCGAAGCGAAGTGGTTACATCGATCTACGGAGCCTTAGACTCTCTCCTCGTATGATGGACGCTTTGAGAATCGACGACATTGGAATTGATATCTGCGTCAAAGACAACATCGCGGACAATGGCGGTTCGATTGATCACTCCATCCTAGTCGACAATTTCGTACAGATTAAGATTGACATCACCAATCGCTCGGCTCAGCCAGTCTATCCGATGTTGCGATTGATGCCGGCTCTGTGCCATCGCCCTCTTAATGTCGCTTTAGACTTCACCAGAAAGTTTGCCTGGAACGGCACCCTACAACAAGCACTTCCACTGCTGGCCGCCAAATCTAGCGTCGAAGTGGAAATCGAAGCAATGGCCTTGTGTCGGGGTGAGTTTGAGATCGCGGCATCGATTGAAGAATACCAGATTTGGGAAGAACCCAAGGAAGAGAAGGAGAAAGACAAGGAGAAGGAAGGTCGACAAAGGTCAGACACTCAGACGATGATGAACGCGCTCCTAGGCGTGAAGGAGCGGCGCATCTGGCATTCGAGACAACCCTGCGTCATCCAAGTGATAGATCACGACTAGTAGCATAGCTACATTTGCTTGACGAACTGTACGATGGACGTGGACGAACGAATCATAGCAGACGTGGAGTTGGTGATCGTAGCGGCCGTTTTTACATAGATAATACAGTGCCTCTAGACGCACACTATGTAGTAGCCGCCCTTAGTTGTGATGGGCTGAAATGTCAGGGATGTTGGATCGACTGCGGCGGTCGAATTAAGTTCACCCCTGCAACGGCTCTGCGACGAATCATGCGTGGGTCCAGACCGCCTCCATCGCCACCAAAATTTCTTTGTAAACCGCCTTTCCGGTGCTAGCCGGCGACGGGCCTTTTTTTTCGCGCCCCCCCAAAACTCATTTACACGCGGTCAGTTCATTTGTATGTGAGAGCAAAAGGGATAGAACGTTGCATCGAAACCTTGTCGCTATCTGGAAAGCGTTCGTTTCTTTTCAAGGATGACGCGACCTCAGATCTTGTTTCTCGATGCTTACGATTCCTTCACCAACAACATTGTCTCTCTGCTGACGACTTTGCTTGATGCCGATGTGCACGTTTTGCCGATTGATACGCCACTGTTAGATCACAGCTCGCCGACTTTTTCTGATGATCTTCACCAGGAATTATCTCGCTACCATGCAGTAGTCTGCGGGCCGGGACCAGGCTCCGCAGAAGTTGAGAAGGATGTTGGACTGATGAGATGTATCTGGAAGTTGCAAAACGAACATATTCTGCCGGTGTTAGGAATTTGCCTCGGATTCCAGAGTCTTGTTCTAAGTGCTGGAGGAAGAGTAAGAAGACTGCGGCGCGGACTGCATGGGATGGTTCGTCCCATTCAACATGACAAGCCTCACCCGACTTGCGCAGGAGACCTTTTCAAAGGTGTCCCTGAGTTCAAAGCGACACTTTATCATAGCCTCTGCGCCGACATCGGCCAGGACTTGATATCAGACGCCGACTGGGAAAGTAGGCGATGGGATGCCCTCGATTCGGCTCCGGAGTTGACACCCCTGGCCTGGGTCGACGAGGAACGAGATGTCGGAAATGAGAGGATTCTCATGGCAGTGAAGCATCGGAGCAAACCATTCTGGGGTCTTCAATACCACCCTGAATCTGTATGCACTCAGCCTGCAGGCCATGCGGTCATCCGGAACTGGCTTCGTGAAGCCATGGAATGGAACTTGAAGGCGAGGAGGGCAGTGCACACCGAAGAACGGGTTCTGGCGAGGAACGCTGTGAAGCCAAGTTTGCTCTCTGAGATTCGGTCCGCAGCCCAAGGAGGTCATGCACCTGTCCTCGCCTGGGCAGAGATGCCGACGTCACTGGCGACTGTGGGATTGGACTGCGACTACAGCTACAAGACCATCGAACTCCCGGCGAACATCAAGGTACCGGATGTCGTGGAGATATTGAGGAGTGGAAGGACTGAGCACATCATTTTGGATTCATCTAACTCGAGCACGATGGCGACGGGCGCTGCAGATGTGCGTGGGAGATTCAGTATCATCGCCCTCGACGTTGAGGAGTCTTTGAGGATTGAACACCATGTCGGAGATGATTTTGCCACGGCTCACGTACCGTCGATTCAAGGACTGCCCGTCAACCTGGAGGAAACCATCCCATTCGGACCTCAGGAGAATATCTGGCATTTGCTATCCACTTTCCTCGAGAAGCGACGGATCCCTGCTTCGGAGGTTGTTGAGACGCCTTTCCGAGGTGGTTTCATGGGCTACCTCACCTATGAAATGGGACTGAAAGGAATTGATGTGAACGTGGCTATGGATCGGGGACATCGGAGGCCTGACCTGTGCTTTGCTTGGATTACCAAGAGCATCGTTGTGGACCACGTCAAGGGCCTCCTGCACGTTCAGCATCTCCAAAAGCGCAAACTCAATGCAGACTTTTGGATTGATTCTGTCGTAGCATCGCTACAAACGTCTCACCTATGGCAGCCCGGAAAGGCAGCCGTCAACGGACGGCATATCGACCCCATGACTGTTGCAACACGACCTGTCATCCAAGTGCCCGATGCCGCCGAATATGAAGCGAAGGTTTCCCGCTGCCAGGATTACATTGCGGCTGGCGAATCTTACGAACTCTGCCTGACGGATCAGACCACCATCACTTTGCCGGGACGTCCCTCCGCCGAACCTTACACGAACCGCATCAACGGACAAGCCAATCAAAAGTCCGCCTACGTGGCGCCATGGAAGCTGTACAAGACTCTCCGGACTCGTCAACCGGCTCCCTTTGGATCGTTCGTCCGCCTCGGCGGCGCCACACTCATCAGCAGCTCACCCGAGAGGTTCCTCGAGTACGATGCCAACGGGTTCTGCTCCATGCGGCCAATGAAGGGAACTGTCCGCAAATCGAACGACGTCGCGACGCTGGCGCAGGCGGAGGAGATCTTGCACGTCCCCAAGGAAGAGGCGGAGAACCTCATGATTGTCGACCTTGTGCGACACGACCTCCACGGCGTGTGCGGTTCCGGGAACGTGGAGGTGCCGCACCTGATGAAGGTTGAGGAGTACGCGACCGTCTTCCAGATGATCACCATTGTCAACGGGCAGCTTCCCGGCCCGACTGCGGCGGAAGATCGGTATACTGGTCTTGATCTGCTCGCAGCTAGTCTCCCGCCGGGTAGCATGACGGGCGCGCCGAAGAAGCGGAGCTGCGAGCTGTTGCAGGAGATCGAGGAGCATCGGGAGAGGAGCTTGTACTCGGGCGTGGTGGGGTACATGGATGTCACCGGCAAGGGGGATTGGAGCGTGACGATCCGGACCATGTTCAAGTGGGACGATGAAGTTGCGCCGTCCGAGGAGGGCGATTCCGATTCCGAGCCGCGAGAGGTCTGGCATATCGGCGCCGGCGGTGCAGTGACGATTCTGAGCACGGCGGAGGGCGAGAGGGAGGAGATGTTCACCAAGCTAGCAGGGCCATTAGGGGTCTTTGCGCAGGCTTGAGAACGGGATTGAAACGATGGGATGCATTAGAGGGAGGCGGCCGGGGAAATATTTGGTTTCTTTTTCTAGGCGTTTTATTACTGATTGTTGGAGGACAAGGCGTGGTGTTTGGTTGATACCTCAACGTATCTGGGATTAGACTCTCGTGACCTTCACGGGTATTTAGATTCAACTTGGACAACCCGGATGATCCACTTTGGAGGGGTGAAGAGCAATTGAAAGCCTTCCTGGCTAAAACAGAGTTGATTTCGGAACGCTTTCCGTCTGACATTGTCAATGCTTTCAAATTAAATGGTCGCATAACAAAAAAACACGAATAGGAACGCCCGCCTGACGGAATGATGCTGGATATACATGGGAGAAGCTCCCCCTCCCATCTCAAACGCACTGATCCAAGTCCTTCCTACCGGATGCCCCTGAGCGCCTTCGTTATCTCGACCATATCGTACAGTACAGGCCCGCCGCTCAATATCTGGTCGACGATATGTTTTCCCCGCTACTGCCCCTCCTACACGGCAAATTACCCCTCCTGCGTCATGTCCCTTCGGTCCGAAGATTCGTTCAGAATTCCTGCTCTTCCTGGAAGAACATGCCGAAGCTGATGATAGTGCCATAAATGAGGAGACCACCGATTATCGACATGATCATGGCTTCGACCTGGATGAGGTCCGAGTGGGCGAGGACGATGGGCAGGGCTATGGCGAGGCGGATGGTTAGCATTCAATTAATAAACAATGTGACGAATCCGACAGAAAAAATGACATACCAATTCCCATTACTACCAGGAAGCCGGTGCAGAAGCGACCGAGATCCAGCACGGCGGCACCGGAGCTCTCAACGAAGTCATCGGGGTTGGCGCATCGCGAGCAGATCCAGTTCGGGATCGGTGCAAGCACGTAAGTGGCGACGACGAAGAGCGGGTAGTAGACCTTCCAGAGGGCGCAGGAGAGAATGACCAGGAGAAATCCAACAGCGAGGACGAAAGAAAGGGCGATAATGGTCTTGAGCCCGGCGGTCGGCATCTTGAATGTCGTGTGTGTGTTAGAGCCGAGCAGGTGGTTGGGTTCTTGTTTCGGACGGGTATCGGGTTGGATAAAAGGCCCCGTTGGGGCTTCGACTCGAATTCGCTGAAAAAGACTGTATTATCGTAACAACGAATCGATCGTCGATGGCTTGCGTTCGACAAATATCGTGGTGTCGGATGTGGTTGGGAAGGTGGGATTGATCAGTCGTCGTGGATTCGCGGCTAGGCTGGCAGGCTGAGCTGTGATGCGATGGCGGGTCCCTGGGCGGCCCTGACGCAGGAAGGCCGTCGTATGCTGGCTGCTGCTGCCGTCGTCAGCGCAATACGGCGCAACCTTGTTCCAGGAGCCGGTCCTCTCGAGCTGTTTGGCACTTGGCTAAGCTAAGCCCCACCCGGCAAGACCCCGGCGAGAAGTGAGGTAAGGTGCAGCGGTACGTAGCTAGATGCACGGAGCACACACACCACACACCCTTGCTCCAGGCTGAGAGAGTGCTACGAAAGCTCGACCTGCCTTGAGCTGGCTGGAGGGGGTAGATTATCCACAAGCTCACTCTCCCCCGTTACTGCTTGCCCAAACAACCACGAAAACCACCCCGCGATTTCTCTTCCCACCTCCCATCTACCATCCTCCCACGAAACTCTCGAGATATACCGGGTGGCAGATTGATTGAACTGCTTGACGAAGCTACGAAAACTCCCTTACGCCCGCCATGTTCAGAAACAATTACGACAACGACTCGGTGACATTGTAAGTTCGTTTGGCTCAGCCTTCCCTGTCCCCGGCTGGCGGTGGATGCAAGGACGACGAGCACATTCGCTGACACTTTACTTTACGTCTTGTAGCTCGCCGCAAGGCCGGATATTCCAGATCGAGTATGCAGCCGAAGCAGTGAAACAGGGTTCCGTGGTAGTAGGCATCGCCAGCAAAACACACGCCGTCCTGGTAGCAATCAAGGTACGATGCCGCCGCCTACAACTGTTTCTATCCTCGCCAACTGTTCTCTGCCATAACCTCTTTCGAAAAACAAAATCTGTATCGATGAACAAAAGCTAACTTTCTATTCTTACACAGCGCAATGCCGAGGAGCTTTCCTCCTACCAGAAGAAGCTATTCCCCGTTGACGAGCATGCCGGCATCGCTATCGCAGGCCTGACCTCGGACGCCCGCGTCCTCTCCAACTTCATGAAGCAGCAGTGTCTCGGCCACCGCATGACGTACGGCCGCTCGATGCCCCTGCGTACCCTTGTCGACATGATTGGCGAGAAGGCTCAAATCAACACCCAGGTTTACGGCAAGCGTCCTTACGGTGTCGGTCTTCTCGTTGCCGGTGTCGACGAGCGGGGGCCTCACCTCTTCGAGTTCCAACCCAGCGGTATGACGGAGGAGATGCTGGCTTTCGCCATCGGTGCTCGTTCCCAGATGGCCCGCACTTACCTCGAGCGTAACATCGACCAGTTCGAGAACTGCTCACGCGAGGAGCTCGTGCGCCACGGCCTCAAGGCCCTCAAGGAATCCCTTGTTCAGGACCGCGAGCTGACGGTTGAGAACACGAGCGTCGGTGTCGTTGGCTTCGTTGAGAAGGACGGTCAAAAGGTCGTCGAACCGTTCAAGATGTTCGACGGCCAGGACGTCAAGGAGTGGATCGACAGCGTCGCGGCGAGCGAGGGCCAGGGTGGTGGCGAGGAGGGCGGTGAGGGTATGGAGGTTGACGGCTAGACAAGCAAATGAGACATGAGAAGGGTGATTGGGTGGGAAACCTTGCGTTGCGTCTGACTGGACTGGACCATCACGACGTCCTGGAGCGACTGATTGGACTAGCTAGGATGGAGAGCAAGATGCGAGCCTGCCCGTTTTAGACTTGTACCAATACACTACGGAAAAGGAAATTCGACAGCCGACGAATGAGCTGCGTCCGATGATTCGAAGTTTTAAGCCTACAGTGTATGTGACCGAGACAGTTTGTGCGATTTTGTACGTTGTTTTTCTGGTTGTGTAACTCTTTTATGGTCTATCAAGAAACTACAGATAACGATGCACGAAACAACAACAGCGTCCCCCGTCAGATGCCTTGGTTCACGTGTAACCAGGATCGACGCGAAAGGGGGGTAAAAGCCCCCCCTTTTTTTTTTCTTGTCTATTGTAGCCAAAGCGCGCGATGCAGAAGAGGGGGGAAAACACGAGGGGCGCCAGACTCCGGTACGCATCCGCTTTCGCATAGCACACACACATTGCAGACCTCCATTGATGTCTTTTTTTTCTTCTTTTCCTTCTGTCTTTCCCCCCCTTAGTTAACCTTTATTACATCCCCGCTTTATAGAAACATTAGTTTTGAACGACTGGGGATTCAAGAGTTGGACCAGTCGAGCTTGAAAGTGGCCTCTGAGACCTTGTAATCCCTCAGAGCCTTGATGGCGCCCTCGGGAGTGGTGGCGGTGACGAGAATGTCGGCGTTGGCGGCCCTGATGAAGCCTTCTTCGACGCTCTTGCGGACCCACTCGAGGATGCCATCATAGAAGCCGTTGATGTTGAGCAGGCAGATGCCGCGGTCGTGAATACCGAGCTGGTTCCAGGTGGCAGTCTCAAGGACTTCCTCAATGGTACCGTAACCGCCGCTGAGTGCGACGAAGCCAGAGCCAGGACCGCCGGCGAAGACCTCCTTGGCCATCATCTGCTTGCGGGTGTGCATGTCCTTGACGACAGTGGTACGTCCGTAGACCGATTCATCAGGGACGTACATGTTGTCCTTGTTGAGAGTGCCGTATGTACCATCACGCTCGTACTTGACGAGGGCCTCAGGGATGATTCCGTGGACGGAGTCTGGACCGGCAATGGCGACAAGGGACTTTGCCACCTCACCCATCAGACCGACAGTGCCACCGCCATAGACTGTGGATAGTCAGCATTTTCAGTTTTCTCTTACGTTTCGTTTGGTCTCTATATGGTGCGCCACTTGTTGACACTGCCGCCGCGGCCGAGACTTGCGGTTCAAGTAGAGAGTGATGTGTGAGAAAAGAAGAGTGACTCACCAAGGTCGATGTTGTTCTCAGCCATGAGTCTTGCCAACTCACGGGCCGCCTCCATATGCTGAGGCTTAAGACCAGGAGAGGCTCCGCAGTAGACACAGATCTTTGTCCTGCGCGACACTCCATTTGTGCCGTTGGTGATGCCGTTGGTTGATCCATTAGTTGGTCCGTTGCCATTGGGAGTTCCATCCCGGGTGGCCGGGAAGGAATGCAAGGGGGATGGGCCGCCGGACTGCATTGTTGAGGCTTGTTCGGATGTTGGGGTGAAAAAATAAACAAGGGTTTGATAAAGTTATCCAGTAATATGCTTGATTTTCTTTAGGGTCGGCTTTTCGAGGGAGAGAGTGTCAGTGAAGCTTACCAGTGAGATCGTGCCTGGGCTTAATATGTTGCAAGGGACAGGTACTTGTAGGTCAAGATGACGGATGTTTTGTGGAGACGGATGTGTCTGGAGTCACAGACGGGGACGGAAGAGTCACGCCAAGTGTATGCGCGGTTTACAGCGTGTTCCGAAGAGTGGAAAATGACGATACAGAAAGAGGGATGGAAAGGCGAGGAGGAGTGGAGGTACAAAAGTCCCAAGAGAGAAGCTTCGAGAGTGAAGATGAGAAGAAGAGGAAGAGAGCAAATGATGGAGAAGAGGAGGCCTGTTATATAAGTTTTCCTGGAATGGAGTCTCCGGCTCAAAAAGGGAGGCAAGTTTGTCTCGTTTGCAGCTGTTGGTTGGGATTTTTCAAGTGATGGTGAGTTGGTGTATCAATATCCTGGTATCGACATGTAGGGTAATAAAGGTTAAAAAAAAAGAAAGGAGGATTGGACGAGACGAGAGCAGGCACGGATGGGAATGAGACAACGAGATGTCAGTTACCGCCGCGGCGCATGGACGACGGGGCGAAAGAAGGACTGGTTTAGCGTAGCAGCTGGGACCTCACGGAGTAGGTGACGGCACCAACAGGATCGCTCGGGGAGCTGTGGCCCCTCTTGCCGGACCAGTAGTGGACGATTTAGGGTCGATGCGTAAAGCCAGCTGGGTAAAGAAAAGCAAAGGTCCCCCGTGTCTCGCGGCTGGAACGAGGTCGAGGAGCTTGGATGCGGTGTGACAGTTATTGACGTTGACGTGGACTTGGGACGGGCGAGACAGGACACACGACTCCTGGTTATTGTACTCGACTTTCAGAGTATCCATATCTGGACATGAGATTTCCGAGACTGGGTTTTACGGCATCCCCAGTCGTCTGCCACGGCCAAGACTTGTCTGGTTTGTTAATTTGTTACGCGGCGAAAAGTCCGGATAAGTGTTCAGGTGACCAGCTAGTGAGGCCCGAGTGTAATTCTGACCCCGACGGTTGTACACTAGGGGGAAATGCTTAGAGCCGCAGCGATTGGAGAGCTTGACAGTAGTGGAATCCAGATGCAGTCGACATGATCCCTAGAGTATCAGCATTAATAGGAAACAAGAATACCACCGGCCTTGGTAGGATCCAGAAACATCAGCATTACAAGGATGCGGGATATGGTAACATTATTCAACTAGTGTATTGAGGGTCGAGATGAAGAATATTTGGTGCAACTTGAGACAACAGAGAGATGCTACTTCTAGAAAGCGTTGTACACGTGTAATGACACGGCTCTTCACGTGTGTCCGGCACCGTTAACGAATGGATCGTAGATGCTCCAGGGCAGTTCTGTGTTTGACGTTAACTGGGCCAATGGCATTACCTGTTGTACAACGCTGGACGTTCCGGCATGGCACCTTACAGATCGATAGGCGGACTGCACGAATCGCAAGATAATGTAGTGGTTTTACGGGGTTGGATTGCTGGGACCAGATGTGTACTACTATGCCCTCCCCTGCCCTGTAGATGCTGCACTGTAACCGTGGTCTCAGCATGGCAGCCACCTGTTTTCTCCTACTATGTACATAGTAGTGATGCGGGCACCCAGCGCCTTGACTAGAGGATTTTTATCAGCCGTCTCAGACTCACATATCATAAATTTAAGGCAAAAAAAAAAAGTAGCTAAGGGATTTCAGGTGTGTGAGAAACACAAAATAGAATTGCAAGAAAATGAAGAAGAAATTCTCTGATCGTTACGACAAAAAAAGAATACATTGACTACAAGGGGAAATGCATCAGATCTTGTGAACTAACCGTCCGGAGTGCCTAGCCCAGTATCCGGGGTCGTGGCGGCGCCTCGGCTGTTGATTCGCCCGAGCAGCACGCAATTTATCCCGCCCACCAAACCCAGGGGTCCCCCATTAAGTTTGCCATCCCGTTCGGGCCCTTCCAGACTTTACTCCTCCAACCGACATCGCTTGCCAAACTCCACGGTTCCCGCGCCGGAGAAGACACGGTTATCTTTCGCGACTTTGTTCGACAAGTCGCTGAATTGCAACAAACCGTCCGTGCTTAAGCAAGCATCCCATTCTTACCCGCTGAGGCTCTTGTGTGATCTGCTCGCACTTGTCGTCCCCTCAGCGAGCACGCGATCTGTCGTCCCGCGGCCTCGATTTATTCTTCGTGCCAACGCAGCTGTTCGACGATCAACATGTCTCAGCCTAATGCGCCTGCAACGGCCGGCCGGCCACAAGAACAAGGCGTAAGTATCTAACCTTGCGCAATTGCGTTCCCTCCCAATTGCAGCTTCGTACTGACCAGATTGTCGCTGCGGCAGGGCATGAGCATGACCCAAAAGCTGATTCTCGGCTGCTCCATGTACTTTGGTATGAATATGATCATGAACAACATGTTCCAGAAGAACCAGTCAGGAACCCAGGTCAAGGATGCCAACGGCAACATCGTCAGTGTTCCCGCCAATACCGAGGACATCCCCCCATACCTCTTCCGCCCCAAAGAGTTGAACGAGGGCGCCACCTACAGCCAGGTTCCCTACAAGCTGGCCCCGATCTGGCCCATGGACAGCCACGTCGACATTATTGTCACGGTCTCTGATACCTTTGTCCCGATTCCGTTGTCCCAGACACCGCAGGAGAAGATTGTTCTGAAGGAGGAAAAATTCAAGCTCGGCGACTACAGCGAGAAGCGTTCCATCGATACCACTATTACGATCCCCCCCTCCGTTCAGAACAACGGCACTCTCTGGGGTCATTTCTACGTCTCACTCCCTGGAAGCCAGCCTGATCCTCATGTCGAAGCTTTCGATCCTGCCTCTGCCTATTACTTCGCCTTCCCCCTCACCCAGTATATCCCGAAGAAGAAGGAATTCAAGACTCGGTCGCTTCTGGAGGGTAAGGCCGAGGACGAGCCCGAGCAACTGGAGGAGGAGAAGGAATCCGGCCCCATCATTGCTAGCTACTACCACCCAAACGCCAGTTTCTCAATGATTCCTAACACAGGAGTTCTGGAGTACCGTAGCACCCACCCCGCCATCCGCCAATTTCTTCATCTTGAGCCGACTGGTGCGCGAGACGGCTCCGGCAAGCACTCCTGGTATTGTGAGTAAAAGCTTTCGCGTATTCTTACCACAACTAACCTCTGATAGACCCCATCCTCTTCGTGAACACCTTCTGGCAGCTCAAAAGCCAGATGATGTTGCTCAATGACACCGTCACTGAGGTCCCCCTGCATATTGACCTGAACAACATGCGCTCATGGCAGTTTAACACGCTTGCTGCTATCGAGGCGAGCGCGAAGGAATCTGCTCGCCAGGCTGCGTTTGGCGGATCTCTACCCGGTGGCGGTGACGGCTCCGAGATTGAGATGGTCAAGGAGATTTTCGGTGACACCAACCCCATTCTTCTTGGCATTACGATTGTCGTCAGCATTGCGCACATCATCCTTGAAACTCTCGCCTTCGGATCAGACATTGCTCACTATCGCAAGAAGAAGGACAACGTCGGCATTTCCGTTCGATCGATCTTGGCCAACGTCTTCATGCAGTCCGTCATTTTGCTTTACCTGATTGATAACTCACAAAACACGAGCTGGATGATTCTGGGCTCACAGGGAATTGGAATTCTCATTGAGTTCTGGAAGATTACCACCATTGTCAACATTGCTGTCAAACCGGCACCGCCAGGGTCCTTGCTGCCATTCATCATCGCGGTTGAGGACAAGCACAAGCTTAGCGAGACCGAGGAGAAGACCAAGGAGTACGACCAGATTGCGTTCAAGTACATGTACATTGCCGGAGTACCGCTGCTCATTGGATACGCCATTTACTCTCTGATTTATGAGACGCACAAGTCGTGGTACTCATACATCATTACGACATTGGTTGGTTCCGTCTATGCTTATGGTTTCCTCATGATGGTTCCCTCCCTGTACATCAACTACAGACTGAAGAGCGTTGCGCACATGCCTGCCAAGGCCATGATGTACAAGTTCCTCAACACCTTTATCGACGACCTTTTTGCGTTCACCATCAAGATGCCTTTCCTCCACCGTCTATCGACGTTCCGCGACGACATCATCTTTTTTATCTACCTGTACCAGCGCTACGCCTACAAGGTTGACTACACTCGTGTCAACGAGTTCGGCCAGGGTGGCGAGGACGAGGAGAACGAGGCTGACAAGGCCAAGGCCAAGGAGCTGCTTGAGAGCGATCCCACAGCCGAGAAGGTGAAGGCGGTCGTGGGCAAGGCTACGGGCGCCGATACTGGCAAGGCGAAGAAGAGAAAGTAAATGAAACGAGCATGTTTGACAGCAGTGGATGATTGTTGCCACGTCAAATGTAGATATAAAAAAAGGCCGGAAAACTGGATGGACACTAAGTACATACAGAATTAGAGACGTTCATTGGCTGCAGCATGTTAGCATGCGTAAGCCTAATAGCCTAATCGAGTCACATGCTGCTCCCTGTCAAATGTAGCCCATGGCCATGCGTTTCCTTCGTCTTTTGTATGCCGTCTGGAAAGCGTCCCAACTTGCATGTACGATACCACCACGCAGTATGCACGCTTGGACGTTCTTACGAGACTAGGAGAGCATTGGTCAAAAGAAAAGCAACCACTACGTAGGCTAGATGCTAAGCTGCTTCACAACATTGTCGCCGATATAGATGGCCATCCTTGGCTGCGGCGACCAAAGCAACATAATCATCCGGGCAAGTCCAAATTTTAGCAGAGAGTGTGAGAGTGAGAGTGAAAGTGAATGTGAGAATGAGAATGAGAGACGGAGAGAAGTCGCGGCTGAAAGACGAGGCAGGGGGTCCCGTAAAAACCGCCAATGGCGGGGGCTCGTGGTCGTCGGAGCCCCGTGCCTGGTAGGGCAGAGACAAGCATCCGAACACCCGTATGTCACCGCACCTATCAGAGGGCCTCGTCGCTTCTAATGACGCCAGGTCCCATCAAACGGTGTTTTGGAGCTGGGACCCAGCTCCACGTTCGCTGTTCCTCCAGCTACCCAGGCACGCTCGGGGGGGGGGGGGGGGTCTCAGGCCTTTGGAATGTGGAGTGTTCACGGGAACGAATACCGAAAACATAGCAGTTAATTTCTGGGCAATGCCTGGTGATCGGTTATTCGGATGGGATTGCACGCAATGAGGTGTTTGGGAGGAATGGAGAAAGCGGGAAGCCTAGAATTTCGGCCCGCAAAAGGGTACTGTAAATATCTTGGTAAACCAGGTGGTACACTACACTAGCCAGCCGTACTCGCTGAGAAAGCTGGAGCTGAGGAATAAATAGAAGGTGGGAATAGGCCGCATGGTCCCCTCCAACGGCAGCAACAAGGTAGTTGCCCAAAGCAGCCATAGCTGACCTGGTCCTCCACTCAGTAATAAAGGGTACTGGAAAGGCTAAAGTTCCCGTCAAGTCTTTTGGGTTGGATTGCAATTCCGTCAGTCAGCAGCCCAGAAGAGGGTGATCAGGAGGTGTTGGCCAAACGCAAACACACCTCGGATCAAAACAACGGCGGAGCTGATCATCATTCTCAAACTCCCGTGTCTCTCACCATTCACTACCTCATCTCATTTTCCTTTTCTCGCTTTATCTCCCACCCCCCTCTCCCACTAAACTTTCTCTCTTTTTGACCACGTTTGCCATCCACCACCACCTCGGCTGTCCGTCGCGTGTGCTCTCTTGTTCGACTCAGGGACCCCCCGTTCTGGTATGCCCCAGGTTCCCCCGCCTGTCATCATTTCGTCCCATGGATCTTCGGTCATGACATACGGATGGCCAGACCGGTCCCCCAGCAACAACAGCAGCATACCAAGTGAAAGCGTAGCAGCGACGACAGCAACAGCGACCGCACTCAATCCATACTACGGCAGCCGCCAAGCAAAGCTCCGGCCTTTCGGTTCGCCAGGTCCACGCTGCCTCGTACGCAGTGGAGTTCCACAGGATTCTCGTCATCTCAATTTGGAGTGTCCCCAGCACCCCCAACGCTCCACGGGAGGGAGCCAAGACATACTTTAGGGGAAACGTAAGCTACAAAACCTGTTCGGACGGTGTGGCCGTGCCGTGCCCGCGCCCGCGCCCGCCGTCCGCTGCTGTTCACTTCCTTCTTCGGGATTTCTGCCCCTAAAAAGAAGGGGGCGCCCAAGGGACTTTATTATTGGGGGCTTCGCACTGGCAGATCAGCTGCTTCAGCAGCACGCAGCAACCCCCCCTCCCCGTCGAACTGCCGCGTGCCGCCGCGTCTTCTCTTCCTAAACGCCGTTTCCCACCCCCCTCGAAGCCCGAGAAGCTGCGAGAGAACGGAAGGGACGCCGAACCATGAGCAGACCTACCGTCGGGTCCCTTCTGGCTGCCATCGCAACTCTGATCAGTGATGGCCTACGTATCTTGAAATTCGCCGATAAGCACCACTGGGGACCTGACGAGCACGAACAGATGCGCCTGCTGGAAGACACCCTCGACGACGCCAAGAAGGATTTCCAGGAGCTGTCCGTACTCGTCAATGGACAACGATACTACATGAATGATCGCAAGCGTGAGTTTCGTCTTCCCCAATTGCACTTCCGTGATTCCCGTTGTATCCGTGGTTTTTGCACTTTCTTTGCGATTCCACAGAGGGCCCCGCGCATGAGCGGCTGCCTCCCTCGGTTGCCTATAGAGATTCCCCACCGAATCTCCCTCAGTCTTCTTGCTGTTATCCTTTGCAACTACCACAAGGCCTCTTACTGACAGAAAGTTCCTAGCCCATTCGATCACCGAATTGCAAGCCCTACAGGCAAAATTCGAGCTTCACATCCAGAACTTTAAGGACTGGGCGAAAATAGGCGGGCCGATCAACCCGGTATGGGCGCGCGAGACGACTGAATTGCGCCGTGAGCTGCACCGCGCGCAATGTCGGGCAGCAAGGAGGATATTTACAGCTGAACAAGAGGCGTCGTCAAGATGTCTCGGCGCCTTTCTGGTCTACAGGAAACAGCGTGAGTGGGCAAGCCGCTCTATCGTAACCGAAGAGGAGTACCACCGGCGACATGTGGAGGAGATTGTGGCATGCAACAACATCGGCAAGTTTGAGCGTTTTGGAGACAGGGACATTGCCTTTGTCTGCGATTTCTGTGACGGCCACCTCGTCTGGGAGGACATGGAGAGCATGCCATCGGTGCGCGCGGCCCAGAATGTAGCCGCCAACACTGTGTCAACGTCACCCAACACACAGCTGCCGCAATGGCAGGCGACCGCGTTCAGCGCTTCAAACCGAGAAGAGAAGACGGTCGTGTATGCGCCACTGGCGATAGCAAACCACATTGCACCGTATCAGGGGGACTGGGTTGCGCGCCTGGAATGCCCCTTTTGCGACGAGGCGCCGTACATCGAACCGGGCGAGGACGGCGACGACGAGATGCGGAACACCCAGGACGAGTCCGGGTTCGAAGACCTTGATGCCTTTCAAGAGCACCTGGAGTGGCAGCACACGGCAACGTCAATACCCGCCGTGTCCTTACCCAAGGTAGCAAAGGAGTGCGTGGTGATGTGATACCATAATTCAAACGACCATTTCGGCGGCGCAAAAAAAAAAACGGTGATTCATGTATATAGATGTGGACTTCCATGCCGGCGCGGAGTTGGGGAGGGTATTTATGAAGAGGGCGGCGGCGCATTTGTTCAACCGCACCCATATGATGCATGAGATTATCCTGGGTTTCCTTTGTACGTTCCAAAGGGCACAGTCATTTTTGCAAAATATTCGCATAGATACCACAGAGAGTCTGAAACGACCAAAATGACAAGAAGAGATTACCGATCCGGTAGGGTTTTAACGGATCACGTTTTTTTTCCACTTTTACAAAGACTTGAAGTATATCTCTTGAGGGAGAAGGCGGCGGCAGCAGCAGCAGCAGCAGTAGCAGCAGGCTCCTCCCGTGGTTCCTTTTGCTGTTTTCTTCCCGTCCTTTTTTTTTGTTCTTTGTTTTCGTTTTGTTTTGTTTTGTTTTGTTTTGTTTGGGTTCTCCTCTGTCCATTTGCCCGAGAAGCCCGTAACCGTGGACTTTGATCGATTATACACAAAACAGATGTACATCCCACCCACCACAGCAGAACGCTAACCTGGTCCCTTGTCCACCACCTCCCTCCCCTCCGCCTCCGAAATACAATTTCAAGAGAGCATAAAAAAACAATAATGACCAAAAAACCCTAAGTAAAAAAAACTGCAAAGACGCACGCTTTTAAAAGAAACGCCACCACAAAAACACAATGATGATGAAACCCAGCGCGCCAAACGGTCCGTATTGCTTGAGCAGGAGCTCCCAGTTGATCCGCACCGCGGCGCGGCGGTACTTTTTACTGTCGTCGCGCAGGCGGGAGCTCAGCTCGCCCATGCGCTCGAGGGAGTCGCCGCGGTAGAGAAGGTCCTCGATGTTCTTCGTCATGACCTTGGTTACGTCGCGCAGCTCGTCGTTGAGCTTGTCGAGGTTCTGCGAGGCGCGGGCGTCCGAGTATGTCGCTTTCGTACGGGAGATGAAGGTGTCGAATTCCATAAAGGCGTACGGGCGCTGGGCGGGCGAGTGGAGCTGGGCGATGGGGTAGGTCGTCGTGAATTCCCGTGCGAGATCGGAGAGGTAGGTGAAGGCTAGCTTGCGCGGGTAGGAACGATCTGTTATGCAGAGGAAGGTAATGTCGTTGTCGATCAGGTAACTGGCGGCGGTCGTGTTAGCATTACACTGTCCTAGGTGTTGTTCGGGGGGGAGGGAAGGAGCGAGCCGCACTGGAGGTTGTAGGAGCCGCTTTCAATGCTGGCCTGCGGTTCTGAGTTGCGCGAGAGCTTGCGGAGGACCTGCTTGATCTGGGACTTGACTTCGGCGAGGGCGGCTTCTTGCTGCTCGTCGTCGACGGAGGCGCAGAGCATCAGGCCTAGGTTCTGTTAGCCCCCGTGCCGTGCCGGCGCAACTTGCGGGATTGCTTTTGCGTACCATCCAGCCTTGCTATTTGCGTTGAGCGGATCATTTTGAGGAGATGGGTGGGTTTATGTGGTCGCGGATGGCCAGGAAAGGGGACGAAGTTGGAAAGCTTAGATTCGACGTGTCGAATCTCAAAGTACTATTACTTTGGCGTCTGTGAGTGGGGTGGGTAGCTATCGCCAGGATGGGTAGGTAGATAGATATTGACGTGTCCTTAAGGCGCGGCTCGAAGTCTCGTGGTTATATGTCGAGGTGCGAAGCGACTTAAAAATCGGTTTGAAAGGCTGCTAGTGTTGAATAATTGAAAACGCAGCTTTTTCTCGGGTATCGTGTAGAGTATTGTGTCCTTTCTCCGTCAGGGGGTGCTCCTGGGGTGGGCTTCCTCTCAGGATCACGGATCTTGGCCAGTTTACTGCAGCTCCTCCACGTTCCTGGAATTGAGATGACACCATGGGTGGACAGGGCTGGCCAATGGAAAGACCGGAACAGGGGAGCACCCTTGCAGCGCTATTGTGGCTGTCTGTGGCTTGATCCTTCAGCCTTGTTTTATATAGACACTTTCTGTCAGTGAGTGAGGAAGTGGGACAGCTGTGAGACCTTCAACCGCTTACAATTTCAGGGAGGCGTGGTTGGGGATACTTCATCTTTCAAACTGCGCGGCACCGCCTCCGTTCAGATAGTTTATTCTTTTCTTGAACTGGAATTATTTGTAGTCAGTAGTTTGTTTATCAAGACCTTGGGGTTTTTTGTAAGTTTCATCAAGGTGTTCTCCCCTCATCTCATGTCCCATAAACCAAACTCTTTATGAAAGCCGTTTGAGGTGGAGGTCCATTTGAGCCGCTTGCTGGCATGGATATGTCCCTTTAACTACAGATTTTTTAATGAAAGAACCACCATATTTCCTGTCCTGCTCATTGACTGACTAGAGTTCATTCAGAATAAGCACTGTTTGCTTGTGTTGAAGCCAGTCTACCAAGCCTTTTCTCTGGCACCCGCCCAAAATGGCAGCGTCCCTTCCCTCGCCCGTAGACGTAGAAATGGCCGAGGCTGGCCCTTCAACAGCTTCTAGTCTTTCTCCTCCTCCGGAACCAGATTCAGACTACGAAGACGTCGACGAAAAAGAGGACTCGCCAAATCATCAACTCACATCACTGGAGAAAATAAGCATCTCGTCACCTCTCAACGGCATCGAATTAACAAAAATGGCAAGACGATCGGAGCGTAAAACGAACAAACCCAAGACCGTTCTCGTGGCAACTCCTAAGAAGCCCGTAAAGAGGAAGATTGTCACGAAAGTATCGTCAGCGAGAAAAGCACCCAAGTGGACAACAGAGAAGCTCTTGACTGACCCAAAGTCACCCCTCGCTAATGCGGATCTGAGGGTATGCCACCTTTCTTACTCTGCGACGACTCTCCGTCGTCTTCTGATGCATACGATTACTGACTGATATTGCGTGTTACAGTCAATTCTCTGTCAGCCTGCTGCATGGGACATCCTCACCAAGGAAGAACGTGCAGAAATTATCGCACTCTTTCCCGCCGGCACCCGCATCCTGGACGAAGGTACTGACGATGCGCGTCCTGACTTCGATGCCCTTCGCAACGACAATAACTTCCGCCACGACTGTGCTACATACACGGACAATATTGCCCTGGGCAAGCATGACCCTGAGTGGCTCGAGGAAGCATGGGCTGCACGGGACCGCCGTAGGGCAGGCGACTTTGACGACTACCTCGTGCAGAAGTTTGAGGAAGAATGGAGTTGTGAATTACCGGAAGAATTTAAACCGAAGCGGGACAGTGGGGTGTCAGCGGCGGTGACTGAAAAAGAGGTTCAAGAGGTGGCCAAGGAGGTTAATGAGGATGCTGAGTCAAGCAACGAGGTCAAGAACCACTCCGAGGAGCCAGCCACGGAACTTAATGGCACTATAGAGGGCGAGGATGCCTTGGGAACATTGGATAAGGAACCCAAGGTGGACGAGGAGACTCATGCTGCAAACGAACCGGTCATTCAGCTGGGATCACCAGTTCCTGAGGATAATGAGGAGTTTACACTGGAGATCGAGGTGAAGACAGACGTGGAGAATCCCGCCGCAGCTAAAAGCCAGAAGACGAAGAATAACTCCCCCTGAAATGATGCGATATCACACTTCGGATCACGAGTTTTAACAGGCATTCAAGAGGAGAGTGATGCCACAATATACAACGACATATCACGACTTGACGACTCACGATTTCGGGAAGCTATTGGTTCACTGGGCATACAATAAAAGTGAACAACACGGCCAACTAGCAGCCGGCTTTACCTGCAGGCGTTGATGTTACTTTGACGCTGCTCTATCATTACTGGGTTATACTGGCCTGCAACATTTTCTGGGTGCAATAGAGCATCACGAAAAACCAATTAACAGGCATAAAATCAATAATGCTGTTGAAACTAAATTTTCTGAACATGGAGTTTCTCATGTGCTGTCAATGTGTCTGTGTTAAACACTTTTTCGTTACGACGCCCCTTATTCTTAGCTACTTGATTACAATTTTGGCTCCAGAATATACGTATGTTTCTAAGAGCGGAAAAAGTGAGCAATCACCTGTTTGACGAACTTCTCCTTCATATGGTTCGGGTCAGTCTTCGGTGACTGGCCGGTGTAGTCCAGCCCACATCATTGTGAGTGCTTCGTTGCTGCCCCACATCGCCGAGCAGAAACCTCACTTCAGTGGGCGAAAAGCCTAAACCACAGCAACATCTTATCCCTACCAGATACATCACTGAGACCCGCACAGGTTATACAGTCAATACTGGCGTGACAGGTGTCGAATCAAAGAAAATCACAAGTCCCGCTGTTTTCTGGACGCAATTTTGGGGCACTGCGCTCACCAGCCGGCTACTTTCCTCCGCAGGAACCTGTTCGCTTCTACATCTGACAGTCAGTCACTATGGCGCCCTCGGCAGATAACCACGGCCGGTCGCATAGTCTTTTGCTCTTTCAAAAACTGCTCAACTTGAGAGACAGCGCGAGTCCCTTGACACTTGTTCTGGACAGTCTCGAGCAGGGCGCCGCACCTGTTTTGCGCGAGTTCGTCTCCAGAGCTAAAGTAAGTGACGAGCTTCAGTATTCTTTTACTCTTTAGATTAGACAACGACATATACCTCATTCCAGAGGTTTTGTTTCGAGTGCATAGTTTCATTCACTTTCTCGACCCCTGTTGACCAAGAGCAGATTGCGAAAGCAAAAGTCGTGCTCCTTTCGTTTGCAACCCTCAAACGACCACGAGATGTCGATGTCGTCGTCAAAGGCCGTGGTAAGAATCTGAAAGCTCTCAGAGCAGAGATCTTGTCACATTATCCCAAGCCAGCTGCGGCAGCAACCAAGGGGGCACCTCCATCACAAAGTAAATGAGCCCGCTCTGCTACCGTAGTACTTCTGACTCACGCTCCCACAGAAACAGTCATATTGGTTGACTCACTCAACGACCTCGCCACGGCAGCGCCGCAATTTGTTCCGACGTTCCTCTCTAGTATCATTATGCCTTCAGTGTCCCTGGTCGCCGTCTACCACACCGACGTGCCCCTCGCCCTCCCGCGGACTGTGAGCGAGTATGAGCCTCACCCGCTAACCATCCTCACGCACCTTGCCACTTCCATCCTCCGGCTTTCTAGTCTGCGTCAGGAAATTGAGCGCCAAAGAGCGAGAAACAGGAGTTTGCAGGAGCCGGAGTGGGGACTAGGTGAGGAGAGAGAGGGTGTGTTGATCGGCCTTAAGGGCGAGACCAAGTCTGAGGATTATCGTGGTGTTGTGGTAGAAATGGAGGTTAGAAGAAGGAGTGGACGAGCCATGGCGGAAAAGTTCGTCCTGTTGCCTCTGGCAGGCTCCTCCGCTAGCCTCGGGAAGACGTCGAAGGTGTTTCTCCTCTCGGAGCACCCTGTGTTTGCCACCCCTGGGGGCTCCGGTGAGGCGAATGCCGGTGCTGGGGAGGACGAAGAGCCTGAGAGCACATTCAATTTGGGTCTCACAGAGAAGCAAAGGCGAGATAGAGAGGGTATTGTGCTGCCTTACTTTGATGCGCAGACAGACATAGGAGCTGGAGAAGGTGGCAGAATTCTCTATGAGATGGGCAGGGAGGATGACTTTGATGACGAGGAGGATGAGATTTAGAGGGCCTCATTTGATGGTGAGGCATAACGATTGTTACTTTGACAACGAATGCATGGACGATGAGCACAAGCGTATCCTCATCAATTCTGGCGAAACGTTCCCACATGACTTACGCACTCACGGCAAGGCACAGCCCAGAGAGTAGGTAGGTGCCTGCTTGTCTATACTATCACGGCACGAATCACCTTCCATCTCACTCTGGTACGTAGCTTGAACGTGCCTTCCTCAATACCTGAGGCGATGCCTAGTCTCCACTGAGGCCAAAAAGTAGGAAGGCACGCAGCCCGGTTGCCTGCGATTCACCGTCTCTACCTGGCCGTACTTGCCTTCCAAATAAATATAATCATTAAAATCTTCGTGGTACGTATTTATCTGACTGATTGAGGGCAGCGCACAGGCCGTCTCACAAATCTATATAAACCCTCCCATCCCCAGATGGGTTTGGGATTTTTCTTCTTTTCTCCTTACCTTCTCTTTGCCGTATGGCTTAGATCAAGTGTAGTATCTGTTCTTTTCAGTTTAATCTCTGAAAGACCTCCATGGAGGTCAATCGTGATTATTCTTATTTTTGATCATCTGGGTAGGGGTCCCTGTGGCTTGCTGCACACCTCATCCCACCGTGTCCCTGGTATTACACTGCCTCCAGGCGACGCAAATCATTGGTTTCATTGCTTTCTCTGGCTTTTCCAGGGTTGCGAAGAAGACTGTGAGTGTATTTGTGATGTTTCTATTGGTAATATTATGAAATGCTGAGGATGGTAACTGTCAGCCCAACTCGTTTATAAATGTTCGTGATATCTTGAGTGACAAACCGTGGTGTTGAGTTTCGGACGGAACATGCTAGAGTCTGCTGCCCGCCTCAGTGGAGCCAACCATTAATTGAACGTGGCAGGCGCTCGTTCCAGAGCTCTACAAGGTTCCCCCGCGCTAGATTTCAGGGGGTTGGCAGATTGGGCCGTAGTAAATAAACCACACGTGCCAGCCTATCTACCCCAAATTTTCTTCGCCTAAATCCTTACCGTGACGTCGTTGCCCAGTATCTTCCATAGTCCATACCTCACCTTACCAATCCCTTCAAGACCACTCGCCTAGACATTTACAATATGGGTCGTGGACGCGATAGCCGACAGGCTTGGGACGAACCTGACAGACGCAATCGCAACGGTGGCGGTGGCCCTCGAGACCGCGATAGAAATCGCGATAGCTATAGAGACCGCGACAGCAGGCGCGACGATCGTGATAGAAGAGGAGACGACCGAGACAGGAGATACAGGTCCAGATCCCGCGACAGGCGCGATAGAGATCACCGCCCTAGATCTAGAGACAATGAAAGAGATCGCCCTCGCGAAGACCGCGACGGCGGAAGACCACCCAGACGAGACAGAGATGGCAGGCAGGATCGAGACGACAGACGGCGCAGGGACGATGAACGCGGCGACAACAGACCGCCTAGGCGTCGAGACGATGACGACGAAGCCCATCGTAAGTTGTCTCAACGCCCCTTATTTTGCTTAATCGAAAACTAACCATGCCCTGCCAGAACCACCTCGTGAGAAAGACCGCAGACGATCAGCCTCTCCGCGCCGGAGCGGCAGCCCGCCACCCTCCCGTCGCGACGGCGACAGATATGCAGAAGGCCTACCAACCCGCACAGTAGGAAGAGGAAAGAAAGAGCAGCACACCATGTCCTTCAAGGTTGGGCGCCACGACTCGCCGCAGGTCGATAGTGGACGGGACAGCGAGCGTGGAGAGACACCCATGACGGGACGGGATGGTCGGCATGATAGGGACGATGAAGAAGACGACGAGCCTGAGCCAGAGATTGAGGGTGACGATTTGGCCGCCATGCAAGCTATGATGGGCTTCGGCGGGTTCGGCACGACCAAGGGGCAGAAGATTGCAGGAAACAACGTTGGCGCAGTGAGGAAAGAGAAGAAGACGGAGTACCGCCAGTATATGAACAGACAGGGCGGATTTAACCGACCACTCAGTCCGAGTAGGTAAATACGGACATGGAGTTCGGCTGGATGTAAGATGCCATGAGAGTCAGTTGACAACTTTGATCGGGGCATGGATTATGATGAGATGGCCACTCTTCAGCGCAGCTTTCAGGAAGATGAAAACTGCGACAAAAAGCCTGCCTGAAGGCGCCGTGCTATATTTAAATCAGGATGGTATGTGTCTATACATTCAACACAGGGCAGGGAAGTCCCGACAGCAACTTATCGCCCAGCGTCACCGGAAAGATTTCAGAACAATCGACGACAGCAAGCATCGGCATTGCGAGCAGCCCCATAGGATGATGCCTAGTCATATCATATTGCTGCTTACCGCCTGTTGCTGCCTAGAGCTGCCTTTAAAGGCTCGCCTCTTGCGCGATGGTTGGCAGTCCCTGTTTGGTGGCTACATAGGGAACAGGGCGTTTGGTATGCTTCGTATTGTATTCTTATTAAAGATACCTACAGATAGCAAGGAATTTGTGCAGTATCCATATGTCCCTATTTTTTTTTTCCCCCCAGATCCGCCTGTTTTGTGTTCTTCAGATCTATCCGGAAGCTGTAGATGCAGGTGCAGGCGGTGGTGATTCTCTCATGTTACCCTCTTTTGCCTCCTCCTTCAGCTCACTATCGAATATGTCAACCGCCAGGCTTGCCTCGACAAAGTCCTCCAACTCTTCCGTCACCGTCTTCAGTTTCTCTCTCACAGCCATGCTCCCCTCAAACCCTACAATGTGTCTTGCCGGAGGGTTCTCGTGACCTCCAATGGCCGTCAGAGCATGTACCGTCTCCAGAACCAGGCGGTCCGTAACGCTAGGCGGCAGCTTCGGATACCTTGAAATGACTTCCGTGTCCGACGGCTCTATTGCGGTATCCGGGTTCATGTTGAGCACGTTGCTGAGCATGTCCCGGATGCTTGGGGCCGGGTTGATCTCAGAGTCATAGTATGGCAGTTGGGGGGCGAAAATGATCTTGTTGGTCAAGGACTGGATCTCTTTGTTGGGCTGGACGATGGTGACCTTAATATTGAACGGGGCGATCTCGTAGGCCAAGGAATCGCAGAAGCCCTCAAGGGCCCATATGGCCGACGTATAGATGGGCATGCCTGGGGTGCCGATATGGCCGCCAGTGCTGGAGAGTATCATAATATGACCTGTGCGCTGAGAGCGAAGGAGCGGCAGAGCGGCTTTGATGAAGTTTACTTGAGAGAAGAAGATGGTTTCGAACTGGTCGCGGACGAGATTTTGGGTGAAGGGGTTTGTAGATAGCTCCTCGACGCTTCCGACGATGGCTGATAATTGTCAGTATGCCAACGTCCATAACCTATGCAGCTTCTTGGATGATGAGTTATACCTTCAGACCTGCAACACAGCAGAATATCTATCCTGCCGAATACCTGGACAGCCTCTGCCACGGCAGCGCCGCATTGACCCATGACACGCCCATCACAGCGGATGCCACGTATTCTGTCCTTCCACCCCTCGCGGTCTTTGCGGCTGCTTTTACATTCGTTGATGAGATCTCTAAACTCAGCACTACGATCTTCGTCCTCAATCTCATTTGGCGGCAGACAAGCAACGACGTAGTCGCCATGAGCAAGAAGCAGTCTAATGAGCCGGATGATGAGCGGTGAGAGGGCAGTAGTGAGGAACCACGTCCTCGGGGAGTTGTGGGTTGCTGGCGCGAATCAGCTCCGAGTTCGAAAAGTGAATGGCTCAAGATACAACTCACGGAAAGACGGCGCGGGAATGGAATGCACATGCTTTGCCGGCGCGGCCTCCGATCCTTTGCGATCAGCCATGTCCGGAAGTCGTTGGAAACAAGAGTTCTTCTCAGATCACCATCCAATCAACACTGCATCACGCATGTGTAGCCTTAAAAAAAAAACAATACTGCCCAGATGTAGGATGGATCTAAAGGGTGATGGATGCGTGGGGATATGTAGGCATGTCTTGCTTGTCGGGCGAGCTTGCGTCAAATGGCGGGGGTGGCCTTGAAACAACGGCAGAGTACGAGGGATATTAATACAGCCTCTTAATAAGAGCTTTGCTATGAGAGGCTGATATGGGCGATCCGATATATCAGGAGGGGCTGGGGGAACTGCTAGACGTGCCTTTAAGGTTGCAATCCCTGGTGCCGTCTGCAGTCCCGGCTGGATAAGGAAGAGTTCCTGGGGGGGAAGGTATGGGAATTTGAGCCTGACATGCAAGCAGTGCCCCCCAAAACCCCCATCCCAGACGCCCTGGCACCCGAATCTCAAAGCCCGAATGGAGACCCCACCACGGCGCGATTCCAGCGGGACCCCACGCTGCTGGGCGCTGAAATCTGGGGAATGACCCCTCCATCCAGTCACGTCACCTTTGGGTCCGACACCGGTCTCCTTCCGCATTTTGGCGGGGTTGCGGTGTCTGGAATAGCGACTTTTTTTTTTCTGGCACCACTTCCTGCTCAGTGAGTCATTAGGAAAGCAACTTACTGTAGCCCTACATAAAACGGTTACCGGCACCCGCCCTTGTCGCAATACTGTCTTGCTGATTCCCTACCGTCACTCCTCGACCCAATTGAACATCGATCACCGCCCAACATGCCCTCCCGCGCCGACATCACATACTTCGGTGCTGGCCCTGCGCTGCTGCCCACCGATGTCCTTGAGACGGCCGCCCAGGCTCTGGTGAACTACAATGACACGGGTCTCGGCATCGCCGAGCACTCCCACCGCAGCGAGATCGCAAACAAGATCATTGAGGAGGCCAAGGCCGACCTGGCCAGCTACCTCGACATCCCCGCCGACTACGAGATCCTTTTCATGCAGGCCGGCGGCAGCGGCGAGTTTTCTGCAACAGTTTACAACCTTGTCGGTTCCTGGGTCGCCCGCCAGCGTGATGCCATCCTCCAGCGCCTTGGAGCGACCGACGAGACCGACGAAAAGGTCGTTGCGGAGCTGCGCAAGGTCGTTGACGAGAAGCTGAAGGTCGACTACCTCGTCACTGGCGGCTGGTCCCAGAAGGCGAGCGCCGAGGCCTCAAGGCTCTTGGGCCCGGAGTTCGTAAACGTTGTTGCGGATTCCCGCAAGATTAACGACGGCAAGTTTGGCAAGATTCCCGACGAGAAGGACTGGAAGCTCAGCCAGGACGCGGCCATGGTGTACTACTGCGACAATGAGACGGTCGACGGCGTCGAGTTCCCCGGCTTCCCCGCCTCGCTGGCGCCCAAGGAGAACGGCGAGGGTCCCATTGTGATTGCCGACATGTCCTCCAACATCCTCTCTCGCAGAATCCCCGTCAAGAACTACGGCGCCATCTTCTTCGGTGCGCAGAAGAACCTCGGATCGACCGGTATCACCGTCGTCGTCATCAAGAAGAGCCTGCTCGCACCTCAACCCTCGCCCGCGCTCATGCGCAAGCTTGGTCTTCCCATCAGCCCCATCGTTCTCTCCTATGAGACAATTGCCAAGAACAACTCTCTGTACAACACCTTGAGCATCTTTGAGTGAGTCATACGTCGTAACCCCTGTTGGATGAGTTCCACCTAACAAGCATTAGCGTCTACATTGCCGGACAGGTTCTCAAGAAGCTCCTCCGTACCTTCCCTGACAAGGTCGACGGCCAGCAGGCTGTTGCCAACAAGAAGGCGGCCCTCATCTACTCTGCCCTCGACGCCCACCCCGATGTTTACCGTGTCGTGCCCGACAAGTCCGTCCGCTCCCGCATGAACATCTGCTTCCGCGTCACCAAGGGCGGCGATGTCGACGCCTCAGAGAAGGCTTTCCTCAAGGAAGCTACCGGTCTCGGCCTTACCGGCCTCAAGGGTCACCGCAGCGTTGGCGGTATCCGTGCCAGCAACTACAACTCCATCCCTCTCGAGGGCGCGGAGAAGCTTGCTGCTTTTATCGAGTCTTTCGCCAAGGCTTGAAGATGTGGCTGGTGAAGGCGCTTTTACCGCGCCGCGGACGTTATGATACCATGTAAAGGAGCGTGTGAGAAAAAAAAAGAGGGACACAACCGGGTTAAAAAAGCTATGCGGATATTTAGGGAGCCTTGACATAATTCAACATTTCACTTCCAAACTTATAAAGTGCCTGATGATTGACTGCTTGCGAGCGGCGGTATGCCACACTAAGAAAGCTGTCTTTTGGGCAGGCGAAGCTTAGGATGAACTACTCCAACACATAACTGAAGTCAAGGTAATTTTGGTGCTGAAATAGCTCCCTTCCAGAAGCAAAATCATATATATACCCCTTGGTAAGCGACGTGCAGGACAAGCCGAGCGTACGTGAGGCTAACAAAGCAAGACCAGAATGACATTAATTCTGTCTTGATCGAATTTCATTACCACTAGCTCGACCACAAAAACGAATGTTATCAAATCACTAGGATATCATATCAAACATCACAAACGAGCACGGCCAACAAAGTGCCAAAACAGTATTCCTCTCAACACGATGTGCAGTTTCTCCCACGCGCTACTGTCGCTTTTCGCTCGGCTGCTCGTGGATGCTGCCCACCCGCGCCTCAGGCTCGTCGTCGATCTTCTTGACCAACTGCGTGACCCCGAAGAGCTCGTCCATCTTCTCCAAACTCAAGCCCTTGGTTTCGGGGATGAAGAAGTAGACAAAGATGCCCATAGCGAAGCCGAAGGAGCCAAACATGAAGAACATGCCCTGGTAAAAAAAGAAAAGCGAGAGTTAGCAGCAGGGTTCAGTTAATCTTTGTAATCGGACACGGACGAGAAAAGAAAAGTTGGGGGAGACTGACATATCCCTTGTAGCCCATGGTCAGCTGCATCGTCAGGACGGTTCGGGCGATGATGAAGTTGAACAGCCACTGGGTCAGAGCGCCGAGGGCGACGTTCATGGCACGTAGTCGGGCGGTGGGGATCTCGGAAACGAGAATCCAACAGCAAGGTCCCCAGCCGAACTGGAAGAAGACGGTCCAGAGGAAGATGCAGGTGATGGCGACGTAGCCGAAGGGTGGGATCTAATAAGATGCCAGTCAATGTTTTTGCTCTTGAATTTTTTTTTTTTCCCCAAACATCACTTTTTATCAAAGGGCATTTCAGGGGGACTTAGGACGGTAGACTTACAGGCTGTCCCTCAACAGGGGGGCTCACACGACCGTAGATGCCGACAATGAACATGGCCAGACCCTGGGCAAAACCGGTCCAAATCAGACTCCATCGACGGCCGAGAGAGTCTGCCACGAAGGTGAGGAAGCACGCGCAGGCCGCGACCTTGACGACACCGTAGATACCCGTGGCGAAGAGCGATGCTTCTGTGCCGCTCATTCCAAGGTTCTTGAAGATCTGGGGTGCGTAGTAGTTCTGTTGGTACAGGTAATATTAGCAACGGAAATCTTTTTTGAATGGGGTTTCTAGGTCGAGCTTACGATGGCGTTGACGCCAGCCATTTGTTGGCAAATCTGTATAGATCCACGGTATTAGCACAACAGAAAATCTTTTGAGCATTCAAAAAGAGTGAGAAACTTACCATTAGCATGACGGAGAGAATGGCACGTTTTCTGTTTCCAGGAATAAGCCACATCTCCTTGAGGAGGGTCATGGCAGTTGCGTCTCCGACAAGACGGCGCTCGGATTCAAGCTGCTGAGACATCTCGTTCAACTCCCCCTGGATGTAGGAGTGGTCGCCAGGCAGGCCTCTAAGCCGCACCAGAATGTTCTTCGTCTTTTCCCAGTGGTCCTGCTTGGCACACCATCTAGGACTCTCGGGGCAGAAGAACATGCCGATGGACAGCAGCACAGCGGGGACGGCCTGCAGCGCGAGAGGTACGGCGTACAAAGCCTTGCCTGAAATGTGAAGAAGAGAGCCGTAGTTGATCCAGAATGCCATCATAGTTCTTTGATTGTTAGCATCAAGTGTCAATCAGCCTTCATAGCGGGAAACGAGTTGATGATGGCTGGGAGGGAAGTGTTGAAGATCCTGCCCATAGAGGCTGAACGGATCTAATGGTGAAGCTCGAGATGACTGTAGAAAGAAATTAATGAGGCAACATACCCTGTGACAATAAATAGTTGGTAGAATGCCGTAAGGCCTCCTCGGATAGCTCTTGGGGCACACTCAGAGACATAAAGCGGCGTGAGCATCGACGCGGCTCCAACGCCTAGTCCGGCGACGAAGCGACCGACAAACACTGTTATTCCGTCAGCCAATCGTTGCATACCGTAGTATTATAAGCGTGTTTTACTCAGAGGCAAGTTTCCATGCTCAGCCGAGGCTGCTTGGAACACGACGCCGATGGTAGTGATGATACCGGTGACGATGAGGGACCAGCGGCGGCCGAACTTGTCGGTGAGGTATGGGGTGATGAGACAGGCGGCAAAGCAGCCGCCCTGAAGAGTCGAGACGATGTTCTGGTCCTGGTTGGACTTTTCGGTCTTGGATGCTTCGAAATAGCCGAACTGCTTCTGGGTTTCCTCCATGGCGAGGACGCCGCCGATTGCTCCTATATCCCAACTTGTAAAGATTAGTTCAAGAATTGTTCAAATGGATCTTGCAAAGGGGCAACTAACCCGAAAAGCATTCCTCCAAAGCATGCTGTTGTGGTTGAGGTCAGCAAAGGCTTCGAAGGAGCTGTTAAGGGGGAGGATGTTAACTAACAAGCACACGCCAGAGCAAAGACCCTCCATCCGTAGATCTCTATAGGATCCTCCTTCATTGCATCGTTCTTCACGATGCGCTGGAGAAACCTAGCGATACCCATGGTGGCGGTTGAAGAAGAAACAACTAGAATGAGTTTGGGGTTTGCTGTTGCGGCAGAGTTGGTGCTGTAGCTCCGGATATGAGAAGGCTACCGTCTCTTGCTGTATGTGCAAACTGGCAGAGTGACACTGGGCTTATATCGTGGGGCTATTCACATATTTATATCAATATCACAATCATACCATGACCTCGAATGCTGTTTGGCCAAGAAACCCCTTTAGGCACTGAGAGGTCCCAAGGCTGTAAAACTTTGTGGCTGCTCGAAGCAGAGGTAGCAAAGACAGCTAGCGATACCCTCCACCTCGAGGGGTCATCTGGGTGACAATCCATCGCCATACCGGGCCAACCACGACACACCAGCCCTCGAGCCATGCAGCTAAGTTTCATCACCATGCCGTCGTACAACCGTCGGAACGATTGGTCCAGGGACGTTCTCCTCCGAAGACGGCTGAGGAGCAATGTCATTGGTGGGCCACGCTTGACGATATATTTGTACCATAGTATATACAAACTCTTGGGGACACGGCGAGCATTCTAAATGGACTTGGCAATATCGTCTGTCCGCCACTCCCAATAAAGACGGGCGAGAGAGCAACGCCAAGGAGCCTCGATCCTTATTTTTTTGTTTTTTGTGTGGGAGCGACAAAGGAGGGGGCAGCGACAGCAACGACAACAAGGCATCCTGAAATTGAGCGTTTTGTCTCAGTGGTGGATGGAAATCGTCCACCAACAGCTTCGATTCCCGGGGCGAGATTCGTGGCTTTTGAGGCGTCTGTGTCGTTTTGTCTTGGCATCAAGAAGGTTTCCTTTCTTTCTTCAAGAGTGCTTCGATGGGAAGGCCCGTATATAGTTGTCATCACGATCCCTGAGGCAACGAGCAGACGACATACAAAACAACGTGGTAGTAAGCTGCTACCTACCTAGCGCAATACCAAGAGTACAGTATCTGGCGAACAGCTGCATTTCACACACCACCACCAAGAAGAAGTCTCTGAGCTTATCGACCATGACAAGACGTCTGCCCCGCTTTAGCCGATGGTACATATGTTTGTCTTGACTTTTAGCCAAAATGCGGGGGTCGTTAGATTGATGGGGTGCAGTAGTGCGCCGTACCGTAAACCGGGAGGCCCAGCTTCTGATGCCAGCCAGCTGGGACCGAAGTCATTTGCATTTGCAAGTTGGCCGAAAGGGGGGTCGAACGTCTGTTGGCCGAGAGTCAAGACTCAGGTAAAGCTGGTTTGAAGCATGCGTCATTTGGTAGTGGCGTATGTTTGGTAAGATGCACAGTATGTGTCATTCGCAGTAACTGGGATTGAACAGTGTATTTTGAAAGAGTTTTTATTATTATTGCTCACAATGACTGATTCATCCTAGCTCGCATGTAATAATAATTCACACGAAGCTGTAAGCGAGAGCTGCCTCGATCGACAGTCAAGATCACCTCACATCCACAATCCCTCCCCCCCGCAGTGTGGGCAAACTAACACGGGGGGGTGTGGCTTTGCCCAGGCCTCGTTCCATTCGTGGAAAAACCAAAACAACTCCAAGCCGGCTGATTGACCACCACACTTTGGTGCACAGCCAACATCGCCAGCGAAAACGGCAACGCGACGATGTAGGCGCCATCTGTACTAGCAGAAAAGTCCTCTGTAGGTACATCCAAGCAAGAAGCTTGCTTTAAGCAGCGCTTATCTCTGCCTCGAGCCAAGAAGGGATTGCAGGTGGCTTATCCCAGCCGTCGAGGTACGCCTCCTTGGGACCACTTGGCTTGGCGTAGATGCCCGTTATGTACCAGGCAGACTCGCCTTGCTTGATAGTGTGCTGTAGAGTCGGAATCGTCGTCCGGTTCTCGACCAGGTTCGAGTTGGGGTCTGCGTTGACGAGGTTGGCCGTCCGTTCGATCGAGCTCTCCAGAGCCTTGATGCCAACGGCACCCTTTGACACCGCAAACGAGCCGTCGCTGCCCTTCGCCAGGCCCTCGGGTGTGTTAGTGTCGTAGTTACCGATGATCTTTGGCGATGTTCCTTCGCACAGCTTTGAGTCGTAGAGGTCAAGATACCGGCCGTTCGTCGAGTTTTCGTTGCAAATCGCAAAGGAACCGTCGGCCGTCATGACTTCGCGGCCTGCTTTGATATGGTGCACTCGCAAATGCCAGTTGGGCGTGGACTCTTCGGGAGGTACCAAGGTGGTCTTAATTTCGACGTCGGGGAACGGCTTCCAGACGGACACAAGCACCGGCTTGTCGTCTCTGGTTTCAATGCCTGCGTATTCCGAGAGGCGTCGGGTCTTCCAGTATTCACCACCGTCATCTGACAACCCCAGCTGCGAAGCCAAAGCGTATTGCTCAAGAGAGAACAGGCCCGGAGGAACCGAGTACGCGTACGCACTGGAGTAGGCGAAACCACCATATTTGGCATGTGTGCCCTTCATGGGGTAGCTGCAGGCTTGACCAGACGACAGGAGCATGCAGTGTCCGCCAATGTTGCTCATGATGTGGCCTGGCTGCTCGAGAGGCTTGATCTTGGGGATGACAGGCCATTGCTGCTCTTCTTCAGAGGTCCAGAAGGGGTGGTCCTCAGGAACTGCTAGACACATAAAGGCAAGGCAAGCCCAGTACTACACAAGGTCAGTCAACGCATCATCGTCACGGTGGTCTCTCGAATACTAACCGGGCTTCCGGGGCTGTTGTAGTTCTCCGCCATGTACATGTTCGGGTAGGAGTATCCGATCGACAAGGTTCCGCTGGGAGTCCACATGTTGTGCTGAGTCTGCCACCACCTCAAGTGGCGCATCACGATGCCCTTCACCATACCCCAGGTTAGTGGCGCGGGCAGCTCGACATCTGCGTACGCAAGCGCTCCCCAGAATGACACCATGGCGAAACGGTATCCGACACTGCGACCGAAGGGAATGGCTCGGCCTTCTTCGTCAAAGTAGTGTACGAGATCTAGAGCAACCTGCTGGGCTCGCCTGCGAAACTCCGCAGCCCGCTCGGGTTCGTCCTCGCCGGCAAGCTTCACATACAGGAGTTGAAGGAGCTGGATGGCAAAACTGGATGAGTAGTAGTCCATCATGTGGATACCTACGGGGCCGTCGTTGGACCAGCCGCCGCCTCGGTAGAAGGTGTTGAGGTGTTCGATGTCGGCATCCAGGCGTTCTTGCGAGAACTTGCCGCCGTTCTTCTTGAGGCCCAGGTTGGCAAAGACGCGGAACCAAAGCCAGTTTGTGTCAGGCATGCTAGCGCCGAGTTAGCAACAACTCGAACCATTGGCAGAGGTTATGCTCACTTCTTCTCGTTGATGGAGTTTCCAAGCCAGTTCTCTACATTGGTACGCTCTTTCTCCGAGAAGCTGTCCCAGAACACAGGGGCAACAGCGAGAGCGAACCCTTCACGGAGAGGTCAGTTCTATTCAAGCATGCCCAAAAAATACAACAACATCGGATTCCCTACCAAGAGGGCACATCTCGACCATGCGCTGGTCGTTGTCTCTGGGATATCCCCAGTACTCGGGGTTCTCTGGGTCTGTGCCAGACTTGAGGCCCTGAACCCACCACTCGGTGCCGTGGTACTCGCCGCCGCCAGCCAGCAGAGCAGAGAGGCCCCAAAGAGGACGGCAGATACCCTCGACCTCTGACGCCGACTGGTCGAACCTGACGGCGGTCCCACCCGGGCACTTGACGCGGGCCTTTTGGGGAGAGAAGAAGGGCTCGAGAGGGTCGAGGAGGGTTCGGAGGAGTTCTTGTACAGATGCTCTGTCGGTGAGCTTCGCCTTGGAGAAAGGGTGGGCGCCATTGTAGCCAAGCACGAGGCCAGTCTTGGGTTCATCCATGATGGGCGATTGTAACCAGCAATGCGAATCTTCAAAGATGAGTTACAATTAGAGACAGCAAGCGATATGGACTGGAATACAGGAAAGAAGAAGGAAACAAAGCAGCGGATACACGAGACATGACGGGGGGGACCTCCAGGTAAATAAAAAGCTTCTCGCGCATCAGCTCGCTCTTGAATTGCCCCGGCTACATTGACCCGACAATGCCAGCCAATACGTGACGCCGCGCACTCTTCGGGGTAGCAAGGCCACGGGATGGTAAGATGGTGGGGCAGCTCCAGCGTAGCATCATCCAATGTCCGTCATTTCTCTGGGCGAAGGGACAGGATCGTCTACGGAGAATTAGGTAGTGAGATGCTTTGGAGGGGGATAATGTCCATGTTGGAGTTTGGTGGGGGTGGGGGTTGGCAGAGGACGCGGGGAGGGGTAAGTAGCTTGGGGGGCGGACGGATCCATGCAGGGGAGTTTAGTCGCGGCTAAATGGGAAATTGAACCATCGAGCCTCTCGGGGACCAGTCCGTTCTTTTCAGCCGTCATCTGGCGTTCGTCCGGGTCGAGGCATTGTTGCAGAACGTTTTCTTAGAGAATAAACAGGGGGAATAAGAATACCTAAAGGATGTTTATAAGAATATCTAAGAAAAAAAAAACATTTAATATAATAAACAGAATATTTACTATATAAAATATTTTATAGTTTAGTACTTTTAAATCCTTTATGTTATAGTCACAGTTCGATCAAACAGTCACGTCACAAGGGCACGTGATATCTCACGTGCCAGTCGTACCCGTATAAGAGTCGCTCGTGATAGCTTCGCAGTTAGGAGGTTCAGTCAAGAAGAGAACCAACTGCTTACTGTCATAACTAAGCTTACTGGTTCATCGTTGTTTATTGCCTTGTGACCGCCTGTTTGACTTCCGTACTATTCTGTTTACATCTCTGTTCTTATCACGGTTCTAGCCTCTACCTGTTGTAGCCACGTGTTAGTTAGCAGGAAGAACTGTGACAATAGTAGTGCGGGGTAAAAGGTGTTCGGAAAATGGGAACTTGAGGCCTTGGCATTTTTGAGGTTATCTGGCGCCTGATGGGGCAAAAAGTGTGTTTCCTGGCGAGCTGTCTTAAGCCTGAATGCATCCCTTTACACAAAACAACCTTATTTTCTTTCGCTCTCTGGTCGTGCGACTAACGGGCTTCAAAACTTTCCAACTGTGACGAACTAGGCACACAGCAATCAGGCTAGGAAAGGTGTAAAAGAGTGACTTGATTTAAAAGAGGGTATATGTGTGAGAAAGCACATACTTATACGTCTACGGTGTGCGTTTGGTGTGGTCGGTGAGCGTTGACACTATCGCCACACTAACAAAAAGATTTAAAAAAAAGGTAACAGTAGGCAGATCAAAACTAAATGAGCTTAATATAGGGTTGAACTCTGCAATTGGCAAGATGTCTGTGGGTTTATTGTGTGACTTTTAAGAGAGGCACAGTGACAATTTTGCCGTTTTGATCAAGTGTTTGCGTTACATGTGCGACAGTTTTCTTTTCAGCCTCTCAAGGTTCCACGTTACAAGTGCCACCCCATTTCATTTGCCTGCCTATTGTCTGGAGATTATGAGAGCTGAATTTTTTTTTTTTTTTTTTTTTTTTTTTTTTTTAAAAGGGATAAAAACATCGACAGCAGGCAAAATCGACTTTCATTGTTCACTCATAGCTTTCTTCGCAGTATAAGTGTGGACAAATAAGCCGCAGAAATGCACAATTCTTCTCTATTCATACTTACATAAGGTACGTAGATCTCAATGTTTGCTTCCTTTTCATACTGGTCTATTATTGAGTATTGCCCATCACTTAAGGACATTACTCGCTTGATTGTCCAACTTGACTGAGAATCATCACAGCCGTAGAGTTTGGAGTGTGTGAGACCAAATCAAGAATAGCCATGTAGGTGCCCAAGTATTTTTTCACTGTATCAGAATCAAACCGATGGCTCCAGAATGCCAATGCACCAGAAACATTTCCCCCACTCTCGTCAACTTGAAGAACTAGATCGTACTGGAAGCACATGGTTAGCATTTCCCTTTATTTCGGGAAATGAATCTCAATGGCCACTTACTTCCGAAGAGTCACGCTTCTCTAAGGGTTTGAATATTAAGTTTCTTTGCCCGAGATGATGTTCCAGCTCCTTTCCCTGATAGTGCACCTTGCGAATATTGACCATGGTGTTGAATAGCCCCTGGGTCGTTGTACAACCTGCTAACTTTTCAATGGCCTTTAAAGAGCATGGTTGATACGCCAAGGCCTCAATGTTGGAAGTTTGGAACGACTGAACCAACTCCAGCACCGGTACCGCCGCTGGAGAGAGGTCAACATACGCAGGTAGCACGCTTAGAACTGGTCCCACGACGTCTTCTACATCGGCCACCGGCGCATCCCGACCAGCGATGAGTTGGCCGAAACATACCATGTCCTGCTGCGTGTGGTACTTGAGTAAAAGCGCCCAGCAGAACTGAAAGAAATGGGAGGTCGTGACTTGAGCAAGACGGCAGAAGTCGGATATCGTCTGCCACTGCGAGGAGGTAATCGAGAATGGGATTGAGACCTCCTCAACAGGTAGATAATTAGCGGCGAAAGACTGAGTCGATGGCTGCGTAAAGATGCATGGCTTTGCGCCACGCAAAACTTTTTCTTGCCAGGCCTTGTTATTGGTTGATACGGTACGGGTGTCATACCACTTGGTGTACTTTGCAAATGCTGTGCCTGGATTGCTGGGTGTCCCGTTGTTATAAAACATGTCTAGGTCGACGAGCATATGCTCCAGGGCAACCGTGTCCGTGACGAGATGACTCAGGCTCATCGTCAAAAACAGCTCCCCAGAGCTAGTGAGGGATAGAATCAAATGGTAAGTTGGTCCCGGTTTGGTGTTGCCCGTGTCAGAGTTGAAGTTTTGTACGAACGTATCGTGATCGGCTTGGAGACGTTCCACAGCACTTTTCTCACTCTCAACAGGCCGCACACCAACATGTGCCTTCGTCTCACGGAGGATCACCTGGTGCAAGAGGTCATCTTGAGAGTCGGCCACGAATACCGTACGCAGGATAGAATGACGATTGACGACGCTCTGCCAGGCTTGAAGGACCCTCTCGACGTCCACTAGACCATCCGAGTTCTTTGTTGTCAATTGTGCGAGAAACGTGGCACAATACGGTTTTCCTGGGTGAGTACGGCTGGCATGGTAAACCTGATGTTGGAAAGGAGTGGCTGGCATCACAGCCTCCACCTCTTGTTCCGAAACTGATAGGATGTTGCACACGCGACGATCTGGCCCAGAAGAAATTTCGCCATCCACGACTGTGTGAGATAGCATGCTTCGGCCCACGATGCGGGCTGCAAGTCCCTGGATAGTCCTACCCGCAAGCAGATCGTGCGTCATCATGTGAAGATTTGCTTCTCTGCAGCGGCGAGTAACTTTCATGGCTGAAATAGAGTCCCCTCCGAGGGCGAAGAACGAGTCGTTTAAACCAAAGGTGGCTTCGGCACAGTCAGCTCTGAACATTGCAAACCTAGGGCACCTGAAACATACCTCTGTCTATCTCCAGGACCTCACTCCATATTTTGCGCAAACTCTCCTCCAATTCGGTGCCCACTGCCTTGGCGCTGTTGTCTTTGGACCCCCCTGGATTGCTTGCTCTCCGAAACAGGGTCTCGTCCATGTCGTATACGGCACGTGTTGTCGTCTTCAAGTCTACTTTGTATGAAACAAGAAGAGGCACGCGCTTCGTAAGCAGAATCAAGTCTGGAATCATGTAGCTTGGCAATGGAGATGCAAGTCTCTGCCTCACATACTGCTCGATCTTCGCTGTCTCGGCAAGATTGTGAGGTTCATAAAGTTCCCATAAGTCGCCCGTCGCATTTCCAGGGTGTGGCTTGCTTGCGCCTTCACCATCTTGGCGCAGGCCAACGACTGCGACCAGCTTGCCCTTGCACAAACCCTCTTTTCCATCAAACACGGCAACATGCTCCACTTTATTAATGGAAAGAAAGTGATGTTCTATCTCCTGACGCTCGATCCTATAACCACGTACCTTGATCTGAGCATCGCGGCGGCCTAGGAAGTTGAGACTTCCATCGGTATTGTACCGTACCAGATCTCCTGTCTTGTAGAGTCTGTAGGCATCATCGTTGGACCATAATCGGCGGAGGACTTCATCTTGCTGCCATACTAAATCACTAACGAAGGCTCGGCTAGTCTCCAACTCATCTCCCAGGTAGCCACGTGCCAAGATTGGACCGTTCACCAGAAGCTCACCCACTGCTCCGATAGGTGCTAGCAAATCATGGTTTTCGGGCTCAACAACCCAGAGTCTGCAAGCCACTCCGCGGCCTATGTTGCTGGCCTCTGAGCCCGGGAGTAGTCTGCTGCTGATTGCTGAGTTTACTGAGGCTTCCGAGGGGCCATAGGTGTTGATCAAATAAACGTGAGATGCCCACGTATCCACGTCGGCCTGAGTAAGGGCCTCTCCACCTAATGAGAGTATCTGCAGATATAACAGTAAGCATGACGGAAGATGTTTGAAGAAGTAAGGTGGTAGTTAATGAAATTCGTTACCTTGACGCTCGGTACGTCTGCTGGCGATAGTGTGCGCATGAGCGAAGGCGTCACGTCCAGTAGATTTACCCCCATCCGTCGCACAAACCCGGCGAAGTTAGACATGCGTTCTTCATCAGATGGCACGCAAACACATCCGCCCGCAACAAGGGTGCCAAAGATTTCCAGGATAGAGCTGTCGAACACGTATGAGGCAAACTGCGCTACCCTCGAATTCTCGTCAAGCCTGTAGCCCGTAATCTGCGCGCTGAGAGCGGAAGAGATTGAGCCTTGTGGTATGGCAACTATTTTAGGCTTCCCGGTAGAACCTGATGTCGAGATAACGTAACAAAGATTATGGAGACTTGGTTTAGGTAACTCTCCATGTTCTCCGGACGACTTCAACGTGGATTCAAGACATGACAAACTGGCCATATCCACCGGCATGACATGATTCAGGAGCTCTGTAACTTTGCGCTCCAAAAGTGGCGATGACAAGCCGACGTTGGATTGTGTCTGAAACACGACATCTCGACACCGCTCTTGAGGCCAGCTAGGGTCCAGGTGTGAGAAAGCTGCGCCTGCTCGCAGCACACCACACATGGCTACCACTGCCCAGACAGACTTTTCAAAACAAAGAGTCACCACTTTCTCGGGCCCGATACCATTGGAAACTAACCATTGTGCTAGTAAGTTGGAAAGCTTGTCCAGGTCGTCGTATCGCAGTTCGATTTCTGTTGACTTGAGCGCAGGGGCTGATGGGCGCTTGAGAACGTTTTGCGCCACAAGGTCGTGAAGAGTAGAGGGCACCGCAATAGGAGTTGAAGAATTCCATTTGGAAATCTGGTCCCTCTGGCTCCTGTCGGTAAGATCCAATTGATTGACCGGTGTAGAGGGACTAGAAACTAGCATGCGAACGGCTGCACCAAACGCTGACATCACAAAAGCGGCTTGCTCATCGGACAGCATGGCGGTTGAGTAATTGAGACGGACTGACAGAGTTTCTGGCCCGTCACAGACAGCCAAAGCAATGTCGTACTAAATGAGAATGATTAGCGATGATAAATCGGGGGCCTCATGACCAACTTTGGGTGGGATTTGTGTCTGCTCACCTCGTCCATCTCCTTCATGTCCAGAATGTCTATTTGAGCCCCTACGCCAATGTCGAATGTTCTTCTTCGGACATCAGTCCTCTGAACATCCATTATGGTGTTGAATGGCTGGCGTTCCTGTAATCCAAGATTTCGGTAAATCCTTGGAAGAGACGCCGTCTGGAACGGCATCGCAGCGTGCAGGTCTTTTTGGCACGACTCTATCAGTTCAATTGACGTCATCTGAGACTCAAGTTGAATCCTTAATATGTTCATGTTGATTACTGTGAGTCGGTTAGCACACCCCCTCCCTTTGAGAACTAGAGACTAAGGAGCAGGGGAGAAATAGCCTGTGCTGGCAAGGAAGCCTGATGCGTCCTGTGAATTCTGTGGGAATGGTACTTACTAGAACATGTTAGTCATATGAATCAATCTAAAGAGAAAGGTAGGAACGGTGGAAATGAAAGTTGTTACTTACCTTGGACCAATGATTTTCTCAATATTGCGGACAGGAAGCGCTCTTCCAGACACCGGATACCCAAAGCACACATCCTTTTGATTTGTGTACCGGCTCAATGTCAACGCCCAGGCGGCATATGCAATATTTGAGACAGTAATTCTGTGCTTCCGGCAAAAAGCCTGGACTGTGGGCGTGTCGCACAGGGGGATGAGCTCTGTTGTCTTCGTTGCCGCAACAGCGTGGCGCTCTTTCAACGTTGTCAAGGCAGGGAACCAGCAAGGAACTAGTCCTTTAAGGTATCTTCCCCAAAACCTGTCCATGGAAGGGTTTCGTGTTTGGCGCTCGATGTACTTGACGTACTCGGCATATGAAATAACTTCGTCGTCCAACTTGCCAGCATAGCCTTCGAGCAGCTCCGTAATGATGTTCATGGATGATATGGCGTCCATCATCAAATGGTTCTTGCGTAGGTAGCAGTAGATGGATCGAGAGCTGCTGCCAACCTGGTATATAGTCAAGCAGGCCAGGGGAAGAGCGCTAAGCGGACTATTTGCAGACGCTTTTGTCTCTTTTTCATAGTCAAGAACGACATCATCCTCGTCATCGCAAGTCTTGTACCGTACTACATCAGAGGCTTTGACATTTCGCAACACTCCCATGCAGAATGGCGAAGATATCTTGTCCCCAACGGACTCGACGAAAACTGTCCTAAGCATTGTGTTCTTGCGGATGACTTTGTGCCAAGCTTTCTCAAGCTTCGCTGAACTAACAACACTTTCGTCCGGTGCGGCATTCAACCGGAACAAAAGATGTGCGTCGTAAATAGAAGCTCGCTGATTCAACATGCTCACAAGCATTCCTTGCTGAACTGGCGGGCATGCGTAAGCGTCTTCAAGATTGTTGTCTGTCAGATCAAGACCCGAGTCTTTCAAGCGGAGACGGACAGACTCAATGAACGGATTTGCTGGAGGCTTCACTGGCTCCGGAGGCGCCGACGCCAAAGGGTTTCCTGGCTGAGGAGACGCCTCATTAGCCAGTGATACGCAAATCGATTTGACTTGGCCAAACCACTTGAATAGTTGTTGCTGTCGACGCATTTTCTTGTTGTATTCGAACTTGAATTTGAGGCCATCGCCTTTCCTCAACACTTGAACATCGATCCAGCATGGGCGCAGCATCTTTCCGCCAGAATTGTGCGGTCTCTCAGGCTCAAAGCTTGGAAGCCAAGGTTGGTCTTGGCACAATTCTAGTACAGCTCCAGATTTGTCTGTTGACATGCCAGATCCCCAGTAGCTAAACAGAATTTCCTTAGGGCAACTTCTTTGGCGAAAGCGGTTGGCCACGCCGGAAAGCCTTTGTGCGCGTGTTGATGTTCTGGCCTTGTGAACCTGGCGAATGGCCTCGGATATGCTAGGGCAAGAAGCCTCAATGGCGACTGGGTCGAATGCGCCAAAGCAGCCAACAGTCTGGGAGACGTCCATGCTGGTATTGATTTCTTCGCGGCCATGGCCTGCGTTGAAGACTTGAGGAACGTGTTCTTGCCCAAAGACGGCTGAGAACGAGAAGAGCAGGGCACCGAGCAGTATGTCAATGGTTTCCACCTCCGAATCCTGCTGCCGTGCCTTCAAATTTGTGATATTGACCCCGTCGAGGACGAAACTGTAACTGCGGGTATCATTATACGAGTTTGGAGCCCCATCAACGCTCCAAAACTTGGCAATGCCTGCTGCGTCTGGCTCGTTGGCTGATGACATCGAGCTTGAAGGGCCTTCAGTCGATCTTGCATGAGTTCCAAGGACATTGATCCAGGATGGGAACGACGTGATCTCGGGAAGTGGTACCCTCCCGTGCCGCAGCCAATCTTCCAAGTCTCGGCTTATGATTCTCCACGAGTGAAGATCTATGACGAGCTGATGAGCCGTGAGAGCCAGGATGTTGGCTTTCCCGGAGTCCCCTTGAATTTGAATAAGGTCGGCTGCGAAGACAGGTCCTGCGCAGGCATCCAGTTGGCTTTGGGTTTGGTGGATATAGTCAGAAAGCTTTTCAATACTATCTGCAGCATGCGTGTGCAAGATGAAGGCGTTACACAAGTCGTCCGATATGTACTGCTTCTCTTCACCGTCTGACGTGCAACGAAAACGGCTGCGAAGCATTGGATGAGCCTCGGCCAGTATTCTCATTGCTTGCTGCAACTCGTCATGTGTAACTTCGCGTTGCAATTTGAACGTCATGCTCTGATGGTGGAAAGCATTTTCGCCGCTTGGGTTGGCTCGAAGCTGAACCTGTTGAATAGGAGAGAGGCTGAACTCGCCAGCGCCTGAGCCACTAGAAAGGCTTTCTGTTGCGGCTATGCTGGTGGTACTGAGTATTGCGGCGGCTATGGATCTAATACTGCCGAGCCGCAAGATCTGGCTTGCCGAGACGCTGTGGCCTAGCCGATGTAGCTGTGAGCTGATATTCAATGCAGCCAGTGAATCGCCTCCTTTGGCAATGAACAAATCATCCTTGGAGATATCGGCCTCTTCAATTTCAAGTATGTCAGCCCATATGGTTCGGAGACTGCTTTCGAGCGTCGCTTGCCTCCCGGCCGTGGTGTCAATGACACCATTGTCGATCTTTTCCACGGCACAGAGCGCGTTGCTGTGCGATAGTAAGAGAGTTGTCATTGTATTATTGGGTAAATTGTTTGAACAGATGGGCATTACTGTCTAAACGAGCACGGCAAAAGATCGCTAACATGAGTGACTTGTAATTTACTTAAGATATGTGAAAAAGCCATCATAGCCATGTCCCTTGAATAACATGTGTCTTGTTTTTGTGTGCTTTTGAGTTGCCGCCACTTGTTTTCAGGTCCTCAGCGAGCGTCCAGCACATCAATACTGCAGGGTTCAGCAGCCGAGTAATGTCGTATGACCCGCTGTCCGGGAGATACGTACGCGATGCATCCTGGTTGGCGAGTCAAGTAATGTGGCCGCTACCCCTGGATCCAAGACAGTAGAAACACGTATTTCGCCGGACTCTCATCAACAGGCAGACCCAGATAAAGATCAGCTCGTGTGTGCATTTCGTCAACGTGCACGGATTGTCCCAAGTGGTTCTCCATGAGACATGCCGTCTGAGCTCAAGTCGATTTAACTCACTCGGGACCTCCGACTGAAGTTTTAGCTCAAGTATGAGCGGATGTTTTGGATGAAATTCGGCTGAAAGTTCTGGCTACGCTGATTCTATGTTTAGAGCTTGGTTGAGGTTGAAGCTGAAGTTGTCAACATACTAGAACCTCTTCAATGTTCTTTGATACCCCCATGACTTAGTTGTACCCGCCGGAACAACTTGGCGCGGAGATGTCCCTAACTGCAGACGCTCCATTGAGTGGGGAACGAATGCCGTATATGCCGTTTGAAGTGAGTGTCTATTCCAATGGGTGTGTATGTATAAACCGACCGGTTTGCGGTATAGGCTGTGCATCGAACGGTACGGATATGAGAAAGTATGTTAGATTGAGGCTCCTTTTCGCTCTCCACCATTCGTAGACCGGGCCAGCGACGGATTCGCACTCATAGCTAGGATCGTTGTGGGACTCTCAAACCAATCCGAGTGGGGAAGAGGTATCATTCCTTGACGTCGGTCTCAGATTAGTGTAATGGCATTGTAGGTCTGGAGAGCAACGGCGTCCAAGGCCCTAGAGCCGTCATCGCATTTGATGCCTCTACGCATACAATTGCATCTGCCTTCATTCTTTGTATCTTAAAGAGCAAATACCCTCCAAAGACCGCAAGAGGGTCTTCTCAATACCATGTCAAGGACCAATGATTCACCGACAGGGGTACCAAATCCAACACCTGAGAACAGCGGCAACGAAGACTCAGCTCAGCGAGATATGGAAAACACGCCTGATCAGCCCCGGTCCATCCGCGCTGGTGAAAGTACTTGTTCGTCTGAGAAACATGTCATTAAGGAAAGTGTTAGTCAAAGATATGAAGCACTACAGGACAACAAAGAGAAGAAACCGACTTCGAAGCACGAGGACGATCCTGAGGTCGGCTCGAGGTCCACCTCCGAAAGAACCAAATCCTCTCTGGGAGACAGTAACGCATCCAACATCGTTGACTGGGACGGCGATAACGACCCGGATCATCCATACAACTGGCCTGCGTGGCACACCGGGCTCAACTGTGGTTTGATTAATGTGGCCAACTTCATCTGCCCCTTGGGCTCTAGTAAGCTCGTCACCTCCAAACTCCCGTTCCTGATATCAAACCATCCCGCCAACTAAATGTGAGCCATCTTCGCACCCGCCGTCTCTCAGGTCGCAAGCGAGTTCAACAACCACAGTCCCGAAATTGCGGCATTCGTCGTCTCCGTCGACGTCCTGGGCTTCGCGTTTGGCCCTTTGGGGATGGCGCCCCTTTCCGAACTATACGGCCGTGTCAAGGTGCTTCATGTATCTGGCATCGGCTTTCTCGCCTTCACTATCGCATGTGCTGTTGCCCCAAACATGACCTCTTTGATCATTTTCCGTTTTCTGAGTGGTGTCTTTGGCTCTTGCATTGGGCCGACCGGAGCGGGAGCCATTGCCGATATGGTGCCGCAGGAGAAGCGCGCCGTTGCGGTCGCAGTGTCTGCCGCCGGCGGTCTCCTGGGTCCCATTGTCGGGCCTATACTGGGCGGTTTCGTAGCTGCTGCGTGGGGGTGGCGTTGGACGCAGTGGGTTGTCGCTATTCCCAGCGGCGTCCTCTCTATCCTCATATTTTTCGGTTTTCGGGAGTGCTATCATCCAGTCCTCTTGGAACGTAAAGCTGTCAAGCTTCGCAGGGAGACCGGAGACATGTCGCTGAAATCCAAATTTGACCTCGGTTTGTCACCTTCTGACCACTTCAAGCGCAGCATCATTCGTCCGCTGAAGCTGTTGGTGCGGTCGCCCATCGTCTCACTCAGCGCGATCTTCATCGGCGTCAGCTATGCCATCTTGTTCCTCATGTTCACTTCCATGGCCTCAGTATTCCGGGAGTATTACAATTTCAGTACATCAGTTGTCGGCCTCGCATTCATTGGTCTGGGTGTTGGCTCCATACTCGGGGTCGCAGTCTATTCTGTGACCTCGGACCGCCAGCTTCAAAAGAAAGTCGCCACATCAGACGCAACCTCTGATTCTGGAACATCGACCGCGACAGGCACAGATTCAGCCAACGCGTCTGCAAAAAACGAAGACATAAAACCTCCTGAACAACGTCTTTTTCATCTACCGATTGGCAGCCTATGTCTTCCGATCGGTCTTCTCATCTACGGGTGGACAGTTCAGTACCGCGTTCATTGGATCGTGCCGATTATGGCAACATCGCTCATCGCGGCGGGGAACATCCTTGTCTACATGTCTCTGCAGATGTTTCTTGTGGACTCATTCACCATCTATGCAGCGTCAGCTCTGGCAGCAATGACAGTCGTGCGGTCTGTTGCAGCTGGTCTGCTGCCGCTGTCCGGTTTGAGGTTGTATGACGCCCTCGGCGTTGGGTGGGGCTCTAGCCTGCTGGCTTTCATCAACTTGTTTTTCGTGCCGATGGCATTGGCCATCAAAAGGTATGGGGCGTATCTGCGACATCGGTACGAATTTAAGACATTGTAGTTACTGTAAGCCTAGAGATATGGCAGAGTTCGGGTCAAGCCTGTGCATAATGAACCAATCATGGGCGCATGCCCAGTACGTATATAGAGACGCGGACAGTGTATCTTTTTCGACAGTCTCTTGAGTAGATGATGCTAATTGCTTGCTGGTCCAGTACACTTTTATGGAGTGAAAGTCGTCCTTCTTGGTGACATTGTCATCTGGATACATTCACATCACTATAGCCTTCACTTGTAACTGAAATGCCTCGGTAAGGCCGCTGAACAAATTCATGTTTCAGTACATTGAACCATCACTCAGTGAACCGTAGCTGTGTAAATCTGAGGTTAGAGTATTTTGACGCATCCAAAGTAACTCTCTGCACCGGCAATCGCTAGACCAAGTGATGAAGATGTTCAGACAAGATCATCGGCAACATTGAGTTCAAGCAGGGCCACAGCATCGTCAAACTTCCTACGACATAGGTGCAAGCGTTTAAATCGCACAGAAAAGCCAGTTTGCTATTAACGCAGCGCATGTCATGCATGACTGAATGTGTATTTCGGCTTTTCCCAACCTCATACTACTGCTGAGGTCTTGCTACTGAAGGAGCTAGGTCCAGACGGTGAAACAATCGCTAGTACCTGCTTATTCTAGCATAACGTTTAATTTCAACTTTTACTTGGTGACTCGAGAATGCCATGAATTTGCGAATGTGAAATTCTCAATCAGTCAGTCTAGGTAATAATAATGACAATATCTTCTTAACGGTTATTAGATAGTTCAAATTCAACAATGCTCATGACGACAGCCAAAGCTACAAGGTCAGACTTTGAAATGTGGCACACATGGCGCGAGTAATGAGCGGAAAGGAGATGACAAGCACAATGATGTCACCCGACTGCTCATGTGTATGGTGTAAGCTGTAGAGTTTCGCTTTTTTGACACTCGAAAAGGTGGCCATCACCTGAGATAGTTCCCATAGAAAGCGCGGCTGGTATGAGTTTAGAAGAGTCAGGCGATATTGGATGTTCGGTCCTTGGCATTTACCGAGTTTCCGCAAGGAGTATTTTGAGTTACATTCAGCGTGGAGAGATCAGACTCCAACCGGTGTTGTGCACACCAGGGGTTCTGAATCCTCCCGGAGGGAGTACAGGAAAACTTGGGATGTAACTTGTGCAATGGCGTACCGTTAATTCAGCTTGACCTACTACCATATTCGAGCATATCCTCTATATACACCCTTCTAAGCCTCTCTACAGTGCTTTCCAAACATTAGCTTGACAAGGGACCCCATGTCATTTATACAAATCTGGGTAATGGTAGGGGTGGAACACTTACCTTTGTTGTCTAATTGATTCTAGAATATGGACCTTTCGACCCACTTTTCTAGTTGGTTGCCCACGACAGATCAACTAGTGTAACGACTCAGGCAGACAGATAAAATATGCTTCTAAGCGTTTTGTGGAGATGGTAAAGGTGGGGCTGACCCGAGTGCGGCTACCCGGCATATTGTAATGGATTATGCCAGGGTGTAGCCAGGAAAGACTGGGTGCACGTGCCTCTCCGATTCAACGTCTACACTATAGTAATTAGTGCCAAGCTTGGATGAACGTCAAACTCTAAACTTTAGGTTGCCAATGTAGCACAGGTATCTGGCCTTCTTTCGCATGCTTCTTCTAGAACAACTGGCAGGCATATTAAGCCCACGGCCCACCACGATATGTCATGTCTGATGTCAATGAATTGCCGCAACGGAAAGTTTATTCTGCCGGGACGGTGCAGCTACACAAGTCTCAATATGCCTACACCCCATCCCCCCCCAGGTCCCTCCCCCACGAATCCGCAGCTTCGCTCAACCAGCGAAACTCCCTTCCCCCGGTCCAAGATACTAAGAACGTGCTCTATGGTTTCGGCCACTTTTTACACGGTGCTCAGCTGCACTCATCAACTGAAACATCTTTATTCCCGTGTGCCAAGTGACGAGCCCACTCGGTCCACAGTTGTTGTGTATAGATAGCGAAGCGTCTACGAATATGTTTTTCGACATCTTGATTAACTTGCTTCGCCACACTAGTCGTCTTGTCTTGCTGAGAAATCACTCACTAGGTCCCCCCGTCAACCCAACTCACCGCAACTCAGCATGGAACCTAGCCACCAGGTCACGGACACTTGCCTGTCTCCGCTCGACTGGCTCATGCCACGGTACTATATGCCACAAATCTACTGCTTCCCATCGGGTAACCCCGGTCTATGCGAGAGCCTCCAACATGGGCTCGCTGGACTCGTCGCCGAAGTCCCCTTTCTACTGTCAGGTGTCGTTAGCCAGGAACATCCTTTAGGCTCGGTGGCGCTTAGCAACCCTTATCGTACCGCGAGCGACATCTTCAGCTGGCAGGACTTGTCAGAAAAACTAGATTACGAATCCCTGAAAAAGGACCATTTCCCATTGTCGATATTCAACGACAATGCCGTCATTGTCCCAAACACACTGAAGCGGCCGCTGCCCACTCCGGCACCAGTCTTCTGGTCCCGGCTCACCCTAGTACGTGGCGGGGCTTTTCTTTACGTGGGATTGCATCATGCTGTGTCAGACATGATTGGATTCGGATCTCTGGTTAAGATCTGGTCTGCCCATTGCCGCGATGGGGCTTCCACAGCGGCCGGGTTCGACCGGACCTGGTTGGATCGGTCTCCTCTCTGCAACATCGCGCCCTCCACACCGGTTGGCCCTGTACCTGCAGTGATACCAGACGGACTATTTTATGAAGATGTCTCCGTGTCGGCATTAGTTTCACCGGGCGAAGGACCTCCCCAGCCCGTCCCAGAATTCACCGCCGCCATCTTCTATTTCGCCCCAGAGGGTCTAGAACGACTCAAACGAGCAGCGGTCGACCACCTGCCGATTCTTGGAGAGTCTGGAGTACCCTGGGTGTCTACGAGCGATGTTCTCACGGCCCTCCTGTGGAGTGCGATAGTCTGGGCAGAGCAGGACTTTTCCCCAACCATTGACCGGAACGTTCCCTCCCACATGGCGTTCCCCGTCAACATCCGCTCGCTTTGGACTCCTGCCCTGCCGCCTGACTATGTCGGCGCAGCTTGTGGTCGAGCTTCGGCCGCGGCACCCACAGGAGATTTGCTCTTGTTGTCCGCCCCCGAAGCCAAACACGAGGGCGGAGAAGGTTCGAACGACTTGGGCCCCAGCAAGGCCAGACTCATGGCTAAAGTTTCTGTTGCCGTTCGTGCCGCCATCGCGAACATGAGCGAGGAGAAGATGAGGACTGCAATCGCTTTCACAGCCGCCCAGCCTGACCTGTCGCGCATCACCCAGCGTCCCACTAGGGCCCCGATGATCACCTCCTGGGCTGATAATCCCATACATGATCTAGACTGGGGCAAGACTGTTGGGCGATGCGAAGCCGTACGCTTTGCCACGTTCCCGGTCAGGGTGCGCCCGATTATCCTCCCCCGTGTATCCGCCAGGGACGGTGGTGGTGTGGAGGTGTTCTTGTCTGTCGACCAGGCAGAAATGAAGAGGTTCAGCGAGAGCGCGCTCGTGAAGCAGTTTGGAACTCTGAGAACCTCTGTGGTATTGGGTAAGCGGTGACATGTGGAAGTGTTCTCAGTTTGAAGGATTTTTTATACATTTGATTATGCATCATTCACCGTTAAAAATAAATCATAGGCGCAGAAAATCACGCAAACAGTCAGAGTTTCCATTTAGTAAGAAGTACTAGACAACACATTCTGCAACATGATTCTTGGTCTGAGCAACATTGTCAAAAGAAAAAAAAAAAAAAAACACTTAAAAAAAGACTTGAAGATAATTTCTGCCATGCGTAATGATGATTGATCCATCTTTGAAGTCTTCTGCGGCATGATATGCATAAATCAAATTTCAACATTTCCCCAAAGCAGATGGGGATGGAAGCAGTGTTTGCGCATCGGGGTTTTCAAGGGGGAGGGTTGTTCGGGCCATACACGGAGCCCCAAACTCCGGGGACCTTGGACGTGTCCAGCGGGTGCGCTTTGGTCAAGTCTCTGAGGATGCCTCGGTCGTTTGTGAGCCTGTGGTTCTCGATCCAGTGGTAGATGGCGTTCCAGTCCTTGCACTGGCGCTGGTAGCCCCAGCCAGTGCCCTCCACCTTGCCGCGCCACTCCAGAGTCACGTCCGCGTTGCACATGAGGCCCTGGCGAAGGTAGTCCCAGCAGTGGTTGAGGTGCTCCAGGTTCCAGTCGGCGCCGAAAAGCTTCTTGCGATTGGTGTCGGCGTTGCCCTGGTTGTTGTAGATATCGTAGAAGGCGTGTTTGGTAGAGTACTGAAAAGTTGGGAAAGATTATTAGTCTTGGCAGTTTGAAGTACAATATGAATTGTATTGATTTGCAAAACACATACCAGGCAGTGCAGCTGGTGAGCAATGGCAATCCACGCTGATGGCCCTCGTGGAAGTGATTGGTCGAGGTTCGGCATTTCGGGAATGGCCGTCTCGTTGTCGAGCATCACCAAACCACGACCGACTTCGCGTCATAACCTCGTCAGCTTTTTTTTTTGTGTGAAGCATAGCAGTGGTCTTTCCAAAGTCACTTACGAGGCATCAACTCATCCCAAGCTTTCAACTCCTCTTCGTTGGGAGCTTGAGTGTATAATTCTTCGGCTTCCAGAATTGTGGTGATTGGAACTGGACGAGGCAAAGCAACGTAAGCAAAATTTTGAATCCGGAAACAATTCTTTCAGTGTCTCTGCGAGTTCAAGTTAGGTCACTTACTTTCAGGCGGAAACCATTTCGGCTTCTTAGGGAAGTGTATGGTGTTTGGGTCCACGCAGTCCGGTTGAGCAGAACGAAGCATGAGCGTCAACACTAGCAGAAGTACAATGCAAACCGCATTAGACACAGACAAGATGAAGACTGAAAGCCCCGAAGATGGCTGGCGCATCATTGCGGACTGAGCTTCGTACAAGTCGTCCGAATCGATAAGCCTGGCCTTTTCGTGGGTAATGGTAGACGATGTTCTCAAAGAGCCCCCGGCTTCGGAGTAGTCCAAGTCTTCAACAGAATCGTTCTTGGGAGACATGATTCTCAATGTACTTGGCTTCTCGTTCAAGTTGCACAGAAGGTATGAAATGGTCTAACAAACAGCTACTTTGGTGCGGGAGGCTTCACTCCCCGTATTTATTCCGGCGACAAGTGTGACCCGATGTTAACTTGCACTACCGCTGTACTAGTATTTCATAAAGTGCCAATAATGCAGCAGAACATGGCAGGGGCCGGTCAATTGAGGTTGATTTTGTTGACCTGACCATCTAAAGGGGGTGTGAGAGAAGTTGAGGCAGGGGTCAGTTTATCTGACCTATTGCTCCACTGGATCTGAAGTCTATTTAGATTAATTCTGGTATACGCCGTAAAATCCGTTTGGGTTATGAAAGACTCAAAGTTTGAGAATGTTCCGAACCACTCGGACACGGACTCATAGGCAACTTGTCACTAACTACAGCTTTATGCAACGTGCAGGCATTAGTTAACTCTTCGAGCCAGGATGCAGGTACTGCGGACATGCTGGGTCTAACGGGTTCCTCCGTAGCAATCTATGAGTGCTGAGTCATTGCAGGTCCCCAAGTTACGGGGGGAACAGTTTGAATAAAGTCGCCGGATGCTGTCGGCGACATGGGTAGATGAAAATGCTGTAGCTCGTCACTCCCTCTCATCCATCTCTGTTTTAGAAATGACTTATCGTCGACTCATTCTAATGTAATCCACTGCCAGCTTCATTAGCTTTCAAGCTGGGCATGTTTATGTGATATCATTTTTTTTAGACTTAATTCTGAGCTTCGCAAGAACTTTTAGACCAAACTCTAAGTTTCATAAAGACTCAACTATTATGATCTACAGCTTTAGAGTTTTTTTGACTTCAACTCAAGATTACCCATCGGAGTACGTAGTGGTTACTGTTGCGATAGTTGGAATACGGAGCCGTGTGGCACTTCCAGCCACACGCCCGCCAGGCTGAGAGGCCCAAGCCTCCCAGACCCACGTGACAGGCCAAGGGGGAATATCCCCACCTTCTAGTCAACAACACCACTTTCAACAATCATGAACCATCGATTAGAACCAATTTACTGTTATTTGTTATTGACGAACGGAATTCCGTTTCACCCCCTGTTTCACCCCCTGTGAAACCTACACTGATCAGTGGTAAACCTCACAGTTGCCATTAATTTGGTTAACTTCACAATTACCACTCTGCTACGGACAAACCGCAGATCAGCAAGGTCAACACCAGAAGAGACGACTTCTTGAACTGGATACCCAAGCCCAGGTAAAAGTAGGGATTTCGTGCTAACGAGAGAAGAAGCGAGAGTAACTGGGATCTACGGAAACCAGCAGAAGAAAGCTTCTTTTCCTCGAATCTACCAGCAATCCGATTATTCGAGTAACCTAGGGACTGCTACGCTCACCCTAGGCGGGATAAGGTTAATCGCAGCCAATTATCGCTGGCAAGAGCGTTCCATCACGCGTTTTCAACCACCAGAAGAAGAGACCTACCGAATCGACGGTCTTCCAACCTCTTCACGCCACAAGGGCGAAGATTCACGAATCCCACAAGGGACAACAACTTCCCCAACTACAACTATCCCCCACGCGCGGTGCCAATCACGAGGCGCCCGCTAGTTTCTCAATAAATCCCCAGACGAGGTGCCAACCGCGAGGCGCCTGCCACAAGAGACCTCCCTACCAGAAGAAGAACACGCCGAAAGGCGAGCGGAGACTACCGGCGGTAATCCGCCTATACAGCTATACGTATACGCCTCCGAGGCTGCGGCTTAGGAGAAACGCACGTGGTTGTGGGCGTCATAAGGCCAACTGTCCGCTAGATTCTAAACTTCCCAACAGTGAGGAGCGAAGCCCGAAGCGAGAAAGAGAGATTCACGAGAGAATCTACGGTAGAACTCTCTCCCTACCAATTCGAGACCTGTGTATACCCTCACACCCCTCGAGAACATCAGCGAGAACGGCGCCGACGGAAACAAACGACGAACCGACGAAAATCCCCGATTTCACGATTCTTTCCCCTTAGAATCGTAATATCCCGAATCGTCTTTTGACTCCCACTTCCAGGCCTGCATCTTGCACCAATCGCAGCTGACGCTGTTGAGGATTAGAATTCAAGATTCTGAACAGAAGTAATCCTTTTATACTGTCAGAATGGAGCGAAATTCACGAGAAGGATCGCCCGCGAGCGGCGTTACTGCCAAAAGCCAATCAACAGTCCCCATCCCACAGAGAATCGAAAGTATGATCGATCCAGCAGTATGGGGCAACTGGGCAATCGACCTTACAAACGCTAGCCCACAGCAACTGGGTTCCTATATGGGTTTCCTACTTGAGACCTATGAGAAGAGGAATCTCACGGGCCTCGAGCTATGGAACGAAGTTTCTCCCGATTTCGCCGACTGGTCAGAAGAAGACTTCCAGAACGTACCTCCCCCAATCCTACGATTCTTCAGAGACCATTTAATCGGTAACGGCGTCTACGTCGAAATGGATGGCAAGAAAATCTCGAAAAACGTGGCATTAGCCCTCAAAAAGGAAGAATTCCACTACTGGTCACCCCAAGAACTCGAACAAGGCGTCAAGAGATATCGCAACCTGAAGGCTCTGATAAAAGACCCCGAATTCCACGAAGAGATCACGAGACCGGCAACAGTAGCCAACAGCACAGGAGGAAGAGTCGAACCAACCCTACAGCCACCTCCTCCACAAGAACAACAACAGTGGCAACTACCGTACCGACCGCCACATCCCACGGTCTCTCCGTTAACAGACTTCCAACCATACGAGTCAACAGACCGTATCGGAAAGCAATTAACAGAATTCGCGAAACTATACCCCGACGATATGAAATACAGCGGCGATATGTACGATGTACGCGAAAAGAAGGGCTGGACCGGACCGTTTACTTTAGCAGCCATAAACGGCGAAACCTGTACTGTCGATACGCCACGTGGTCCGAAGACCTTCCGGTCTACCGTAGTCAAACCATACTACGAAGATCCCGATCAACCACCTAATTCCATCGCCGCGCCAGAAGAAGAAGAACCCGAAGCTGAGATACCGCAGCAGGAAGTAGTACGCGACGAAATTATCGTCGCCGGCGGAGGCAGTGAACCGGACGAACCGCAAGAGGCACCGGAGCCACCGAGAAGACGCCCGGGCAGACCCCGGAAGAGACCACTGCCAATCGCCCACTTCACAGAGGAATTCAACGATGACCCGGATTATCAACAAATATTCCTATCGATTAAGGAGCAAGCAGACGAAGAATTGGCAATCAAACTACGACGAGAAGGTGTTATTACTACACCAGGCGAACCGTTCGAACAGTCAACTAAACAAGAGATCAACAGCCTCATCGCTAGAGGAGTGTTCAAATTCACCCAGTTCAATAAGAGAAGGCACCAGAACGTACGAATCTTCCGATCTCGTATCGTCAACGAAGTCAAGGGTAAAACAACCGAACCCTACGAGAAATCGAGACTTGTAATACAGGGTTACGCCGACGATAGCAAGAAGGCTATATTGACCCAATCGCCAACGATTCAACGGGCGAGTCAACGGCTAATTCTGTCAATTACCCCGTCACTCCTACGAGAAGGGAAACAACTATGGCTTCGAGATATCACACAAGCCTACGTTCAATCCTCCACAAGGCTCAATCGCACTATTCTCGCCTACCCACCGAAGCAAATTCAAGACCAGTACCCAAAAGGGACCATTATGGAGGTTGTGAAGCCTCTGTACGGAATCGCAGAAGCTGGAACCCACTGGTGGGCAACGTATCACAAGCATCACAGAGAGAATCTCCAGATGGTTACTTCTTCGTACGATCCATGCCTATTGATCTCATCTACCGAAAATCCACACTTTGGCTGTATCGGCATGCAAACCGACGATACCCTCGGTTTGTCAGACAAGGCGTTCTCACAATTAGAAGACGAACAGTTAGAAAAAGCGGCTTTTACGGCAAAAGCGAAGAATATCCTCATAATTGACGAACCCCTCCAATTCAACGGAGGGATAATCGCGCTGTCAACCGACAATTCGATCAATTTGAGGCAAAAGGGACAAGCCAAGAAGTTACGATGTATTGAGACTACTAAACCCAACCCAAAACAGCAATATGTCGAACAACGCGCCAGAGGGGCGTACATCGCGTCAATTTGCCAACCCGAGGCCTGTTTCGATTTATCCACTGCTGCCCAACACCAAGACCCCTCGCCAGAAGCGATAAAAGCACTGAATCAACGGATTCGATGGCAAATAGAATCGCCTAACCGAGGAATAACGTTTATCCCACTCGACCTTACAACAGCCAAGCTATTCGTTTTCGTTGACGGGTCGTTCGCTAATAACCACGACCTCTCCTCCCAATTAGGGTTTCTGATCATCCTAGCCAACGACACTTCCTCTGACAGCAACAACGGAGAATTCACGATTCACGGTAACCTCGTTCATTACAGCTCTACGAAGAGTAAACGAGTCACCCGCAGCGTATTAGCGTCAGAGATCTACGGGATGGTCGCTGGCGTCGATATGGCCTACGCCCTCGCCACAACCCTGGCGACAATCACTGACCACCTCAACCTACCAACGATTCAGACAGTTGTCTGTACCGATTCCTATTCGCTGTACGAGTGTCTCGTGAAGCTGGGCACTACCAAAGAAAAGCGACTCATGATCGATATCATGGCGTTGAGACAATCGTACGAAAGACGAGAACTACAAGAAATTCGTTGGATTAACGGCGAAGACAACCCTGCTGATGCCCTCACGAAGGAAACGGAATTCCGTTCGTCAATAACAAATAACAGTAAATTGGTTCTAATCGATGGTTCATGATTGTTGAAAGTGGTGTTGTTGACTAGAAGGTGGGGATATTCCCCCTTGGCCTGTCACGTGGGTCTGGGAGGCTTGGGCCTCTCAGCCTGGCGGGCGTGTGGCTGGAAGTGCCACACGGCTCCGTATTCCAACTATCGCAACACTGGAAACTCTCTTTTTATGGTGTTGAAGCGGTTGGAATACGTTGTCCCTATACAGTTCCGTCTCCTCGTCAATTCGGCCTCCTATCCCTACTTTCTCCCGTAGTTACGGTCTTGTTACCCATCCCTCCATACGTATCGTTATCGTGTTGCTATCAACGAATCTCTCGAGGGCTCGATTTGGTTTGCTCTTCGTGAGGGCATCAGCAGGGTTGTCTTCGCCGTTAATCCAACGAATTTCTTGTAGTTCTCGTCTTTCGTACGATTGTCTCAACGCCATGATATCGATCATGAGTCGCTTTTCTTTGGTAGTGCCCAGCTTCACGAGACACTCGTACAGCGAATAGGAATCGGTACAGACAACTGTCTGAATCGTTGGTAGGTTGAGGTGGTCAGTGATTGTCGCCAGGGTTGTGGCGAGGGCGTAGGCCATATCGACGCCAGCGACCATCCCGTAGATCTCTGACGCTAATACGCTGCGGGTGACTCGTTTACTCTTCGTAGAGCTGTAATGAACGAGGTTACCGTGAATCGTGAATTCTCCGTTGTTGCTGTCAGAGGAAGTGTCGTTGGCTAGGATGATCAGAAACCCTAATTGGGAGGAGAGGTCGTGGTTATTAGCGAACGACCCGTCAACGAAAACGAATAGCTTGGCTGTTGTAAGGTCGAGTGGGATAAACGTTATTCCTCGGTTAGGCGATTCTATTTGCCATCGAATCCGTTGATTCAGTGCTTTTATCGCTTCTGGCGAGGGGTCTTGGTGTTGGGCAGCAGTGGATAAATCGAAACAGGCCTCGGGTTGGCAAATTGACGCGATGTACGCCCCTCTGGCGCGTTGTTCGACATATTGCTGTTTTGGGTTGGGTTTAGTAGTCTCAATACATCGTAACTTCTTGGCTTGTCCCTTTTGCCTCAAATTGATCGAATTGTCGGTTGACAGCGCGATTATCCCTCCGTTGAATTGGAGGGGTTCGTCAATTATGAGGATATTCTTCGCTTTTGCCGTAAAAGCCGCTTTTTCTAACTGTTCGTCTTCTAATTGTGAGAACGCCTTGTCTGACAAACCGAGGGTATCGTCGGTTTGCATGCCGATACAGCCAAAGTGTGGATTTTCGGTAGATGAGATCAATAGGCATGGATCGTACGAAGAAGTAACCATCTGGAGATTCTCTCTGTGATGCTTGTGATACGTTGCCCACCAGTGGGTTCCAGCTTCTGCGATTCCGTACAGAGGCTTCACAACCTCCATAATGGTCCCTTTTGGGTACTGGTCTTGAATTTGCTTCGGTGGGTAGGCGAGAATAGTGCGATTGAGCCTTGTGGAGGATTGAACGTAGGCTTGTGTGATATCTCGAAGCCATAGTTGTTTCCCTTCTCGTAGGAGTGACGGGGTAATTGACAGAATTAGCCGTTGACTCGCCCGTTGAATCGTTGGCGATTGGGTCAATATAGCCTTCTTGCTATCGTCGGCGTAACCCTGTATTACAAGTCTCGATTTCTCGTAGGGTTCGGTTGTTTTACCCTTGACTTCGTTGACGATACGAGATCGGAAGATTCGTACGTTCTGGTGCCTTCTCTTATTGAACTAGGTGAATTTGAACACTCCTCTAGCGATAAGGCTGTTGATCTCTTGTTTAGTTGACTGTTCGAACGGTTCGCCTGGTGTAGTAATAACACCTTCTCGTCGTAGTTTGATTGCCAATTCTTCGTCTGCTTGCTCCTTAATCGATAGGAATATTTGTTGATAATCCGGGTCATCGTTGAATTCCTCTGTGAAGTGGGCGATTGGCAGTGGTCTCTTCCGGGGTCTGCCCGGGCGTCTTCTCGGTGGCTCCGGTGCCTCTTGCGGTTCGTCCGGTTCACTGCCTCCGCCGGCGACGATAATTTCGTCGCGTACTACTTCCTGCTGCGGTATCTCAGCTTCGGGTTCTTCTTCTTCTGGCGCGGCGATGGAATTAGGTGGTTGATCGGGATCTTCGTAGTATGGTTTGACTACGGTAGACCGGAAGGTCTTCGGACCACGTGGCGTATCGACAGTACAGGTTTCGCCGTTTATGGCTGCTAAAGTAAACGGTCCGGTCCAGCCCTTCTTTTCGCGTACATCGTACATATCGCCGCTGTATTTCATATCGTCGGGGTATAGTTTCGCGAATTCTGTTAATTGCTTTCCGATACGGTCTGTTGACTCGTATGGTTGGAAGTCTGTTAACGGAGAGACCGTGGGATGTGGCGGTCGGTACGGTAGTTGCCACTGTTGTTGTTCTTGTGGAGGAGGTGGCTGTAGGGTTGGTTCGACTCTTCCTCCTGTGCTGTTGGCTACTGTTGCCGGTCTCGTGATCTCTTCGTGGAATTCGGGGTCTTTTATCAGAGCCTTCAGGTTGCGATATCTCTTGACGCCTTGTTCGAGTTCTTGGGGTGACCAGTAGTGGAATTCTTCCTTTTTGAGGGCTAATGCCACGTTTTTCGAGATTTTCTTGCCATCCATTTCGACGTAGACGCCGTTACCGATTAAATGGTCTCTGAAGAATCGTAGGATTGGGGGAGGTACGTTCTGGAAGTCTTCTTCTGACCAGTCGGCGAAATCGGGAGAAACTTCGTTCCATAGCTCGAGGCCCGTGAGATTCCTCTTCTCATAGGTCTCAAGTAGGAAACCCATATAGGAACCCAGTTGCTGTGGGCTAGCGTTTGTAAGGTCGATTGCCCAGTTGCCCCATACTGCTGGATCGATCATACTTTCGATTCTCTGTGGGATGGGGACTGTTGATTGGCTTTTGGCAGTGACGCCGCTCGCGGGCGATCCTTCTCGTGAATTTCGCTCCATTCTGACAGTATAAAAGGATTACTTCTGTTCAGAATCTTGAATTCTAATCCTCAACAGCGTCAGCTGCGATTGGTGCAAGATGCAGGCCTGGAAGTGGGAGTCAAAAGACGATTCGGGATATTACGATTCTAAGGGGAAAGAATCGTGAAATCGGGGATTTTCGTCGGTTCGTCGTTTGTTTCCGTCGGCGCCGTTCTCGCTGATGTTCTCGAGGGGTGTGAGGGTATACACAGGTCTCGAATTGGTAGGGAGAGAGTTCTACCGTAGATTCTCTCGTGAATCTCTCTTTCTCGCTTCGGGCTTCGCTCCTCACTGTTGGGAAGTTTAGAATCTAGCGGACAGTTGGCCTTATGACGCCCACAACCACGTGCGTTTCTCCTAAGCCGCAGCCTCGGAGGCGTATACGTATAGCTGTATAGGCGGATTACCGCCGGTAGTCTCCGCTCGCCTTTCGGCGTGTTCTTCTTCTGGTAGGGAGGTCTCTTGTGGCAGGCGCCTCGCGGTTGGCACCTCGTCTGGGGATTTATTGAGAAACTAGCGGGCGCCTCGTGATTGGCACCGCGCGTGGGGGATAGTTGTAGTTGGGGAAGTTGTTGTCCCTTGTGGGATTCGTGAATCTTCGCCCTTGTGGCGTGAAGAGGTTGGAAGACCGTCGATTCGGTAGGTCTCTTCTTCTGGTGGTTGAAAACGCGTGATGGAACGCTCTTGCCAGCGATAATTGGCTGCGATTAACCTTATCCCGCCTAGGGTGAGCGTAGCAGTCCCTAGGTTACTCGAATAATCGGATTGCTGGTAGATTCGAGGAAAAGAAGCTTTCTTCTGCTGGTTTCCGTAGATCCCAGTTACTCTCGCTTCTTCTCTCGTTAGCACGAAATCCCTACTTTTACCTGGGCTTGGGTATCCAGTTCAAGAAGTCGTCTCTTCTGGTGTTGACCTTGCTGATCTGCGGTTTGTCCGTAGCAGAGTGGTAATTGTGAAGTTAACCAAATTAATGGCAACTGTGAGGTTTACCACTGATCAGTGTAGGTTTCACAGGGGGTGAAACAGGGGGTGAAACGGAATTCCGTTCGTCAATAACAAATAACAGTAAATTGGTTCTAATCGATGGTTCATGATTGTTGAAAGTGGTGTTGTTGACTAGAAGGTGGGGATATTCCCCCTTGGCCTGTCACGTGGGTCTGGGAGGCTTGGGCCTCTCAGCCTGGCGGGCGTGTGGCTGGAAGTGCCACACGACTCCGTATTCCAACTATCGCAACAATTATCAAGCAGGCGTCATACCTTCGGACGGCTTACATTCTTGCGCAATGCGCTTCATCCGTTCTCTGGGGCCGAATCGCAGATTCGCCGCGAGGAGGAAGAAAAATCGTCATGCTCGTTGGCCTGACCTGTACATGTTGGTCAAATTCATCTCCATCTGGCTCTCAGAAGATAATGTCGATGCTGGTTTCTGACAAGTACTTGCAGTTCTTAGCATGTTGTGTCTCGGTTTCGTATCAAGCTTTAAGCAGATACTGTTTCTTCAGGCGGTACAGGGCTTCTCGAATAGTAATGTCGCCATCGTGAGGACGATGATTTCGGAAGTGGTACCACAGAAGAGGTGAGCTTGTATTCTTTCTTTTAAATATGCCCTGCCAGTCATGCTTCTTCTCATCCTTTTTTACTTCTTTTTTCCTCAATTCTAAATCGAAATGGCGTTAGTTTTCAAGCAAGGGCCTTTGTTCTGCTTCCGATATGTACCAGCATCGCAACAATCTTTGGCCCACTAATAGCAGGTTTGACGGCGGAAGTCACAACGCACGGACATGACGATGCCAACGCCTCACTTCTATCAAGATACCCTTATGCTCTGCCGGCCTTGGTAAACGCCCTAGGCTTGTTGATATGCTTGCTTGCGACGTTCCTGTTTCTCGAAGAGGTATGCCCCTTCTTTCTGTAATATGTTGATTTATTAAGGTACGTCTAACAAGACTTTCGAAAGACCTTGGAACCATTGCGCACAAGATACGACCCTGGGATTGCGCTCGCCCGAAAATTTACTTCATTTCTGCGCTTTTCAGACAGAGGTCAGGCGTATGAGGCCATCTCTGACGAGCCCGAAGACAGCAAAGAAATGGGCCCCATCAGCAGCACTGAGTTGCATGAAGGAACAAGCTCAGGAAGACCGTCGACTTCAGATGAGGACGGCATCGAAGCCGGCGAGAAGCCCGTGTCTGTGCTACCGACACGTCGGATTTTCACCAAGAAGATGCTGCTTGTCCTCCTCGCAACAGTGCTGCTGGATATCCAAATTGCCGTGACCAGCGACGCCATGTTCAATATTTTCAGTTACCCCGTAGCGACCGAAGAGGAAGAACGTCAAAGGGCTCTGCCTTTTAGATTTTCTGGCGGTGCTGGATTCAAGCCGCATTCACTCGCGTGGACGACGAGTATATTCGGTAGGTGCCTTGTCTCTATAGCTCCGTGGTGGTGTACCCAAGACGGCCCATCTGCTAACATTACTAATCTCACTCCAGGCCTTACTGGACTCCCCTTTCAGCTCTTGGTATACCCCAAGGTCACGCAGCGCTTTGGCACGTTGAAGACGTGGCGGTATTTCATGTTCGCCTTCCCTTTGATTTGGTTCCTGTACCCCTACATTGCCGTCATGCCATCTACCACGCCGGCGCCCTCAGAAAAGACTGGATTCATAGTCTGGGCATACGTTGTAGTGCTCGCATGCGCTACGGGACTTTTTGTGGGATGTGTAGCCCCTTGCCAGCTCATACTTACAGCGCTCTCGTCTCCGCACCCCTCAGCTTTGGCAAGGACACAGGGCATCACGTTTTTTGTCTCAACGGCGGTCCGTGGTTCGGGCTCAGCCTTGTCTGGTTCTCTCCTGGCTTACGGGCTGGTCCGCAACATGGCCGGTCTGCCATTCTGGCTCAGTAGCGTAGTCGGCGTGGTAGCGATTGCTACCAGCCCATTCGTGCCAGAGGGGAACGGCCATGAAATCCGATTACCTGGGGATGATTGAGAGGTAAAATCTCAAAAGAGCTCGAGTAAAAGGAAAAAAAAAAAAAAAAAACCTGTGCTAAACCTCTCCGTACATAGCTTTTCTACGTTGCAACAGCGGCACTTCTTGCCATGGTTGAATTTACGTTTCCATAAAACCTGCGTTGTAGTTCGTAATGAAGGGATTCTCGATGCTCTTACTTAGGTACGGTACGCTTGAGGCACGAACAATGTATAACTTGGACTGGGAAACCATGGTAAACTTGGGCGTTTGTCATGGCAGTGCTTGCCTGTGGTAGGTAGGTATTGCCGCCAAGTGTTCCAATTCACTTATTCGCCCTGCTACCGCACAGACTGCTGGCTGTTGTTGATACTTGGCTTTGACAGGCAGACCCTGGTAGCCAGCAGGGTAGACACACTAGGATAATACTAGTACACGAATGCAGATTAACTCAGTATTGAACAGATCACTTCTCCTACTACGCATTTGATCCCTGTCTAGCGTCTACGTGACACCTCCAACGCCCGCTGTACAGACTCTATAAATTTGTTTTAGAAGGGTCTACTAGGGTTTGTTAGGGATTATTAGTGGTTGATGGGGTTGATAGTATCTAGGGTTAGGGTTATCTCAGAGTCAGGGAAGCATGTTCCTCACTGTGCTGGATGGATAAATTGTCTTAATGTCAAAGAAATGTGACTGGTTTAATGCATAAATATTGCCACACGCCCCTGGCTAGAATTCTGACCACCCTGTTGTGCTGTAGTGTAAACCCCAGACTTTACAGTTGAGGCACCGCCCACTTACCGGGCTGAATCACGTGAGCTGTGTTCGGCTATAGTTACCCTGGGTAGTAATGATCTTCCCACGTCATAATGCCTAATCCACATTGGTTCCTTCTTCCATCCTCATTTTTACCAGTCCACTGCCAGATAGTAGTTTGTTACCAACATCTGTTCATCCTTGTCAGCGGTGCTATATCTTGAAAGTGCGTTTTTATTTCTGGAGCGCTGTATTATTCTCCCGGCGGCCATTTTTTTCACAGCAAAAGTCGTCCGATGTCTGTTCGGCCCATGACACACTCAAGCCTACTCGGCAAGCTACCTAGCCGACAAATTTGACAAAACTGAACTTTTAATAATTCTTATTATTTCAGCAATAACTGAGCCGGCCGGACGGCATGTGGGCTAAACTCAATTCTCTTGTTAATCTAAACAACTCGTCTAATCGAGTTAGGATCTCATCATTCCAGCAGTTACAAAATCGACTCCACTTGGTCTTGGGATGAGATGAACGTACAAGTGCTGATCTGAACCTCTTCAGGTCCACATTACTCAGTTTGGCTAGACCGTCCTGTTCTCTAGAGATCGTCCAGCTACACTACCTCACATGTATCAAAGTTTCCTATTTACGACATATGCGCAAACAATAACTACTGAGCCTAGGTCATACGAACCACAATCTTCTCCCCAGAGACCTGTCCCTGCGCAACTAGTTTCAGGCCATCAACGATCGCTTCAAATCCACCATCCACAATCCGCAATGGGTGGTGTTGCAACTTTCCTTGTTCGGCCAGGTCATGGGCGACTTGCCACAGCTTGACGCCGAACTGACGCATCTCCTCGGACGGCTCTCTCCCATACGGCTCGGGCCATGTACAACCTTCACCAAAGATGAGTGGGCCGACCACAAACGCTGTCTTCACCATCTTCCGCGTCGCAGCGTTAACCGGGAAGGGGTCGAGCGCCACGTAATTGCCGCCAGCGCGGCCGATGGCCTTGAAGCACGCCGTCGTTGACTCGACGTTGACAATGCAGTCGAGGGCGTACTTCAAGTTTCCCTTTGTATACTTGCGCTATACCGAGGTTGGTCAGCCAATATAGCGAATCGAGTCATGAGTATATGACCAAGTGTAGAGGGTACGTGTTTGTTGCCATGGAAGGGGTTGACCGGGAAGGACTTACAATCTTCTCCGCGCATCCTTCGTCGCGATAGTCAAAGACCTCCGCTGCGCCGTTTCTCTTTGCCAAGTCGAAATGCTTGGGGGAGCATGTAGCAATGGGAGTGCAGCCGGCCCTGCGCGTGGGCGAAACCTTTTGTCAGATGGACAAGAAAACCGGTACGGCCCTGAAACGAATTGTGGACTTACATGCGTATCAGCTGCATTGCTATCGTCGCGGTTGCAGTGCTGCCACCATAGACTAGCACGGTGGCCGGCTCAACCGCCGGCTCTCCTGGCAATGGTATGCCTAGCAACTTCATCGCTAGACCGGCGGTGCTCACACCGACAGGTAGCGATGCGGCGGCCTCGATGGTCCACGAGTCAGGAACCTTCATCCATGTCCTGCCCCTGGTGACGTTGTATTCAGCGAAGGCGCCTTGCTCAGGCGTGGCCTTGAACATGATGTTCTGGGCCCCACAGACCCTGTCACCGACGGCGACATCCTCAACCGCGGATCCCACGGCCAACACGGTGCCGGCGAAATCTGCCCCCAGGGTACCGAAGGGTATGGCAAACCCCCCTCTCATCTTGGTGTCGCTGGGGTTGAGTGCCACGGCATCAGTCCGGACAAGGACCTGGTCCGGAGAAAGTCTCGGGCATGGCGCGTCGGCCTTGATGATGGGCTTGTCCTGGTCGCCGAGGACCACGGCCTTCTGGGTAGCTGGCGGGGTAAAGTTGCCGGTCATCTTGGCTATTCTGATCATGTGTAACGAGAAGAGTTGCTATCGAATCTGTCGTCTGGTCACGCCACGGTCATCGCGCAATTTATCAACGTACGCATCCAGTCCTGATGTCTTGGTTGCCATGGACCCCCCACCCCGGGCGACGTTCGGGTGTAAAACGAAGACGAATCCCTTCCGCTGGGGGAGGATACAGGGGGCGTGTTACTATGTTGATGTGACAGGGAAGCTTCGATTAAAGTTTTGGGCGATGATTATCCCGTCACAAGGGTCCCCTGGCCTGTCTCATCAGATCTCCACGTCTTCGTACGTCGCTAGCCATACGCCTGGTGTCAAGCTTCTACACCTGGACTGTACGTGTGCCCCTGACAATGAGTAGCGTGAAATCGGCGATGCGTCTAGGCCTGCACCCAAGCGTGTTCACTCCAGCCTCTAGAGCCTGCATGACTAAGTCGCTGCACGGTTGTCGTTAAGCACTCTAAACTGACTTCCTGCAACGCATCCTACTCGTGCACTATGGACAATATTTCGGCGCATCATTCCTTATTTGACAAATACAGTGTTACTTTCCTCTCACCGCCTTCGACGCAGGAAAGGCTGACTCTTTGAATGTAATGAATGTGTCGTCAAACCAGTCTGGTGCAATTGCTATCCCCCGGTCCTAACCGCCCAACCCCCTTGCGTTTTAACTGTTGCGACATTTCGTCTTTACTACACTGAGCATACCTCTAAGATACCACATAACACCCAAACACACATATCCAACATGTCAGCGGAAGAGCCAACCCAGCAGACCCCAGCTCACCCTACAACCTGGAAAGCCGGGATTGAAGAATACCTTCGCGAACACGAAATTATCGCCGACAAAGTCACGCCCCTGGAAGGCGGTACCTCGTGCTACCTATGGAAACTTGATGGCTTGAACGAGGCAAACACTTCGTCCAGCTCCCGCATCGTAGGCGGCCCAGTAGTGCTGAAATGCGCCGACGCTGTAGCCAAGGGCGCGCCTATCGCCGTCGACGAGAGCCGCCTGCAAGCTGAAGTCAAAGCCTTGCAATCCAAACCAGTGGCCGAGGCGTGCCGCAGTGAGCCGTCTGTCAGGGTTCCTTCTGTGCTGCGAGAGACGCGCAACGGCTTTATCATGAACTGGGTCGGTGAAACGGACCTGCGTACGGTCTACCAGACAGCCGATGAGCTGGACATGGCGGCCATCGGTACGCGGCTGGGGAAATGGCTGGCCTGTCTGCACGTTGCTGGCGTAGCTATAGGCCCCGACGGATGGAACACCCATCACGACACTCTCGACAAGCTGTTCTCCGGTCCCGGGGGCATGGAGGAGCAGGCGGCTAGGTCGGTGTTATCTGACAGTGGGGAGATTGAGCGCGTGCTGCAAATAGCACGAACGCCGTCTGCCGTCCGGACACTGACGCCTTGGGACTTCAGGCCGTCGAACGTTGTTTTGACATTGCCCAGCGAGAAGGGGGCGCTTCCCGAGATGGCCGTCGTCGATTGGGAGCTCTGCTACTATGGCGACCCGACCAACGACATTCGCACGTGGGTGGCGGAAGCGATGATGATGGAGGCACGCCACGGAGACCGAGGCCTGCTCTCCTCCTTCTTGGCGGCCTACAAGCAGCACGCCAGCAGCTCCATCGTGGACAGGGCCTTTGTGCGCAAGGTGGCTGTTTCGGTGGGAATCTTTCTGCTGTATTTCATCGGCCAGGGCGCGGCGCTCTGGGGATTTGACGAAAAGGATTGTCTTGAGTGGACTCAGAGAGCGGTCCAGTATCTCAAGGCGGGGGCGGAGGAAGATGTTGCGTGGCTGGCGCAAAGTGTTTTGAAGCCATTGCTTGATTGATAGATAGGTAGGTGGTGATTATGTAGTTTACCAGAGAAGCGAAAGCCAAAGTTTTATGCTTTTGTTGGATGAATGTAATGGTAAAGCGAAAGCACAATAGCAAAAAATTCTACACTCTCAACATTGGCTACCTGCCGTTGAAAACCACAATCGAAACCAGCCAAATCTACCTACCTCCTCCGTGGCTACGTGACGATTTTCGCCTCGCGTCAAACATCTTCTAGCCGAATCTCCTCCTTTCTTCGGCGCATTTCTATCTTCGCAGTGGGCAACACATACACGACGCCCTCAATGTTACCGTCCTTCGGTCTGCCCTCTCCCTTGAGGAACCTCAGGTCGTACCTCAAGATCAAGAAGCAAAGAAACGTCTTGATCTCAGCCGCCGCGAAGAACCTCCCCGGACAGGCGTGCTGTCCGTAGCCGAAGGTCATGAGCGAAGGGTGCAGGCTCACGAACTGCCAGTTGCTTTCTTGTCCCGGCTCTTCCCGCCGCTTGAGGAACCTGTCTGGGATGAACTTCTCCGGCTCTGGAAAGTAAGCCGGATCTGCGGAAGTGTTCGCAGCCACCGAGACCGTGGCTCCAGCCGGGAGGACCGTCCCGTCCGACAGCGTGACCGTTCGTCTCACATGCTGCTTCATCCTGTCTGAACCATTGCTGTCAGCTGCGGGGGTAGCTCTTCCAGTTGAGATTCGTCAGAGTCAACTTACACCAATTCAGCGCGTGTACCCGCTGGCTTTCCATCAAGAAGCTGTCCATCAGCTTTAGTTGATAGAAAGTCGACTTCTGCCAGCCGTTCTCCTTCACCACGCGGATGATCTCATCTCTCAGATCTGTGACCAAATCAGGATATTGGCATAGATCCATCACGGCCTGCGCCATGACTTCGCCGGCAGTGTTGATGGACACGATGCTCAACGCCAGTTGCACATGTGCAGGGTTGAACTTCTTTCCTTCGCCCACTTCTAGGATCCAAGACAGCGCATCCATCGACTTGGGGCCCTTTTCACCACTGAGCTTGGCCTCCTCCATCATCTGGGCGCGCTTCTGCGTCTCCGGCGCGATGACCCTCTCGGCATCACGGACTTGTTGCCTGAGTGCCTTGAGGTTAGTGAGAAACCACTGCAACGGCCACCGCAATGGCTTGGGGATTTGGTTGATTTGCAAGACGGCTCTGTAGATTTGAAAGGTGTGCGCCTTTGCGATATGGAGCCATTCGCCATTCCGCGCAAGCTCTCGGCCCAAAAACACCCTTGAGCTAATCCTGGCTGCGATATCCTGGACGTCCGACTTGATAGCGGACACGTGCCATTCGGGATCGTCGCCAAAGACCTCTTGCAAGGCTTCGCTGGCCTCCTCAGCCATGTCTCCCGTTATCAATCCCAGCCGCTGCGTCAACTTTGTCCTGACCGTCCTTGGAAGTATGCCATCTTTGCCTTCGAAGGAGTCTTTGTGCGCCTCGAAGCCTCGGTACGGCAAGCCAAAGTTGTTGAAAAACTCCAGCTCGGGTCTTTCCTTGATCTCGTCTGCGAACTTGTTCGGGAGCACGATCCTGGGACCGTTGCTGGTCATGACCTGGAATGGTCGCTCGGGGTACTGTTGCACCCCTTTGAGCAACAATTGCCTCGCATGCTTGGAGAAGGTACGTCCAGAACGCGAGTTGTCTCCGTCTGGCTCGACAAGAGGGAAGCCCGGAAGCGGCCGCGGGCGAGATCGATAGGCATTAAGAAGCCATTCGAACAATATAGAAAGAGGTAAAAGAATGTAGAACGCATATGGAATTGCGCCAAAGGCGCGATGCGCCTGGGGCAGCAAAGAGTCTAATCCAGACGACGATATGAATGACATACTGGCGACAAACGATTCAACTGAGGGAACCAAGTGACTGACTGGCTCGGCACTGTGATCGCGGAGCTGCGAGGTATGGGCGATGATCTCTCAGCCCAGCTCGAGCATCCTCTCGAACATCCTCTCTCTCTCTCATAAGTCAATATGCCTCCCATTAATGCATATGTAGATAGAGCCGCATGGGTGATGGGGGGTGGTGGGATAGGAATCCGAAGAGAATGACTCGGGCTGCGAGTGACCGCTGTCAACCGAATCGCCGGTCACCATCAAGCTCAAGGATGATTCAACCCGACAACGAACTTGGAGGTCATGCGTGGTGATTGTTGTTACAGACATCAGCTTGAGTCGGGTGGATTATTTGTGCCATAACCGAGTCATTGTCTTGATACCACAAAATAAACTTTTGATATTTATTAACTAGCTTACGACGGGGTCTTTGCGAACGTGCTCCAGGTTTGAAATGGAAACATAGAACAGACCGACGAACTACAGTATTAAAAAAGAAGATTACTCCACCCGGGTCAACCTGTTGGGTTTCCCCCTTACTCAAACGACACTCCGGTGTGCGTTTTCAAAAAACCAACATGGGTAGGTTAGCGGATACCCCATGTCACCGGGGATCAACATCATGAGACTGTGTACGCGGCACTGTATCAGCCGCGATCGTACCCGTGTCTGTTTATGTGTTTGCTTGTGTTCGTTCAACACATTTCATGATCTAAAGCTTTTTGGAAGCTGCGGGTTCAGGGGTAACCCGGCAATAGAGACGGATGCGCAACTCGGTTGAACGATCATCCTCACTGTGCACGATAGTGGGTATTAGACTTTCGAACGACCTTTAGAGCACCCGGGAGGCTCGCAACTTGCGTCGCGCGTTCACCATCTCCGGTCCTTCACTTGGCCAACCCCCGGTGTTGCAGTTGGGGTGAAAAGTATCCGTATTCTGAGTCGAAAGAAAGACCCTGGAAGAACTCCAATACTCTGGCTCGGGGACCGAGCACGTGTCTATTAACAATTCAAAAACGTTGTAGACCGTTCAAGTCCCATTCGGGAAAGTTCACAACCAAAATCTATCGTGCATATATATAGATGCGGTCAGAAATAAAGTAAGCAAAGTCTTCTAAGAAAAAAGCTCGACAGAGCTTTGCCTGGCTTCCAACTACACCTCTCCCCTTCTTCTCCCATTTCAACCCTAACCCTCGTTATGGATCCTAAAGAACCTATTGTCATCGTTGGCAGTGCCTGCCGATTTCCAGGCAAGGCTGATTCTCCTTCGAAGCTCTGGGAGCTTCTGCAGGAGCCAAAAGACTTACAATCTGAGGTTCCCAAGGAAAGGTTCAACATTGATGCCTTTTACCACCCTGACGGGTCGCATCCGGGACGTACAAACGCCCGCCATGGCTACTTTCTGCAAAATAACCTTCGGGCCTTTGATGCCCCTTTCTTCAACATACAACCCGTAGAAGCAGAGACTATGGATCCGCAGCAGCGTCTGCTGCTTGAAACCACATACGAGGCTCTTAATTCTGCGGGATTGAGGTTACAAGATCTGAGAGGATCTGACACCGCAGTGTACGTTGGTCTGATGACCCACGACTTCGAGGTGACCAAGTACCATGATTTGCAAAACACCGGTACCTACCTTGTTACCGGTGCGGCAACCAGTATTATTTCGAATCGCCTGTCGTATTTCTTCGACTGGCATGGGCCTAGCGTATGTTGAAATTCCCATCGACTGGGACACTCTCCTCACAAGACACTGACCGTTTTTGCAGATGACAATCGACACGGCATGCAGCTCATCTCTCGTTGCTGTTCATGAAGCCGTACAGCAATTAAGGAGTGGCGCTAGTACGGTAGCCGTTGCCGCTGGCGCAAATCTCATTCTGTCACCTGGTGCGTCATAAACCAACCGTGTGCTTTGCGTAAACCACTATTAACAGGCGGTAGTCTCATACATCTCTGAAAGTAAACTGAGCATGCTGTCCCCAACAGGCCGTTCGCGCATGTGGGACGCTGCCGCTGACGGCTATGCCAGAGGGGTAAGGTTTGGCCTCGGAATATGATCCGTTTCGTTACTCTATACAAGGTACTGATTTTAACTTTCCTCGAATAGGAGGGTATTTGCTCGGTAGTTCTGAAGACGCTCAGCCAGGCGCTACGAGATGGAGACAACATTGAGTGTGTCATCCGTGAGACGGGAGTCAATCAGGATGGCCGCACCACTGGTATCACTTTACCTAGCCACTCCGCTCAGGAGGCACTCATCCGGGAGACATATGCGAAAGCTGGGCTTGACTTATCCAAGCCTCAAGACCGTTGCCAGTTTTTTGAGGCTCACGGTAAGTACTCGTAGACGTGTTCTCTCGTTATTCATTTGAAGTGTATCTGACACGAATGCCATCAACAGGAACGGGAACCCCAGCTGGCGATCCCCAAGAAGCCGAAGCAATCGCAACGGCATTCTTTGGCGGCGGGAATGGCGACCGCACTGAGCTGCCGCCGCTTCTTGTTGGTAGTGTGAAGACGGTCATCGGTCACACTGAAGGAACTGCTGGTCTCGCCGGCCTAATGAAAGCGTCACTCGCAGTTCAACACGGCATTATCCCGCCGAATCTGCTATTTGACCAGCTCAGTCCTCGTGTAGCGCCTTTTTACCAGAACCTACGCATCGCCAGAGAAGCTCAAGCATGGCCAGCAACGCAGAGCAAGCGTAAACTCATTTGGTTAGTGAATTTCCGATATTCCTTCACGTCCCGAACAGCAACTCTGATACGATTGACAGGTTTTGGTGGTACAAACGCGCACGTCATTATTGAAGAGTACAAGGGTAGCAGCACCCAACAAGCACCCTCGAAGCCCAAACAGATCAGCTCTACACGCGGTTTGCCCTTGGTGTTATCGGCCAAGTCTGAAGCATCCCTGCGGAAATACATGGAGCGCATTCTTGAGCTTATCAACACGAGCCCGGAGCTGGATATCTTGGATCTTGCTTGGACGTTGCTCCGCAAGCAGTCCGCCCTATCCCGTCGCTACTCCGTCGCTGGCCATACGAAGGAGTCCATTTCCGCTACGCTGACAGCCGCCCTCAAGGAAAGCAAGATTGAGGCGAACCCTGGTTCCAAGAGCTCGAGCGGTGACAACATTTCACTCTTGGGCATTTTTACGGGTCAGGGCGCACAATGGCCCGGCATGATGAAGGGGCTCATGTCTACCATTCCGTACGTTGAGGATATTGTCGCTGAGCTGGATAATTCACTTCAGACATTACCAGCTGAGTATCGACCATCATGGATGTTGCGAGAGCAGTTTCTCCTGGATGAAACAGAGTCCAACGTGGCAAAGGCAAGCTTTTCTCAGCCACTTTGCTGTGCTACTCAGATAGTGCTCATCAGACTCCTGGCTGCTGCAGGAATCAAGTTTACCACCATCGTAGGCCACAGTTCCGGCGAAATTGCTTGCGCTGTCGCGGCCGGGTTGGTCAGTCCTGCGCAAGCCATTCGGATTGCCTACCTGCGCGGTGTCACCTCTCAGTATGCTGCCTCGCCTCGAGGTGAAGCTGGCCTTATGTTGGCGGCAGGAGTGTCTTTCGAAGATGCGCAAGAGTTGTGCGAGCTGGATGCTTTTGAGGGTCGTGTATGTGTTGCGGCCAGCAACTCGCCTGACAGCACAACCATTTCCGGCGATGAAGACGCCATCACCCAAGTCCAAGATATTCTGGAGGATGAGTCCAAGTTCGCCCGACTGTTGAAAGTAGATAAAGCTTACCATTCTCACCACATGCTTCCCTGTGCAGAGCCCTATATCAAGGCTCTCAAGGAGTGCGGGTGCGCAGTCGCTGACGGCGATGAGTCGTCCTCCGTTGCATGGTACTCCTCTGTCCACCTCAACACGCGCATGAAGCTAAGCAACGTGACGGCTGAGTACTGGAAGGATAACTTGGTCAGTCCAGTGCTGTTTATGCAGGCTCTTGAGGAGGCCGCAATCGAGCACCGCCCGCTCGACGCCGCCATTGAAGTCGGCTGCCATCCTGCTCTGAAAGCACCGGCCCTGTCTACACTCAAGGGAATCGGCCTGGACGACTTGCCGTATACTGGATGTATGCAGCGAGGTGGTGACGATGTCGCCGCTTTTGCTGGTGCTCTTGGATATCTGTGGGAACGATTTGCGGACTTGGAGCCTGTCAACGTGGACCAATTTGTTGCCACGGTGTCGCCCGAGAAGCCCGAGAATTTGAGCAAGACGTTGCCTAGGTATCCTTGGGATCACTCTCGTGTATACTGGTCTGAGTCGCGTGCGATCAACTCCTTCCTTCACGGACCTCGCCCTCATCTGCTTCTAGGCTCGCTTTCAGCGGCCTCCACTGCTACAGTTTTGCAGTGGCAGAACATCTTCAGAGTCAAAGACCATGAGTGGATGAAGGGGCACGGACTCCAGGGCCAGGCTTTGTTCCCAGCCGCGGGTTTCGTGGTTATGGCCATGGAGGCCGGTATCCATGTGGCGGGTGATCGTCCGATCAAGCTGGTTGAAGTTCTGGACTTGAGCATCGATAAGGCCATCATCTTCGAAGATGAGACCAGCCCGGCCGAGGTCAATCTTACAGCGAAGATTGTCTCCCGTCCATCAGACACGGAACAAGTCGTTTTAAGCTTCAGCATCGACTCCTGCCTCAACAAGGAAACCAAGCTCTCGACGTCGGCTCAAGGCCAAGTCGTCGTCACTTTCGGATCTGCGTCCTCCAACAGTCTTCCGCCAGTACAAGGAGAGCATCCTCACATGATTGACCTCGACATCAACTACTTCTACCGAGAGCTTGACTCCTTGGGATACTGTTACGACAAGCTATATCGATGCATTTCGAATATGAGACGTGCCGACAGCAGATCCGCCGGCACCCTTCCCAACCTCCGTCTAGATGATGGTGGGCTCCCTCTGGTGCTGCATCCCGCCACCCTCGACTTGTCGTTCCAGACCATCATGGGAGCTTACTCCCATCCCGGTGACAAGCGCCTCCGTTCCCTCTACGTTCCCGTTCACGTCGACAGGATCGCAATCGTTCCTGGGCTTTGTGCGGCGGCTCTCGAGAACTCGGGCGAACTACACTTCAACACAGCAAACACTTACGACAAGGGTGACTTTTTCGCCGGCTGTGTCGAGGCGTTTAGTACCTGCAACAATCATGCGGCTCTCTTCCACGTCGAGAACCTCGTTTTGAAGTCTCTGTCGCCGCCAACAGCGTCTGAAGACCACCGCGCTTTCACCACAACGGTCTGGGGTCCTTTCATGCCCGAGACGCTTCTAGACGACCCGGCACTGTGGGCAACGGAGGAAGATAAACGAGTCATGCCCATCATCGAACGAATCATTTACTTCTATATTAAGAACTTCCTTCGCGACTTGACGGCCGAAGACCGCCAGAACGCCACAGCCCCCCAGCAGAGCTACATCCACTGGTATGACAATGTCATGGTCGATGTTGCAGCCGGACGCCACCGGTGGTATGAGAAGTCCTGGGAAGATGACACAGCTGAAGACATCCAGTTGCTTTGTGAAGCGTAAGTACCACACGAACTTTGGCGATGATCGCAGACGTAGAGCTGACGTTCCATCTTTTTTTTCTTTTTTTAGGAACTGGTATCACCCCCATGTGCGTCTGGCTCACAGAGTCAATGAAAATGCCATATCCACAATCCGCGAAAACAGTAACCCCTTCTCGTGGATGAACGAAGACGGTCTTTTGACAGAATTCTACACCAGCCGTCTGTCCACAGGACCAGGCTGGGGCTATGGCAAGAAAATCGTTGACCAGATTGCGCATCGTTTCCAGTCCATGGATATTCTGGAGATTGGTATGTTCCCGTTGGAAACAATCACCGCTTTGCGTAAGATGCTAATGAAGAAAATGCAGGCGGTGGCACGGCTGGAGCTACGAGGTCCATCCTGTCAATTCCACAACTGGGTTTCAACAGTTACACCTTTACTGATATTTCTCCCGCTTTCTTCGAGAAGGCCCGCGAGGAGTTCGCCGTTCACCAGGACCGCATGGAATTCAGGAAGCTTGATATCTCCCGGAGTCCTGAAGAGCAGGGGTTCAAGCCTCAATCTTACGACCTCGTTCTCGCGTCTTCCGTCCTGCATGCTACACCCAACCTCACGGAGACGATGGCAAATGTGAGATATCTCCTGCGCCCTGGTGGCCACGCTGTAATCCTTGAGGCTACCCACAAGGACCACACCCGTGTCGGTTATCTCTTTGGTCTGTTCCCCGATTGGTGGGCTGGCCGTGATGAAGGCCGTGTCTTGGATCCTTTCGCAACCATTGATGAGTGGGACGCTATATTCAAGCGTACCGGTTTCTCCGGAGTGGAGTGTCGTACTTTGGATCGGGACGGTCACATTTTCCCCAACTCACTCTTCACTACTCGCGCCGTAACTCCCAAGGTCACCAGATTGTATCAGCCGCTAGCAGCTCCAGTGTTGGAGTCGTATGCGCCGCTCGTCGTCGTCGGGGGCAGCTCTTCTAAAGCATCCCATGTTGTGGAGGAGATTAGCAAGATTCTGTCGCACCGGGAGCCGAGTTTTGTCAAGAACCTGACGGACTTGCGCGACGCAACATACGAGAACCACCCGACATTTCTCATTCTCTCCGAGTTCGACGAGGAATTGTTCTTGGACATCAATGAGGCAAAGCTCGAATCTGTCAAATCCTTGTTTTCCCAGGCCGGCAACGTTCTCTGGGTTACGGAAGGCGCTTGGGTTTCCAACCCCCGTCAGGCTATGACAATCGGCATGCTTCGTACCATTCGTAACGAGTATCCTGAAATCAACGTTCAGGCGTTGGATGTGGATGATGTCCAATGCGTGAAGCCCATGGTTCTCATCGAGCAGCTTTTGCGGCTTGAGGAGTGGTCTGGAGCAAAGGAGGACGTCTTGTGGACTTACGAACCGGAGGTCTACGTGTCCAAGGGGACCTTACTGGTTCCGAGAATCAAGCATGACATGCCTCGAAATGATCGTATGGCTTCAGGACGCCGAAAGATCTTTGCTCAAGCCTCTCCAGAAAAGGCTGCCCTTACTTTGCAACTGCCCGACAAAGATCTGTATCTGGAATCCACCAGAGCCAATGGCTTTGAAGGACAACGGGGCACGAAGAGCTTGGCCATCATTACACGTTTTGCTCTTGCAAAGGCTATCCGTATAGGAAACCTTGGATACCTGCATCTCTTGCATGGCACCGTCAAAGGAACAGACAGGAAGGTCATCGCATTATCTCAGAGCAACTCATCCATCGTCAACGTCCCGAGCACGCTTGTGTCCGACCTCCCCGCCGGTTCTGAACTCGCACCGTCTGTATTACTCAACATTGCGGCAAGCCTTCTCGCGCAAACGATCGTGTCCAGCATAGCCCCTGGCGCATCCGCCCTCATTTTTGAGCCACCCACGTTCTTCATCAATGCGATAGCAACAGCCGCTGCAAAGCAACGCATTCGCGTTCACTTCTTGTCAACTCAGCCACCTCCAGTCTCGTCAGAGTCCACCAAAGTGGCATGGACTAGACTGCATCCACAAGAGACGGACGAAGGCCTCAAGGAAATTCTCCCCACCAAGGCGTCTGCCCTGTACGACTTGTCACAGGGCAACAGCGTCACGTCCTTGAGCACTCGCTTGGCCCGTCATGTCCCTGCCAGCTGTTCCCAGATCCGTCTTGGCCATTTCTTCCAGGACAACGCCTCTTCTGTTGATCAACAGGAAGACTTCAGTCCCGAACAAGTTGGATTTGCTGCTCAAGCTGTCGCCACTGCAGTCGAAAGTCTCATAAACGCAGGTCAAGTGGACGCGACGGCTAGACCAATCAGCCAAGTGTCGTCGCCGCAGGATGATTTTGACGTGTCTACGGTGCTTGACTGGGCCGCAGAGGACCCTGTTCCCGCTCGAATCCGGCCAATCGACCACGGCAAGCTTTTCGTACCGGACAAGACCTACTTGCTTGTTGGCCTCGCAGGATCCACAGGTCGCGCCCTCGCTCGCTGGATGGTGACGAGGGGTGCTCGCTACATTGTCCTCTCCAGTCGTAACCCACAGGCCCCCGATCCCAAGTGGTTGAAGAAGATTGAGAGACTGGGCGGGAACATAACGGTGTTGCCCATGTAAGTTACATCCACCGTCCTTCAGAAGAAGCACATGCAATGCCGGGCTTCTCGATTAAGGCTGCTCTTCAGAATTTCCAACTAATACTTTTGTAAGGGATGTCTCCAAGAAAGAATCTGTTGATGCCGGCCTGGCTCAAATTCGCCAAAAGCTGCCACCCATCAACGGCATTGCGTACGGGCCGCTCGTGTTGCACGACACGCTGTTCAGAAATATGGACATCTCAATGATGCACCCCGTGCTCAATGCAAAGGTTGTAGGAGCACAGCTTCTTCACGACTACTTTTCTGACCCGACTACCAACCCCCTGGACTTTTTCATCATGTGCTCGTCTGCTGCCACAACGGGAGGCAACCCTGGACAGGCCAACTACAACGCCGCGAACGCGTTCCTGCAAGCGCTCGCTCAAAAGCGCCGCACTATGGGATTAGCCGTAAGTGATTACTGTCAGCTTATTAGACACACAGTGTTGCTAATCATGAATACCGCTTGTAGGCCTCAACCATCCATATCGGTGCGGTCATGGGCGTCGGATACCTAGCCACGCGTGAGGAAAAGTTCGACCTCCAGTCGGTGTCTGACATGGATCCTCTGGGAGAGGCCGAGTTCTGCACACTTGTAGCAGAGGCTGTCGTGTCCGGCCGGCCACCCTCGCCCCCTCCTGCTGATGGCCAGGACCTGACTGCGATGTCTGAGATCGACATTGGCACAGGTATCCCGGAGCTCCACGCTCGGTTCAAGGACAGCCTGGTCTTTTACAGTGATCCTCGGTTCGGTAACCTCAAGGTTCCCGAGAAGCGCGACAAGACCAGCTCTGGACTCAAGACCTCGATCAAAGAGCAGCTGCTCACAGCCACAGGCCTGGAAGAAGTCCGCCAGATCATTATTGGTATGTAGTAGCATTGCGGCTTCTGGGCTGGGCATCACTCCATGTACATGGGGGCCGATTTTGGACCTGCTAACCACTCATTAGACGGCATGTGCGAGAAGCTACGCGGCACTCTTCATCTTCCAGCCGACGAGGGCGTCGATCCTGCTGCCCCCCTTATCGATCAAGGAGTTGACTCTCTAGGCGCCATCACTGTCGCCTCATGGTAAGCGCAGAGAATTGTGTCCCCATTCCCTTGTTGCTTGGCAAGGACTGACAAGTGACGTAGGTTCTCGAATGAGCTGGTGCTTGATGTTCCTATTTTGAAGGTTCTCGGCGGTGCTTCCGTCGCAGAGCTCGCTGAGGAGGCAGCTGGAAGACTGCCATCGGGTGCTATTCCTCTGGTCGCAAGAGACCCTGACGCAGTTTCTGACGAGAGTGACACCTCTGCGAGTGCTTCCCAGTCAGATTATGGCGCTCAAACACCCATCTCAACCCCGACCACGGAAGTTGACGACGCCGATCGTGATCCTGATGTGCTCCGCAAGGCGCCCTTGTCGCTTACGCAAGAATACTCTTGGAGTCTCCAGCAGCAGTTGGCCCACGATCCAACAATCTTCCATAACACTGTTGGACTAGTTATGGAAGGCAACTTGGACCTGGAGCGCCTGTCAAGGGCTGTGGCAACTGCTTTCAGCCGTCACGAGATCTTCCGCACAGCCATCAGGTCAGACTCCGAGAACGCTGAGCAGGCGGCGCAGGTGGTATTGAAGGCCCCGACGAGAGGTCTCCAGTGCATCGAAGTGCCGGATCGCGCAGCCGCGGAAGAAAAGCTGAAGCAATTGGAAACTGAGAAATATGAGCTGGCCGCGGCCGAGGCATACAAGATCGTAGACCTTTACTGGGCGCCAGACCGTCATATGCTTGTGATTGCTTATCACCGCCTCACAGGCGACGGTTCGACCACGGATAACCTCTTTGTCGAATTGACGCAGCTGTACAACGGCACTCAGTTACCTGCTCCACCCCAATACGCCGACTTTGCCGTCAAGCAACGATCTGATCTCAAGAACGGCCGGATGGATGCCGACATCACCTATTGGAAGTCCATTTACGCAACCATGCCGGCGGTGATGCCCATACTGGCACTTCCTCAGGCGCAGCAACAGAGAGCCACGGCTTTGTCCTGGCAACAGCACACGAGCAGTGCCCGTTTGAGTTCCGTGATCGCCATGCGAATCAAGGAATCCGCTCGTCAGCTTAAAGCAACTCCTATGCAATTCTACCTTGCCGCTTATAAGACTCTTCTGGCTCTGTTAAGCGGACAGAGAGATATTGTCATCGGCATTGCGGATACGAACCGCTCCAGCATTGATGACATATCCACCATGGGCTTCTTCGCCAACATGCTACCCATACGGATGGAACACGAGCCGAACGACAAGTTCGCCGAGGTACTCGCCGAAACCAAGGATCGCATGCGCCAGGCAATGCTGCATTCCGCCGTGCCTTACAGCGTCACGCTGCAGCGCCTGGGTCTCCTGGGACAACAAAACTCTCCCTCGGCCAGAGAGATGACGCACGCCCCGCTGTTCCAGGCCGTTTTCGACTACAGGCAAGGCGAGCGAGCCGACAGCGGAAAGATTGGTGACGCTTCCATTGTCAAGGTCATGGTTTCTCGGGAGCGAACCCCTCATGATGTCAGCCTCGAGATGGCAGACGATCCTTCGCGCGATCCCCTCCTTACAGTCAAGCTGCAGAGCTCCCTCTACGGTCCGCAGGATCCTCAGACTTTCTTGAAGTTGTATGAGTCTGTTCTTGCAACGCTCTCAGTGAGCACGACGATGCGTGTTGGGGATATAAAGGTCGGCGTTTAGGAAACGGATACTCTCAAAGTTTGAATTTGAAGTACCAGGATAGATTTTGTTTTGGATTACTGGCTACTGGCGTTATGGTTTGATATACTTACTCGGTGAATAGTTGGAAGCCTGTCTTAGCAAAGAATATTAACCGTATAAACTCAACCCGTTGTTGTGCGACTGGATGTTGTATATTACTGTCACCGTCAAAATCCAGCACCGGCCATAGTGCTGTTGCCAGGAAAATGCGTGTTGTGGTTTTATACGCTGACTGAAAACCAACAGCAACAAACCTACTCTTGGAAATTTGGTATAATACAAGTAAATTGAAGAGTTGTTAGTACCTAGTAACAAATCGTGTTATGATGGTCTTATTCTTGATAATCCAATACGCAATACCAAACGGAGCGGAAACTCTCCCAGCGCTGTTCAAGGGCGTACTGTGCTGCTTCACTAATATTTCGCCCCGATTTTGAGCCTTAAGTTTATGAGTTGTTAATTTGGCAAGTGCCTTTCTAAGTAATATGTCAAATCTATATTCAAGAAAAAGGGTTAAGTCTCTATTCTTCCTGCGCCTCATAGCAAAAGTGAGTCTTGATTTGAGATGCGATCAAACGTATACGGACTTGCAATCCTTTCAAGAGTCAATCCGAAGCCTCCCCGAGGCTCTGTCATCATTTCGCTCAAGCCACAGACACATTTAGAGTCAAACAACACACAATTGTCATAAGGCTCCTCCTTTTGGTTGGTACCGGTAAGGCAGATTCAGCGGCAATTAACGCCCTGGCTACATTGTCTAAAATAAATACCACCTTCCACAAAGACCACGAACCACACAAGGCTGTTGGGACATGGTTTGCGCCTGAGGGTCCCACATTGCGGACAATCTGAGAGTTCAGGAACCCACAAAGCAACCAACCCGGCCAACAGCATCGTTGCATAGCCTCATTGCAATTTACAACCAACTCCAACTGCGGTCTGGGCGTGTTGGAACTTGTATGAACATGGATTAGCTATGCGGTCTTGAGTCGTTGGTTCTAGGCACCCGTCTCACGGGTGAGAAGTTACATTTGTCATCTACCAGAATCCTTGGTGCTTTCCAACTTGATAAATTTGGCATCCCCAAGCCATACTCTGGCTCACAAGGGCTTCACATTCATTACCTTGCTCTGGTGTCACAACATTTACTCCCTGTAATTAACAATCGTGTACCTTATTTCCAATCCCAATTGCATCACAATGAGTCGTGAGACTCGCACACCACCTTCGGCTACGGTCATAGTCGATGAGAGCGACGAGAGCAATGACAACGACGATAACAACCTGCTTCGGTTACAGTCCGAAGAGCTTCGCGAGCACATGGGCCTGCCGCGCAGTCCTGGCGGCACTCCCCCGAGGTATCAGCCGAGCCTCGCGGCAGGATTCTTCATCGAATTGGCACCAGACTCAAGTAGGGGATCTCGTTGCAGGCTGCCAACCTGCAATGAAGGACCCATCATTCCCGGCCGCTATCGTATTGCTCTCAATCCTGCAATGGAATGGGATAATTTCATGAGGGGCAGAAGCGGGTCAGCTGGTTCGTAAACCACCCCCCAATGCGATTGACATCCAGTGACTCAAGTTGTTCGCAGACTTTTACCACATTCGATGTTTTGAGATGATTGCAGATTTCTCGCAGGTTGATTACCTCAAACGTGTCCATGCTGTCACTCGCTCGAATTTCAAAGTGCGGGGTCTAAAGGGAAACAGCATCCTAAGTGGCAACTACCTTGTTGAGGGCGGAATCGAGCGACTGGTTTTACAGTGGAGGGTCGAGAGATGTAGACAGATTTATGCCGGCGATGGAAACGCCGAAAGCGCTGAACCAATGGCTGAGAATTTTGCAAACCTCTTGGACAAGGCTGGGTTGCCGGGTTTCGAAGCTGAAAAACCCGAGGGCATGACATCCCACGAATATCGTAACTTGCTCACCATTCTCGCACCAAATGAGAGCGACGGCCCCGAAGACAATGACGTATGGAATTTGTTTGAGCAATACCTCTACACTCGAAAGCCTGGCAGTTTGGACAATCGGCATGATCTGAGCGACATGATCGACGCCTGGTGGTTTGATGCTGTAAGTTGACATGGTTTTAGTGATGGAATTTTTTGGATGCTAAGTGAAAGACACAGCTTCTTGCTTCGAAAAACGAGGACAACCTCAGCCAGGCTTTGAAAGAGGAGAGGGACAAGCTAGGACCTAAGGCTATTAGAGCTCTGAAGAGAATGAGCCAAATTCCCATGCCCGACCTTCAAGGTAACTTTCGTTGAGCGATGGATGAGAAATCGACTTGCAATATGAGTCAATCAGAGTTCACTTTCACCTCTTCATGGCGCGAATTTCCGGTCTCGCCAGCGTGACCCTGCGATTCAGTGTTTTCCACATCAACTAGGCTTTGTGTGCTATGGCCGTTCTCCACTTGAGAAACTGTTTGTGGTTAGATATTGACATATCTTGCAGCTGCCATTGCAAGTAAATGAACCGGCTCGGCCAGTTGGGGACTGATGTTGAAGACGGATTATTCAACGCAAGTCAAGCTGACGTCCCGGCCCGGCATGAATAGAACGCATTGTCTGGAGGTATGTTTAACATTTTACTATAAATTCTTGTATATTTAGTAGTAAATTTCTTCCCTTTGGCCGCAGAATTGAGGAATTGACTTGCCGGTGATGTTTGGAATGATGCAGCCATTCTACAAGGCGTGAGCTATGTATGCCAGCCAGCGGGGCGTCTAAGGGGTCCTGGAAGAGTCCTACGGTAACTCAAGTTGCAGGATCTCTATTGTGATTGGACGATTCGGAATAAACCACTTCACACACCAGTAAATTCGAGAGCTCCTTCTTTCGACAGAATTGGTTTACTACATGTACTTACTTTGGTAAACGTGCGAAACAGACCCGGGCCGGAGTAAACCCCCAAAGCCAAGGAATTATTACTAAGCAACGCACCAGTCCTCCACCTTTCGATTTCGTTATCGCCTTTCCGCTGTGACCCCACTTTGATTCGCCGTTGTCTCGCACCGCCGAACTCAGCCCTGCCCCGCACAATCGATCACAAGACATAGTCCAGATTTTGCACTGGTTCTCCAACAACACCCAATGGAAGGGTGGCCGAGTTGGTTATGGCGCCAGGTTAAGGTCAGCTTAACATCTGTTTCCTGGTGGGGCAACCCGCGCGAGTTCGAGTCTCGTCCCTTTCATTACTCTTTCTTTTGGCTTTTTGGTCTTTTTTCTTTTTATTTTTATCTTATTAATCCTTCTCTTTTTAAAAGTATATCTTGTCGACGGATCAAATTTCCTTTTCTCTCTTCAGTCTGGCTTTTGCTCTGTTTTTTGTTGTACATTTCTTCAAGCACGTCGTTCTACTTTTTCTAGATAGGCATTGATTGATATTTGCTTTCGTGTAGTATCGGCGGGGCTCTTCCTCAAATGGCTTTAAATACAATATGCCATTATGCTGAACATCATCTACAACTACGAATTCTCCCACCCGTCTACGTATGTACTGGATCTGGTTCGGCAGTCAATTTCGAAAGTCAAGTCATCTTCACACACACAGAAAAAAAAAGAGGGCCAGCAAATTGAAACAATGCGTCGTCGTTAACAAAACATCGCATTATCAAACATCTTCTTTCCCCCTCCCCCACGCATTCAACCATCCCCCCACCTCCTTCCCAGACCGCACCATCCATCCATCCTTTCCTGGTCAATCCTTTCCTGGTCAATCCCACTGATCGCCCACACACCATGCAAAGAACAGAATGCCAAACCCAAAAGACCAGCTGGGATCCCAGCATCCATTCCCTTACAATGCGTGCCCTCCCTCCCCCCATACAAGAACAAGAACAAGAAGAGATATATAAAAAGGCCCAACAGGAAACATAACAAACCCGGCAATGCGGTAATGCTTTCATCGACTCCTCCCCCAATTCCCATATAGATTTGAATATAGAGTCACAGGAAATATAATTTTCGAATTGGATAAAAAAAGGAAACGAGGTTTGTGATGGGTGATCCTCTTTTCCCCTTGGCTCGGTTTTGTGTGTCTCTCTCTCTCTCTGTTGTCCAGATCGTAGGCTTTTTGATTGATTTTTTTTCTCTTTCAAGCGGGGATGGGCTGGGCATAGCCGTTTCCCCCCCTGGATAATTTGTTCTTCGAAAAAAAGTAAACATTACGTAGTGTGTGTGTGTATATATGACGACTGGGGGTAAAACTCCCACATGAGGCCGGGCTCATGGTTCTACAGGTGTGTTCTCAACTGAAGGTGTTGGGGGTATCTCCTCCTCCTCCTTCGAAGCTTCGGCCACAGTCGTCTCTCCCTCGCTGACGGCGGTGTTTGTGGACGTTGCCTTTTCGCGCCTCCGTCTCCTCATCCGCCGTTCTTCCTCGGCCGTCTGCCTCCTTGAGCGCCGCAGGCTCTCTCTCTTTTCCGGATCCGCATCGTCGGCCGCGTCCCCACCGCGCATACCTTGGAGCAGCATAGCGGCACGCTCCGCGACGTCGTCTTCGCCGCCTTCTCTGGGCGACGATAAGCCGGGGCTGATGGGGTTGCCATCCTCGTCGATAGTGCTTTCCTTTGGCGGTTGCGCCAGGGTTGCCTCGACCTCCGGGTTTTCGTCCGGATCGGGAATTTTCTGTCCGGATGCGATCCGCACCTGATGACGATCCTTGAGTCTTGCCCTGCGACGGCGGTCTCTCTGATCTCGCGTCTGCGGCGCCGCAGCACGCAGTTTCTCCAGCAAAGAATCCATGGCTCCTGCGCTGGATGGCGAAGGCGGTGCGCCTTCCACCTTGCCGCTTGACACGGCGAGCTGCTGGTGCTTCCGCTTCATGGAAGCCTCGTTGCGTTTGCGCTGCTCCTCGTACTTGATGTTCTTCTCCCTGGACTTCTTCCACTCGTTGATGAACACGGCAAGCTTGGCAAAGAAGTCCCTGCGGGCGTTTTCGTCGGTAGGGTCCTCGCCGTAGAAGACCATGATGTCGTTGTAACTCTTCATCATCTCCTCCAGATACAGTTGCATCTCCTCGGCCTTTCTTCTGGCGTCCTTCATAACCCTCTGGACAACCTGGCTCACGCGGTCCTGAGGATGGAACTTCTTGGAATCACTCAAGTTACCCGCATCGAGTGACATTTGGACGTTCTTGACGGTATCGATGTACTGCTTGGCATCGGACTGCAGCTGTTCGATGTTGATCTTCTGCGCCGCCATGACGCCAGAAATGTCGTTGGCAAAGTTCTCCCATTCAGGGTACTGGTTGCGAACAATGCGCTCAACGAGATCTGCAAGGTTGGTTTCGTTCTTGTCGTCCTTGACCATGGCAAGTCGGGCCAGGGAGCTCAGCTTGAAACCGCGTGCTTGCTTATTGGCGTCGTTCATGTAGTTTCCGATATCCAGAATGAGACCGAGAACGTTCATCAAGGATACGGAATCTCTGAGCGACTCAGATACGCCGACGACGTGGCGCATCTTTTCGGTAATTTCGTCAAAGTCCGGCTCGAAGCTCCTAGTCAAGGCCAGAGCCCGCATTCTGGCCTTCCAGTAGTGATGCAACTCAAAGGCTGTGTACAAGTAAATCTGGTCTTGTCTGGTAAGCTCCGAGGGATCCTGCTCGCGATCCGCCTTATCGGGGTTGGCGCCCGTCCAGTCTTTGCTGTATGGCGCCATCTGCTTGGCAGTGTTGTCTGGGATGTTGCACAGGTCGTCTTTGCGCAGGAACTCCATGACTACAGGGTTGTCCAGGATGTCCTTGTCGCAGTGAATGATCATCTGTACGATCTTATCAACTGACACCTGCGAAAATTTGGCGAAAGCGATTTCTATAACTAGTCAGCGTCGTGCGCAGCCATACAACTGCAAGATACATACCGTAAGCCTTGCGAAGATCACCATTGATGATCTGCTTCTTGTCGTCCTTCTTCGCGCCGCCGCCGACTCCCAACTTCTTGATTTCCTTGGCCATGAAGAGCTTCTCAACTTCATCCAAAATACCCTTGCGACTGAGCTCCAAGTACTTCTCTTCACGTTCCTCAGCAGACGGCGCGTGGGCGGCCCAGTGAGTTGTCATGGGAGAATCCACCTTGTCCCAGTGAAGGGCCTTGAGCTTCTTCTTCGGGCGAACGACAGGCAAGCCAAGAGAAGGCGCGGAGGAGAAGTTGGGCGTAGCTTGTGACAAGAAGTGTCCAGAGATGGCACCGGGTAGCGGAGGAGGCGGAGGTGGAGGCATTCCAGGGGCGCCAGGCATAGGTGGGGGAGGCGGAGGGGGCGGAGGGCCGGCTTGACCGGGCATCGGCGGAGGCGGTGGTGGCGGGGGAGGAGCAGGGACACCGGTAGGCGACAACATTCCCGGCATGGGCGGTGGGGGAGGCGGAGGCGGGGGTGCACCGGCTTGACCAGGCATCGGCGGCGGCGGAGGTGGTGGAGGCGGCGCTGCACCGGCACTGGTGACTTGGATCTTGGGAGGCTCTCCCTCGGCGGGAGTGATCGGGGAACCGGACTCGAGGCTGGGGTGCGATGCGCCAGTGGTGGCGCCTTCGCCGTTCTCCGAGTCGCTGTCGTCGTATCTCTTGATCTTGCCAGCCATCTCGCCGAAAAGTCCAGCCTTTTGGTTGGGATCCATAACCGGACGCCGGATCTCGACAACTCTGGGCTTTTCGTAGACAACACCATCCTCGTCCTCTTCGCCCACGAGAAGTTCGCCCTCAATGAGCTCACCTTCGATGACCTCGCCACGAGCGTTAACTGGCTTCCGGGCAATCTTCGTGTTGCGGTTGACACTGCCGAGCATGCTGTTGGTGAAATCTCTGGGTGGTGTACCAGGTCCAGAGCCCATGGCACTATCGTCCATCTCCTCACGGAGAGCACGAAGCCTGTCCGATGGCCCAACGGCACCACCCCAAACTCTGCCCTCCAGCTTGAACTGCGTCTTCTGACGCTCGATCTGCATTTGCAAGCGCTCCATAAGACGGTCCCGGTCCAGGATACCTTGCATCCTAGCAGGATCTTCTTCCCCAAGTTTGTTGCTGCCTTTAACAGCATTAGATGCTGCGACGTCTTGTGCGTCCCTAAGCATCAAATAGAGCTCTCTGGTTTCCAGCTCATAGCGCTGTGCCTCTTTCTGGCGCAGGGTCTGAATGTTCTCTAATTCAGCCTTCAAACCTTCAGCTTGCCGCCGCTGAGCATCAATGAATCTTGCCTGCTCATCCAGTTGCTTCTGGAGCTTCGCTACGAGGCCATCAGCACCCAGCTCTAACCTCGCCTTCATCTCATCTCGCTCTGCCATGGCGGCATCGGCAATCTGCCTTGCCTCCAAGGCTTCATCCAACGCCTGGCGGGCTTCCGAGTCGGTGTGAAGCTTGTCCAGCAGACTCTGAACGGTGAAGTTGAGACTCTGCTTCAGATCCATATTCGGCAAACGCCGATCCATGGCCACGTAGCTGAGCATGGAGTCCACAAGCTGGAACGTTCGTAGCCGTTCTTCGCCATCGTTATCACGAAGGAGCAGCAAGTGCTGTAGTGCCGAAACGAAATAGTCCTGTGTCTTGCTCCCCCGTAGGCGTTGCTGGATAGCGTCGACAATCTGAACGGGATCGTTGAGGTCCTTAACCTCGCCTTCAACGTTATCTTTGATGCTATTGTTCTCCTTCTCTAGCATATCCTCGTAATCGATAGCCTCGTTCGTCCGGAAGTGCTCGATCTGCTTGTCAATGAGGTCGTATTGGAACGACTCCATCTTCGTCAAGATACGCCTGATCCCGCATGCTGTGAACTGAGCGCGAATGTGCATCCGCAGCTGCAAGTCCGTCTCAGCGGCGTCGACAATCATATTGATGAGGATAAGCGTAGCAACTGCATATTCCATCAACAAGTTCTCCATGCCGATACCACCACTTCGAACCTCGTCGCTGGCTCCGACCATGCTGCCCATCTTTCCTCGCCCGTCGACAGTGACTTCGACGAGCCGCATCCAAGCGTCGAAGCGACCATTTTCTCCTTGTTGAGACTTGACCGAGTCGAGACCTTGAATGACCTTCAAATGACCTTGACCGTCCCCCCAATGACACAAAAAGGTGAGGACTTCGCTGACGAGCTTTCGCGTTGTCAAACGCGGCGAAATAAGGGAGGTCGCGAGTGCAATGATAACTTGCTGGTGTGCGAGAGCATCGTCGGCGCCGAACTTGTTGTTCATCAAGGCCTTGAGGCACTTGATGATATCATATTCGCGATCCAAATTCCTGTCCGTCTTTTGGTCTGGCGCGGGTCCCAACGCAGTTTTGCGGTTGATCTTCATCAACACGTTTGTCAACGCGACCTGACCCTGGCACTCGATGAAGCGCTTGACCCATCCTATTTGTTGCGTTCTGAGGTTGACTTCCAGACTTCCGAGGCCCTTCGTGTCTAAGCTGTTATCCATCACACGTCGGACGTACCATTCTGGGGATCCTTCCTCGTCCGAGTTCACCAAAATTTCAGGGGTCGCGTATTGGTTCGGTTTCGCGGTTTGCCTCCTTTTTTGCTCTCCTTGCCACTCGGTCAGTCGGTCCTGGTAAAGCAGCGTCCATTTCTTGTCGGGGGGATATGCGACCATCTGGCGGCGAGCCTGCTCGGGTAAGTTGTGCCATCCTCGTTTCTGCATCAACGCCAGAAACATCTGGTCGATGATATCGTCGTTGTCCGGTCGCGGGAAGTGGAATCCATCGTGTCCCGTCGGTCCCATGCCGGGAAATTTAGTCAATCGGTGTGAGGAAGGGTGCGACGAGTCCCTATAGGACATGTGGGAGGAGTAGGAACTCTGCGATGAAGCACTGGGTAGTGCTGGTCTTGATGAGCGATTTGCGGTCAATTCATAGGTGCCTCCATTACCTGATGAGAATATGCTGGCTTGGTCAGCAGAACTTCGACCCGCCGATGTCATGTACGAATCGTATCTGGGGTTGTGGGACCCATTGATTGTGCTCGCCATGCTAACGCGAGCAGGCCCTGGTCCCCACTGCTGATATTGCGTTTGGCGACCAGTAGTGGCCATTGTGATATTTGACTGCGGAGCTCGCTGCGCCGAGGCATGTGAGCCTGCTCCGCCGGCCATGGTGGAAGGGTCAATGATGGGGTACTGATGGAAGTCGCCGCCTTTGTTGAGATGATGCGGCGAGGGGCCGTTGCGCAACAGCGCAATCTGGTCGGCTTTGGGTAGGTATTCGACAGGAACGGGGGATCGAGAATCGGGAACGGTGTCGTAGGGGATACTGGTCATGGGACCAGCCGTCACGCCGGAATCGGGAAACTGGTCGATGGACACTGAAGACGAGTCGCGGTGATGTCGAGAGGCGCGCGAGTGTATGCTGGCGGTGTCAAAGTTGTCGGGTCCTCCAGCCAGATGGCGGCCTTCGTCACTCGTGTTGCGTTTGTCTTTCCTACTTCGCGAGAAGAAAGATTTCCCTCCCGAGGACTGCCTCGACTTGTCTGTAGAAGACATGGTGGGGGCGGTATGACGGGGAGGCAGGTGAAACACCTGGTCCTCTCACGTAAAGCTCGATCGATGTAGGGTACGGTATTCTACAAAAGTTCAAGACTGACGGGACTGGGTAGTTCGGGCGAGAATGGTGGCCAAGGCCGGTCGCATGATTGAAGCTCTACCCGTCAACGTGGAGCCCTCTCGTAGGTGCAAAGTACGGTTCTGCAAATGTGGCGCGTTGGGTCTCTGTTCGCATGAATCGGTTATGTTTTAGCATGTCTTCTGCCCAAGTCTGGATCGAAGCAGACAGAGGTTTTGGAGTTAGTGACTGGGGGATGGAAGGAAGGGGTCCCCTGGATCACACGAGGTGGACGTACATTTCATCGCCGTGAAAATGCGACGAGTTCCTGATATTTGGCGGACTGACAGAACAAACTGCCGGGTCTGTTATGTGTATGTATAGCCTTGCCGTGTTGTTTTGCTGGGTAAGCGCCGGATTTAGATGAGCGGCGCCGTGGGATGGAGCCAGGGGGGGGGGTGTGGTTGAGGAGGAGCTGATCAAATCGCGGGAAGAAAAAAAAAAAAGGTTGTGGTGTCACAGTATGCGCAATTAAGGGTTGCCGGGTATCCAAGGCCAAGATCAGGTAGATGTCTGAAGAGGAGCAGCTATGTTCGCCCAGCAGAGTCACAAAGCTGATGGCGGGCTGACGACCTGCAGGAGGGCTGGCGATGGATAGTGACGGCGACGGGGGGACGCCGCAGGTATTTTGGCTGTAGTCAAGGTTTCCCACGTGAGGGTAGGGAAGGGGGAGGGGAAACGAGCAACAGCTAGACCCTCGCACGTATCCCGTAATGTCGAGACCTTCCTTAGCTCTCTGTCTATCTTCCTACTGTTGCTGCTGAACTCCAGCTGACTACCAGATTTTAGTGCCCGTCGGCGGCGGTCAAAGAAATTCGAAGAACATGGGGGAGGGGGAAAGGATGAGGGGACGTGTGTAGGCTCACTTCGACCTGTTCTGCAAACACGCCAGCCAACGATTTGCGAGGCCGTGAGTGACTGTAAAAGACCGAAGACGACGTTGCAAGTGCGGAGGCCCCTGATGAAACGGGGCTTGACAAGGGGCCACGATTGACTTGACACTTCAGGGGCAACAGATGTACGAGTTCTTTTTGGGGAAAACCGCCTGAGCGCTTTTGGGGGGGAGGGGGAAAAGAAAGAAGCCGCTCTGGGAGGGTACAGACCGCAAAATGAAGACAAGACTTTTGACTTGGCCACCGACAACCCAAAGCGTTTGTTGCAGTGGTAACAGACAGTTGGAATGGGGGGGGGGGGGGGTTTGAAAGGAAGTCAAAGAGAAAGATGGCGAGAACGACGAGAAACCCAAGGTCAAACAAAACCCAGCCAGGACATATTTACGAGACCATCCGGTGGATGGATGACTTGCTCACTAAGGTCTCCTCTTACTTCTCCTAAAATGTACATGAAAATGCGCCGTAATACGGAAGCTTGAACGGATCCGGCGCCAGCAGTGGGGATGGTGTTGGCGCAGTCGGTGCACCTACTACGTAGATGCGAGTATTGGTCTTGGTCTGCGGGACGCTGGAGGAGCCCGGGCGGGACATTGGACGTTCAATATTTTCGCATGCGATGCTACGGGGGGGACTACTGTGTCTCTCAGGGGGGAAAGGATTTGACTGATCACCGACTGACAAGTCACTAAGCCCGGTCATGACCAGCAAGAGCAAGAGTAGAAAGACAAAATCCAAGTCCGTGGGCAAGCCAGACCGAGTACGCCAAAGATCGCCCCTTCGGCAACTGCCAGGGTGTAGGGGGATTTACGCTCGCGGCCACGCATCAAGCGGGAACTTAATAATCTCAGCTCAGTCGAATGAGACCGGGAGTTCATCAGAAATCGTGCCACCAAGTTTACAATTCTTCAACAGTCCGAATCCCGTTCCCCCTTCTTTACTTTTATTTTTATTTTTACATTGTATCTTGCTCATCCCCCCAAGCGCAATCGTATGCCTATCCCACCTACTAGCCTACTAGTACGGTATGATAAGCACATGTACGACGTATCGTATCTCTTGAACCATCATCCACGCATTTCTATTGGGCGCGCAGTAGGCGATTCGGTGGACGGTTCAACTGCTGGTCCCTGAACTTCAGTGTGGTGCTGAAGCTAAAAAAGGACCCCTGGGCCTAATTACAATGCCTGCTGGGCGGCCTTCCATTTCGAGCGGTGCTGGATGGGGTCTCGAACCATGTACCTCCACATCCAAAAGTGGCGGTGGGGATACCTGAGAGGATACCTGAGATATGTTTGGCATCAATCTTCTTCTGGGGTGCCCATGGGTGCCCACCACCATTGAGGCCCAGCACCCTAAGCGATATGATGGGAATTTACGAAGAACTCAACCATGACGACGACCAACTGCCTGGTTTCGCTTGTCTTTGCGCTTCTTTCTAGCCAGACCGTTCCATTTGTGTGACCATGATATTTCTTTTATTACTTTTCTTTCTTCATCATCCAAGATTTGCTTTATTTGTATAGCATCAGAGACAGGAAAAGGAAGATACCCCCATTATCAAACTACTTGTAACCAGGAGTACTTTTTTTTTTTTTTTTTTTTTTTAAGATGGTGATCACCAAAGCTGTCTTATCCTTCAGCCTTCGCTTGTGAGCTTAGATAAGAAACTTGACATTTTCTGCCAGCATACCAGTACAGCAATAGTGGCGTACAGCCAGCCATGCAATTGTTGACCTGCACTCTCTTTTACGTATTTTTCTACCGCAGCATTCTCACCAGCATTAGAAAATCCTCAGGATGTTTCCCTCTCAGTAAACAACAGCAAAGCAGCGCCGGCACTGACCATCTCAAACTGTTGCAGACCTACTAGTAAAGAAGACACCCCATCAAGGTTTGCCCTGTCCCCTGCCTCTCCAGCCCCGGCACCCGTCGGAACAAGGTGGCTTGCCGTTTGCGTGTCGGCGTTACCTCGCTCCACGACACGTCAACCCAGCTTGCCTACGCTCTCCCCACGCCTACCATCAGGCCCAGCACCTTGGCAAGGCTGTCTCTACAATTGGGTCTGGTTTCTGGTTCTGGCTCTAGCTCTGGCTCTCGCCAGCCTTTCGTCCGCGCGCGCGTTGGCGGAAATCTTCAGCCAAGATTGCTCACAGCACTCGCTGTGCGCAGTCCAAAACCCAGAATAATTCCCAATAAAGGACCGAGAGTTTGGCATTCCACGGCCATTTCTCGTCATCACTGCTAGCCCAACATGGGTGCAACGATGTCAGTCATCAAGGTGCGCTTACTTGTCATGCCCTCGGCTCTCTACCAAGAGGCCCCATCGATCCGTGAGCTGACTGAACCTCTGCGCGAATCAGACTCTGATTATTCCCGCCGTCATCTCGTTGATCCTGTTCGTCGCCTCGACATACGTGATCTTGCCGCTATGGCGCAAATGGCGAAGTCGCTATAGCCAATATCTTCCGGTCGACACCATATCCGCTTCGACAGTTTCCCTACGCCACCGTATACAGAATGGAATCGCGAGAATGATGGTAGCCTCCACATGGAGACGCAACGCTCACGACCGCCTCGTCGTTGCGACCGAGCCTTCCGACGACGGTGAGGACGGCGAAGAGCTGGGCGAGGTGGGAGAGGAGACACGGAGGGCAATGTCAGATGATGCTCGGCGGAATAGGCATGACAACACGAGAAGACTAAGCAGAGAGTGAGTCGAGCATATTTTCCGGCTGTCCGCATTGTGTCCCAGCTAACATACGTCGCTTACAGCCTGGAAGAGGGTTTCAGAGACGACAGCGATGACAGTGACGATGATAATGAACGTAATAGGCCTGGGTTATGGCGGTAGTCGTTATTCTTAATATGCATATCAGCCTTGTTCTCCCTGGCTGCCTGCTGCAGCATCGTTTGACCACGAGACAAGAATTCGGCTGAATACCATCAGGCACAGGTTAGCAGCGCACAGAACCTATTTCTTCCGCATGCGACGCGACGTTGGGCTGGCGAACCGAGTCTCTCGACCGAGTTGGCCTGATCTAAATTGGCCTGTCACCGCAGACCTAAAATGACCATGCGCTCGTTTAGTTCTTCGGATCCAGGAGCAGCCTTGCCAGGCAAGACGAAATCGGTTTCTGCTACCATGTAGTATGAAAGTGTTTTCTCTCGCATCTCTAATGGCCGCCATTATGGAGGTGGAGGAGAAGGAAAGCAGGAAATGTGGCGACAGAGTGGCCAAGATGCGCATACATTTCAATGCTTCGCATCGGACATCAGCTGAACTTTAACCGTTGCCTCGCTTTTCGGCTTGTCTCGTTCGCTCTCTGCTATGTATGGCTGCGTCGGAGCCGTGGGAGTCAGGCGCAATTACCCCTCCGAAACAGCCGTCGCTCAGGCGCCCATGTTTCCGCCTTGCATTTCCCTCCCGCCATGCCTAGCTTGGTAATTTGTGTTCTCGCTTCACCATCGGGGGCTTGCCGCTTAACTCAACTCACCTCACCTCACCTCATCTCTTCGCCAGCCTCTTTTGTGTCTCTCTGTCTCCCACGCGCCGTCTCGTCCCAAAGGGCACGCGCTCAGAAGATAAGGTGCGGGATGAGTTTGTGGAGGTCAGCAAAAACACCGAAGCGGTCCTCTCCCCAGGAGGGGCAATGCATTCCTTCTGACAAGCGTCAAACGACTCTGGCCAATACTTGATGTTCCTCCAGGCCAGACTGAATGCTGCCAGCGCACATGTCAAGCATAGCCCAGCGAGCCGATGGCACCCCCTTTCACCTAAGGTATGGCTCTGTGCGTTTGCTTTTAAACAAGACCCGGCCTACCCAGTCAACAACTCGGATCAGGACAACGACAAGGTCAATGTCGTGCCACCTGCAAGGCACGATAAGCTTTCTGAAGTTGGCTGTCTTCCTATATGGGCAGTCCCTCTTTGCCGTGTTTCTCGGTGCCTTTGTTCATCACTGTTCATCGTCCACTTTATCTGAAATTAAACGGCTTGCCTAGTCCGGAATCCTCCAACGCCATTTTTTTTTTCCCCTTGCGTAATACCCCATTCGACCTGCTGGCTGCACTTATTTACCCATGGTTCGCTGCCTTGTCCCCGCTGCCGACTATGAACATTTTCAAATCCGTCATACGCAAGCAGGAAATGGCGTCTAATCCCGCTGCCGACGATACCTGCTGCGCGATATGCTACGAGAAAGTTGGCGAGGCCAAAGGAGAGGGCGACCGGGAGATCTGGCGATATCTGCCCTGCGGTCACCGCTTTGGCGGTAACTGCATACAGCACTGGCTAGGCGTCGCGAGCGTTGATGAGCCTCACTGCCCATGGTGTCGGGTCAGCATGCTTTGTGACTGCGGGCATCCCGTGGTACCGACGACGAAGCCAGCACGCAACTACATGTACTGGGGTTGGATGCCTTGCGAGATATGCCACACTCAGCTACAACGATCCCGCAAAACGTCAAGATACCTGAGGGGACAGATCCTACCGCGACTCAACTCCCTCCTCCACTCCTTTGATCACAACACGGCGTCTATCCCGCAGGAGGTGCCAAAAGAGCAGGAAGAATCGCCGACAAAAGAACCTTGGGAAGATCGCGAGGTATGGAGGAAGAAATGGACCGAACACTTTTTGCAAGAGGAGCGTAAGGCGTCGGCGTCGAAGCCGCCCAATAAATGACACCAATTGTGCAAGCAAAGGCGAATGAGGAACACCAGCCCCCGGGAGTGATATTGTCACCATTTTATACCGCCAGTTCTGGGAAGACGTGGGCATTTCAGCGGCGTATCGCAATCAAGCACCATGCTAATATGGCCCTTGATGTTTGTTTGTCAGCCCCAGCCGCATTCACAAGAAGAGACAGGCAATGGCACATTTTGTCGTAAGCATAACCAGCTTGGAAAGCCACTGAGGCTATAAGATACAGCAGTACAGGAACAGGATCCCGTTTATTCGTATCAATTAGGATTATTCTTCTTGAAAAAAAAAAAAAAAGAGACCCATGTTAGTCTTTATTGTATCATCGTCGTAATCACTCATCCTTCCTCAGTGTGTAAGCCTGCGTTCCAGCCTCGATACCTGTCATACATATGACAGGACACAGGAACATGTATGGGGTCTATTCTCCATTATCTGTAGCAAGTTGTCCAAGTCCGTCTTTTTTTTCCTGTTGTCTCCTCCACTCACTTCCCTTCCTCCATAGAGCCAATCAAATCGAGATCGTTCAAAGATTAGAGAATACAAGAAGAGAGAAACTGGTTCGAAGTGACCACCATGTGTCTCGGCTCCATTTAGAAGGATGGGCTAGACTTGCCTCTTCACACCCTCATACTCTAATCAACCCCCCCTCCCCGCTCGTCAACGTCACACGCAAGCCATTTTTGGGATCCCACCTCACCCTTCTAGCAATTTTACAAATACCTGAAGGTCGCTCGGTGTTGTGTAAGTGGACGACTCGGAAACCAGCCGGGTTCTACTGGGCAAACTGCGCACATCAGGTGATGGCGAGGTAGGCGCGAACTGTGAATGGGGTGAGGTTTCCCAATCTGGCCCCGCTAGACCAGGACCTACCCCGCGCTAAAGAGTTCCGCTCTGCAGCGACCGGCATATGGCGGCAGGCACCCACACTACACGTACCTAACGTGCCTTCCCCTTGCCTAAGTGTCATCACTATGCAGCAAGCAGGAGGAGGAGCACCTTTCCATAGCACCGCACTACTAGTACATAGTACAGCAGCGATACCTTAGCGTGCGCGGACCGCGTCCTACTTTCCCACTCTACGCGTCGTACAGACATGCATACCACCCAAAAACGGAAACTAGCTTCTGTCAGCGACCTCCGAGTTCTCCCCGACATCACATTCACGCCCAGGTGTAACGCACACACTCTCTGTTGCATTAGACGCTCGCAAACATAGACCCTTTTCTCGGTTCCCCCCAAGAAAAAAACATGCGATTCAAGACAGAGCTCAAAAATATTCGCACCTTCTCCAGTGCGCTTGTCCTGTTCCTGTCAACAGGATTCCAGTAGTGGCTGACCATAATGTTATATCCGTAGAGTTTACCGCCGCACTTGCTTCACTTGAGAAGATTGCATGGGTGCGACTCGACGATGACACAGCGCGCTTCACCGTGATCCCGGACACCGGATCTCAAGTTTGGTCGTATGCTCGGCTCGTGTTCGTTTGCAAGCATGCTGAACCACCGAACTGACACTTGACAGGTCCCTGCCCATGGACTTCATCTTTGACAATTACCACATCCAGTCCGCCGAGGAGCACAATACCATCAACTTGGAGCTCCCACTCTCGCTACTTCAGCGCGCACTTCGCTCTGCTCTCAGCAGCAGCTCCGCCTCTCTCCGTCTGACTAAGAAGGATGGGATCCCAATCCTGTCGATGACCATCACAACCACCACCAGTGCGTCAGGTGCCGGACGCAATACCACCTACACGGGATTGGAAAATGACCCGTTTGATGATGATGAGGGATTTATGGCTGAGCATCTCGAAACCTCACTCCGCCGTGAGCGAGAGAAGATCATCACTCAGGACATCCCCGTGCGGGTTTTGCACCCAGAAACTGTCGAGACCATAATGCAGCCTACTGTGCGCGAGACAGATGTTCACATTACGATGCCTCCTTTACTCCAGCTCAAAGCCATCTCTGACCGGTTCACCAAACTCGCAATGTCGTCCAGTAACTCACGTGTGGGCCCCAAGCTCGAGATAAGTGCCAACATGTTTGGTAATCTGAAGCTCCGGATGGTGACTGAGAGCGTAAACGTCTCAACGACATGGAGTGGGCTGGTGAACCCGGAACTAGATCCCGCGCAATTTGAGATGCCTATCGAAGAGCACCCGAGTGTCAGGTTCAAGGAGGCAGGTCCCGATAAATGGGCGACAGTAAGAGTAGACGGGAAGGACTGGAGCAGGGTACTGAGCGTTGGGAGACTTGAAGGGAGGGTCGTCGCTGCTTTTGCAGATGAGCATGCGCTTATTCTTTATGTCTACGTACCGCAGTATGACGATGCCGGAGCGGATGAGGCGGTTCTCACGGTAAGCTTCCAACTCAAGCATTTCTGTAGGATGTTACTAACCATTGGCAGTACTATGTAGGGTCTTTTAGCCTGTAATCACCATGTCTGCAACCATGGATGGGATCGTGGAAAGGGGGGCGTTCAGCAAGATGGCGAAAAGTTTGGACGAGATAGATACCAGATTCGGCTGGGGGCTTCAAGCCTGGATAGAACTGTATTCACGAATGGACGATACAAATGAAGATTTAAATAATACAGTGATTTAAGCGAGCATGCCATGTTCTTCTCCCTTCACGTTATAGCAATTGACCTTGGAACATGTGATTGATTCAAAATCACCGGGTATCTTTCGTTATTCGTATGTAACAGTTTTGTAGTAACTTTCTCACCGACGGCGCTCATCCGGGCTGCGTCTGCGATCTCTCGACCGCGGTCGCTGACCTTCTCTGCTCCTGCTCCTCCGACGGTGCTCCTTGCGCTCGCGCTCATGGCCTCGGCTACCACTTCTCGCTCTCCGGTGCCGTCTCTCACGATTCTCGTCGCGATCTCTTACTCGCTCCTCGCGGTCGCCATCTCGCTCTTGATGACGCCGGTCGTCCCCACGATCCCTTTCTCGGCTCCTGCGCCTGTCATCATCTCTCCTCCTCTCCCGCCTCGGGCTCCGGCTCCGATGTCTTCTCCTCCGATGCCTATCTTCATCTCTTTCCCGTCTCTCCCTCTTGTCCTTTACTACGAGCCCGCCCTTCTCTTCCGGAACAGGCATAGGCGCAGGTCCAATGTTACGCGACCCGGTGACTTCGATAGAATTCGCGCCCGACGTGTCCCGTTTCGGAACGGGCAATCCCAGCGCGCGCGCGAGGGCGTCTTCTTCCGCCTCTTTGACCTTGCGCAGTTCCTCGCGGCGCTCGCGCTCCTCTCGCTCCTGGTCCGTCTCGTTGCTGTCGCCGGGCTTATCGTCGGACTTGGCGTACCAGTTCAGATCACGACCCTTTTGCCAGCGGCCGACGGGGGCCTTGAGACTGTGGCCAAGGTAGTTCTCGCGGTGGCTGGATTGCGCGACCTCGTCCCAGCTGAAGTTGACGCCGCCGCGGGAGCCGGATTTGCGGACGCTCGAGAGGAGGTCCATGGTGAGAAATGTGCAGTGTTTTGATTCCCTCGTGTTTTTTTTTTGAGATTTATTTTTCTGTTGCTCGTTCGTGGATAAAAAGATGCTTATTTGATGATTATTTTGTTTCGGTGGTTGTGACTTCGTTATGGTGGTTAATACTTGGGAAGCTAGGTTCGGAATCTAGACTAGGAAGTAACTTCGGCAGGCAACACCTTCACGTGACCCCGTCCCGCCCCGGAGCACACCCCCTGCTCTACATAACACCGGGCGGTAACTCTGCTCCCTGCAAGTTGGATCCTAATAAGCTTCGGCCCCACGATTACAAAAGTTGGAGAGCTCTCTCCCGCCTTTGCGTGCACTTTACAGCATTGCCCGGTCCACGAATCTAGTTCCCACATTCCACAAACACCGCCAGCACCTTCAACCTTTCCAGCGACAATCACCAAATATGGCCAACCCAAACGATCCACCTCTGGACGAGATCCAATGGCGCGCACCAGACATCGCGGCCTCGATGCAGGGCATTCACTCAAACAGTGTGCTCTTCTATTTCGCCGAGTCGCCCTTCTTCGACCGCCAGTCCAACAACGCCGTTATCACGAACCAAGCCATGTTCAACCCGGCGCTTCTCAAGAACCTGGCCACTCGCGAGGCCTTTGAGGGCGAACTCGACAAGATGAGCGGGCTTGAATTTCGGGTGCTCCACGCACCCACCGACATGGTTACCGGCACGGGCGTATGGACCATTGTGAAGCAGACGCGGCAGAAGAACCCGGAGAGGAACAGGATGGAGACGAAGCCGTTGGCGTACTACTTCGTGGTGGGGGAGAACATTTACCAGGCGCCGACTCTGGGTGATATTCTCAGTTCGAGGATCGTACGTTCATAGAGCGTTCCAATGGCAAGAACTACAAGCTGATACGGACATAGGAATCGATAGCAGAGGCAATGCGCAAAGTCCTCCCCGCTACCGACAGCGTACGGAAGTGGACACCCTCTCTCGGGCACGTCTACACCCAACCGACGCCCTCCGCGCTTTCAAAGACTAAAGAGGACGCCACCAGCACGCCGATGCCCGACGGTAGCACATCCAACGGCGGCTCCTCTGCCAAAGCCACCAACATTAGTAAAAAGGAAACGACAGCTATGGCGCTGGATAGGCTGGCGGAAGAGTCCTTTGCGATTCACATGCGCCACGGCGGGGACTACTTTGACGAGAACCCCATCACGGGCAGGCCCGGCGACTTCCACTTCGCCAGCACCGGCCGCAAAGACAACAGCAAGATCGCGCCGCCTCCGCCTCCGCCGGCGCAGGCTCAAAAGCCGCAGAAGCCCGGGATCAACACGAAACTTGCGGAAGATGCCAAGAAGGACGGCAAGGGCGAGAAGAGCCCCAAGACGCCGAGCATGCCGAAGCCCAAGAGGAAGAAGAGCAAGATTGCGACGCCGGCGGCGACGCCTGCTCCTTCGCAGTGAGGGAGGAAAGAAGTGGCAGCATGGGTTACGGCGTTTGAGTGTAAAATGATACCCCTTTTTGCTTAGAGTACTCAAATTCACATTGCGGTATGGAAGTTGCTTACAACGGGTCTGTGACGACTGTTGAACTAATAGAAGTACCTTGAGGTAGTGAAATGGCCTTGATTCTACCTTAAAACTCATTCATATCAACTAAAAACTTGGAAACAAAATCCCGTCCAGAACCAGACACCCGTTTTTATTCAAAGTCATTCCAAGTCCATCACCTCTCTACCCATCCACTACTCTCCCTAAGCCACGTCTCCCAACTCTGCAACCTCGGCTCCATCTCCCTCAACATCTCAACATCAGCTTTATACCCTTCCTTCTCAAACCACTCCATGCTCCGCCCGGCATCCTCAAAAGCCCATCTCACAGCGTGCCCGACGAAACCCCACGTCCGCGGCATCTCCTTGCCAACGACCCGTCTAAAAGTCTCCTCCGCCTCGCCGAAACTGATGTCGTCGCCGGCGAGCGCGAGCGCCTTGCCCGCCCACTTCCCGGGGCCCTCTGCCAATGCCCTCGCGGCAAACAGCCCGATATCCCTCGCGCTGACCAGCTGCAGCCTCTTATCTCGAGGCATGGTAGCCCACAACCCGCCCATCACCGCACCCATGGTCCCCGCGCTGGGGAGGTACTGGTCCATAAACCCGGACGGCCTCAGGATCGTCCATTCCGTGCCTGTGCCGGCCGACTTGTCCCTCAGGTGCAGTTCGACGCGATGCTTCGCAGCAAAGTGCGGCACCGGGGTCGGGTTCGTCCACGAGGTCTCGTCGCCGCCGCGGTCGACGCTTGAAAAGACTATGTGCGGGACCCCGTGAGCTATCGCGGCGTCGATGAGCGGGGTAGCTTGCGCTTCGTCCCCCGGCGGGACGGTGACGAGGTAAATTGCTGATATGTCTTTGTGAGAGGCGAATATCGGGTCCGGGCTGGCTGCATCGCCTTCGACTAGCGTGATGGAAGGGTGTGAGGAGAGCAGAGATTGTGATTTCCGGGAGGACGGGGACCGGGTCAGGGCAAGGATGGACGGCGGCGGGTTTGGGTGCGAGGCGAGGGCGGCGATTGTTGCGCTGCCTGTGCGTCCTGTTGCGCCGACGACGAGGATCTTTGGGGGCTGCGTTGTCATTGTGGTGGTCATCAACTTTTTCTTTTGTGATATGTTATGTTTCGTTGTTGAGAGGGTCCATTTTGACTTTGGGGATTGCCGCGGGAGGTATATAAGCTTATATTCCGTGATGCCGTGCAGATCGTGGAGACTTTTCGGAAACATTTGGGGGTGAGTACTAGCGCGCCTCCAAATTATCCATATGAGCGAAGTGAGTGAGGATGCATTGAATAGAAATATCTGGGGTATACACTGAAGAATAAAAGGCATGTTCATCGTCGTTACATGACAGACATACGTGTCGAAGTGGTTTTTAATTTTGTTAATACTGTTCCTGACAAAGAGAGATATGTTCGACTCAACCCATGTTTCGTCAGTATGCGACATCCATCTTAATCTCTATATAAATTAAGTAGCAGATATAAACCCGAATCTGGTTTAAATACACATACCCGAAACACTCTGTTCTTTTCCATCACGTTCTGTGTCCAGTCATGGTTTAATATCTGTCAATCTCCGGTCCAACCCCAAGCCTCATCGCTACTAGTCTGGATTCCCAGCTATGTTTCTATGTAAATTCAATAAAGAATACAAAAGAATGGGTAAACCAGCTGCAAACTTCTAGTTGATAACATATCCCCCATCAACTGAGAGGGCAGCGCCGTGGATAAAGGTCGATTTGGAGCTGCAAAGAAACAGCACGGCATCTGCCACTTCTTGGGGCGTCCCCTTGCGCTTCATAGGGGCCACCGCGATGATTGGGTCATCTTCGGATACTTCGTTCGTCATTGGGGTACTGTTTCGTTAGTGGGATTGCTGAAAAAGACATCGTTTCTTCCGACTTACTCTATGATTCCAGGACAGACGCAGTTGATTCGGATGTTGTACTTGGCATACTGCTCTTATTAGAAAACAAGTCTATGGAATATGGGATGGATGTGTATATCTTGGAACTCACATCGACAGCATCGCTCCTTGTCATACTCAAAATAGCTGCTTTGGATGCGCTATACGCAGCTGGAAAAGGGTTCAGAATAGATTCCGAAGCAGAGAGCAGCGTAACTCACGTGTTTCCGGTCGACTGACCAGGCTCAAGTTACTGGCAACATTGACAATGACACCTCTGTTTCCAGGCCTTCCGTCGTGCGTCTTCAGAGGTTCTTGCTTGATCATCTGCGTGAGCTCCGCCTTGGAACATAACCACGTCCCGCGATAGTTGGTGGTCGTGATCTGATCAAATTCTGCTGCAGTCAAGAGATGCGAAGGAGCCAGTGGGCCAAACATGCCTAATTTGTTTTTGTTAAGCCCATCCATTGACCTCACTCATTCCGTTTCATGAGGGAGAAAATTGACGTGTGAGATGACCTACCAGCACAATTAACGGCATAATCGATCCGTCCCCATTCCTCCGTCACGTACTCCATGCCGGCAGCGACGTCCTCCTCATTGCGGTTGTCGATTTCAATGACAAAGGTCCGCGCGTCGCCATTAGCCTCCCGGCACATATGCGCCGTCTCGGAGAGACCGTCTTCATCTCTGTCTAAAAGGGCGATGCGCTTGCAGCCCTCACGTGCGAAAGAGATGGCCACCTGACGGCCAATTCCTAGAGTCCGGTTAGCTAGACTAGCCCTTACACTTAAATCATGAAAAGCATCCAATCAAATTCAATTTTATTTATAAAGAAGAAGGGGGAAAAAAAATAAGGTTGATATAAGATGTGAACGTTCGGTAAAGGTCAAGTGCGGGTGAGTGACATACCTGAAGCAGCACCCGTCACGACGGCGACGCCCTCGAATAGTGACATTTTCGTCCTGTTGATCATTGAATGCTTCAGGTCGACTCTGGCGAGCCTGCAGGACGAATTTCATTCCAGAATACCGCCAGTGCGGGACCGATTGGGCGCCGATCTGCTCGGGATGACGATTCTGTGATGTATTCGGTCGGTGTGTAAGCAACTCACTCTGATTCAACCAGCGATTCGCCAGAGAGAAAGGCAAAGCTGGGAGAGGCTGGATGAGTAAACACGACTATTTGGAAATATTTCAAGGTTTGAATTTTGCAAAGAAACTCAATTGCGGTCCGAGTAGAGCAAGCGGCACACCACCGCGGAAAAAGTGCTTGCGAACTTCTGCTCGGGCCAGCACCAGGGGTTACAATTTTGCTGGCTGTTTTTCCTTCGTCTGAAGTTGTCGGCCTTGACGGGAGAAACACACGCGAAGAACACGTAGTCGAGTCGTACACATAAAACCAATACTGAGTAATTCCAATAGACGACAACTCAAATTGGACCGATCCTCCTCCTGTTCTCGCCACGTGTTCAGGCCTTTCGAAGGTGTTTGCGCGAAATGGTTCGCACGGATACTGTGCTCGTGATCATCATGCCAGGCTTTTGCTCCCACAGTTTGGTTTGGTAGTCGAGGCATTGCCGAGTGAAACACTTTTATACAAATAGCCTTCTGGAACAAGCACGGAAGTCGACATGTCATAGCTTTTGTTGACGATAGACTGAACAAAGTCTACCGCAACGGAGCCCTGACACTACTACCATCGGATAATGAATGTTGAATGTCACGCGAGTAACGTAACACCACTTGGACAGAACGCTTGGCCTCTATTCTTTAATGCAAAATAATGCTACAATAACTTTTTTATTTTTTTATTTTCAAAATCCTCCAAACACCTTACTCGACGACCCATCCCTTGCCAGCAACCTTACGTTGCGTGACCTTCTTCATCGGCAGCGGCCAGCCCTGGCCTCCCACGCCCTCGGCCCGGAGGTATGGCACAACCCACACCTCACGCGTCGATGCTGTCGCGGACAGCTCCTTCACCGGCTTTCCGTAGCTCACAAGCGGCGTCCCCTTGGCCAGACTTGCGAGCTGGCCTCCCGTGACGTCTGTGAGCGTGTGCATTCTCGTCTTCGGCACCTTGTTCGCGTCGCCCTGCGTTGCGCGCGCCAGGTGCGAGTACACCACGAACTCGGGACACTCGGCTGGGCTGAGGTGGGACAAAGGCGAGGAGGGGTGGATGTAGACGAACTTCTCTGCGTCCTGGCCCGTGCCGAGCGGGACGAGAGGGATGTAAGGCACATCGATAGCCCGGCGCGGCTTGCGGGCCAGTTCGGGTGGGACGGGCGCCTTGTCCGCGCGGAGGGCGACCTGATCGATGAAGCCTGCGGCGACCATCTGCTTGAGATACGCAACCTGCTTGTCAGAAGGCGCATCCAGCTTGTCCTGGTACTTCAAGTTCTTGAACGCCGGGATGTTGGCGCGGAGAAGCTCCGTGATTTGGCCCCTCAGCTGCGCAATCTCCTTCATGACCTTGTACCGCACAAAGTGGCTCTCGCACCATTGTTCCGTCGGCTCGTGCGCGTACTCGCCGACAACCTGCAGAAGCTTGATGGCGTCGGAGCGGTCGTCTAGGTAGCAGAATTTCTTGTGTGCGGCGTTGAACATGCGGCGGATGTTGGCCTGTCGGTCTTCGGCCAGCATATCGGTGGTGGTGCGGAACTCGGACTCGTCCTTGGCTGCCAGCGTGGGGATCGCTTGGTGTTCCGGGACGAAGATCTCGGCCGCCGAGAGCGCTGCCACCATCATAATGGTGTACTGCAGGCAGTCGTGCTGGTGGCCGACGAGGAGGATGCGGGCGAAGCGAGGAGAAAGAGGGAAGATGGACATCGTGGATCCAATGGGTGTGATCTGACCCTCGGGTTTAATGGCAGATAGGTAGGTGAGAAGCTTCTCAGCCTTACGCAGGCCCATGCGGTTCGGCGGGGTCGGGAAGGGGAAGTTGACGACATTGGAGAGGTTCATCGCCTTGAGTTGAAGTACAACGCCGTCGACGGGCATGCGGAGGATTTCGGGATCGGTAAACTCTGGGAGATCCCTCTCGTAGACGGCCGAGGAGTAGAGTCTGTAGCAGTGGCCGGGGCCGGTACGGCCAGCACGACCTGCTCGCTGGCTGGCGCTGGCTTTGCTGATCCAGCCAATTTCATAGGTTTGCACACCGCTGATGCGATCGTATTGACGCTCCTTGGCACGGCCGCAGTCGAAGACGTAACGGATACCCGGGATAGTCAAACTAGTTTCTGCCACGTTGGTTGCCAGAATGACTTGACGGGTGTTGTCTGGGGGTTCCTCAAAGACTCTCATCTGTTCCCTGGTTGGCAGCAGAGAGTAAAGGGGCAAAACTTGCATCTTCAACGGCCCTGTCTCCCCTTCTTCTCCCTCAATCTCAAACTCCTTGTCATCCTCATCTTCCATCTCATCGTCGTCGACGTTGTCGTCAAACTCGCCAACATCTGCATCTTCCACCTCACCAAAGTCGATATCTTCAACCTCCATTGGCGCATCCGTCGCAGAAATCTGGACTTTGGGTGCACTGGCTCCAGTGAAGCCTCCAAATGCGGCTCGCAGCTTCTTGCTCAGCTGAACGATTTCATTCTGACCCGTAAGGAAGACGAGGAAACCACCTGGCGGCAATTTTCTATGACCTCGCATGATCTTCTTGTAGGCCTCATCGACGTAATCAGATTGCGTGCGTCGGGAGAAATGGATTGTGACAGGGTGCTGACGGCCCTCAACCTCAACGACAGGAGGTGGCGTCGGGAACAACGTAGAGTTGTTAGTCATGTCCTCAACTCGCAATGTAGCAGACATGATGATGATTTTAAGAGGCTTGATCGAGGGGTCGATCTTGTCATCTCCTTTGCGGATGTTGTTGATACGACTCAGCATACCAATAAGAATATCGGTGTTTACACTTCTCTCGTGGGCTTCATCAATAATGATGGCGGAATACTTCCTCAAGGAGAAGTCCTGCGCCATCTCTCGCAGCAATACACCGTCTGTCATGAACTTGACAGCGGTCTTGGCAGACGTTGTTCCCTCGAAACGAATCTGGTAGGCAACCCTGTCCGAGTGATCACCCAGCTCTTGGCCGACACGTTTCGACATGCTCACTGCGGCGACTCGACGGGGCTGCGTAACACCGATCATTCCCGGGGTGTCCGAGGTAGGAGAGCCGTAGCCTGCCTCATATAAGAACTGAGGAACTTGCGTCGTCTTACCAGAACCGGTGGCACCGCAGACAACAACGATGTCGTTGTTGTGGATCATTTCCATAATCCTCTGTTCCTCTGCGACAACAGGAAGCTTCAGGCGCGCCTCCTGGATCTCGGGCGTCCTCGTCACCGTGACACTGTATGCCTTGCGGGCAAGGTTGGTCGTTGGCTGGAGTTCCTGAGGTAGCGGCTCCTGCTCCATGGGTCGTGGCGTGAAGTTCTCCGGCTTAGGAATATCGAGTGTTGTCGCCGACGCTGTTACCGGCTGGTAGCCTAGCGCCTGGTTTCTCTGAGCATGTGCCCAAGCCTTGAAAGCAGATTGCTTCTTGTTTCCAGAGTCGCTCTCATCCTCGTCCATATCTTCGTCGGAGTCGTCGGAGCCCTCACTTGATTCCTCCTCAGATTCCTCTTCCGAAGACTGCTCATCAGAACTCTCATCATCCTTTTCATCTTCATTTTCACCCTCTGAGCTGAAACCACCCCATTCCTCCTCTGCATCGTCCGCCTTTTCGGCCTCAGCGATGGAGAACTTTGATTGGATACCGCCCCTCTTTTGACGCTTCCGCAGGACTGGGCGGCCTTCTTCGTCGACGTCTAGCGGGCGCTTCAAACCCGATCCCACAGACGCGGCGGGCTGCGGTTGCGGTTGAGACTGTTGCTCCGGCTTGGAAACAGGCGCAGTTGCTGGTGTAGGTGCCGCCGAGGATGGCTTTGGCGCTTGTGACTTGACGGCCTTTGGCGGCTCGATTGTCTTTGGTGCCTCATCCTCACTCTCTGAGGACTCTTCCTCGGGCACTTCCTCCCTTTCCTCATAAAGCATCTCCTCCGCAGCCGGATCAACTTCCAATCCCGCATTCTTTTCCCTCAATGCACGAGTCAAGGCTTGGCGCTTGGTTTCCTTGCCTTGTCCTAGCGACTTTGTACTCGTGAACAGACTGGTGTCGACCTTCTGCTGCGCAAGCTTGGCCAGGATCTCTCTGTTCTCATCCTTCCGCAGCTTGTTCGTGATGTACTTCTCCATACGCTTCGCCTTCTTGCCGCTGACTTTGGCGCCATCTTTGAGTAAGTCGGCCTTAAGCTGGGCCCTCTTTTCCTGCAAGACCTTCTGGTCCTCGGGGAGGATCTCATCAGCATTTGAGTCGGGGATTACACCGTTCTCCTCGGCTTTTTGCCGGGCGATCTTCTTGTGCTTTCGCTCTCTGCGAACAAATTTGCCGGCCATTTTGAAGGTGCTTTATGCCCGAGTAGGTTGGGCAGGAAATTCTGGGGTTGTAGGAGAAATTGTTCCAATCCACGCCCTGTTGTGGCGATAAGTGCTGGCTCAGAAGATCTCAAGTGAGATGTTGCAGTCTTAGATGCGGCAATGAGAATCGACTGAGCTATCGAGCTCTCAGTAGTGTAAAAAATGGGAAAAAATTGATCAAAACCAACGACTTTGTTTTAAATAAAAGCCATGACTCCCACGGGTATCAATACTCGGCAAAATACCTTGGATTATTTACTTCGTCGTTACCGCAGCTATTGAAGGCGATAAGAATCGCGATTCGAATGTCTGGAAATTTTTGGGTGGAAAAGGTTCTGCCGTCTTGACCGCCTACAAAGATTTCCCGATTCTGGCTTAGTGAGGGTACTGCGGGGCCACCAGCACCCCTGCCCCGGCAGCTTTTATGGGGCCCGACATCACTATAGGCACTAGCCACTGATGGTGGTGCACTGGAGTTCACCAAAGACAACCATATACCGGTCCGACTTGAGTGCGGGTGATCTTCGATTGCATTCACCCTGAGTCTGCCAGTATATCTGATTCCATTTAGCAGCGCTTCGAAGAAAGCATAGACATCTCGTTACTGGCAGGATAATGGATCCCCAAGGTACCAGAGAAGAGGCATTCCCCGCCCGGACCAAGCAAGAGACGGGAACAGTCAATGGAGTCCCAACAGAGGCCACTTCCATAAGCTTTTCCGACAAGATCATGGTGACGATTTCACAAGATGGTAAACTCTCACAGTGGGTAAGTGAATAAATTTTCTTCAACTCATAGAGTTCTGTTGCTGACTTGATCTAGATTCAAGTACCACTTCAGGCTTCTTCAGGCGGCATGGTTGATCTGAGTCTTCCCTCAAACAGCCGTGGTCTGCTGCCTTCGGTGCACCTCACACCCAAGACCCTTCTTGGTGGTGGAGGTGATGAGCGAGAGACGCTTGGTCAGCTCTATGCTGCACAGATCGCCAGTCTCATCTCCACCCGAGACCCCGAAGATCGCAGAACGCTGGTTCTGGGTTTAGGTCTCAACAAGGTAGACACAGAGCGGGAGGCGTTCTTTGACACCATCGAGCTTGTCCAAAAAGTTCTGTGAAGTGTCATGAATCATCACAGAAAGTGCTGGCCGGCGACAGAGTAGAAGCCAACCTCTACAAGCCTTTCCAGACCCGAGGCCAGCTGCATTTAAACATGGGGAAGATTCACATGATAGACATCGCCCTGCCCCCGGGGAAGCCTGGAGTTTCGCCGTCTCCGCTCTGATTTATTTGAGCGAGAATGGGGTTGCACAAGAGGAGAACGGCTGGCAGCCACGATGTAGTTGCAAGGGCAACGGCGGTCCCCGTAGGATAACCACGGCTTTGAATCCTTCCGGACCTAACACGTTTGGGGGATGGATTATAACTAAACTGAGCATGGATTTGTTTTGTAAAAAGTGCTTTTAACTACAGCGCAGTCTGTATGAACTTCAATAGTTCAGAGTAGCTCAAGATAAGCTCTCGACGGCTATTCTTCCGCACCGTTGACTTAACTCGAAAAGTTAAATCGTATCTTTGCTTTCACCGCTAACAATTTACCTGAAACTTGAAAAGTCCATTAAGCCATGTTCGCCGTGATAACCCACTGTTCGAAGTCAGAATTTAGAACATTGTCGATAGCCCCTGCCGGATCCGCGAAGCTTATCGGAAGGCAAGACCCACTCGCAGCTCCGGGACGGCCTACGCTGTCGCCGGCAGCCGTGTCCGAAACCCCGATGAGTTTGTGATGATTTTGGGTAAAAGCGTGCTGATTCGTCTCATAAAACCATGAGCACCCCCCTCCTTGTCTCTCCAACGGAAAGCGTCCCGGCCTGCATTGGACTGGAGATCCTAGCGCAACGCACCCCGCTTCCGAACCGATTTCGGGAATAAGAGGTGCAGTTGCTATTACACACATCATTCATCGGCCAGTGCGGAGAAGATTACGACATTGCCGAAACAGAAGTCCTCGGGTACTACTGAAATCGCTTGAAGAGTAGCATCTCATAAGCTGAAAACATCATAAACTGACTACTTGTCATGAAACGAATTCAGCAGCTTGGTTATCAACTGGCTTCCTACAAGAACGAGATCATGGCTCCTTCAAAGTTTACCCTGAACGAGAATGGCATCCCGCCGTTCGATTCCCTTCCTCTCGGAAAAGATGACCCAAGGTATTCCGCCTGGGGCTTGTACGGTGATAAAGACGAGCTGGGCTCCTTGAATAGACTGACAGATGAGCGTGTTGCTGCCGCGGCCAGAAGCGAGATCAAAAGGGGATCAAGGTAAACCAACGCCCTTCTTCCCTTGGCTTCAAAGGCCATCGATACCCTTCTCGCCTTTCACGACCCTGGGACTAATTTTCAGATAGGGTCTCATTGAACTGGTCTCTCACAGCCCAGCCCCAACCCTTTTTCGCCCGCCAGGCCTTTCATCACGAACTTTACCGCAAGGCTCCCCGCTATGTCAACGACGATGTCTGGACCTTTAACTCACAGTCCTCGTCCCAATGGGACGGCCTCCGCCATTTTGGATACCAAAAGGAAGAGAGGTTCTACAACGGCGTAACCATGGAAGAAGTCCATGCCGTCGACGACCAAGGGAAAAGGTCCACCATCAACGGAATCCAAGGTCATTCTCCCATCTCCCATCTCCTATCTCCTAGGCCTACTTCTCAAACCTGACTACGTGGACAGCCTGGCAAAAGCACGGCATCGTCGGTCGTGGAATCCTCGTAGACTACCACACCTGGCGCCTCGAGCAAAACAAGCCGTATGACCCGTTCGCCCGCGACTCCATTCCCGTATCGGACCTCCAAGCGTGCCTCAAAGCACAGGGAACCGAGGTCAAATTCGGAGATATCCTGTTCACCCGTACAGGTAATCCACCTTTTGTCACCAGTGTGACATGTCACTTTTGGAAAATAAAACATAGCTCACAACAACAACAGGCTTCATGGCAACACACGCCACAAAGTCGCCCACGGACCTCGAAACCTACCGCAACGCCAACCCGCAAGTGTTCGGCGGCGTCGCCCAGGCCGAGGAGACCCTCCGCTGGGTCTGGGAGAACTTCTCGGCCGTCGCGGGAGACCAACCGGCCTTTGAGTGCTGGCTGCCTCGGGACCCGCAGTACTGGATGCACGAGATCCTCCTGGGCGGCTGGGGCATGCCCATCGGTGAGCTCTTCGACCTCGAGGCCTTGGCTGAGAAGTGTAAGCAAGAGAAGAGGTGGAGCTTCTTCGTGTCGAGCGAGCCGTGCAATGTTCCTGGTGGTGTCGCAAGGTAAGTAATCTTCCCTGGCACATTCATGTGTATCTTCGCTAGAGGGGGACATCGACAAAAAAGTATTGGATAAGCCCAGTGTCACTAACATGATTGAAGCCCGCCCAATATCCTGGCCATATTCTAATTAGTGGAGTTGGTTTTTTCTTGGATGACTGGAGGAGTTAGGGGCGCATCTACTACGTCTGACTGGCGCGTCTACTTGGTACCTCAGTTGGTATGATACGCACGTCAACCGCGGAGACGAGCAATGGGAGAACCTGACTTAGTCTTACAGCCTCATCCAGTGCTGACCACTTATTTCAATTTCAGAGGGACTTGCTTGCAGGAGGGAATCTTATCAATTAGGAGTTGTTTGCATATACCCCACCTGAGATTCGAACTGCAAACTGCCTAGTCGGTTCTATAAGTGGCTTTAATGACCTGGCAGCCCAGGCAAAGGCAGCTGAGTCCCCCTATATCCGCAAGCACCATACTTGAAGGATACCCTTCAACATGTATTCGTACGCCAGCTTTTTTAGCCGACCTAAATGATGAGATTGAGTGTCAAACCCGACGCCCTGATTGTGCTTAGTCTCACACAGCTCTATCACGAAAAATGTTTCATCCCCTAGAACCATCGCTTCATCCCTTATGACTCTTGCGATCACTTCAAATAGTGTTAGAGCAAGCTTCCTTTGTGAAGAGGTTGATGTTAAAACTTACGTGCTCAGTCTCCTGGACAATTGTTGCAACTTCTTGTCATTGGCAGCATCCTCGGCCGCCTTCTCCAAAGCCTGCTTCCTCTCCTCCTCTTGGTGCTTAACAACCTCCTCGTGGCTGGGAGGGAATCTCTCGTTCTGCAAATCGACCTTGCGAGCATCCTCGAATGTGTTAATAGCATTCTTGATACCTTCAGCACCAAGCATAAGCGTTCCAGCAGGCAACCTGCCGCCGGAGACAGTCTTGAGTTCGGTGACTCTCTCAGACTCCTCACGCAACACTTGGAACACACGCGAAAGACGACCGATGGCCAAGATCTTGTTCTTGATAGCTCGTCGCTTGTACTCGATCGATTCGGGGTCCTGAGAGGCTCCGGAAAGCGGGGGCGACATAGGTCCGGGTGACGTAGAGGAGGGAGTAGCGTCCTCCTTAAGTTCCTCCTCGGAGCAAGTGCTGAGAATGGCGATAAGCATGTCGGTGATCTTCTCTCCAACGAAAGGCAGCGACCATGTGAAGACGTCCATAAAGTTTGGTAGCCAGTACGGGTGAGGTGTGCAGTTAAACTGGCGGATGTTCATAACGTTGTTCTCGTATTTCAGAACAGCAGCCTTGTTGTTGTAGAGATCGAGATAGTTCGGCGCAGAGAAGATTGTCATCACACTGGGGAAGCCTGTGGTACGGGTCTTGCGATACATGCGGTAGCCGGCATCTTGTGCTTCGTGGGCTCGGATGACTGACAGCAAATTGTTCTTCTCGAGGAAGTTGCATGCAGCCGGGTACGAGTAGAAATAAGAGCAACCGCGGACATGGTTGTGCAGGAAGTAGTCGCTCGTCTTTTCCTGTCCAAAGTCTTCGAGAGGGTCGGCCCAAAGAATGTCGCACATGAGGCCCTGAGTCGGCGGCTCACGGAATCGGTCAATCTGTGTCATCTTGTCAGCACCGAATGTGACCTGCAGGCTTAGAGCTAGAGCGACTTACGTTTCGCAAGTCGTCAAGGGTGTGAAGTTCGGGACTCAAGCCACCGTGAACGCACAAGAACTGCTTGTTCATGACAGCGGCCAGGGGCAGGCAGCAGAAAGACTCCAAGCAGGCTTCGTAGATGGCCTCAGAGTACTTGTGCTTGCACTCGAGCTTGAAGGTGAAGTAATCGGTCAAGTGGCGACACTCGTGGTTGCCGCGAAGCAGCCACAGGGTCTTGGGGTAGTGAATCTTCAAGGACCAGAGGTACAGGACACACTCGATACTGAAGTAGCCTCTGTCGACGTAATCACCGAGGAAAAGGTATCTGGTATCAGCAGGATCGCCGCCAACTTCGAACAGCTTCATGAGATCGTAGTACTGGCCGTGGACGTCACCGCAGACAGTGATGGGCGCATCCATCTCGAGAAGATTGGGCTCGGCGCGAAGGATCTCGGTACCGGTCTTCAGGATCCATAGGGCTTGCTCCTCGGTCAAACGTCCCTCGCGATAGAAGTGTTGCTTGAGGAAGTTGATGTTGGGCTTCGTGTGGGTTTCGTCGTCAAAGAACTGCTCGTCGGATGGCGTGAACATGGCAGGAGCTTGAACATCTGTTGGGAAGAAACCGTGTTAGCACGACAAATTGCTCGGCGGTGCTTGACCATTCAGGGGCGAAGGCTATCGCATCGCAGCCAAAGGACGATGGTTACAGCGCTGCTGCCGGTGGGAGGCAGTCTCGAGGGGGCGATGTGCCGTACCTTTGCAGACTCGCTCGAGAGTGCTGACTTGGGTGCCGTCTTCCATGGTATGGATGGTGAAGTCGACCTCGGGCAAGGGCTTCTTCTCGCGAATAGCGCGAATGGCATTATCGACTTGCTGGGTACGACGGTCGTCACCGCTAGGCGGGCTGCCACCTTCAGTATCCATGATGGCTGTTGTGCTGGGGCGAGGTAGGGGATGAGGTTCCGATCGAGGGGTGCAAAAGAACAGAGCGGTGAGGTTTGTTGAAGGATAGTACCAGCTCTGGATCTAGTCGCGATGGGGCCTATAAAGAGGCGAGCTGAGTTGCGTCGGAAACGTTGAGCACGAGACGACGAGAGTCCAGGCGTGGCAACGGTATTGCGAGGCGAGGCGAGGGGTAAAAATTGAGGTGAGGAAAGATAGGGCTGAGAAGGGGAAGTTGAGTGAAGGGGATGGGACGGGATGGGATGCACTGCACTCGGCCAGTGCCTAGTGCCCAGTGCCCAGTGCAAGTTTGTTGCTCTGGTCCTACAGGCTGCCAGGCTACTAACCGGGCCGCTACTAAATACGGTATACGGTGCTGCTGCGGGCTGCTGCTGGGAGGGAGCTGGTTAGGCTGGGCCCGCTGGGGTTCGGTCAGCCACTGATACCATCAAAAGACAGCCACCCTTCACCTGGGCACAATGCATGCTGACGGCTGCTAAGAAGAAGTGGAAGCTGGAAGCCATAAGCTGCAGCGGCGTACGCATACACCTCAGATGAATTGGCAGGTGGCAGGCGCCAAATGCCCGCGGACAGCGTGGTGAGCAGGTGAAAGGGACATCTGCCTCCACCTGATTCAGGTACAATTCCAAGTATCGGCTACTCTTGCCCTCGTTTCTGGCCCCCCCCCCCTCTTTCCTCTCGTCTGAGAGAGGCAGCCGCACACATGGACTTGGTGTGCAGCCTGTCAGCTACTTCCAGTTGCCTCTTATGTCCCCACATTCTCCGGCTAAGGAAATACGTACCTCGAGGTCCCTTGACCTTCCCCTCCCCCTCATTGGCACCTTTTAACATTGCTCTAGTGTAGCTCCAATCCCACTCACGTTTTGCTTGGCTTAGCTAAGTAGGAGGCAGAAATCCCAGTGTTTGGATTGGACAACCTTCTCTTCGTAAGAGGTGCTACCCATGCAAATACCCTACCATATCATCACGCGAGACGATTGATCTGACATCTGCAAAAAATGGTTATGATTGTCTTTGTCTCGTCAATGGAGTCTATGTTCTGCCTTTCTTTCGACTTTTCCATCCATCAGTCAATCATCAATGGGTATTATTAGTTTGATTTCCCTTCTGCGAACTCGGAACTCGACCTCCAACCCGGCTTGCGCCCAACTGTTATCTGGCAGTTGGTCTAGCTGATAGATCTGCCAACACCCCGCGACCTTGGCTGCGGCCTCATTAACATGGAGCCACTCCAAGCCTCATGCTTGCCTTCCAAGTGCTTTCGCGGGCATGTCATATCGTCCTTCCTCACGCAGATTCCCAGTCTCTTCTGAAGCTTTTCGTCTTTGTGCCCTCTATGGCAGGCAGTAACCGCCATCGACGACAAGATCGCAACCAGTTGTGTACGAGGCAGCGTTCGAAGCCAGGTACAGATAAGCGCCCTTGAGCTCTCTGGGTTCTCCTTCGCGTCTGTTTCCCCAAAAAGTTAGCAACTCGACACACATCATTTGTTATCCCACAGCAACTCACCCCATGGGAGTCTTGTTCCTCCACTGCTTCTTGGACTCCTCGGGGACGAAGTCGGTAATCTCAGTCTTAATGTATCCGGGAGAGACAGTGTTGACACGGGCGAAGTCGACCCACTCCACAGCCAAGCTCTTGCCTGTTCGACTCGTTAGTTTGGGCCATCTGAAGCGAGTCACAATACTCACAAAGGTGGATGACGGCCGCCTTGGAGGAGTTGTACACCGTCTGCGACTGCGGCACATTGACAACGTGACCACTCATACTAGCAGTAGCAATGAAGCTGCCAGAGGTGAAGCCCTTAAGCGGCTTGCCATCGAGTGTCGTACCCTCCTTCTTCTGGCGACGGAAATGAGCACCGGCAACCTGGGCACAGTAGATTGTGCCGTTGACGTTCACAGCCATGACCTTGTCGGCCTTGTCCATGGGGCCGTCAATCAATGGGCCCTCCTCCCAGGCGATGCCGGAGTTGGCAACAAAGATATCCAAGCGACCATTGAACTCGGAGATGATTTGTTGAACTGACTCCTGAATCGATTGGTGGGAGGTGACATTCACCTGGTATGCCTTGCCTGTAGAAGTGAGTTAGCAACACGCACACCAAGCGGCTACTACATCAGTCACAACGCACACTTGACACCGTACTCCTTCTCAATCTCAGCAGCGCGGTCCAGGGCCTTCTTGTTGTTGTTGTACCAGATGGCAACGTTTGCGCCAGCCTCAGCATAAGCGTGGGCAATGGACAGACCAATACCGGCACCGGCACCAGAGACAATGGCCGTCTTGCCCTTGAGCGAGAACAGAGGCAGCACACGGTCACCCTCGGGGGCCACTGTGGCATTGTTCTTGAAAGCGCCGTCCTTCATCTCCGCCATGTTTGCGATCGTTGTGGAAAAGGGCTGGAATCTCGCGGTTCGACTGGTGGTAGCGATACGAGGGACACAGAGGACTCGAGGCCGCGAGACAGCAGCACGGAGGACGGAACCAAACATTTTATTTAGAGGCGGCAGAGGGGAATATGCCGCAAGAGGCCTTTTCTTTGGAATTGATTTGACAGGGTTCTAGGGAGAAGCTTCACCGCAATCTACGGGTCTTGAAGAGTCTACAAAGTGGCTACGATGGTAGAGAGAGGGGAGAAGCTAATACTAATACTAACATGGCCGGCGCGCCTGCGGCAATGAAATCCCCTGGCTTCATGCACCAGGGACCCGACGGAACAATCTTGAGCGAGGTGACGCTGTGGAGCTTGGAGGGAAGGGGGTAGCTCTGGGTTGCTGTGCCGCCGCTACTCCAGAGTGGAGGGGCAAGCAGCGCGTGTTTGGGCTGTGCCATTTTGGCATCATGGCCGTCATTGACCCTGAAGACGGCACTAAGGAAAAAAAGATGGCTTTCCTGCATGTTGCATGTGTCTTTCAACCTCGGACGCCGCCGGGGGGGTATGTGTGTGTGGGGGGGGAGAGGAAAACACTGGTGCCATGGGGGGCTGGCCCGGGCCTCGGGGGCATTCGGGTCACATTACTCCAGATTAGGCGGCTTCTAACGCGCAAAGTCGATTTTACCACAGGCTGATGCTTGAACGGGGGTACCTGAATCGCGGGGCCATCGGGGGGGCTAAAACGTTCTCCGCTTCAACTCGACTGGTGCGCTTCTAGGTTCAGCCGCCTAGAACATCTGCCCCAAGTTTGGCCCGCTAACTCGCCCTGCGATGCCTGTGTGACATATGATATCAATATCTTCATTCGTTTTTAATCTGTTTATTTTATTTTGTTTTCTTCCCACGCCAAAAAACGGATGATCTAGATTTCGTCTTTGCCAAAAATAAATCGCCTGCCGAATGCAAATACAGCAACTCCCATTTCAACACAATGCAAGCCCCCCCCATGCACCTTGGCGATACCCTGTTTTTAACCAACAACCTGGTTCAACACGTGCTCGCGGGGAAAGTTGGTGTTTCTCCAGCGCGAGATGAAGTCATCTCGGTTGACTGAGATGTGTTACAAAATGATGGTTCATATGGGCCAGTTGGATGCGAAATAAAACTCACTGTAGGCACCGCAAATGCGTCTCCTTCCCTCAAAAGCACTCCGACCATGCATCACCCGCCAATTATCAAAAACTGAAGAACAAAAATGTCAGCGAGCGTTTATTTCAAGTTTTTTTGGCCTGACACTTACTCAAAACTTGACCTGGCTTTAATTGTACCCAGTACTCAACGTCAGATCTACGCAGGATGGCATCCCACTTGCGAGCAGCTGCGTACCACTCTGTTGGAGAAACGTCCTTGGTAAACGGCACGACACCACGGTCGTCGTTGTTCCACCGGACCCGGTGCAGCTCACCCGTCTCCTGATCAAGCTCGAGCACGGGATACCTCTTGTCGGGCGAGATAGTGATACCTTGGTTACCACTCGCGTGCCAGGGCAGTCGCACCTTGGAGAGGATCTCATACGCCTTGGGGTCTTCCTTCTTCAGGATCTTGGCAGCGTAGAATGCGTCGACGAGGAGTGACTCTCCTCCGAGCTTGCCATCTTTGGGGGCTTGCTGGGACGGAGGGGCTTCATGCGAGAGCATGTGGAAAGCCTGTAGGCCCGCGGGGTCGGTGAAGTATGTGGTGTCAGTATGCGCAGGGAGAGCGATGTTAGTATAGGCAGTGTCCGCCATAGCGAGGTCAGGAATGAAGTCGTAGAAGCCGCCGTAGTGCGTTTCGCGGATGAAAGCAATCTTCTCCAGGACGCGCTGCGTGGGTTCGGGAGTCTCAAAGGGGGTGCCGTCGACGAAGACGAAACCATATTCACGCTACCCTGAGTCAGCCTAGGGACGATTGCACGTTCAAATGGTTTACTTACGATGGCGTTTGTCAACTTGGCGACCCCGGAATCATCTCCTGAGGCCATTACGTGATTGTAGTCAACGGCGGGACGTTTGTTGGCAATGTCGGAGCCCCAGTAATGGTAGCTGGATAGTGTGAGTTACTTGAAGCTATCAAAATGTGCCAGGGACGCCTTACTTGACCTGTTCTGGCGTGCGGTGGTCATTCTGCAAGTAGTGCTTGATGAATTGCCAGGGGTAGAAGCTCTGATGGCCGTCTTGCTCCCCTTTCCTCATCATTAGTCTCATGTTTATACGTTTGGTGGCAACCGAGGCGGCGACATACATTTTACTCTAATGCCCTGCTCTTCTGACTTGATGTCCGATGGACGGATATCCTCGCTAATCTAACACCTAATGTTTAGTCGGGCGATATTAGGATGGAAGAGGAGATCACATACGGCGTATGTGTTGAAGTTCCTTTGCGTGGTATCCTGATTCACGCATTGTTTGCACCGGCAATTGTCTCTTGACGGGGCTGTTAATTGGATGGTATTGAGTTATTGGGGGGTTTGTGTAACATACCTCAACCAAAAGTGCGGGCTGGATGTGAGACAACGTTGTTAGTTGACGTCTTCTCTCGGTAACTGATTTCAACTCGGTCGTTCGGACACCGACTTGTCTTGAAGAGTCGGTCGACCGGGGCCGATCCGGCATATGGAGGAACTACTCACAGAGTCGATCCACGGGCAGCGCGGTCCGTCAATCCGTTCACCTGTACGCCATCCTTGACAATTTGGACGTTGAACTGCTGAAGTCGGGCTGCGGTTGCAGAAAGATGTCTCGAGGACACCAGAGCCGCATTCAACGATACGCGATGTGCTGCTCCGAATGCAGAGCGCCTAAACGGGAAAATAATCAGAGTGTGAGACGGATTTTCACATGTCACTTTGAATTTTGACGGCATGTGTCAGCTTAAAAAATAAGCGTACCTTACGGCTCGAGAGCCAATCTGTCTGAGAGGAAGCATTATCGTGGGGTTACTGTGGGATGGAACTCTGATGACACGGAAGAATGATTGGCAAAGTTGGCCAGATTAACTCTCCAGGCAGGAACCGGGGTATTTCTGTAAAGTTGGTGTCGTTTGGGAAAATGCGACGGATCTGAGGCGGCATCGGGGGAGGAAGGATTTCCTGGGGCGGCCCTGATTTAGGGGGAGCCGTAGTGGCCCATCCATGCACACATGCTCCGCTTGTCCATCGAGATACTATGATACGGCATGGCAAAATGGTCCGAAGTGCTGCTGTTCTGCATTGACATCAGCTGATGGAAGGGCGGGTTCTGGCGGGGAACACTGAGGAGATGTTTGCCTTAGAGATGCGAAGAGGCACTAAAGCCTCGGCTTGCGGCGCGCCTTGGAGGAAACTACCCGCAATGTCATATGTGGGCCTCCGTCCCTCCGGCTGCTTCCTTGGCTCTGACTCCGTTGTAAACGTTCAAAGAGAAAGGAGCCATGAGAAGTGACAAGGAATGTCTCACTCTTGCAAGTGCTTTGTTTGCTCTTTTCATTATCCGCTCCAGATAAATTCCCTAGGTCAACATTTCTACCTTTATTGTTCCATGTCCGCCTCCCTCTCTCTCTCCTTCTTTCTCTCGGCTCATCCGATTTGCAATTCTAGGCGGTCTCGCTCTCGAATGCGCCACAACGTCAACCCAGGAAACGAGTGTATGCCTTGCCTCGCCTCGCCTGCTCTCCCCTTCTAGCGGTTGACCAGACCGCTTCGTGGGATCTTTTGGGGCTTTAAAATTCATACGTAAAGAATCCGCAGCACCTCCTCTCTCCCTTGGCTGAAATAGCCGCCGTGTCCGTCTACTCGGTACTGCTAAACTCTCTTGTTGTCTCATTGACAGCCACCCGAATTTTGGGGATTGAGCACCGTGGCAGGTGGGGATTCTGAATCAACCCTTGCCGGGGGGTCTCAGGAACAAGCGCCGGAATTTGCACCCAGGTCTCTCATTGAAGCCCAGGGTTTCTTTGAGCAAACAGGCCAAAGGACAAGGCGTACTCTTTCTCCCTCACATACCCGTCCACTCACATGACTTGAGCGGTTCCGACACTTTGGTTCAGATATCTATTCTTTGGCTCTCCAGTGGCCTCGTTTGCTGCAGGTTTGAATGTTGGTGGTGCTCGTTGTAACTATCGCGCGTAGTAGGCTCTTCTCATTGGTCACATTTGGCGACAAGAGGGTATATCGGGCAAAAGAGACGATGCAGAGAGCATCAAACACAACATCGCGGCAGAGTCTGCCCTGCGGTTGGCTGATTTGGTCAAGTCTGCACCAACAGCATATTTTGGGCGTTGTGGTACGACAAGAGGCGAATTGTTGATATACAACCATGTTCCTCCGCCGCAATTCTCCTGCCGAGTGGCGTTGTCTTAAGTTTCGATGGTGTCGGTCCTAGTTGACCTTGTCACTGCTCCTTATATCATTTTCTTTGTCTGGTATTTTGAGCCCAAGATTTTTCTACCACTCTTGTAGTAATGTTTTCAAGTTTATACTGGCGAAAAGCCTGCGTCTTTACGTGGCTGGTTTGCCATCATCATCTGGTCTCGGGACTCGATTTCATCCCCTTAATTCAATCGTCACCAAACTTTCCAAATCATGAACAGTCGCTTACACAAAGAGCCGCATCAAGACCAAATGCCAGCTGTCCAGTCGACGGGCAAATCGCCTGCGGTAATGGCACGCCTGACTATTTCTGCTGTCCCAGCGACAAGACATGCATGGTCTTAGCATCCAACACCACGGCCCTTTGCTGTCCCAAAGGAGCATCATGCGAGGCGATTTCCACCATAATATGCGATATAACAGCGCAAGACGTTGTCGAGAATCCAGATAGCCCAATACACACCACGAAACTCGACAAATCTTTGCCAAAATGTGGCAATAGATGCTGTCCTTTCGGTTACAAATGCCAGGGCGATTCTGTATGCGTGTTGGAGAAGGATGAAGGGTCTAGAACCAGCACTAGCACCAACATCATTGCGACAAAGACAAAGATAACTTTCGTTTCCTCCTTGCCTTCAGTCGGTTCGTCCACTCAGGAGGCAGCTGAAACCCCTACCAAAAGCCTTGCAGCAATACACCAAACAACGACACCACATGTTAGCAGAATCCAGCAGCTTCCGACTTCCTCAGTTACAGGCCCATCAGAGGTTGCGACTCCAGCAGCCGTCACATCATCTGAAAAGACAACATCAGTAGGCATTATCGCAGGCACGACCGTCGCAGCCATCGCTGCCGTAGCTGGACTAACATGCCTGCTCTGGTTCAAGCGGCGGTCCATCTCTAAAAAAGTTGGTTCTGTGAAGTTCCCACAGCCATGGCAGCAGCTGCGAGAAAACAGCTCGGAGCAGGGCGTTTCCCTCCCACGATACAACTCCCCTCCGCCGGCCTACAACATGGAGATGAAGCAGCCCGCCGCCCATCAATACAAATTCAAGCACTACAGCCCAGATTCAGTGGGCAGCAACGCACCGGTTGAGCTGCCCGCCACTCCTGTGTCCTTTAGCGTGTGGAATCCTCACAGCCCTCGCGGTGTCAGGGCCCCGCGCTCCTATTACGAACCATACCGACGTCCTGGGTAGTCTTTCAACACGGTATGGGATCTAAGACTAGGTTTTACTTCTTCTTTTGTATATAGATACGCGCTACCAGATACGCTTTATGAATGATGAGACAATGTACGATACCGTGGGACGGAAAATGGAAAAATAGATCCGAGAAATTTTGTCTGCCCAGTAAAGCTTTCTACTACCCTCTCGAGCCTTCTCAGTTGAGCCATTCCCATGTTTTTTTTACTACAATGACGGCGTAAGTGATCACCATATATCAACGCATTCATAGCATAGCGGGAGCGCAATCACGGTCGAGCAGCTCAAGTATTCCGACACTAAGGTGTCCTTCTAAGCCATCTCTTTAAGCTCCTCTGTCAACGGCAAAAAATGCGCTGGCCAGGTCTGAGTAGAGTCGTCAACGACAGCATCTTCATCTTCATGCCCCCGTTTCTGATCCTCTTACTTTTAGTCTTCATGATTGTCACCCTGATCTTCAGCGTCCACAACAAGGCCCCAATCCCGAAGGGGGTGACTATCGGCCTCGCGGGTCTCGCCGGGGGGGTCATCGGTCTGTGGCTGTTGGGTCTCCTGGTAGGCTATTGTACAGGGATCTTTTCAGGTTTAAAGAGGCCTCATGCTCATGAGCTTCCTATCAATAGTTCGTCATTCAGCAACGATGCACTTGAACTTTTGAAAAAAATAGACAAGCAACTACAGCAACAGCAAAAGCATGTGCCGCCACCATCACCTTCAGTCAACCATGAACGGCTGTCTTCTGAGCAGTTTCGGCAGTTTCAAAGAGATCAAAAAGAACAATATTTGAAAGAGCAGAATCGGCTTCAAAAAATCCATGAGCAAGAAGAGCCTTTGCAGCTTCAACAACCCAATCATCAGGAACCGAGGCTTGAGCAGCGAGGACGTGAGCAAGAACCACAACAACCGCAGGATATACTGCCGACCCAACATAACTTTGGACCTCGGCCGATGCCTTCCGTAATTCCACAGCCTTACCACCCAACACTGTTGAGGGATTATGAAAGTAGCAATAGCCACGAGGAGGCATGGTCCCCGCGACCAGCCTCCAGTATCCAGCAGACCCCAAAGTCTATGAAGCGCACAGTTGACCAGAGCAGACGCCGCTCGTCGAGCTATCCCCCTAGGTATCCACCAAATAGTTCTCGTAATGAACAAGGAGATAGGCATGTGGCTTCTCGGGACGCACCTGGCCTTCACCGTCAACCGGCTACCTTCAACCTCAGTCGACGCAACCGCAGCACCCCGCCCCCTGAGGCTACCAGAGAGCGTCGGGCACCGGTTGATGAGGCTGCACAGAGTGATGGCGGTACGGTGTTTTCTTCGCCGGATACGGAAGCACGCATAGCTGCTACAGTGAGTTAATTCAAAACACCCATCCCTCCACAGTCTAGAGACAGAAGAAATCGATTGCTAAAGTCCATACAGCCAGCCCCCTTGAGACCCCACCGCCCACCTTCTCATGATACACGGGCCCATTTACCACATCGACCGAATGCCAATGCTTCTTATCAACAAAGAGAAAAACAAAATCAGTCAAATTTTGTAGTCAATGGCCTTAACCTGGGCGAGAACGATAAGAGCGGTGCCTTGCCGCATGTGCCTCGGACTTTTGCACCGGCAACTCAAAGCTCGCAGGCTAATCCCATAACGCCGCCTCTTCAAGAGGTAGGTCCTCATCCCCTCCATGCTCCTCAGAAAAAGCGAGTTCCAAAGACTTTTGATGAAATGGATCTTCCCATACATGCAAAAAAGCCGAACCCGTTCCATGCTATCTTGCATGGGGCTAACCGCAAATTGCAGACTCAACCCCGGCCCAGGGACAGATGACCAGTTCAATATGGGTTGCGACTTGAACAGGAAGTTTGGATTACGGGTGATGTGTGGAAACCAAGAATCGACGGGGAAGTGGTTTTGGAGGAAAAGGTAAGCACGGTAGCTGGGGCTATGACAAGGACAGGTGCTCGTAAGCTATACGTAGAGTATAGTCTTGCTAACTTTCCTACTGAAAACCGTTATTAAACATTCGGTTCGAAAGTGTGATGCCGTCCGGTAGTGCCAATCAGACAATAGAGCGGCGGATCTGAGACCGTTTAAATGACCATGACATTGGTACAAAGTTGTTCATCCCTCCCCGAGACCGGTTCAGCCCCTACCTTCTTCCAAAAACTTATTTTTTTGGCAGTTTGCATAACATGCAATGAGAAAAGACGAGAAATTAGAGTTGTCAAGTGACTGCATACCAATAAGAGGTCAGTGTGGTGGCGGTCCATGTTTCTGCAATGTAGCTCCGGCATTCCCCCTTTATGTCCCAGGACAGCCCGGTCTCATCCATCCATGTTACCGGACCATGCCATTGTCTTCTAGAAATGCCACGAACTCAAACGTTTATCATGTTAGAGATCGATAGGAACTGGTTTTGACGGCCTTCGCATGAAACCTACGTCATCCATTCTTACGCAAGCTGTCTTAGAGCTATGGCCAGGTTATTTATTTATCGGCATTATACCCATCGCGTCTTTGCTATGAAAGCAACTTCCGGCAGAAGCATCCGTTTCTCACACTCAGCCAACATCTCCTCTGGAAGCCAGCAAGCCAGCGCACCCCCGAAATAATGGCCGACGCTTCCGCCCTCGAATCTTGGACCGACACAATCTACAACCTCAACCGCGGCGAGCTCGACGCCGAGCTAGAGCGCTTAGCCTACAATCACTTCAATGTTTGGACACCACTAACCGGCGACTTCTTCCCTCCCGTCATCCTCAGGCACCTTTTATCCCAAGAACGACCGAGGGTGGCCGACATCGCGACAGGAAGCGGTGTCTGGCTGGCCTCCTTGACCGATATTCTCCCCCCTCGCTCGGAGCTAGTGGGCTTCGACTTGGACTCCCGGAAATTCCCTCCCCGGCCGCCGACGCCCCCGATCCCCCCGCCGCCCGTGTCCCCACCTCTGAAGCCGGAGCAACCAAGTTTGGATTTCCAAGTGCACAATGTGCTGACTCCGTTCCCGAAAGACTTGCAGGGAACGTTTGACCTGGTCCACGTTCGACTGCTGGCGTTGGGCTTGAAGACTAATGACTGGGACGTTGCCGTGAGAAACCTGGCCGACTTACTGAAACCTGGCGGGTGGCTGTTGTGGGAAGATACGGCATTCTTATTCATCAGATCGTATCCGCCTAGTAAAGCATTCGATGAGTGGTGGTGGGCTTACATGCGCCACAGCGCGAAAATCGGAAGGGACCCTTTGTAAGTCTCGATTTCATCTTGTTGTCTCCCCCCCCCCCCCCCCCCCCCCTTTTTGTTTTCACACACTTCCGTGGTAAAGAGTAGACTCGCTGACAGAACCAGCATGCCTTCCGGACTCTCGCAAAAGTTCGAAAGCGCCGGACTACAAAATTGCGAACAAAAGATATGGAGCACGTGGGCAGCGGACAAGACTCTTCAGAGCCACGCTACCGTGGCTACTCGCTCGCTCATCAGGCCCTCGCTGGCCGCAGTTGTGCAAGACGGCGGCGCCGAGACGATCAAGACGACTGATGACATTCGAAGGGTCGAGGAGAATATGGAGAGGGACATTGAAGAGAAAGGCGTTCAGCTCGGGCTGGATTTCTTTTGGATTTCGGGGCAACGGCCCTTGTAAGAATTTCTCTTTCTCGCTTACTCTGGTTCATGTAGGCAATTGGGTATGAAACCAAATTCCACGATCAAATCAGAGACTTGCAAAACATTTGTCGGCTATTGTTCTCGTTTCAGTCATAATATCCATGGCTAAAGTGATGGAATAGAGTATTAATGTATCTTCCGAGTTGGTGTGATACTCGTATGTATCATCACTTCAGTTCCGTAGTGTCGTGAATAAGCCACTCACGAATGGCTAGTACTATTGCCAAATCAACACTGAAGTCAATACTCTGAACAAACTACCCTGTGAGACACGTGCATTTCCTAGCTGCGTCAGACCTCAAAAGGCTAGACTACGCTGGGCAGAGTCCAGAGCTACTAACTTTTTATCATTATCTTACACTAGGTTAGGATATAGACAATCCCCTCCGGGGGCATCCCTCAATTATAACTCACTTGGCGGAGGAAAAAAAACTCCATCTTCATGAGCACAAGCCATTATCAGTCATAGGATATCCATTCATTTCCCAATAGGCAACCGTTTCAAGGTGCTGGTCACTCTCTGCCTAGCGAAGTGAGGTACATTTATTTATTACCGGTCCAAGTGTATATAGAGTCTGCCCGCGTGTTTGCACGTGGCAGGTTTTACTTGGGCAGTTAAGCATCATCTGAAGCCGCATCAATATTGGTATATAACCTGTTTATTCTCTTCTATCTTATTTATATTAGCTAGTGACTTATTTCTATCTGGTTGGCAAGCAAATATATCCTTGCTTTCAAATATTTCAGATGTCTAGTTGCCCTTGAGCTTGTTCCAGAACGAACCTGACTTGTCACTGCCGATTGCAGGGGGGGACAGAATCATAGTGTTCCAGGTCTCCTCCCCATCAACATACAAGCTGTACTTGAGGCTGCTCTGCTCTCCCTCGGCCAAGTTCTCAATAGTGAGTGCGCCGAATTTGGAATTGCCTGAGTGAACGTACCTAAGGGGTGGTTAGCTAACAATATTTCATTGGAAAGTATATCTACTCACTTAAGAGCAATGTCTTCATCATCATATTGCCTGTAAGTCGGAAGAGGCGAGGCGAACTGGTTGAGAGGGCTGCAGGAGAATTCATATGCAGCAGCCGTTTCGGGCCACCTTTCACCAGCCGGCGGAGGGAACTTGGTGGCGGCAAATTCATGTCTGTCACCAGATACAACCACAACACCAACGCCTCTAGCACCAGCGTCCCACATGGCTTCGAGGACCTTTCGTCTCTCGACTAAGAACCCGCCCCATGTATCCCTGGTGTTAACAGGCCAGTTCTTGGTAAGAGGGATAGAAGATGCAACAATCTTCCACTTCACACCCTTGGGTTCAGGGCGATTAAGCCAGTCGAGGAAGTCCTCCAGCTGTTGAGCACCTAGCATAGTCTTTTCCGGGTGGTCAAATGGCAAGGAATTGGTTGATCGATAAGAGCGAGTGTCGAGCATGAAGAAGCTCGCAGGCCCCTGAACAAACTCAAAGTAAGTTGCTCCTACTCTTCGCAGGTTACCCGCGCCAGCAACTCGGGCAACTGGAGGGTTTGCGAGCTCCTGGTAATGGTGCCAAGGCTCAACGGCGGCTCGATATACGCCGGTGGTGTTGGAATCCCAGTCATTGCCAATCTCATGGTCGTCGAGCACATGTATCCAGCTAAGGTTCTGCGCGACGGGTGACCAGTCAGGGGAGGCGTAGACGTGACGATACTTTTGGCGGTAGTCTTCCTCCTGTTTTCCCTGCCGCTTGGGTACATCGATGTAGATGAAGTCGCCAAGGAACAGCATGAACTGCGCATGCAGTTTTGGCAGTACCTTGGCAAGAGATCGCAAACCTGGAATGGCCAGAGGGTGCTCGAGAGGGTTATAGGGGAATCGAGGGAGGATGCACGAAGTCGATAGGAAAGTAAACTTGTTGTCGGCAAAGCTAGACATTTGGCCAGCTCTGGGAGGAGCAACGAATTCTCCGCTGTGATTGTTCGAGGTTCTCCACTCATAGACTCTTTGTTGCGAATGTTTCAGCGGAACGGTAAGTGTAGCAGTATAGTCGGTTGTGTTGTCGGTATATCTTAGACCACCGCCCACCTGCCAAAGCGGATTGTCGAAAGGCGGCTGGGGGTCCTTGATATGAATCTCAATCGTAACAGGCATCTTGGCCTGGTCGGGCTCGCGCAGAACAAATTTGGCCTCTGTGGGGGAAACGTAACCGAGGCGCACGAACGAGAGGTCATTGACTGGGTGATATTGTCGCACGCGGAACAAAAAGTCAGCAGTCATTGCGACTAAACCAACGTTGATGAAGAATGTCACGAGGGACAGGGCCGGGTTGGCTGAGCTGGGTAAGCCGGTCAGGAGTGTAGCCCAAGGTCGGGACTTCTCTTTAACGACGATAGTCTCCTCAATCTCGATTTCTTCAGCAACAAGATGGCCGTTGCCTTCGTCATTGTCGTCTTCCGGCGTCGTCTCTTTTACCGTAATGTCGACATCGTCTTCCACGACATCGTATTTTGGTTCAGTTAAGTAGCCCCAGATGAATGAAGGAACATAAACGATGAAAAAGGTGAAGATGCTCAAGGGAACAGCTGCCTGAAGCTTGATTAGCACACTGTCAAGCTTCACAGGCTTGACAACGTAGGGAACTCACTGGACCAGGAAACTGCAATTGAACCCAATAATTAGTGTCCAATTTCAGGCAGATTACTTGGAAAGAGAGCTTACCCATCGTAAGAAAACGTAGGAGACTGCCCTTAACGCAACCGAAGACAATTGGGCGATTGTCGTTTGGGTCCCCATGGCGCTCGAAGGATCCGTTGAAGCAGGTAAATGCTAAAAAGAAAAAGAGAAAAAAAAAGATGAAATGCTGCTTGAGGTATGCAAGAAAGATTGATTGAAAAGATAAAAACTGACTTGGAAACTATTCGCAGGCAACGTTACTGGAGGGATAAATTGCCATTCCTCGCACGTAAGCGCTGGAACAAAAAGAAGCTATGATAGAAAGAAGCGATCGCGAACCTGCCCTCTAGGAGGTTCTACTGACGTGATGGGCCGAAGTTAGCAGCAGATGAGGTCACTGATTAAATGAAAGCTCCATACAGGGTGAAACACTGACGCTGCGATAACAAGCCACTGAAACTGGGGGCACCTCAGCTCTGTAGGCATGTGAGCGTGGCTGGTGTGATGCGGCAGGAAAGCTCTAATGGGGCCACATCCTCTTCCCGCATTCAGGTTCCCTACAGTGGGGATACGTACCTCTCCCCCTAAGGGACGCATTCTGGGGCAGTCGCTCCAGTGCTGTCGTTGCTAGTGGATGTGTCAAATGGTCCGTGCATATATCCAAGGGGCTACCTTACCTTTAGCGGGCGCCAATTTTCCGCGCCGAACCCTCAATCGTGGCCCGTTCGTGGTGACCCTTTTGGCGACAGCTTGTCCTGAATACTCAGCTTCCGAGTCGATCGAGGTACCCTCACGCGCACACCAGGCTCCCACCCCAAACACCATGAGGTTATCCGCCGTCGCCTGCGGGCTCTTTGCTTGCTTTGTATCCCAGGTTGCTGCTACGGCATTGACCTACAAGATCCACGCCAACGAGAAGGCCTGTTTCTATGCCAAGACCCAGAAGGAGAATGAGAAGGTGGCCTTCTACTTTGCTGTACGTCGACATCAACATGCATTCTTCGCAACATGAATACAGACTAACTCAACACCTGCAGGTTCAATCTGGTGGCTCCTTCGATATCGACTACGCCGTGGTAGGACCGGGCAACAAGGTCATCTTGGAGGGAGAAAAGGAGCGCCAGGGCGACTTCGTCTTCACGGCCCAGCAGGTTGGCGACTACGAATTCTGTTTCAACAATGAGATGAGTACATTTGCCGAGAAATTTGTTGACTTTGAGATTGCCGTATGTCGCCAGTTCGATTCCACAACACCCAACAGCAGAGCATGCTGACCACTGATTCTTATACAGGTCGAGAACGAGGTTCGTGCCCAGCTTCCTTCCAAGCAGGGCGCTTCTCCCGAGCAACACACTACACTCGAGGAAACCATCTTCAAGCTGTCTGGCTCGCTTTCCACTATTTCCAGAGGCCAAAAATACTTCCGTACCAGAGAGAACCGAAACTTCAGCACCGTTAGAAGCACTGAGGCGCGTATCATCAACTTCAGTATGATTCAGTGCGCCTTGATTGTCTTGATGGGAGCTCTGCAAGTATTCATCGTGCGCTTCTTCTTCCAGGGAGCTCGTAAGGGTTACGTATAAAGGACGACAAAAAAGTTGGGTCTGGGTTTCATTTGGCGCGGGCTAAAGGAGTCTTCAGGGACTCGTGTACATCAAAAGCAAAAAGAGGCATGATGTGGTTTATGATATGAGAGATATCAACGACGATCCGAATCCCTAGCGCTACTCCCAAGGGCCCAGGGTGTTGACTCTGGGACACCGGCCACTATGGTCGGAAAACACTACAACCAAATAGCACTGAGCCACAAGTGGACATAGTAAACGGTTTAATGAATGCTTTGTTCATCTGCCTGTGCAGTTGCTGTGGAAGTTCAGATGCCGTTTCCACTCACGTGATACATACTCTAAAGGAAGCCTGCTAAGGACGTCGTATACAATGCAGATCTTACAAACTGAATGCCACTCTCAATGCCTTGAGGCTGTTCCAAATAGTGCTATCCGTACCAGATCCAGTTAAGCTTGGTAGGAAAATGGCGACTTGCGATTTAGTTACCTGCGCGCTTGCTGAGCGAGGCTGCAGGTATACTGTGGTCTCTATTTCATCGATAAGTGGGGCATATTGAATAGTAGATCCTGATAGGTTGGGAGGAGTGGCCTGTGTCACCAGCCACGGCAGGCTGACTGTGGAACCGCTATCATCCCGTTTCCGAGCGGCGTGAGCTTAGATAGCTAGAGCAACGGCTATCAGCCTCGTCTGTGACCCGGATAGGTCCCCCTCCGCTACCTACCGATTGCTCTCGTCATCGCCTGCGACCTATCTTGAGAGCAAACGCGAATTACATGGGTTCCTCCATGCCAGAGCCGACGCGCGAACCGGTTCCCCTGTATCAACGAACCACCTTCTAGAAGGTGGCCAGCAATCTGTCAATGCCGAGTGGTGGCCGCCGAGGTTCGAAACAACAACTGAAGAAGCCCCGAGAACAGAGCCCAAAGTGGTTTTACATTAGGGATATTCTCCAAGAGAGACTGCGTGGTGGACAAGTTGAGTACTTGGTAGATTGGGAAGACGATCGGGAGACTGGCGAACGGTACCCTCCTTCGTGGGTGAGTTCACTCTGCGCGTCTGTGGGAAATATATCTGTGTTTAACAGCCAAAGGCTCCTAGTAAAGACGTCACTTCTAAGGCGATATTCGATTGGAAGAAGAAGACGCAGAACGTAGTAAGGCGACCGGACCACTCGACTGTTTCCAAGGAGAACGAGCCAGAAAGCGGCCAAGTGGAAGGCGCAGAGAAGGAAGACGCAGGTCCGCATAACCCACTAGAAGACTCTTTTGATAGCAGTCAACCGGTTCGGCCACCTTGTAGACGGAAAATAATTGAGCATCATCGCTGTCGAGGTCACTCCGACGAATCGCAACTTGAGGACCTGGAGGATCAACCCAGCCCATTCATACGACACTGCAGTGAGCCACCCTCATCAGTTTCATCAAGTTCCGAGATTGATACGGATGCTGCCTCGGACATCTTTCCCAACGCTTCAAGCAACTTCTTTATCGGAATTCCTTCCAAAGTAGACTTCGACTCTTCCGAGTACGTTAGTGTATCGGCCTCTCAGGATTCAGCCTCCTTAGGTTCACAGTCCCAGTCTGTCTCTGCCCAAGAAGCAGAAGACAGTCAAGTGATACTCACGGACGATCTCAGTTGGAGAACTATTCCCGATTCACAGGACTACTCAGCGTTTGACAGTCAGGATTCACATCTTGCCGTGCCAGTCGCGCATCCAGTTGGAAGTCAAGGTGAAATCGGCTCAGGACTTGAGATTTCGGATTCACAAAAACTGTCCAGTCTTGGAACTTCGCTGAGTAAGACAACGGAATACCAATCTTTTTTTGATGCGCCTAATTATCAGTTTATTGTTCAACAAAGCCCTTCGCAACCTGGCCAGCCGGAGTTCTCTCAGTACAACGAGAAGGATCTGGACTATTCAGACCGCATCTTTTCGACCCAGGACACACCCATCGAAAACCAAAAGATAGTGACATCCGGCATAACATCGAATATTTCAAGTCAACGGCCTTTAATTCCAGAGCCAGAAGCATCAGAAGGTCAGCGATCAGCATCCCAAGAGTCGGCGATCTTGGATGCCCAGGCTGCCGCACAACTTGCGCAAGAACAAGAATCGTTACCGGCATATTTATCCAACACAGCAATTCCATCGCATCAAGTGGACTGCATCCAGGGAGAAAACACTGCAGAACACTTGTCACACCACTCTACAAACCTAGGCAACCTTCGACATACACCACCGGTTGGAACACCAGTTTTCTTAACGCAGCCTAATTTCAATTTTACGCCATATTCCTCGTTACCTGCTACATTACAAGACGAGGGAATCATAAGTTCTTTAAGTTCAGGGTTGCAGGCATCTCAGGTGGCCTTTCAAACCGGGACCGTATCACAAGCGCTTATTACTGTGTCTGATTCTCAGAGCAATAGCAACAATTCACAATACGCACAACGCGTTCATACCCTGCTCAATACTGAAGAGAGCCAAGTTGGTTCCGCCAGTAGCATTGCCGAAGAAGAATTCGTCCCTGACAGCGTTCGCCGCTTACCACAGGTTAGAGACTTCAGCATCGCCAGCCTAGAGTCTACTTCAAACGTATCAACGGGCAGAGGAACATCAACAAAGTCCTCTAAGCGTCTATTTGAAACATCACAGCATAATAGGCGCGGTGACTCGTTGGAAGAAGGTGATCAAACTTGCGTCGGAAGGCGTTCACTCCCTCCAACCACCGACGAAGCAGCTGCTGAAGCCCGGTTTAATCGCCAATCTAGTCTCCCTCTAACCATGGCATCCACCAGCGGCGAGCCGCTGTCGGCTGTGGAAGAGCTGTTGAGAATGCAAGACGCAGTATTGAATAGTGATCCAGAGCATTCATCATATCCCAACCCTTCAGAAAACGTTGGGCAACTTAGTGGCGATGGTGAATTGGTGGCTGGGCCCATTGATGGTCAGGATTTCTCAGCATCTGCTGAGAACCCACCAATTCACATAAACTCACAACCGCCCATGCCAACCGACTGGCAGATGACAGAGGCTACGACCTCGTCAACAGACTTGCCTGTCTTATCTAGTGCCCCTGTTAACCGGGTCCTAGAAGCTCCTGTCAACGAAGAGCCACAGACAGCTAGTATGGGAGACATCTTCCCTGGCAGCCTCATGCCTCCTGGGCCTGCAGAACAGCTCCCCATGACCATTTCCCCATCTGATATTAGTCGTTCAATTGAACCGGATGAAGGCCTAGCCTCTCTTCATCAACAAGACGAACAGCCCCTGAATATCCTAATCACAGAAGATAATACCACCGGGAAGAGCACCGCATCATCTCCCGACATCGAAGATCAGTATCGATCGGGCCCTCCAACTTTGACAGATCAGAATGAGTATCTTGTCACACTTTCATTTCCAGCGAATATACGCCCCCTTTACGCGAGTACTATGGCGGTCTACAGACATGAGATTGAGAAATTCAACCGAGATTATCGGTCCGGTGAAGGGCTTCCAGATCAGTCTCTAGTTGACGCCATAGGAAGACTTTTTGATCAGCTGCGCGACATTTGTGACCTCCCAGCAACTCTGGACGATACATCTATCAAGGCTTTGTCAGCGACTGATTTGAAGAAGCATGCCATGGGCACAAATAGCAAGTACTTCTTCGTGGGACGGTTTTTGGAGAGGTTGCAGACAAGTTACAAGAAGGTTCTTATTGTTGTGCGTGACATCAGCATTATGGGCTATCTTGAAGCCGTCATCGGTACTGGGGAAATGGCGTACTCTCTAAAAGGCTTACACGAGCTTGAGGGTCGTGACGAGCATTCTTTACACATTGTGCTTCTACATACCGAGGAGAATCTGGTTGACGATTTGAGCGATTTTGACATTGTTATTGGGTTTGACAATGGCATCATGCGAACAGATATACTGACCCGATGGGCCCAAATGAACGGCAGGAAGCCCATGCTGATTAGGCTTATGACCACTTACTCCATTGAACATCTCGACCTGATGTTGCCAGCACACTTGGACGAGCTGGAGCGAAAGAATGCCCTACTCATTGCCATGTTTCAATCCAGGAGCCTCATCGCCAATGATGAGCAGGGAGAGATGATTGATGGACTCACCGCGCATTTTGCCAACCAAGCCATAGATCCAGAGCCAAACTTTGGATGGGAGCCGGAGCCTATCCCAGCTGCAGTGCTTGACGTTTATTCTAACAGCCAGAACCCAAGTCTGATGCCGCCTACCGCTGAGGAGCTGTCGAGTCGCAAGCGCAAAGCGGTAAGCAGCCCATTTTCATTTTTTGTTTTTTTGTCTTCGGCAGCTAATCATACTGGGACCTTAGGACGATGGACCCCAAGAAAGTACTAAGCGCCTGCGACTGAGTCTTTCTCCAGGGCAGGCTGTCGGCAGCATTGACGACACGGTGCACGGCCATCTCAATCCAAATCCCGCCCACCTGCAGATTCGTACAACGCAGGACCATCTAGATTCTCTAACCACCAAGGTATTTTGCTTTTTTTTTTTCTAGTATATGACAGCCCACTGATGACTGGCAGGTATCTGAACTTGAGTATCAACTGGAGGAAAAGACAGCTTTGGAATTAAACCTACGCAAGCACATAACAAACCTTTCTAAGAGGGTTAAAAGTCATGATAAGACTATTAATATCATCCAAGAAAAGCATATGGCTGCACTTCGCGAACGAAGTCAGTTTGAGGCTGAGCGAGACGAGTCAAAGCAAAATGAGGAAAAGGCCTGGGACAGTAGTCGATCATGGGAGGCCAAGGCACAAGCCCTTGAAGAAGAGCTGAAAAAGAAAACGGCACTTCTTGAGGAGGCCCTTGTGAACGCCGGCACAGTTGCTTCCGATGTCTATAAACAAAAAACAGAAGAGCTGGAGAAATCACAAGCAAAGATCGCAGATCTTGAGAAGAAGCTCAAGAGCCGCGACAGCGAGTTGAGCTACGCCAGAGACGTATACCAGACTGCGGATCAAGCTAACATCGAGCTTACTCGTAAGAACCGGCAGCTTAACGAGCAGGTGGACGAGTTCCGCAAGCAGGCAGCGGGCAGTCTGGCTGAGGTACAAAACACCAATGCTGGAGAACAAGTCAGAGAGATGCAGAGGCAGATCGCTGAGACGCAAGCCATCTCTAGAGACCGTGAGAAAGAGCTATCACGCGTAGAGAAGGAGCTGCGAACGCTGAAGAACGGTCGAAGGGAAACACGCCAACAGAGTGTCCCCCGAAGTCCGCGTCTCGGCATGATGAGCCCTCGGACGGCTCGGGCGGCGGGCGGCTCCGCTAGTAGAGGCACCTCGCCCGTCCCTTTTGAATCTTCAGGCAGCACGCCTGTTCCAGGCATGCAGTTCTTGCCTTCGAATCATAGATTCAACCACCTTCGGGAGTGAGGTGGTGGTGACTTGAGGAGCGTGGCTTGAGAGCCAGTGGGAACGATAAGAGAAGAGTGAGCATTGATATTGTTAGAGAAGGGGGTCACAAGCTGGCCTCAACGCATGATACCCTTTGATGGGAACGGTTATTGTATTTTTTGATGAGTAGCTATTATTTTTTGACGAACTAGATTTCCTGAAAGAAAGTGAGCTCTTTGCTGCTATAAGTCCGAAGTATTGATAGCACATGGTACGATTTGCACGTGGCAACGTTCGTGTAGTTCATCTGAGATCATCATCTAACTTGCGGCGGGGAGGATGCAGATTGCAGGAGCAATCTGCCCACATCTGCCAGTATGCGACGGCTTACTATGTGTTCTGATTTCTCCGAATATGCCGCATGTTTTGTTTCCCCACCACGGATTCGAGTCTCGATCTCTTCTGGTTGATATCACGACATTCAGTTGGGGAGGGTGGCATGGAAAGAGGTGGCTTGATAAACAAATGAGAGATATTGGTGAGAAGAGTTGTAAATGGTACATGGGACTTGATTGAGTTCACACTACCAGAAAACTCCCCTTCTATCCACTTCACACACACACACACACGCACACGGCACAAAGAAAGCTTCTCTCTTAAGCAATGTGTTTCTTCGTCCACGGTCTCCCCCCGGTGTAGAATATACAAGTTTTGTTTGTGGCCCTGGCCAGGTCCGCCCAGCCGCATCCAAGGACTTCGGTTTGTTTGACTGTCGCCCGGTGGTTTCGATTTCCCCCGTCGCTCCCGTGAGAGAGAAAAAATTTAGTTCTTCTCCTCAGGGTAGATGTCCTCCTTGAGGGGGACACCGAGCTCTTCCCTCAGGGGCTTGAGCTCCTCGAGGTACTGCTCGTACTGGCCCTTGTTCTCGACCTTGGCCTTGATACCTGTTTGAATTGAATAAAACGGTCAGTCAATCATGTTCTCAATTGGGTTGCGCATTGACGACGTTTCAATATCACGTCTAGAAAAATTTTGGGGTGCGTGCGAGAGGCATTGTGAACCCAATGCGGAAATTGAAAATGCGTACCCTCGAAGATGCGGATAGCGGTAGCAAAGTCGTTAACGCGGCGGGCAGCCTTGAGGGCGGCGGCGACGACAGTGGGAGAGGGAACCAAGTCGTAAGCGAAAGCGTTGTTGAGGTTGCGCTGTTGTGTTGTGTAAGAGTCAGCCTTGTGTCCCATCAGACCACTTTTGGGCCGAACTAGGTTCAGATCCCGAGGAATTTCGCAGAGTCGGGTGGTGCCCAGCGTACCTGAAGCTCGAAAACGTCCTGGACGCCATCGAATTCCTTCTCGAATCTGCGTTTAAAAGTCAGCGAGGCTCATTGAGAGGTGAATTGAGAGGCGAAGATGGCTCAATGGCTGGCTGGCTGGTGGTGGTGGTGGGCTGGCGTTGTTCGTTTGGCCGAATGCATCCTTGCCGGGCATCCCTATCTTTGCACAGTACTCCAACGCCTGGCCATTCCAACCACCACCACAACCAGATGCTGGACATCCAGGGGATGGTAAAATGGCTCACCTCGCGCTGAACTCCTCAAAGGTCTCCTCGGCGTGATCGCCGGAGCGCATGCGGGCGCTGGTGCTGAAGTTGTTGGCGGCCGGGACGCCCGCGACGATGGTGGGCAAGAGGACGGCGGAACGGGCCATGAGCGGCTGGCTGGAGCGGATGGGGTTCGCACGGAAGAAGGTGGTCGAGCCGCGGGCGGCGACGCGGATGAGAGAGGAGGTAGACATTTTCGGCGGCGGTTATTAGGAGAAGCGACCGAAGGGCGGCGGACGTTGGGTGCGGCGACTGTGTGACGTGGAGGAGGTTTTTTTTATTTTTTCGCTCGCGAAGCTATGGGCGTTTCGTCGGGATTAGAGTCGGACGATGGTGAGTGTTGGCAGGCACGAAAAAGGATTGGATTCTGCGAGATTTTGATTGGATGACTAAGCCGAAGCTGTTGCTCGGGTGCGGTAGCTCAGCTCCAGGCCGTGTGAATTGTGATCGATTGGCGAAAGCTGTACTCGTTTCTGCAGGACAAACACAGTGATTGCGTCTAATCATACGGAGTGCCCATCATCAGGCCACTCTGGACGATTTCTCCCCAAATCTGGTAATGGTCATACTCATCGCCCTGCACCTCACTGGTCCCCAGGTAGATAAACCCTTGAGATCTAATACTTCGTCACTGGACGTGACAATCTATCGGTAAACACACGGACAAGACCGGGTTTCTGAGGCTATATACTAGAATAAGCAAGTCGGTGCACTCATTCTTCTAACCTTGCCAGTGGACTTGCCAATAATGTATTAAGGTTGGCTTTGAAAACAATTCAAGGTTCCGTTACACCCGTCTCATCCACACCCGCGCCACCCACACAGGCACACGACGATGCAATGGCCACCCACACGCAAGGCTGACAGTGACAGGTTGGTCAGGCTCTAAGTTTGCTAAAGGGCAGGATTGAGTGATGACAGATGGGTGTGTGGGATGGATGACACGGAGCCGGACCGGACCAAAATGCCGGAGATTGTGCCGGCTCTCGAAGCAGATGTTACTGACTTGTGTTTCGGTCAATTGGCCGAGGTACAATTTTTTTCTTGACCCTCTCCACGCTCCTCATCCTCGAATCCCGGCAGCAACAGGTAGGCCGACTAACCTGACTCTCTCACGGGCCGCTGTGCGATTGGCAACGTAGCCTAAACTTCCGAGATTGCAAGCCGCATCACGAGCATCAAAGTACCAGGTACTTCGCGGTCTACACTATTGTTTTGGGGCTAGGTTGGTTGGCAGTGTGGGTTAGGCCCGATGGATGCTGCTTACTGGGGCCCTGTCCAGCGCAGCGCAGACCAAGACTGCAACGTTCTGCGTCATTAATCGGCAAGTGCACTGTAAGGATAAGCAGGTACAGGCCTTAAGCCTCCTAGGAGATCCGTCAATTACAACTTTACAGCGGTTTGTTGGAGACTTTGGGTCACGTGATGATACCGCTGTGCCTTGGAACCATCAAAATCGAACAAGGTCCCAAAATGAGCATAGGCCCAGGAACGGCCCCTAATTGGCTGAGCTAAGGCCTGGCAGCGAATCACATGCTGCACGATCAAATGAAGACTACGAAAAGGGCTGCGCGACAAGTACAGGGTACCTGGACCTATTCGATAGGAATTTTCCCCTTTTGACAATCTCAACAACTTTCCGTATTGCTGCCCGCCGCCGGTTCTCCCGTCTCCTCTTCCTTTTCCTCATAAACCAACTCCTCCCGTGCTTGTGGCGTTCTTTTTCCTGTCCTGCCTGCCCGTCCACCGTTTCCCCAAATCCTCAACTTCACCAGGCGTCCCGCGGTGGGTAGAGAGAGAGAGAGAGTGCGTGTGTTGCCATTGTCTTTTTTCAATTTCATTGCCCCTTCTTCGTCACTCCTTAAAAGGCTCCTCCTGCCACTTTTTTGGTTGCCGACAACTGCCGCTGCTAACGCGCTTTGCATCTGCAGTCCTGCGTCGCGTGCATTACTGAACAGACGACAAAACTCCTACCACCTGACTCTCCTCCCCCCAAGCCTAAGATCCGCGTCTTCCGCGCCGAGTCCATAGGGCAACCCGCATCGAGACCCACGGCATAGCCGAGTTTGTCGTCGCAGCTCCTCGTACGCGAGTAAATAACTGTGCGCCATCCTCTCACCGACTACCATTGTCTTCTCTTTCGAGTTCAAAGATCAAGAACTGTCGAAATGGCGACCCAACCTCCCTCCTCCTTCTACGAGAAGCTGCCTCTCCCTACCCTCGACCGCCCCTTTGGCATCGAACTATGGCCTCTCCTCGACAAGGTCTGGACTCCCATCGTGGGCTACCCTGTGGACGAGTTCAGATTTAAGGCTGGCATCACTCCCATGTCCACGATCAAGGACGCCGGTATCTTCGTCATCATCTATTATGCCATCATCTTCGGCGGCCGCGAATGGATGCGCAACCGCGAGCCTTACAAGCTCAAGGGCCTGTTCCTGATTCACAACCTCTTCCTCACCGTCATCAGCTTTGCTCTCCTGGCTCTCTACATTGAGCAGCTCCTCCCTACCGTCGTCCGCAAGGGTATCTTCCATGCCATCTGCGATGCCGAGGGCGGCTGGACTCAGCCCCTGGTTGTTCTCTACTACGTGAGTGTTTTGGCGCCAATTCGTGCTTCTGGGCTTCAGATAACTAACTTCTCCCCTTTCAGATGACCTACCTGACCAAGTACCTTGAGCTCCTGGACACCGTGTTCCTGTTCCTGAAGAAGAAGCCTTTGAGTATGCACATGGCCGAGATCCCAATTTTGTGAAACTCCCCCGCTAACAAATATGCAGCTTTCCTTCACTGCTACCACCACGGTGCCACCGCTCTCCTCTGCTACACTCAGCTGATTGGCTCCACCGCCGTCTCGTGGGTTCCCATTACCCTGAACCTCGGTGTCCACGTTGTCATGTACTGGTACTACTTCCAGAGCGCTCGTGGTGTTCGCATCTGGTGGAAGGAGTGGGTCACTCGTTTCCAGATCATCCAGTTCATCATCGATCTTGGTAGGTTTCAAATTGTTCTCAAATCACCAAAAAAACGCAGTTCAGCTAACATCTTCCTCAGGTTTCGTCTACTTTGCTTCGTACACCTACTTCACCTCGACCTACTGGCCCTGGATGCCTAACGCTGGCAAGTGCGCTGGTGAGGAGTTCGCTGCCTTCGCTGGTATCGGTATCCTCAGCTCCTACCTTGTCCTCTTCATCTCCTTCTACCTCGCGACCTACAAGAAGGGCGGCAAGTCCCAAACCCGCAAGTCGCTCCGCCGCATGAGCCAGGCTCCTCTTCCCGACCCTCACAACGTTGCCCAGGCTGTCGCTGGCCACTCCAACGGCAACGCCAAGGCTACCGGAGCCAAGGCCAACGGCTCTTCTACTCCCCGATCCCGAAAGGCGTAAAAAGCCAGGCATCGTTTGATGTCATCCACGGTGTGGAATGTATATATGCGGGAC